TTTTTTCTCTCTTTCTTTCTTCCCTTTTCTATTCTCTTTTTTTTCAAGACACACAGAGAAAGAGACAGAAACCAGCTAATGATTTCTCAAAAACAAAGGCTCAAAAACAACAACAATAACCCTAACCCTCCACTCAACAACCACCCTATCCACCTCGACCGACATTGCACCCCAGCCACCATCACCACCAACATCAACATCAACATCAACATCAAGCACAACCGAAGCGCCCACAACACCCACAAACGACCTCAACCCCCCCGCCCGCCCAACCAGTCTCTCCACCTCCACCACTTCCTCCGATGATAATGATGATGATGAAACCGGAATCTGCCCAACAGGCTTCTACGCATGCAAAGCGCACTACGCGGGCGGATGCTGCCGCACAGGCCGAGACTGCGACACGACGTCTTGTCCTCCGCCTTCGTTGTCGACGACGACTGTTAATGCTGATGGGGTGACTGTTGTTGTGCCTGTGCCTGGTTCGACTGGTGGGTCTGATTCTGGGGGTACTGGTGGTGGTGGTGGTTCTGGTGGTACTGGGAGTGGGGGGAAGTGTGCGGATGGCTGGTTTAGTTGTGCGGAGGCTGTTGGGGGCGGGTGCTGTCCGGTTGGGTTTGCGTGTCGGGAGAATTGTGTTGCTGTTTCTGGGGATGGGTCTAGCTCTGAGACGGGGACGGTTGAGAAGGGGGGTTTTGTTGAGAGTAGTGCTTGTGGTTGGGGTCGAGATGGGGGTTCGTTTGGGGATTTTGGGAGGTGGGTTATGGTGGGATTGGGATTGGTTTTAGTGCTGGTATGATACATACGAGATATGACTGATGATATGATGAAATAGTGATAACGAGCATCTACTACATGAAGGAATGATGAATGATAATGTTGATTGAAACATAATAACCAAATACTCGTAGATACATCCGAAATACCGGCAAACAGATCAAAGAAAAGGGTATCGATGTCAAAACAGAACAGTCGCAGATAGAAATATCGCAGATGGAATCGCGAGAACATCGCAGAAGAATATACGCCCCCATGCTGGGAGGGTCATTACCCTGCCCAAGACAGGACAACGAGGCAATACCGTGTTTGCCGGCCACCATTAAGTAAAGCGATGGTATAAAAAACAGTACTGGTGGATAGGATCACACCGAAGTCAAGACCAGAAAAGACATAACAGAACAGAAAGATAGAAGCCACAGACCGTCTGTCAACCCAAGGTGAGTGGGGGAAGAGAAAAAAAAAGATAATAGATAGCATAACAAGACAAGAAAGAAGGAAAAGAATAAGAAAAAAAAATATCATATCTCGTCAGTACGCCGTCACTGACCCATTATCCTCTGGCGCCTGTGGATGCAACACATCACTTTCGTACCACGAATGCAATCTGAACTGAAGCCCCGCCTAGTTCATCTCCATCGTGTACTCGTCCTCTTCTTTGAAACTCATGGCCGCATGCCCCGAGCCGCTCCAGTACTGCGTCCCGTTCGGATTGCCGTTCGCGTGGAACGGCGGGCTCAGGCTCTGCGGGCTCAGGGATCCATTTCCGGACACCGCCTCACCCGCCATGTTCGTGTGCTTGGGCACGCGGAGTCCACTCCCGGGTCCCCGGCTGTAGTTGAAGGAGCTCGGGTCATTCCGCTCCAAGGCGTCCAGGATCTCCGTCCGCATCCGCTTCTCGTCCTCCGTCTGCTCAAAAGGCCAGGTGCCGCCGAGGCTGCTGATCAGCTCGGCCAGCTCCGCCTCCTGCTGGTGCTTGACGTGCAGCGCCCACATCAGGTCCCGCATCCAGCTGACGGCCCCGTTGAGGATGTCCCCCTTGTTCGGGCCCTTCTCCTTCTCTTCGATCGGGAGACCCATGGTGATGTTCCCCGGCGTGGCGCGGCGCCCGTTGCCACCTGCGAGCAGGGACGTGGCCGGGTTGGCCCCCGGTCCCGTGCCGGGCATGGTGCTGTTGTTGACCAGCTGCTTGCGCACCTTGTCGTCCTCGAGCCGGTGGCCGGGCACCAGATGCGACAGATCCTGGATCCGCTCGTTGATGTTGTCGCGTCGGCGACGCTCGACCAGGTTGTGCGACGCCCGCCGACGGCGGCGCTTGGCCTCCTGCGACTCGAGGTCCTGCCCCGGCATGTGCGCATCGACCTTGGCCGGCAAGGACGCATGCTTTCCGGACTTGAGGATCTCGGAGATCCCCGCGTGGTGGGAGGGGTGGCCCGGGGAGGAGATGGGCGACTCCACGTACGAGTGCGCGCTCCCGGGCGTCCCGTCCCACTGGTTCGATAGCGTCTTCTGGTGCCGGTGCTGGAGGCCCGTGCGGATCGGCTGGGTGGGGAAGCTGCCGGATTCCGGCGTGCCGAGGGTCAAGCTGCTAAACCCCTGGGCGGGGGTCTTGGGAGTCATGGGGCTGCGACCGTCGGCCGACGTGCCCGCCGGCAAGCCGGTGCGCCCCTTGGTGGCCAGGTAGTTCTGGTCAAAGTGGGATCCGCTCTGCATGTGGGACCCGGGCTGGCCCTGGTTCATGGACCGGAAGTGGTCGTAGTTGTGGAAGCTGTGCATGAACGGGCTGTTCATGGGAGCGCCGTCCGGGGTGTTGGAGTAAAGTTGCGACATTTGGCTGTGGTGACTCATGGGGATGCCGGAGCCAGCGCCGGACTGCTGGTCCTGCAGGTAGTTCACGTTGTTGTCGCGTGGGACGCCATTCTGGCCGCTGATCTCCAGATCCAGCAGCTCGTCCGTGTCGATGCCCGAGTTGCCGAAATTGAAACTCGACGACATGTTCTGTTGGGAGGTAAACGGGTAGGGCATGAAGCCACCGTTTGGCATGGTCAAATCCGACGGATCCACTCCGTCGGCGGAGTGTCCAAATTGATTGGACATGGAATAGCCCGATTGCGACATGAGGAAAGGGTTCTGGTCACTGTGGGGTTCGTCAGGATCGCTCTTGATGAACATGCTCACTTCGGCCATGGTGCGGATAGTGGAAGCAGGTCGGAGATATATAAGTGGTCTGGTGGACGGAGGGGATCGATCCCTTACAATCCAAGGTTCGTTCGAACTCCCGGCGATAGGCGGGTAAGATGTGCGATGTAGGCAACCCCGGGGTCGGGGAATGTGGCGAGATGGGGGCCAGCGAAAATTCACCCCTTTATTCGGTATCGCGGAGAAACTTCAGCGTTCTCGGCTCGATCTCCGCGGAATGACAAGAAAGGACGCTCGAGGGGTTCGTCAGGGAGACCCGTGAGTCATCCAGAATCGGTGGGGAAGATTGAAATTTCAGATGACGGTGGATGGAGCCTTGCAATCCGAGGGAAGAGGTCAGTTTATTGATTTCACCGAGCAGCGAAAAACCGCAAGGTTTGCCTCCAAACTTCGCCTCGGAGAAAATCCACTTGACGAGCGAGAGGGGCGAGGGGAAGCGCGGCAACTTACCACGAGGAAACTCGGTCAAGAAGGTCAGAGACAAGCTGAAACCCCTGTGACAGGATGATGACAATATTGGTTGGTAGAGTCAGGCAGATGCGAGGGATGTCGCGGCGAAATTCAGCCGGCGGCAACGGAAGGGAAAGAAAGGTGAGTAAGGTTGAGAATGATCGAAAGCGGACGGGGGGGGGCAATTGCCACTATCGTAAGGCGGGATGATTTCTTGACCCAACAACTTGAACGTTGCTACACCGACAAACGGCGCGCAAAGAAACCTAGAGATCTGGCCTATAAGCGGTCGTTCAACCCCAAACAGGGATAAATGATAAATCAATGTGCAGATTAAGCCGAATCAACGAACAAAAGATAATATTCAAAGAAAAAGAACCAAAAACGAGACAAAGGGAGAAATGAAGATGCGTGGCTATAAGCGAGTCAAGTCGGTTCCAGTTCCAAACCAGCCGAGGAAAAATAAGAAAGAAATGAAATGAGATTTCTGCGGAGACGGCGGGCCGGACCAAAATAATTAGAAATATCCAACGAGACGTCGGATCGATCAGGGGGGAAAAGCCCGATCAGTCGAGAGACCTTCTAGAAAGCCAGGATCGGACCAAAACCGTGGTGGATTCGAGTAAGGGGTTCTTTTTTTTTTTTTCTGTCCCTTTTTCTCCCCTGGTTCCTTTTGGGATTTGATGATTATCTCATTATCCCATGTGGTCTGGATGCGATAAGAAAAGGCCCGAAGCAATTCGAAGCCGATGGTGTCCACAGTGCAGACTAACCGGAAAGTGGAGGACAGTAAGGTACGTTGGTAACTTTAGTTCCAAGACGGTTCTGTGTGGGGAAGAAAAATCACGACATCAACAGGCGGTCAGTCCGGGCATTATCGCATCGTCTTATTCCTTTTTCTTTCTTTCTTTCTTTCTTTCTTGTTTTTTTTTCCCTTCTTCTTTGGAGTCGTTTGAGTCGTTTCACATCAACATGGTTTGCAAATCTTCCATAATTGGACCCTCTCCACGGTGCACGAATCCGGTAAGTGGCTCCGCCCACCCCCGGGGTCCGTGAGATTGACGACGGACGATTGGGTCGTTGATGGGGAGGTTGCCCCGCGAACTGTCGCCAGAGAGACACGATCCGCTCGGTCCCCGCAGGTACAAGGCTATCACTGGGGTGGGCCGTCGGTCTGAGATGACGCTTTTCAGGCAGGGTGCCCAACGCGGGAAATTCCAGGTCCGTCCGGATATGGGGGGCCCAAGGAGGAGAAGAAATGAGGGGTATTTCTCTCTCCACCTTTTTTTCCTTTCGGCCGTTGCTTTTCCGCGGATGATGCCACCGGATAATAAATACAGGAAGGAGATGGGATAGAAACGCAAGAAATCAAACAAGCCAAATGACCGGGAAGAACCTATATGAAAGATATATATCTATACTCACAGAACCACGTAGATGGCGTTGGGATGGGATGGAATGAGATGGGATTCTTTGCTCAAGGCTGAGCACTGTAAAGAGGGTCAGCGTCAGACTGGTGGTATCTCGAGCGTGTAACCCGGGTGAAAGGGACACGGGAAGTATAAATAAGGGGGAGAGGAGGAAGAGGAAAGGAGGGGAAGAGCCTTCCCACACGTGGTCAAGGCAAACTGCGCCCTGCAGAGGGGGGTATAGCCTCTCGCTCACCAAGGGAGACCAAGGAGGCGAAGGGAGGGGGGGGGGATTGAGAGGAAGCCACCGAGACAGAGGAGGCTCGAGCTCGAAACGGATTAGAAAGACAATACGAACCTGATAAGCAGCGGACGAGGCAGACTATCCTTGACGAGGCGAGGCCATCAGGGATGGGACATAGAAACCGAACGAGTTCAGTGGTGGAGGAGGGATCCTCCCGACTTGTTTAAGACTTGTCTGGAAGGGTTTGAAGCAGGACAGAGAAAAGCAAAGGGAAGGTGCATCAAATGGAGGAAGCGAAGAAAAGAACACCTGCAGAAGGGAGAGATGACGAGGGAACCGAAGGCTTTAAGGACTTTTCCCGAGGCGTTCTTGCAGACCTCCCATTTGATATGTCACAGCGATGGTCATGCAGGCCGTCGATCTTCAATCGACGAGGCTTAAGGACGTCGTCACTGAGAATTACGTGCGTTGGATGGGATGGGGGAATGATAACTATACTAAATTAATAAAAATATTAATTCAAGAATAATGATAATTAAAAAAAATATATTAATTCGAAAATTAATAACATGATATAAATCATATACTATAAAAAATAATAAAAATCAAACATGGAGGGTGAAGGGGGGAAGGAGTCGTCCTGGGGGGTGTGAGTGTGTGTGAGAGAGGAAAAAGGTGTGGTAGAAAAGAGTCTAGTGGGGATGAAAAAGAAAGATTCTTGGAAGTATGCAGAAATAGAAAGATAATGATACCATACAACTCTCCTTGAGTACTGAATACTTAAAGTATGCTGATGACTCTATCCAACCCAAAGTGAAGACTGAACAATCCCAATCGGGCAAGGGAGGGACGAATCAAGGCGAGAATGAGGATCAAGGAGGGTAGGACTATACGCATTTGAGGAGAAATAATAATCTCCCTGAGCAAATCCCATGAGCAGTCCAGGTACCACGCTCTTTGTCACCTGTTCTGTTGGTGGTGGATGCAATGACTCACTGTCTTGTTTGATCATTGCTATTATGGAACAATATATACTTTGTCTCAGTTTTCTCTTTTATTTTGTTTTATTTATTTTTTTTTTTCTGAATTATATTTTAATTTACTTACCCTTTTTATTGTATTGTATTTACTTGGAATAATATATGTAGATATTCTTTATCATGATTCTCGGTCTTGCCAGCCGAACCTTCCCTGTCGAGCAATGAGAGAATGTATCAGATGCCCTAAACATACCCAGATCCGATCATCCTCAACGTGCAGGGTGACCTCTGGAGAATAGGCGTTCACGTAGAAATCAAGGCAACGAACCTAGTAAGTCATCCACCATGAGATAACTCCTATTTACCATCAACTACCAAAATACAATAAAATACTATAATATAATATTCTCATACCATCTAAATTGATCATCATAGGACCGAGCCCTACAATGACATCATAGGGATATTTTTATCCCCTCCCCGCCGTATTGAGATTCGCCCCGCCCTCCCCACTTCACCTTCACATTCTATCCACTACCACACCAAACAAAGCAGACAAAGCACTTGTATGGATGATCGTGACATACCATGTGGAGGCGGTCAATGAAGAAATAGATATCCTGGTCTTTGTTCCTACCCCGTCATCATCACGGGCGATTGCAGATGGCAGACACTAGAAGAAGACGACGGGGTGGAATCGCCATCCGAAGGGCGTCATTGTATGGGTGATCATTTTGATATGATATGGTAACCAACATCAGTCGTGTTGAACGGAATCGGAATAGATGATGGTGTTTTTAGTATAATGATAAAGTAAATAATTTAATAAATTAATAAACTTTTTCATAAAAATAATATCATAAAATAATCATAAAACCAGTCATAAAGAAAGGAACTAAGATGCGATGACGAGGGTGCTGATTGATTACGAGGAGAACGAACTCGCGACCCTCCAATGGACCCACGGCTGTCCGAGCGTCTTCGGCGCTGAGTCGCTGACACCCCCAAGCCCAGAGAAAGCGGTCCGTGACCCTGTGCAGACTGGGTGGAGAACTGGAGATCCTGTCGCTTCCCGAGCGTCCGTGCTCATCCCTCTCTTCCTATCTTGGATTGATTATCTCGGTGATTCTCATTGTTTGTTCCTCACCGTTGGGACACAGTCCTGGGGATTGTGCCCGGGACAATGATTTGGAATTGCTCACATTCCTTGATAATGATCCGTCTGTCAGGAGCGAAGTATGATGCCTTACCATCAAGGGACAGAAAGGGAATCTCATGATTTGGAATCATAGACTCCAGAATGTGGGTAGAGAATGCTTCGCTTCCAACTTCTCCCTCGGAGATAGGCCTGCCACCTAGGTAGGTAAGCGAGGAAACATACCTCCCTACCTCTAAGAATGCTGTCAGAATCATGGAACAACCAATCATCAGCCAAAGCCCATCCATCTGTCGGTCTCGCCGGGGAATTCAGGCCTGCTCGAAGCCTGATGGAAACCGAGATTTTCGGGGCTATGGACCGGAGGCATGCAAGCAACCAGGCGGAGATCCGTCCATCCCCCACACCAACCAACCCTCCCAAGGGTGGACTGACCACGGATAATGCCTCTATTCCTGATGCGGTGAATGGAGAGGACCTAGGGTTTGGAGGTGCAGGCGCAGCTTTCACCCAATCGATCTCTTCTCATCGATCGGGGCTACGAACAAAGAAATGATCAAAAAAAAAGCCAAGAAAGAAACGAACAAAGAAAAAAAAAGAAAACTAAAATGTCTACGGCTTATTACATACCAGCATACGTATGTGCCGCTTACCATCGAGATAACACCATCATGTCGCCTCCCCCACCCTCGCCTCCATTTTCGTGGCCTCCCATGCGAAATGAAGGCGGGGTGAAGACTAAGAGAGATCTCGCATAACTAAGGTAGGTATGGAGTAGACGAGCATGGAGCAACTTTGGCTCCCGTTTCCGTCCCGTCCCGTCAAGGTTCGGGTGCATGGCCGACGACCATCCATGGTTACTTACTGCAAGGAGGGCGGTGTGTTTACACCGTCGACTACTAGCCATCCATTCTTCTGGGGTTCAATTATGCGGAGTTCTCCATGCGAATCATATTATCCTAGATGGGTTTACTCTCGGTTCATTCTTCCCATCGTTGATTGTCGGCTCTTGACCGAGGTTGCCTTTTACCCGACACTTCTCCGACCTGGGGAAACAGGTTGGCTCTGGGAGAAAACATGGGAACCTTGCGGTGATTACGAGGAAACCTCACCCAACGCGTCATCGGCTTGACACTCTCGAGCAAAAATAGAATATAATAATCACCCCTTATAACAGACTTATACAAACAGAACAGGCATCCAGTATCCACATCTCTCCCTAGATTAAAAACGGCTACCTCCGAATAATACCCCACACAGACCCGTGTGGTAACCGGCATTGTATTCGGTACATGAGGTTGAAGTAGACTTCTGCAACCGACGGCTGTTCTAACGAGGATCGTCTGGGACTAACGGAGGGAGACAAGCAGGGGGGGAGCAAGAAGGGAGGGGTTGAGTTGATCGCCACTGGTTTAACAAGCGCTTGTTGTGAGGGGGGAACTCCGATCTTTGGTATTTTATTCGTTGAGGTTGGAGAGAAGTGATGGGTGAGGGCGAGTGGATTCTCTTTACCTCGCAGGTGGGTTCTGCTGGGTTGAGCATGGCTTTGTAGTCTGTACTTGCCTGTCCTTGATTATAGACAGATTATTACACATACGTAATCGAAGAGTACCAGGTACCTATCTATGATAAATACAAAAATAGAGGAAGTCAGGTAAAGTAGGTACCGTACCTGTAGGTAAGTATGGCGGTAACAGCGCTCACCCCAGGCGGTGGCGGAAACCGAATCTCTAGTGGAGGTCTCAGATATGCAAGGCAGCGATTTCATCAGACGCACCAATCATTTGCATTGATTCTGCCCGCCCTGTCAAGCATCGTGACGGTGATTGGTTAGTCGGACTGGGTCGATGGTCACCAGCTTGGTTTAGGCTTAGTGTGGTCAGCTGGTGTTCCCATCTGCATCGACCGAGGCTGTGATTGGTTCCCTCATCAGCCCGAGAGCCTCCAATTCCCGAATCGGCCTAGCGTGACTGGCTAGGCTAAACTTCTCCAGAGCGGAAGAAGCCAGTCCATCGTCTCATCCTCCGCCATTTCACTCCCCATTCTCTGTCATTGACCTCCTTGGGTTTGATTCATATCATTTGATTTTCATTTTTGTTCTGATTTTATTATTTTATCTTGATTTATCTTATTTTTGTCCCCCCCCTAGCGTCTTAGTGTTGCTCAACTTCGGTATGTAACCTTCCCCCCCGGTCTTGGGAACGGTGTCAACGTCGTTGCGTTGCCTGGGGCCTCGAAACCTCTCCCACACCTCTTGTCTTTCCCACCCACACCTTCTACCCTTCCTCCCCCCCCCTTTGTCTCTCTTCCATCCCTCTTGCGTCTCTCCGCAAGTGTCATCTGATTATGGCTAATCTCCTGCAGCCGGTTCTCCCCCAGTCCATCTCCCTCCCTATCTCAAACGAGCATCCGGCCGACGTTACCCCGACTTCTATACCATCATCGTGCAGCTTCTTCCTCCCCCCCCCACCTTCCATTCTCTCCGTTCTCCGCAGCTTGTCTCTGCGCCCCCACTCCACGGGATTCATCGATGATCTCATCCTCCACATTCTTGCGCGGATTCACGGGACATTATCATTCCGATTAAGCTACTCCACCTTGGGTAGTTGGTTGTGTTCTTACTACAGGCGGGGCTGTCTTCCTATTGTCTAGAAAGGTGGTTATCGATAGTCGATTACTGTTTGATACCGTATTCGACCACTCGAAAGATAGCTACGGACCAACAGACACAAGCAGATACAGGGCGATCACAAGCAGATCATCTCAACAACTCTCCCCAAAAGACGGTCTATTCGTTAGTCGACACCAGATTTACCCCCGTGCCCTAGCTCCTCGGGAGTCTAGTCCGGTTTGCGCAACAGTCATCTGGCCCGCTGTGGCTTGGTCCTATCACCGTCGCCTTTGGCTCCCTCACACTCACCCTCCTTGATCGATACCTGCAGATCATCTGCACGTACATACTCGTCTCCGTCGTGCATAGTCCCTGCAGAGGTTTCGACCGGATTGACACCCACCCACCACCCACGCCCACCCATCTGCCCTCCCGGTTACCTTCCCGGTGCCCTCCACGCTCGTGCACGACACTAGTGCTGCAAGAGATATCGTCTGCAACCGAAGCCTTCACCACCCCCCTCCCCCCCCCTCCTTCCACCCCCTCTTAGTCGGGACGTAAACCAAGCGCCTCAGACGGACGAATCAGGACCATGGCCTCTAGTACCTTCCGCGATTCGGTCAATTCCCTGGGCTGGGCGCGACGCGACCCCGATGTGCCCGCGACCACCAACTCGTCATCCAACAGCCCCTTCCTGAATAGGTTACAGTCCTTGAACCCCTTTGGTCAAGGCGAGGGCTATCTGCAACTGCCCACTCACGAAGCTCCCGGAGCTCCCCTCCCTGCTGCAAATCGACGGGAAGAGGAAGATGGTTTCTTCGCCCGTAAGTTCCTCCGAGCTCATGACTGATTTCCCGAATGATCCATCCCCTTTCCTTGATTTGCTGCACCGCCCGGTCCAGGTGACGGAGCTTCAGTTCCTGCATCTGGACTGGCTTCACTGGACGACCCTGCCAGTGGCGACATGAGCGAGTGTCGCTCGGCTTTCCTCCCTTCTCAACTCTCCGGATGTGGATCTTTTTCTCCTCTATGTACCCTGGAAGGATCCCGGTTAGCTTTTTAAATTGGGCCAAGGCTGACTATTCCACTCTCAACAGTAAGCCGATGGGATCGGATGCTCATATTCATCGCATGCAACGTTGGCGCCGCCGTGTGTTTCTTCATTTGCTTTTTCCTCTTCCCGGTGCTCTCCCTCAAACCCCGCAAGTTTGCCATCCTGTAAGTCACATCCAACCCCTCCAGCCAATCTCCGCGGGTTGATGCGATGCATTCTCCCACACCATGCTTGCGTTTCAAACACCCCCGGTCCACGAGGCGGTGTAGAGCTTGTCATATTGTGGCGGCTTTCTCCCCCCCCCTTCACGCCCGGATCTCGTTGCCTTCCCGGCGTCCGTGCTGCACCTGCACGCCGTGACCCCACCTTGGCTTTGATTCTCCAAACTGACTGATTCGGATTTCTACCGAAAATAGATGGTCGGTTGGCTCGCTGCTCTTCTTGCTATCATGGGCCGTCCTCATGGGACCCATGGTTTACGCTAAACACTTGGTCTCGGGATCACGGCTGCCCTTCACGGCTGCCTATTTTGGCTCGATTGCCATGACTCTTTTCTTCGCGATCGGCGTGAGTGCCCTGCTTCTGTCTCATGAATCATACCCCCTGCCCTGTTCCAGCGCTCTGGTTTATCCTGTGTGTCCCGCGACGGCCGCCCGCCCTGCGATCGCGCTCCATCCTTGCCATGACGTCTTGGGCGTCTTGGAGGGGGTGGATAATGGATCTCGCATCCATCCTGCATTGCGTTAGTGGCGCAGCCTAGCCGGTGATATCATGGCCCACGTGCCAAGGGATATGGACTTTCGTGCTTCAAAGCCCGAGAGTCCACCGGAGCGAATCGGACAGTGACTGTCCTAACAGGACTCCATCTATCTGTATACACTCCTTATCCACACGCAGCACTGACTAACACGTTCCATAACAGCTTCATTCCACCTTCCTCACCCTCATCTCCTCGATCTTCCAGCTAGCCGCCCTGGTCTGGTACCTCGTCAGCTACTTTCCCATGGGCAGCACCGGGCTACAGTTTATGGGCCGGTTCGGTGCATCGCGCGTCACGACCTGGATGGGCAGTTAGTTGTCGGTGTCTGTACAGATGTGATAACGGCACATAGATAGATGGCTTTGCGTCAGCGTTTGGCTTGAGCGTTGTGTTGTGGTTTCGTATAGTGGGTACATAATATATTGTATTTTCGACAGGATAAGGGGTGCACACTGTATCGTGTCTATAACAAGACACAAGACACTTCAACTGAGATACACTATTTACTTTCTTTTGGGCCTTTATCTTGACTCATATGTATATAATAAGTATATATTTAATATATATCAGTGATTCTCTTTACTTTATCTTAGGTGTCTTGAAAGCGAGCTTCCAGAGTAAAGGCATCCCATCCATAAATATGTATGATACATGATAGTATACCTAAGTAGCTATCAATAAGCAATACCTCCCATCTTGTCTGATCTCACGACAACAACACAAAAACTCCACAACAATGCACAAGAATATCAATAAACAAATATCATTCCCCCATCCAATCAATCAATCAATAAACTAACCTAAGTAACTACCTACTACCTCTTCACTTCCCCCGACTCATAACCTCCCCAACAACCCCACTCACAACCTTCACCCCCGGAATCTCCGCCTCCCAAATCCCCGTATCCCCCCCCGACCCAGTCTCCAACCACCGCTGCAGCAGATCCCCACTCTCCTTGGGCTTCACGTCCGGCGAGACAGTGCCGACTGTTACGTGCGGGATGGCGTTGGCGCACGCCCACGTCTCCTGCTCGGCGTGGTCAGGAGGCATGATGCGCGCGACGAAGGTCATGAGTCGGCTGTCCCAGACTAACCGCTCGAGGCGCACGCGTGCGGCGCCTAGGGCTGGTGTGATGGTTGGGTCGGATTCGGGCTTGGTGTGCATGCGCTGGATGTATTGCTGTGTGTAGGAGTCCCAGGTTGAGGGGTGGTCGCGTTTGGAGGCGCGGTGGATGAGCGTTACGTGGAAGGTGGGCTGGATGCGGCGCGTGTTGGAGAGGTGGTGGTAGGTGCGGGCTTTGGTTGCGTCGGTGCCTGGGGGGAAGAGGGTGTGGAGGAGGGTGGTGATTTCGGGGGTCGGGAGGGTGATGCTGAAGTATTCGATTTTTTTGGAGAGGTCTTCTGGGGTTGCGGGTGGGGGGGTGGTTTGGTTGTTGTTGGTGTTGGTGGTGGGGTTGGCGTGCTTGTTCTTTTGTTTGGTGTTTGAGGGGTATTGATGGCTGAGGTCGAGTTGGACTTCGTACTCTGTCATTGCCCATTTGATGGCGTCGTCGAGTTCTTGCGCTGTGGGCACTTGCTTGATGAGTTGCGGGTAGAATGAGTGGAGGGCGTTCACGATGATCTCGAGGTTCTCTCGCGAAGAGGCTCGCACGTCGAGGTCGAGGACTTGGTCGAAGTCCTTGTCTGGTCCGCGGTCTGTGTTCACGGCCTCGAACCGGCTGAGGAACCCTTCCATGATACCTACGATCTCTTGGGAGTCCTTGCTTCCCGCGCGGATGGTCTGGTGGTTGTCGCCGCGGTCGAGCACTCGCTTGCGTGTGACTTCGCGGATGCCCGGGAGGAGTTCACCTTTGGGTTCGTGCACGTACTGCAGGGCGACGAACCGGGCGTTAGGGAGAATGGGGAAGATGTCGTCCATGAGCTGCTGTCTCTCGCGTCTCATGTGGTTGTTCCGGTCGGCGATCACCGCGGGCTTCTCGTTGAGCGTGTTGGTGATATCTAGCGAGAACTTCTTCCCCTTGTTCTTCTGCTTGGGGATGTTGTCGTTCTGGATGTGACCCCATCCGAAGAGCTTGGTCAGAGCAAGTGCTACAGTTGTCTTACCGCATCCCAGGGACGCAATCGGAGTGATGATCACATTGCCGACGTCCTCCCGCGATTGCGCCTCGTGCTCCATGGCGATGATCTCGGACCCGTTAAGCCCCTGCTCCTTCAGGAAGCCGTCTCTCAGCGCGATGATGCCGTGGTTTTGCTGGTATTCTCTCGCCAACTTGAGGTTGCCTGCAAGCCGTCTCCGTGCGTATTGCAGGTACTTTTCGGTGATTTGTTTATGTTTTTTGATGTTCGGGACCTTTCCGGTGATGACGGCCTTGGTGCACTCGCGCCACTGCCGGTACATCAGATATGGCTCTTCAAACTTGTACTTGAAGAACCAATCCTCAAACGGGGCTTTTCCGCCGGGGCCCATCTGGCACCGAACGACGAATCCCTCCGTCTCGCGGCCATCCCACGTCCCCGTCTCCGCACACTGATCCAGGAACTTCTTGACAGAGTCGAGGTCGTCGTAGGTCACGAATTTGGCTTTCTTGAAGCCCCACTTATCGGCGAAGGCATGGACCTCCGAGCCAGGGCACGTAGCGAATTGGGGCACGTTGTAGTTGAGCCCGTGGACGTAGATCCCCGCGGCGGCTTCATCGTAGGCAAGGACGTGCTCCTCAAAGCTATCGTCGCAGAGCTCGCCCACCAGCGTCACATTCATCCTCCGCAGCTCCTGCGCCAGATCCTTGACCGATTTCCCGACCGCCTGGACGTGTCTCTCCGCCCATTGCTCACCCACCTGTGCGTGGCTGGCGCTCACGTCGGTCCGCACGCCCGTCGAGTGCTTGCTGCAGACCAATAACGTGCCGTCCTCCATCCCCGACATGAAGATGATGCAGCCGTTCTCCTTCACGCTGAGCTCGTACGGACCCCGCGTGTTCATCTCGATGTTCCGCCATTTGGTCTCGTTGACCTCGTCGACGTTGAAGAACTTGTCGTAGCCTCGCACGGCGATCTCGGGCGTGCCGTCCTTGCGTCGCGTCGTGAAGAGTCCGCGGGCGTAGGTCGGTAGGTCAGAGCGCTTGTAGTCCCAATCCATGAATTTCCACGAGTCTACCGTGGTCTTCTGAGAGGGTCCCACGTGGAATGTGGACTTCTTGCAGACGAAGTTTTTCTTCCCTTCTGCCTTGGTTCTTTTGCTGGCGGTCTCCAAGCTGTTGACCAGCTCGGCCACTTCTTTCGCGTCCTGGTGGACCATCTTGCGGTTTTCCCTGGGTATCTTCGATCTGCAGTAAGAAGAAGAAGTATATGGTTAGAGGGTGATATCGTTAAGGTGCAGGTAACATTCAGGCCTGTGGTACAAGAGTGTAAGTCAAAATGACAGTGAGGGGAAAGCACTCTTTAAAAAAGAAAGAGAAAACACGGCTCGCTAGTTTCTGTACAAGGATGTCTTACCCGTATTTTCGATGGAGCCTCACAAGAATCAATCAATGAGCTTTATTCAAAGATGACTCACGATCAATAGAAAGAGTCAGCTCTGATGTGGGGATTTGAAAGGAGAGGCTGAAAAGGCACGGTGTGCGCAAAGGCAAATCTTATCAGGAACTGCGGGGCAAAAATTTCCCCATCGGTCTCTGGTTTTCTTTCCGCCTCACCCTCGTCAGGAACAAAGCCTAGATCAGCCATCTTTTCTTGTTTCTAGATCCTTACTTGTCAGTCCGTATATCTTTAAGGTATGATTGACACGTCGCGATTTGTGGACAGACACTGTGACTCACACTCCCCGTTTGCAGCTAGGAAACCCTGCTATCCACAATGAGCGCACCCAACCCTTACGTCCTGGCCGCGGACAACCCCTCCGCCGTGCTAGAGCTGCTCCGGTCGAACCCCTCGATCGCTTCGAACCAAGACGACCATGGATACTCTCTGTTACACGCGGCCGCTTCCTACGGACACATTGACCTGCTGCGCGCCCTCGTCAAGGAGTTCCACGCCGACGTCAACCTCCTCGACGAGGACGGAGAGACATGTCTATTCGTAACGGAAGACGTCAACATCGCAAAGTGCCTAGTCGAGGAACTGGGCGTCGACTACAACCGCCAGAACGACGAGGGACTCACGGCCCAGGAGACGATCGGAGCTGACGACTCCTTCCCCGAAGTCGCCGCATACCTGGCCCAGGTCATGGGCATCCCGACCCCGCCCGCCCAGCCCGCAGGCGCCCTGAACACGCCTGCGCCGCTGCCCCCGAATGTCCAGATGAACTTGGGGACGGTGTCGGAGCAGGAGGCGAACGCGGGTACCGACGAGGTGGACCCCGAGTTCAAGCGGAGGATTGATGAGCTGGCGGCTCGGGAGGACTTTCACAGCGAGGCGACGCAGAATGAGTTGCGTCAGCTGGTTGCGGATGCGCTGACGGGGTCTAATATTGAGACTGTCGAGAAGGATATTCGGAGGAGGACGGAGTAGATTGGATGCGTTGCGCATGGCATTTTTGCTCTCTTTAATACCTCAATACCCTGTCCAAATTCAATGATATAGCCCGATCAGAGAACTGGAGGTCGACGTGACAGTGCGTCCGTCAGCAACCCTAGCTGCATATCCCAACTGCAGGTCTATTGCAGTCCCAGCAAACCGTGGCCTACTGGACGTGTGATTCTTGGAGGGAAGATGGACGTTGTCCTGCCTTCTCTCCGTCCATAAGACGCTGCGAAAGGTTGGCGACTACTATATAGGCACGGGGCATTCTATACATGACCACATTGGAAGTGAGTCATTGGTAGAATACACGCAGCATACAATCAAAGATAGGGGTTTATCTGGCAGTGCAGCCTAACAGGGTCACATTCTACAATCTTGTTGTGTTATTCGCATGCCCAAGTGCTTCCTAGAGAGGCTGTTAGACGCCTCGCACCAGCATCATCCTCTATGCAGCCCAGAGGTGGTCCTGACCCTCGCAAGGGGCGCAAGCAATCCTGATGAGAAACACATAGCGCACCAGATACTTATTACAGATATGTCCCTTAATATATACGCGTAAGATGTCCGAGAAAGACCGAGAAAGACATAGGAAGACCGTTGAGATTATATAATATCGTCGATATCACGTGATGACCACCTTCTTCCCCGCATCTCCAATTCCACTGAGCTCGCTCATCATCATCAATACCATCATACAGCTCACCACGACATCCTGACTGACGTCTGACCAACATGAATCCAGCCCTTAACCCAGATACGCCTCCGCCCCCTCCCCCCAAACCCGGCAGCCACGAGACGAGCCGAAGGGGCACACCGCAAACCAACCCCCCGTTACCCGGAACACCACAGAACCCGCAGGAGGGATACTACGGACAGAGCTGGATGAACGCGCAGGCAGGGAATCAATACTCATCTCCAGGCGTAGCTCAACCCAGCGCTCTGCCCGAGCCCCCGACGATCGAAGAAGGTTGGCTTCCGGGCAACGTGAACGATAAATCGTACGCATCCTTCCTACTATACTAGGTATCTTAGATCATACGGGCAAAACCAACTGATATGATTTACAACAGGACAATCGATCTACAAACCATCCTCAAAGACCCGAGTCTCGTTTCCGCTCTAGCCAGCCACCATCCGTCGTACACCGCGCACCAACAACACCTTCAGTCTCTCCTCAAGTACAACCAGGAGTTGGCGAACCGTCTTCTAGAGCTCCAATCGCATGTGACGGAGCTGAGGTCGTCCACGGAGAACTTGCTCCTTACCCATCAGTCGCTGGAAGTATCGTGGCGCAAGAAGCAAACGGAGATGGACGCGGCGCTGGCGCCGTGGTCGCCCAAGGCTCTCTATCAGCGATTGGCGGCGTCCATCGCGGAACAGGAGGCGGTGTGTCATGCTGTGGAGGAGAGCTTCCTGGAAGGGGAGCATCATGGGCGAGCTACTGAAAAGGAGGTCGCGGATTGGATTAGACGGGTTAGGGCTGAGTCTGGCAAGCTGGCTGCACGGAGGGAGGCTAAGGCTCGGTGGGATGAGGGAAGAGTGGGTGGGTGGAGGTGAACAGGTATGCCGCGTCCACCGTTGGATTTGACTCCCGTATATCTAATCTTGCACTTACTAGGCCGTGCAATTCTCCAACGAAGCCCATATTACTAGATGCGATCTACATCACGCGTCGGCTACTTCACCGCGGCACATCCAAACGAAAGCCCGCTGACGTGGGTTTCATTATTACGAACTTCGACTGCTCATTCCGCTAGATCCCGTCGCCCGCTTTCAAGATCCGCACTACGGTCATCACTCTCCGCCGTCGACACATCCGGTGCATAGGCCCAGTTCTCAGTGCCAACTTGACTTGGGAGCCCCACTCCCTTATATAAAGCGTGCGAGCGATTCCGAGGACCCCACGCCCAGCCGGCCCCCCGCATGATGGGAATATGGTAAAGGCGGAACGCGACCCAGGCAAAGACCATCCCCATCACCGATCCGAAGATGATGTCGAACGCGTGGTGTCGATGGTCGAACCAGCGCGAGGCCGATATGAACCATGCGACAGCCCAGGGCACAAAGGCAACAATGACCATATAGATGGGCGGCGCAGCGCCTTGCTCCCGAAGCGTTTCACGCTTTCGACTGTGTAAATCCTGGCTGAAGGGCGAATGGGCGAAATAAGGGAACACGACGGAGAATTTGGCGCACAGCCACAGGGAGAAGTACGACAATCCAGCAAAGGCAACTAGACAGTCAGTACAAATGGACAAATAGACAAATAGACATATAGCCCAACCCATCCAAACCAAACCAAACCAAACCAAACCAGAAAGAAAGAAAGAAATACCCACAAGAAGCATGCCCACTCGGAAAGCTCACGAACCCTTCCTTCACCAACGCCTTAGACCTATTCCTGCATATCCCCCAAGAAACCAACGTCGGCGCCCCCGGCAACACCCTCCCCAGCCCCCCAACCGCATACGTCCCAATCTTCTCCAAATCCGGATCACAGCGCGCGAGCAGATCCGGCCTGGGCCGGCCATACAGGTCCTTCAACCCCTCCGTAGCCATGAACACGCCTGCAACCGCGAGCCCTAGACCCAGCCATCCCGCGTGCCATTCCCAGATTTTGTACGGCCAGCGTGCTGCGCTTGTTGTCGCTAGCGGAACTGCGGATGAGCCGGGTATTAGGAGAAGGGAGAGGAGGGCGATGAGGACGCCTGGCGCGATGAGCGATACTACTACCATGACGCTTGTGGATACGGTCTCGTGTTTGGCGTGCGGGTAGGAGATGGATGCGTCTGTTAGGGAGAAGGGCGTGTGGGTGGGGTTTGTTCGGCTGAAGCCGTAGCCTATTAGGGCGATGCCTCTGAATATGCCTTGTTAGTTTGGACTTGAGGTTTTGTTTGCGCTGGGGATAGGATGGGTGGGTGAGTATGTAGGGAAGTAGGTAGGGAAGGTAGGGGTAGTACGCGATAAACACCCAGTCGGTGATATATGACAGAATCAGCCGTTTGGGAATGATGCGATTTGCATGCTGGACTATTCGGGGGAGTTCTTTGCTGAGCGTCATTGTTGGTCAAGTGTAAGTAGGGATGGTTGTCGGGAGGAGCATGCCTATCCAGGTATATACTGTAGTAGACCAGTACCTTGGTAACTGACAGACAAAGAAAGGTAATTAGGAAGGAGGCTGTGCTCCTCCCTTCATACTTGTTTAGTATTTATTTATATAGACTTTGAAATTGTACCAATCTCAAGCTGGAATTTACCCCACACGGTCTTGGTTTGGATGGTCTTGGTCTTGAGATCGGCGTTGGTTGATTATCTTGATATGACCTTACCTTCTACTCCATAGATCGGACGCGTTTTTTGGAGGAAATTCCGGATCTATTATTTAACTACGTAACACAGCGTCATACATGCATATTGCATACATACGTATATACATATATATAAACGTTTATCATAAATTATAAAAATACCACCCCCAAACAGCTACATAAACTATATACACTTATTTCTTCCCCTCCAGATCACTAAACAGATTATATCCAAAATCAGAGCTACTGTCGTTGAATCGCAGCTTTCGGTCAATACCACTAATCTTCTTCACATCCTCGTCACTCAGCTTGAAGTTTCCTTCCAGGTTGGTCTTGATGCGCGAGGGAGTCTTGCTCTTGGGAATGACCGACTGGCCACCGGTGATGCCCCATGCTGTTATACATATTAGCCGGGATCATCAAAAGGAAATTTGGGGGGAAAGGAAAGAAAGAACATACCCAGCGCAACCTGCGCCGCGCTCTTATTATACTTCTTCCCAATCTCCACCAACACCGGATCCTCCACCAAACGGCCAATCCCCTCCCCGCGCGGATACAGCGCGTTCTGGTTCCCCAGCGGCGAGTACTGCGTGACGTGGATGCCCTTCGACTTGTGCCAGTCGACAAAGTCGCGCTGCTGTAGCCAAGGGTGTCGCTCGAATTGGTGCACGGCTGGCACGACGAGGCTGTTTTGTAACACGCGCTCGACTTCTGCTTTGGAGAAGTTGGATACGCCGATGGCGCGCGCTTTGCCGGTTGGGATGAGGTTTTCCATTGCTTTGTATGTCTGTTGGGTATTGTTAGTCAGGCATTTGTGGCGAGTGGAATGATGGGATGGGATGTAGAGGGGGTAAGATGAAGACATACATCAACATAATCAACATCAATAACAGCAGGCTTTCCATCGCGCTGAGGGAACGGTTCTGGCCCCCTCTCCCAAGCAACAGGCCAATGCATCAGCAGCAAATCCACATAGTCCGTCTCGAGCTCCCTCAGCGAGTCATCCAGCGACGGGCCCACATCTGCCGGGTGGTGGTTGTTGTTCCACAGCTTTGTGGTCAGGAAGATCTCAGATCGGGGCACGCCGCTCTTCTTGATGCCTTTGCCGACGGCTTTTTCGGTTCCGTATCTGGGCGAAGCTGGTTAGGAATGAAGGGCTAATTGGTAATGAGGAGGAGGGGGGAGGGGTACGTTTGAGCTGTGTCGATGTGGCGGTAGCCGGCTTTGAGGGCTTCGTAGACGGCGTTCTCTTGGGCGTCTTCGTCTTGCCAGGTGCCGAGACCGATGGCGGGGATTTGGGCGCCGGTGTTGAGGTTGAAGTGGGTTGCCATTTTGAGATCTAGTAAGGCAGTCGTAATGGTGTGTGTTAAGTGAATTGAGGGAGTTGGTTAAACTAAGAGTTGATTAATCGATGGTATGATAGAATTGATAGATAGTATAGTACAGTATAGTACCGAAATGCTGTGAGCAACACAATTCTTATAATCATAAGAACAAACACAAAATGAACGTCAGCTTGACGTGCCCGCCTGTCTTGACCTTGTTCGAAGTAAAGTCTAAGACTTATGACGTTCGAATGAACCAACCTGGTTTGTTGAACTCTGCCAGGAAGCATGGCATGCTGTGGAAACGTCACTCCATGATATCATATAATCCTTAGATAACTAAAGCTCCTCTAACATCCACGAATACCGAGGGTTTCTTTAGTATCGGCTTTTTTGAACGAAGAGATGTGATTTATGAGTTATTGAACTAGATCTGAAGCTTATGTTGTGTTTTACTTAATTCTAGACTGCTTCTGTCTTCAATGTTTCTTTATGGCTCTGTCTAGAGATCCCCCCGCTAGACATGCACACTTCGAAGAGCTAGCTACCCTTCTAAATAATTTGCTCACTTACTCAATGAGTAAAATGAATTAGTAGCTGTGTTGATAAATAACCTACATGGAAATGCATAGTCCACACCTGCTTCGAGATATTCACCACCTACACATCAGTCGAGGTAAAGTAAGTACGTAGTATGACTCGCGTGAGGACATGGCATGCTATAGCTATACTATACATGTAAACTACAGCTACGATAAATTGTAAGCTACTATGTAGATTGTCAACGGGGAATGACAGTTGCTCACTGATATCGCCTGCGTTAAGATTTCGAGAGATTGACGGATTCATCAATTTATATACCTGTCCTGGAATATGAAGGATTTTTTAAACCTACGAAATGACTCTCCAGGTGACCACAGTCGAATACGTACGCAAATACGAAAAACACTTCTACGAAGAAATCATTACACAAGACAACGAGTTTATTGATCACGGGCACAGTAACAACCAAGACGAAGGGAAAGCCCACCCCGGGATAAGCCGATCGATAGAACCTGACAGCCAACTTGCAATGACCCAAGGGGAGCCCGCATCTTCGGGTCCGACCCAACCAGCGAAAGTCAAGAAGACAACCTAATGGCTTCTGCCCGCTGCAGAGCTGGGACTGCCGCTGCCGCTGCCAGTTCCGCCGCTCCCGCTCCCGCTACCGCGACTGCCCGCCCGGTGGAACGGGCTGGCGACTGAGCGCATGCCGATCGGGTCGATAGGGGGATGCTTCTCGATGAGGGAGTCGGACGGGTCTGGAGCGAAAGGACCGGCGCGGCGGTTGATGTCCACAAAGTCGGATCCGTAGAGACTGCTCCGTCCCGAGCGGTTGGAGAAGGACCGGTCGCGGGGCACAAAGTCCGATTCAAAGGGCGACGGCGCGTGGGCGAGCGGGGAGGTCGGGTGCGACGAGACGCCCGCGGGCGAGGCGGAGTGCTGCAGTGGACTCGATTTCATCGGCGGGAAGCTGAGGCCGCTCAGGAGCGATCGGCTGCCGGGGGCGGTGGATGTCAACCCGCCCAGCGTAATCCCGGACAAGTCCAGGTGGTGGGTGCCTGGCAGGGTGCCTTCCGGGGTGAGCGGCGCGGCGTCGAGGAGCATCTGCTGCTGCTGCTGCTGGATGCTCTGCTCCAGGGCGGTGGACTGCTGCCAGAGCTGGTTGGTCCGCAGCTGGTACTCGTGGATGGACTGGCCGATGCTGGCGAATTGTTCGTTGAAATTGATCTCTAGCTTGGCCTGGTCCTGCTCCCGGGCGAACTGCTCCGCCGCGCGGCGCTCCCGCTCGTTGAGGCCCTGCGCGTTGGCCGAGACGATGCGCTCGTACTGCTCGTGGACGCGGGTGCGCCGGCCCTGCAGACGCTCCCGGCGCTGGACCGTCGAGGTCAGATCGGACTCAAGGGACGACACTTCGCGGGCCACCGCGGTCCGCGCGGCGCTCAGCTCCTCCTTGGCGGTGGTGAGAATCTCCAGGTCCCGTTCGTACTGAGCCTTCTGCGCCCGCCACTCCTCGATCTCCTCCTCGGGAACGTTCACCATGGTGTCCAGCTGGGCGCCCAGGGCCGCGGTCGCCTCCTCGGTCTGCCGGATGTTCCGTTCGAGCTGGAGCGACCGCTGCTTCTGCCGATTCTCATCCGTCCCGCTTTGGAGTCGGTGGTTGTAGTTGTCGAGCTCCTTGCGCAGCTTGGAGACGGCTAGTTTGTGGTCGTTCTTGATCTTCCGTAACCGGGAGCGTTTCTCGTTCAGCTTGCCTTCCGCGTTGGCGATGGAGTTCTTCAGCGTGGTGGTCGGCGACGACGGGCGATAGGACGGCGGAGGCGGGGTGGCGGCCAAGGACACGGCTGGGAAACGGTCAGAAAACCACTCCAAAGGACGGCGGCAGAACTTGAACGCCGCTGGCTGCTCACCTTGTTCTGCGGCGTCGTCGGCGGCGGGGGTCTTGACGCTCATGACGCAGATCTCTTCGTCGGTATCGCTACGGAGGAAGGCGCACGTGTAGGCGCAGTTCGGAGCGAGGCCAGAGACCTCGCCCCGCCAATGCACGGCGCTCGCCCCCTTGGCCGCGTCGGGTACCTTGCTGATTGTCGCGGTCGCCCACAGCGCCCCGTTGACGCAGACGTAGAACGGCTCCGCGTCATCCGATCCCAATCGCCCAGCTTCGCAGGCGCCGGAGACCGGGGGGTCGTCGGGGGAGGCAAAGTCGCCCGCGGCGAATTTAATTGTCGAACTATCCACCTCTGTGATCCACACCAGCCCGTCATCCAACGAAACCCCCTGCAGGTCCTCCTCGGTCATCTGGAGCCCGCGACTGGTCTTGGACAGCGCCCGCGAGTGCTCGTATTCCCTCATCACCGTCACTTTCGTACTCGCCAGGGCCGCCCAAAACGGCTGGCGACTCCGGACCTGGTTGGCCTGCCGACGGCGTTTCTTGGCCGAGAGCAACCGATCGCGACCGTCCTTATGCGTTACCGGGGTGACCAATTGTCCATCCGCGCCGATGTAGGAGGAGACGCTGGCGCCGGACTCGAAGGCGGAATCGATCTGGGTCTGCGAGCCGGCGGAGGCTTCGGTGTCGACCCGCTTGCCGACGCGTGCGGGGGCCGGGGCGCGATTCTTGGCCATGGAGCGCCTCGCCATGGCGGTACCCGCCTGGGCGAGGATGTGGACCGCTAGGAGACTCCGGATCCAACTTGGCGAGGATTGCGAGTCGGACCGTCGAAATTCGGCCGGGAAGAGGTGAGAGTATTGCGACAGGAGGTCCGGACTAACGATCTTGGCTGACAGCAGATGACCCATGATGAAATCCTGTATCCCTTTGCTCCGGATCAGATGCAAGACCAGCACGATCCCGACGCAGAGTGTGTTGACGCCTCCGTTCTTGCCCGACCCGCCGCCGCCCAGGGTGATGGCCACCTGGACGTGGGCGAGGTCGAGGGCGAAGTTCTGCGCCCACGTCCACATGAAGAGACCCCAGAAGAGCAGACAGAAACCGTCCATGGCGATCATGGTGCCGAGGGACGGGGTGCCGGCGGGACCCTGGAAAATGTCGAAGTTGGAGGACAGGGAGCCGGCGGAGGCACCGCTCGGAGGCATGAAGGTCAGGGAAGCGAAGAGGAACTGGACCAGGGTGAGGACCATGGGAGGCAGTTGCAGCAGAAAGATCAGGATCGCGATGGTGTCGTACATGGGGCAGGACTTGAGGATGGTAGAGGCGAGCTGGAGAGGGTTGATGGAGCCCGACGACCTCTTGGAAGCGGCGGCGGCCTTGTCCGTCCGACGCGACGCCGAGGCGGCCACGCCACCATTCTGCGGCACGGCCCCGTTGGCCTGACCATACGACATGTCCGAATTCCCTTTGGCATATCCATTCAGAAACCCGCGTGCACCGTGTCCGTCGGCCTTGGCGTTATCCGTCGAGCTGTTCACCCGAGAGGCCGTCGCTATTGTGGAGGAGACCGCGGTGTCGCTGTTCGAGCGAGAGGCGGGCCAGGCGGCTTGGGCGGCGGAGGGGCCGGAATTCGGAGTCGAGCCGGCGCTGGCGTGGCCATTCAAGGTACCGTTGGATTTCTGCTTGTTCACTTTTTTGCCGGGACCGAAGGGACCATTCTCCTGGCGATTGCTCTGATTCTTCCTAGCCGTAGCCGATGGTCGTGGCATGGGCAAGGGGAGCCTTTACACCCGGGTCCGAGTCAGCTTGGCGGGTGACAGCCAAGGACTTGGACCAGGCGATGGATAAAGGCGAAACAGTGTGGGAGAATCGGGCGAAGATAGCGAAGAAAAAGAGTCGAGAGAGGGCGAACGAGGAGGGTTAAAATTGGTGGGGGGAGTGTCGAAGGGAGAGGGTTGGAAGTGGGAATAAGAAACGAAGAGAAAGAGAGGGGAGAGACGAGGGCGGGAAAAGGAACGACAAGACTGGAGGAAAAGGAAATATACGAATGGATGGATAGCGGAGAAGAAAGAGGGAGTGGCGTGAAAGGAAAGAAAAAAAGAGAGAGAGAAGAAGAAGTGAAAAAGGGCCACTATGAGAAGGGCGAATGGGTTGAAGCAAAAGAGAGAAAAGAAAGAGAGAGAGAGAGAGAGAGAGAGAGAGAAAGAAGAAGTTTTGGCTGGATTGGTAGACGGAGGCGGGAACGGGAAAATCGAGGGCAGAACGGGAGTCAGGCATCTATTGGTGCCTCAGGATATGGTACGGTATCTGTGTATTACGGTATTGTATCCATACGGTATAGTATGGATTGTTCGACACTGTTATTTAGTATTTACTACCCTCCGCTGATGACACTTCTGAGTACTGAAGATTATACACCATAACACCGAGTATCAACAATCCCAGGGGATGCCACACATTCCTTCGCGTCGATATAACCATGGCGAACATACCATCTCTTCTAATTCCAGCTATGTATCAGAAAGAAAACATTCACCTGCAGGATTATCAATGATCTTTACCTCTACAACTCTGGTATACCAACCAGGTAGATAGACATCTCGATACAATCCCGTATCCCATGATAGACCATCCTATCGTTCGTCTCCATTGATCTACATCAAGATACGGCCGGGCTGTCATGACCACTGTGCAGCACATCGGCCCCGCAAGCAAGGGAGGGGAGAGAAGAGAAGGGAAGGATGCCCATTCAAGTGGCCTGCATTACCCCGTCGCTATTGGAGACTCCGTAACAAATAAGGAATAACATCAGATCAACAAATACGTATTATGATAAATACCCCTCTTCACCTATCACACTTGTATAAAAAATAAAAATATAAAGACAGAATAACGAAAAAGAAAGAGAGGATAAAAGAAAGAGAGGGAAAAAAAGAAATCACCCCACACACAAAAATATTTTCACCTTATCCCACCTATCCAACCTATCCAACCTATCCCACCCACGATGGATGACCCATCAAGTCTCCTAGATGGGTCCCAACCCAGGATCTTGTTCGCTGATTAGGGCACACCTAGACAGTCCGATGCAGATCCGACGATCCCCTCCCTTCGTGGGCCATCTTGGTTTGCGGGGTCGTATCAGACTGGGTGCTGGAGACTCGATAGGACGTTAGCACACCATTTGCGGGAGTCGGTCCGGGATAAAATGCGCCGATGGACGGCAAGCTTGTGCATGGCGCGAGAGGGTGTTTCCCAGCAAGCCAGAGAGAGGACTCGAGTCAGTGAGTGGGCAAAGGAACGTGACAACCGGACGTCCGAAGGAATAGAACTAATCGATGGATTGAATCAACTAGACTCCATCGCTGGTTGGATTCACATGCTCGGCTATCCTGCCATTTCGGCCGTGATGACCAGCTGACGAGGTGTTTATTAGTTGGTAACTTAGTAGGTAAATAGTGGTAGTGGGTAGATCCTGTCCTGCTGTGATCTCCAACGTCTGAAGATGGCCTGGGGATTCGTGTGCTGGAAATACCGGGGTAGTTGGGTGGCTGTGCAGGACGTCATACAGAATATAGTGAAGAAATCTATCCGGCAGTCTGCATGGCTGGATTGAGAAATCGCTAGCAGAATAAACCAGGCGTCATTGTTATGAAACATTCAAGCAGAGAAACGTTTTCCTATTTCGTCAGCCGGGATAAGAATTTTCCCATTCTGGGTGCGATGAGAATGAATGATATCAATCCGTCCTGAAGATGTTTGTTCGCTCTGCAGCGAAGCAAGGAAGTCCGAAACGCCTGTATTGTACCATACCGTCTGATAACCGTATTGCAAACAACTCCACTACATAACATCATCGTCTCAACTCTTCTCTCAGGTAAGCGCCTCTCCAAGAGTATCGTAAGAGCACTGACTGTTGATATAATGTACTGATTTCAGTAGTCAACTCATCACATTATAGCGCCATCCGCCAAGGGCGCTCCTCAGGCATCCAGTGGCCGAATGCGTTGTCAGTCCGACCAGGATGGAAACAACGGCGTAGCAGGGATGCTGATGATCTGCCATAATACCCAGCCGGATATACATACAAGCTAACCATAAAGGGTCGATCGTGTAGATAGGCATGCATGTTATACGAGGGTGGCATGAGAGTTATACCCATACTGTCCTATACTGTCCTATGACAGTTACTGTACAGTAGATTTGCACGCCTTACAGGCTTAGTCAAACAAGTTCGTCACTCATCACCACTATCTAAGTGACTAGTGGGAATTTCTAACCGGTCGATCATCATCTGTTTTAATATCAAGTATTACTATTATTATGATCGTGTCGGTAGAAATTTTCTTCCCTGGTAGAAAACAAGGTCCGGACGAAAATCCCGATCCCCGATTCACTGCTAGTATTCTTAGACCCCACATGGTTATCCAATGAAACCCAAAAATAAGGCCAGAAAACCCGAGAATAAGGTAAGAAACCCAAAAAATGAGGTAAGGAAAAAGAGGAGAAAAAGTAAAAACTTTACGATGTTCACGGTGGGCATTCAATGGCAGAACGGGACATCGACCCATCTGGCAACGTGCCAGTGGACTTGGTCAAGATCTAAAATTGTACATCCACGGTTGATCGGGCTCGGTTGGCGGCCGAGCCAAGGACGTAGCGCTGAGCCGAGGATAACATATGATATTTAATATAGAGGGCGCTATTTATTCTTGTGATGGAAGGGAAGAAGAAAATAGAAGAAACACTGACCCAGACCTAAAAGTGTATACAGTACGTAAGAAAATCCTCGGGTATATTAATTCTGTTTCTGTTCTGTTTGATGGGTGGGTGCAGCTATCTACCTAATGTATGTACATGTATGTGCCAGATTTATACACCACATCCTTCGGGAAAAGTAAGCAAATATAGGTGGTAAATTACAAAGTAGCAAATAGTAGATAATATAAACAACAACCTGTCACATCAATAATCCAACTTATGGGCAAGCTTTCTTGGCTTGGAACGAAAGCCGCCACTGACCGGATCGTAAAGATCCCTGTGGTTATTCTCTTCGGTATAGGTCTAACTGTGATAGGCAGTGCACTACGGGTACTACTACGAATGTAGTAATGCAGAAGAACATGGACCCTGGATCGCACTGGTACCTCTGCCAGTCAGTCTGTTTGATTTCTGCACCTCTCCGAGATATGTATTGTGTGGGATAATGGCACATAAAATGAGGTACTGGGTATGTATGTTACGAAGATTGATGGAACAATTATCCTCCTTGGCCGGACTATAGTATGCCATACATGTCTCTGGCGGAGATGATCAAGACATGCATCGGAAACATAACGCAGTACCCCATGACTCGGGAAGATCACCAAGATGTGAGGGTAAAGATATGGTACAGGTACTCCACAATGATTGCGTATTCAAACCATCGGAGTCTGCAAGGGGGCCGTTTTATCCAATTAACCCGGGAAACTATTGCCTCGACTCTGACAACACCAATCGAAGCCCTTTATCCTGAAAACTGAGATCACTTGCGCAATTCATATATCTCAATCTATGCAGTCCCCATATCCTCCACGGCATCCGCGCGATCCCAACTCTCAACCTCCAAGTTCCGCACCCGGCTCTCAATATCCACAATTCGCTTCTGCCAAAACTTCTTTGCCTTCTCCTGCAGAGCCCAGGTTGTTTTGAACTGCTCCAACATAAACGGCGGCAGCGCCGTCTTCTTGCCTTTCTTGTAATCGTAGGTGACCAAGTCCTCGTGGACGCGCGCAGCGGGCCTCTGGCGCGACTCGGAGAGGATGACGGCTTGAAGGTGGAAGGCGTACTGGGATGAATGCGGCGATTCGGGGTCGTGCGTGAGTTTGTGGTAGACTGTGACGTTGTCGGGGTAGGTCATGGGCTGTTGTTTGTTGTTGGTCTCGTTAGTTGGGGGCGCTATGGTGAGATATAGAGAACCGTGGGCGTACAAATTTATAGTCGATCTTGATGCTGCGCAGGATAATTCCGAACCCTTTGGAGCTGACAAGGTCCATCCATTCTCGCTTGTGGGCTGGGTCGACGTGGACGGCGAGGTTGCGCGTGAAGTAGACTCTTGCGGTCTCGGCGTATCTGTATGCTAGGCTTAGATGACTGATGGCTGTGTCTGTCGAAGTGGGGATGATACCTCACGTAGGTGACATTATTCACATGTCCTGGAGCTGTTAGTATACAGGATTCCTCGAGTAATTGCAATGGTTACGGGTTGATACCCTGCTCTAATGTCAGCCAGCTCCCAGTTAAAGAACGAAAGCATCACCCACCATGCTATCCTATTGCACACACAACGTCGCACTCAATCAGTCCCTGTATTTCAGTGATAACTCAAAAAAACACGATAGTTCATACCATCTCCCCCCAAGCAACACTCTGCCGATATAACCCCCTCCTCGTCGCATCCGTCAAGTACCCTTCACTACCAGCAATCAACTCACGCCAGTCCTTCGCAATCAATCGCAAGATCTCCCCCGCCTCGTGAACCTGCGCCGGCTTCAGCCCAAACGTCATGCACCGGCCAATTCTGTGTTTTGTCAGCGTTAGCCATCGGGGGTCGATCTCCTGGGGTTTCTGCGGTGCGGCGGGCCGCGGTTCGCATCGTGCGGGGGAGCTGGATATGGGGCGGGTGGAGGATGTTATGGGTTGCTTTAGGAGCGGGGTGAGGCGTTGTCTTCTGAGGGTTTGAATTAAATTCATTGTGGATGTAGAACTGGTGGGGGAGCGGGAGAGAGGAAAGAGGATGTGCTGCTGGAAATGTGAAGTTGGTCGTGAATCCAGGAGCTCTTTTGCTATCGCCAACTAGCTGCTTATCCGCGAGCGGGTGGTGTCGGCTAACCCCACTCCCGCTTCCCCAGTATTGTCCGCAAGGAGCATGTCTGGTACTTCAATTATTATAGGGATATGAATATGGACATAGGGTGTGGATGGTTCCGAAGATCTGCTCGTCGATTTGAATCGTGAGAGGGATTAGGCAAGTACCTAACAGTACCTAATAATACTGGGATACCCCATGTACACACTATAAATATACGTCCACATACAGACACTCCTACTATATATAATTGAACGTCGATAACTATCTCGTTCTTTTGTGTGATTAAAATCCTTGTCCCTAATTCAATTGAGCATCCAACAAATACCCAAATACAAACTACACATCCTAACCTAGAAGAACCAGATTGAAGCAGTCGCAAGGGTACCGAATTACACAGGTATCCCGACGTCACCGAACCCTCCCGAACAAGATCAACCACCCAAACAAGTCAACTAAACCGATAATCCACCCGCTGCCGTCCGCATTCTCCCCTCACCTCTTCTTCCTCCATCACATCTCTCTCATCCACCATCTTATCACCTCAGCCCAACATCCCCATCCCAATCTTATCATCCATCCATCATCATCCTCGAATGGACTAACCAACAATGACGAACCCAGAACTGCGTCATCAAGTAATCAACATCTACAAAGGTCCTCCATCCAAAAAATCAAAAAAATCAAAACAAAATAAAAAAAAACGCCCCCCGCTGACAGATTAATTTAGAACTCCTCAACATCGGCCGCGCATATCCGCTAGGTTACGACTACTTTCGAACAAGACTACACAAGGCGTTTTCCAGCCAGGCGCATTTGAGAAATGATGAGGATATCAAAAAGGGGATCGCGAGGGCGGAGTTTGTGAAGAAAGGTATGTGAAGCTTTGCTCTCTTTTGCGTCCTTTGGGTCTGGCTGATTCTTATGTGTTACAGAAATCGAGGCATTGTAAGTCGCTCGCCTTTCCCTTGCTGGAGTTCCGTACTGGACGTTCTTGCTATACTATATGCACATTGAATCGTTATGCGTCATGTCATTATGTGCCAACAGCACAGTCAACCGGAAGTTCCCGATGCTGATAAGCGTATCCAGGTACTATCTAAAACGATATCGCACCCTGAAACAGCGCTATGAAAACAAATAAGGCCGCCAGGAGCATCGCACCGAGGGCGGGATAGGTGGGATATATACACATGAAAAGACAAATATAGAGAATCGGGGTATCACCAATATGAAGTGAGCAAAGGCCGTTGCTTTCCGCTTTCCTCTCCCTTTTTTTCAAACCACCAGCAACAAAACTCGAACAAAACAAGAATCGAATGAGTAGGGGATGCCGCGCACCGAAACAGAGCAGAACGTCGGACGGTTACCGCTTTCGACCCCACCAGGCGCTTACTTCCATGCATTCGCCATTGACCAGGCCGCCTTTTTGGAACAGATCGGTCATCATGGCGGTCCACCAGCGATCCCATTCGTCTCTGCTCTTGCCGCTGGCTTCCATGAGCATCGGCTCCATGCCTTCGATCATCTGGATCACCGTTAGAAGGGCCGTGCGCCGGATGGTGAGCTGATCGGGGGTCAATTGTTTTCGCGTGCGGCCGCTGGAGTCCTTCTTGCCCTGGCCCTCGCGCTCCCACCGCAGCTCACTCAGCGGGATGGCAATGCGACGGCTGTCGACGCCCTCCAACAAGTCGACCTCGGAGTTGAAGGACAGGCCGATCGTGGCACACGGCAGAGCCGTGAGTTTGCGGCTGTCGAACGCCGACTCCACCCACGAGTTGTAATCCCGCAGGAAACCGTTCTGCGCCCGGGTGAATGGGGTTGCGGGCGAAAAGGTGTATGTCGCGGTGGCTTCCGCCGTCTCCTGCTCCTTGGAGGCCATCTTGCGAGCCGGGGAGGGATTGGGCAGCAGGGACCGGAAGACCCAGTCGGAGTCCCAGACCTCCAGGATCCCGCCCGATTTGAGGACGCGCAAGGGTTCGCTCAGCCCGGACGCCTGCTGCGCGGGGCTGTAGGGACACATGCCGGCGTCCTTGATGAAGACGAAGTCGAAATAGTCGTCGGGGAAGGGCAACCGGGGTTTGCGGAGGTTGTGTCGCTTGAACTGCCAGTTCACTCCACTTTTGCGCAGGTCGGGGGCCAGGGAGATCAGGTCGATGCCGTGGAAGGCGATGTTCCGGTGGCCTTTCCGGGCGAAGTAATCGTGGCACAGGCTGGACCAGAGGCCCGAGCCGCATGCGATCTCGAGAACGCGCTTCGGGGGACGGTCGGCCAGGACCGGGGTGCAGAAGGGCCGGCCGAAGACGCGGATGAGCAGGAGGGTGCGCATGCTCTGGCGGTGGATCTCGGCGAGGTCGCATGGGAGGGGATAGAGGTTTTCGGGGTCGCGGAGATAGGTGCGATCACCCTGACGGATCAACGGGTAATTGGAGTAGTCATTGAGGGAGGAGAGGGAGGAGGTCGAGGTGGCTGCCCAGGTGGGACCGGCGGAACTGATGGTGGAATGAAGGTCGGAGCCGGACGCCGTGGCGGTATAATGCCCCGTGGAAGTCGACATGATATCTCTGCGATTGTCGAGGAGGGGTAGAAGAGAGGGGAGAGGGGAGAAGGGAGGCGGGAGGGGGAGACAGGGTGAGGTCTATGCGAGTGGTCGATCCACAACAGTTGTGGGCATATTCGAGGGGGAGAGAGCGGGAACTTTCACAGGCGCAGGACGAACGCAAGTGCGACTTGGAGCATGATAGAGAGGGACAGTAAGAAAGTATAAAAATAATAACAATAATAATAATAATAAAATAAAATAAGAAAGCCAAGAAGGGAGACGAAGGTCGGGAAAGTGGCCGGGATAAGTTCCGACAAAGAAAGGTAGATAGATGTTGTAGAAAATAGATCACCGAGATAGGAGGAAGAATTCGAAGGATTGAAGTAGCAATGACTATAATAATCAACGCAAGAGAAGAGTCCAAGCTCAGAGCTTAGAAATAAGCACGGGTCGAGAACCAGTATGCGACAGTAGGGAGAGTGGGCGAGAGAGTGTGTGTGGGAGGGAGAGAGCGAGTGACCCATGGATAGACCGAGCAGGAAAAGGAAGGAATTGGAGCCAGGGGGGGCAAAAAAGAAAAAAGGACGGAGGAGGAATTCGCCGCCGGGATTTCTGACTAGTACACTTCTTTCACCCCTGGTCAATCAAGCACTACTGGTTAACTAACAAGGCCTGAAGTAAGTTAAGTGACTTAGTCGTGCCTTCGTTAAGGAACTAACTCCTGGTCCCTCTCTTGACGGGCCCTAAAAAGGGCGCCAGGGAGTGGAAGAGGGTCTGGGTTTGGTCCCCGGTATTAGCATGGATGATAATATTTAGGTTCATTCATGAGTTGTGAATATATTCTATTATATTTCTATTAATATTCTATATTATCTCTCCATGAAGAATGTCATTTTCTCTCTACTGTATCTCTTGACACTTCATCAAAGGTATCAATCAATGTATTAAATGTATTGACACCTCACGTGGCCTGCCGAACCCCACTCTACAAAGAATATGATATAATGGCTGCTCCTCTGCTCATGATTATGACATGGTGTTATACTTGACTAATGCATATACGACTGATCCAGTCCGGATCAAACCACAGAAACAAAAACTCTATACGAGAAACATTCCCGATTCGACCCTCGGACCGAGTCGTCGACGCAAGTTCCCTTGAATCCAGCCCAGGGATAATGGGGAATAACCAGCCCAGCCGTGGGCGCGGAAGCTAACGTAGGTACCGACGGGGGTTGAATTACTCGACCCGTTAGGCGATTAATTAATTATACATTTCTTCACCGAGGTTGTTCTTCCTTTGTTCTTTTCTTTCTTCTTCTTTTGTTAGTCTCTTTCTTTTCTATATTTTATTTTTTGTTTTCATATTATAAATGATGACATATATCATGTAAGTCGATGACTTCACCACTGTCTTATATTACCGGGTCTGGTTCCGGTTTCCCCATACAACATTTGCTGCTGGCACGGGTCGCTCGGTGGTCCCTCCAATGCCATTCGGGGTTCTGCATGGATTTAAATTACCAAATTACCGGCGATTCATTTCGCTGGCGAGGTCTTTAAGTAGTATGGGTTGGTTTCTGTCGCTGGGTCCATCCATGGATCGGGTGGTCTATTTATAGTTATGCTTTTATCCAGGATATATGGAAAGCATTATGTTCGGGGCATTTCTCGGGCATTATTTGGAATCTTATAGGTGTTGAAGGGGATTGTTCATTTGGTCCCTATAGTTATGTATCTTATGTATAATATTCCATTCTTGTATTCCTCATAAAACACTACCCCCTGATCTACCTGGACACTCCCGCGGTTGGGTCGATCTGTCCATGCCCTGGGGCTGCTGGCACTGCACTGTCCATGACCGTTCTTCCTTCGTCTCACTGGAGGTCCCACGAGACCGGATCTTACTTTTGTGGACGGCTCAGGGGTGATCGTCGATGGATATTGATGAGATAGTAGACACTAGGCAGTAAACCGTCCAGCCTCACGTGGAACCCGAACCCCTGGAACGGACGGGCCAGGAGGCGTCCGTCGAAGCCGAGTACACTGCCATGAATGCATGTATCCGGGTCAGGGTCTACGATGGGGTCTAAGATAGGGAGTGAAAGTGGGCTGAATGGGGGATGGGATGTGTGGGCTGATCGTGTCTCGGGTGACCCTGATATCAGGGTGGCAGCGGTATTGGCATTGCTTGACTGACCGTGTCCACACCGGACAGAACCCGATCCTGATTTCTGATGATGCCGTACCCGCTTACTAACCTAGCAAAGTGATGTTGGATAGGTGGTGAGATTCGAGGATTGTCTGATACGGTGGTCCGTTTGGCTCAGTTCACTACCAGTTCATTGTTGGGTTGATTGGTTTGTCATTCTGTTTGTTCTGAGAATGTTATACGTCAAGTAAGGAGTAAGATACTGGTCTGAGCGTCTTCGGTGCACAACAGGATGACAGACACGTGCGACTTATGTCTCCTGGTGATCCGATCGGTTTATCTTTGATGTCCTCATCCTCTATGCTCGTAGTCAAGATATGATCAATCGATTGAAATACTCCGTCTGTTGAGGCAGTTTGACAGTGGCGAATTCGGTACGGGTAGGTAGGTAGGTAGAATGATCGGTCCATGTCTGCCTCTGAACACATGATTGATATGACTCTGTATGATTGTAACTAGTCCGACAGAGATCCTGGATAGATATTCCAAACATTCATCCCATCCTTCTCTAATAGATGGATCGAATTGAATAAATCGAGAAAAAGCTTGGCGGTGTCGAAGGCGGCGAATCACGCGGCGGATGGCACCTCACGTGACGGCGGCGACCTCCCGCCGTCGAAGCAAACCGACTTCGCTGCAGTCCAAGTGATCCCAGATTCGGACCTGTTGCCATCTCGAAACGCCTGTACATCTTTCTTTTCACCCGGATTGTGGGCTCTGCCTTTTCTCTGATCTGTCTTTTGCCCTGGATTCTCCCTTCTGACCTCCTGTTTCTAGGTTTTATCAGTTTTTTTCCTTTCGAGGGGGCCTCCGATAGACCGCCCCTCGGTGTCCTGCCGTGACTCGTTCCTTCGCTCGAATCTTCTCTCGTCCCCCCACTTCATCGGTCGACGATCGATCGCTCGTCCAAATCGAATTCAAAGGGAGACGACAATCCATTGCGTTGATCGACGACTTGGTGGTGGAATTGTTGCTACAGGAGGTGAACCCCGGAAGAGAATCTTGAGTCTGGGGGTGGTTCCGTATAGGACCCCATGTTGAAGAGACGGAGAGAACGCATCCGATCCCTGATTCCTCCTCTCTCCCCTGCCACCGCGACCCCGAGTCCTGCGCTGCCGACCCTCGTCCGCTCCGCCCATCCTCCCAAATCCGATCCCGCACGGTCTCGTCTGCCACGTTAAATGGCAGATGGTACCTACAGGTTCCAGCAGCCTGGGGCCGGGCAGTTCTTCTTTCAAACGCCACAGCAACAACAGCACGCTCGACACCTGGTCCGCAACGGGACGAATTCCCCCACGGGTCGGTTAAAGTTTAGCCACGACACCCCTTCTCCCTCTCGATCGCCCCCTCTCGCCCAGGCTGCTGCCCTCAACCCCTTCGCCATGTACGGCCAGACACACCAGGGCCAGCATGTCATGATGAATGGCGGCCAGGCCCACCAGCGGTTTGGCATGCAGATGCCCAAATTTCAATCCCAGACTCACCACCCGCACCCGGCCCACCAAGCCCACCATCACGCTCACCACAACCAGGCCTCCCACGCCATCAACCACCAGCACAACTTTTCCAGCGGCGCCCTGGCCGCCGCCACCCCGCACTTCACCCCGGGTCACCTGCAAAACGGCGCCAACGTGGACGACGACCTGGACGACTCCATGAACGAACATTGGCAACAGCAGCTGCAACTGGCTGCCGAGTCCCGACAGGCCAGCTCCCCGCACTACTACGCCCGCGCCGTCGCCCAGCAGTCCAAGGGCATCCAGATTGCCCCCAGTCAGCCCGAGACCCAGGAGAACGGCGGGACCGGGCCGAATGGAGTGGTCAAGGCCAAGCCGGCGCCCCGGCAGGGCTGGCGCGAGCTGGACCTGGGCGGACAGGGCCTGCGCGCCCTGGCCCCACCCATGTTCAACTATGCCTTTCTGGAGAAGCTGCACCTGAGTCACAACAAGCTGAAGGTGCTCTCGCCCATGATCGGACAGCTCCGCAAATTGACCCACCTGGATCTGTCCGGCAACGAGCTCACCGAGCTGCCCGAGGAGATCGGCATGCTCACCAGCTTGAAGCAACTCCACCTGTTTGACAACAGCATCCGCACCCTGCCCTACGAGATGGGGTACCTCTACCGCTTGGAAACCCTGGGGATCGAGGGCAATCCGCTCGACGACGTGTTGAAGTCCTTGATCATGAAGGAGGGCACCCGGTCGTTGATCCGCTACTTGAAAGAGGAAATGCCAGGTATGTGGCGCCAGCCCTCCCCTTTCCCTTCCCCCCCCCGTCCGTATGCTTACCATATCTTCTTTCTCTTTCCACAGTTCATCTGCCGCCACCTGACCGCGACTGGGTCATCTTGGATGATACCGCCAACTCCAGCACCGAGAAGATCACCGTGCTCTCCTACAACACCCTCTGCGACTCCTCCGCCACCCAATCGCACTATGGGTACTCCCCGTCCCGGGTCCTATCGTGGGAGTTCCGCCGCGACCTCATCCTCAACGAGCTGCGGTCGCACAATTCAGATATCGTGTGTCTGCAGGAGATCGACCAGCGGGGCTACAACAGCTTCTTCCGGGAGCAACTCGCCTACAGCGACTACAAGGGCGTCTACTGGCCGCGCGGCCGAGCCATGGGGATGCAGGAGGAGGATGCCAAGAACGTGGACGGCTGTGCCACCTTTTTCAAGGGCAGCAAGTTCATCCTGCTCGACAAGCAGGTGATCAACTTCGGCCAGACAGCGGTCCGCCGACCCGATGCCAAGGGCCAGGATGACATCTACAACCGACTGTGGCAGAAGGATCACATCGCGGTGGTCGTCTTCCTCGAGAACCGGCTCACGGGCTCGCGCTTCATCATCGTCAACGCCCACCTCTACTGGGACCCCGCCTTCAAGGACGTCAAGCTGATCCAGACGGCCATCCTGATGGAGGAGCTGACCAAGCTTTCCGACACGTACTCCAAGTGGCCCGCTTGCACCGACAAGACGGCCTTCCGATTCACCGAGGCTGAGGGCGAACGCCAGCCGCAGACCCCGCCCGAGCCCGCGCCGTCCGTGGAATACGCCAACGGAGATCAGATCCCGCTTTTCATGTGCGGCGACTTCAACTCGTCGCCGGGCTCGGCGGCGTACAACCTGATCCACAACGGACACCTCACTGAGGCACACCCGGACCTGGAGAAGCGGCTGTACGGCAACCTCAGCCGGATCGGCATGACGCACCCGTTCAAGCTGAAGTCGGCCTACGGGTCGATCGGGGAGATGAGCTTCACCAACTACACGCCCGACTTTAAGGACATCCTGGACTACATCTGGTACACGTCGAACACGCTGCACGTGTCGGCGTTGCTCGGTGAGGTGGACAAGGATTACCTGCAGCGGGTGCCCGGGTTCCCCAACTACCACTTCCCCAGTGATCACGTTGCATTGTTCGCGGAGTTCTCGGTCAAAGGAAAGAAGGGCAAGGTGGTCGAGGCGGATTTTGGACCGCAACGGAACTGACAGGGGTTGCCGGCGCAGAGGAAATGAAATGAAATTTGGGTCAGGGTGCATGTCGAATGGAGAAATCGCTTTTTAACGACCGATGAGACTGGTGTTTGTGTGTAGCCGGTTCTTTTTTTATTTTCTTTTCCTTGCTTTTTTTTTTTTTTTTTTTTTTTTCTCTCTGATGCGATTTTGATTCTTCCCTTTCATTCTCCACATGTTTATCTCGGAATCTTTGGGGTTTGCTTTGTCTTTTATTTCTTGCCTCGCGTGTCCTGTGGGTGTTAGTTCATCTTTGTATGTGTCCTGTTGTCCTCTTGCTTCGTCTCTTACCTCTTCCAACACCAGCCAGCCAGCCATCCCTATCCTCCCTCTCCACCCATCTCCCCACACAACGTGTGGACCACGCGCTTCCTCCTCACACCGTGAGACAATCTTCCTGTTGGCTGGCTGTTCATTTCATTCGCTCGTATGTCCTTGCCGAAGAGGACGTGAGGGCAAGGATCTAGGGTATGAGGATCGGTCTTTCTTGGAAAGTGGTTTCAATCGGCGCGGTCGTATCGTTCTTCTTTTTCTCTCTTGTTTTCTTTTCTTTTCTTTCCAATTGCATGCTACGCCTCTTTTCATTTTCTCTTTTTTCCTTCTTCTTTCCGTGTGACTCTCTCTCTCTCTCTCTTTCTCATTCTGTTGTCTATCTCGCTACCTATTTGGTACATGCTAGGATCTGATTACTTTCTTCTTCATCTTCTTTTCTTTATCTATTCTTCGCTATCATTTTTTATTTTATTTTCTCGAGTCTGCAGGGCTTGATATACACGACTAGAAAAGATGTACATGTAAGACTGACTGACTGGCTGGCTGGCTTTTGCGACTGTGCCTGTTATAATGGAGGTCGACCGTGTTGGTGTAGGCTGTATGGAGATTTGCCGTGCTGTTTTGGTTGATGTCTTGGTAGAGAGGTAGGCAGGCAGGCGTTATAGCCCAACACAGTCGGCCGTGCAAAGCGCACATTTTACGGTTTTAGTAGCGAAAAGGGGAAAGAAAGAAAGAAAGAAAGAAGGAAAGCCAAGTAGTATAGTGTATCTAGTGTATAGTGTACAGCAAGCAAGCATACAGTAAATAATCCAAGCAGATCCGTCCATTCTTTCATCTAGTACGGAGTATATAGATACACGTATATACCAAGGGCAATGCTATTTATAGTACATATTGATTGAAGATTAGAGGTTAGGTAGGGTATATGAAGGGTAATGGGTCGTTAGGGCGCGGGTTCGGATTTGGACTCGGATTCAGATGCAGATTCAGATTCAGGTTCCGATGCAGATTCAGATTCAGACTCAGATTTAGATTCTGATGCAGATGCAGATGCAGATTCAGATCCAGATCCAGACTGCGGTACAGCATCGTCAATCCTCGTCCAAAGGCCAACGAACCCGCCGCCGACGACCCGCGCTCCGACCTTCGGACGACAGACTAGCACGCCTTCATCCGCAACAGCAGGGGAGCTCGCATCATCGGATTCTTCATTCGCCGACGAAGGCGAAGTAGACCTCGACTCGCTGTCCTCTGTGGTAGTAGAGGACTCAGTCCAACACGCCGGATCAGCGCGGGACTTCTTCACCGCCAGACGGACATCCCACAGCCGGCCGCCGCTGATACCAGCGCCTAGCTCGACGGCCTTCTCCATCGCGAAGGGCAGCCCCTGTTTCCGGATCAGTTGCACGCACTCGCCGATCTGGGTGATGCTGGGCGCGAAGACGATCAGCGTGCCGCCGGGTTTGAGGACGGGTGCGACGTGCGCGATGCGTTGGTCGGCGGAGGGCATGTCGAGGATGACGTGGGAGAGGTAGGGCTCGGTGGTGGTGGTGTCGGAGGGAGATGAGGAGGAAGAGGAAGAGGAAGAACGTTGTTTGTTCTGCGCAGCGATCCAGTCCTCGACTGGGCCGACGTGAAAGTCGACGTTTCCTGCGTAGAGACCGCGGCGGAACCCGCGCACGACCTTTTCAGCGTGCGCGGAGAATTTCCCTGAGACGTCTACCGTGTGGATGACTGCGCGGCGGCGCTGCGTGCGCCAGGCGTCCCATTCTTGTTGCACTGCGTTCGCGGCGTCCTCCTCCTCGGTGGTTTCTTGGGTTTTGTTTGCGCGTTCGGGATCCTCCTCTTCGGGTCTCGTGGGCCGGTCTTCAAGATACTGGATCTGGGATTTGAATGGGATTGTTGGGGGGGCCGGGTTGGCTGCTTGGATGGTGCGCGCCAGGTGGAGGGTTAGCGAGCCGTGGCCCGTTCCGGATTCGAGGATCTCCAGTGGGGGTTCATGGTCGCCTTCTGTGGGAGGGGCGACGTGGATGTCGAGGAGGGAGGCGATGAGGTTGGCGTCTGGGCCGTAGATCTGTTGTGCGACGCGATGTGAGTTGGTGGTTTTGGGGAGGGTGGAGGGAAGGTTTGCGATTCATACCGGAGTGACCTTTCGCGGAGTCAAAGTGACATATTCTTCCAGTGTTGGGTGCGTGACCCGGTGGTCGATCCCTTTAAACATGACCCCTTGTCAGACGCTCTTTGTTCCTTTGTCGCCAATCCGTTATTCGACCCTCCGTGGGTGAGAGATCGACTGACCTTTGTGTGCTCGGAACCGCTCGCGCACCCCGTGGCCGATGATGGAGTCGTGGGTTAGGTATCCCCGGGGGAGATCCGTTTTGTCCCCGCTCTTCAAGGGTTTTGTCAACTTGGGATTCTTGTGATGGATCACGACTCGATCGCCCGCTGGAATTGTAGCAATAGGTTAGCTGACGCGATTCACCGAGCAGCCGGAAGTTGGGATTGAAGGCAACGGACGTTGGAAGTAGGAAAAGTTGGTGTTTATCGATCGGGAGTATTTTGGAATTGAACGCGGTAAGTTCAGGCCGAGCGCCCGCCGCAAAGTCTGCAACATGCGAGCCATTAGGACAATGAGGTTGAAACAAGAAATCCAGAGGAAGAGTGGAGCGGAATTGAGGCTGGAGATCTTCACCTCTATCGATCCATCCAGGAATTCTGCTGGCAGATTCTGAGCCGTCATTACCGTGTGATACATACCCGGTACTCTACAATACGATGATATCAGAATCCAAGATGGCCAGCAGGGGAAATTGAGGGATCCACTGTCGGTGACTGAATGGGTCGAGGAAATCAGGTGGACTGCTAGTATTTTGGTCAGTCATGCATGCAATGGTTGACTGGCTGTTAGATCGTTGTCGACTCCATCGTCTACGTGCCTGTTGACCTGGCTGTGGGGTTTGGTTTTTGTTGATTTCCTGTCCCTGTTTCTCCCCCTCTTTCTCTCTTCCTCCCCGCCTCTTGACTCTTTCATCATCTTTGAACTGTTTCAATCCCCACGAGTGAAACCCTCTATCCACGCTACTCTGCCTTCACAATGGCGTCCTCGACCCTCCCTTACATGAAGACAAACCCTAAGATCATCTTCTTTACCGATTTCGACGGTACCATCACCCTCGAGGACAGCAATGACTTCCTGGTACGTATGCGCCGGCCCCATTCCCCATGCGCATGGCTAACGGATCCAGACCGACAACCTGGGCTTTGGGTATGAACAGCGTCGGGCGAAGAATATCGCGGTCCTGGAAGACCGAATGAGTTTCCGGTATGTGATGCGACGGTTTCCTTGCCGACTTCCTATCCCATAGAGGCGCACGGCGCGCTTGCGATGACGCATGCTAAATCACCTGCCATCAAAGTGATTCGTTCCGCGAGATGCTCGACAGCGTCAAGGTCCCCTTCAACGAGTGCATCGAGACGCTCTGCAAGAACATGCGCCTGGACCCCCACTTCCTCGAGTTTTACAACTGGTCGAAGGAGAACAACGTGCCCATCGTAGTCCTCTCATCCGGAATGAAACCCATCATCAGTGCCCTGCTCGAGAAGATGCTGGGCCACAAGCCCGACGACCACCTCGTGATCATCGCCAACGACATCGAGAGCCGCGACGGCCAGGATGTCAACAGCCCCGGCGGCTGGAAGATTAAATACCATGATGAAAGCCACTTTGGTCATGACAAATCGCTGGAGATCAAGCCCTACCATGCGTTGCCGGACAGCGTACGTCCGACCCTGCTGTATGCGGGCGACGGAGTGTCGGACTTGTCGGCTGCATCCCAGACGGACCTTCTATTTGCCAAGAAGGGCAATGGTATGTTGCTACCTGTTTCTTCTTCCTCGATCTTTTTTTTTTCTCCCGTTGATTTGCATTGTACTCACTTTCTGTAGATCTGGTCAACTATTGTGACCAGAAAGGACAACCGTATACGGTGTTTGAGAACTGGGACACGATCCTGGCCACGACGAAGGATATCCTGAGCGGCAAGGTGTCCGTCAAGAAGCTGGCTGAAGAGACCAAGGCGTAGATGAGATCCACGATAGAGTTATATAGACTCGATAGAAGGATAGACGGCCTTAATGAAAGAAATGAAACGAATCAAACCAATACGAGATACCATACACACTAGTCCCGATATGGAATCATGATTACTAGTGCGAACTACCGATTCCTCAATACTCCGACACCGCCTTCCTATCTGGGCCTCCGCCCAAAATACGGGGAAGAAACACGCTGGGCTGTCACTTTCTCTCCCTCCTTCCTTTCTTCTCGCTTTCTATCCTTCTTGCTGCTCTCTTTCGCCTGGCAATGAGATGACCGGCTGTTAGGTCTTCTCCTTAGCCATTCCTTGAATGCATACTGTGGTTCTGGTGTGCTTCATCATGCTTCAGCACCCAGCCACTTCTAATACATCCAGTACTTGCCAGGGGCACTTCCTTCAATCATGACACGCCGACTTGTAGGCTTTCCATCTCTCCCCCTGCCCCTACCCCTGGTGGTCGAGACCCACTGATCGGCTCGGTATAGCTAATGGGGGCTTTCTTGTTCTTCTGTCGTGTGTAGGTTCGCGCGGGCATCCAGCTCGCTTTCTTTGCTTCCATCGTCCTATTCCTCGTGGTGTTCTTGGACAACAAATTCCGTGTGCTACCCGACTCTATTCATGGCCACCTTCCGACACATTATCCGGGGACGGTCGTCACCGACGTCATGGTCGTCACCTGTTCATCTATCAACGTCTTTGCAAAATGTAAACCTAAGCTGGGGACATGGGCCCAAGTCGACAAGGATCTCTACCTCCGCTCAGGGTGGACGTCCAGCGCCTACATCCAGTTTGAGCGGAAGAAAGAGCAAGACCTCCTCCCCACCGATCGGGTCGTCTTGGACTTAAGGGTCAGCCGACTTGTTCCCGAGTCGTCGGGAGACCCGAAGGAGGACCAAGAGCAGTGGGAGCCGAGACCCGGAGGGATTTGGCTCAAGCGCACCGCCAAGCGTCATGCGAGTGATTCGGGAAAGGCCGTTACCGCCATCGACGTGCTCTTTGGGGCCGATGCGGTTGACCCGCGGGCGGGCTGGGAGGTCAGGGACACTCCGCTGATGCTGGATGGCCGTACGGAGGAGCTCGAGGTCCGCGTCAGCGTCCGGAAAGGGGACCCGGCCAAAACCAAGAAACCGGTCCCGCGGATCAACGAGAACGGGCGGTTCAAGATCATGCAGCTGGCCGATCTGCATCTGAGCACGGGTCTGGGGGCATGTCGAGAGCCGGTTCCGGCGGAGGTCACCCCCGGCCGCAAGTGTGAGGCGGACCCGCGGACCCTGGACTTCGTCGAGCGGCTCTTGGATGAAGAACAGCCCGACATGGTCGTACTGAGCGGGGACCAGGTCAACGGCGATACCTCCCCGGATGTGCAGAGTGCCCTCTTCAAGTCGGTCAAGCTGCTGGTGGACCGTAAGATCCCCTACGCGGCCATCTTTGGCAACCATGACGACGAGGGCAACCTCAAGCGGTTGCAGCAGATGTCCATCCTGGAGGACCTCCCATACTCCCTCTCGTCGGCGGGCCCGGAAGAGGTGGATGGGGTGGGCAACTACATCGTGGAGATCCTCGGCCGCGGGAAGACGGCCCACTCGGCTCTCACGCTCTACCTTCTCGACACGCACTCCTATTCCCCCGATGAGCGACAGTTCCGAGGATACGACTGGATCAAGCCCAATCAAATTCGTTGGTTCAAAAATACGGCCCAGGGGTTGCGGACCAAACACCAAGAATACACCCACATGCACATGAACATGGCATTCGTCCACATTCCCCTGCCGGAGTATCGGGATTCCCGCAACTATTACCGCGGAGCGTGGTCCGAGGCCCCCACGGCGCCGGGATTCAACTCGGGGTTCAAGGATGCGCTCGAAGAGGAGGGCATCCTGTTTGTCAGCTGCGGACAGTACGTGCCTTTTTATCCTTTGTTCTTTTTTGTTTCTCAGACTGACTTGTGATAGTGACCATGTCAACGACTACTGCATGTTGAACAAAGACCGCAATGACAAGCCATCGCTGTGGATGTGCTATGGCGGCGGTGCAGGATTCGGTGGCTACGGCGGGTATGGTGGCTACGTGCGACGGGTGCGCTTCTTTGACTTTGACATGAACGCCGGACGGGTGATGACATACAAGCGGCTCGAGTACGGAGAGATCGAGTCCAAGATCGATGAGATGATGATCATCGATGGGGCCACTGTGAAGGGACCGGAGCAGGGCCACTAGTGATACCTTCTTTTTCTTCCAATGTACTTTTTATCATTGATATTGATAATGCCTTCATAACGTGTTGGCTTGAGCAGTATGGCTTCAGTATGACCGACCGGTCTCGTAAACAGCTAGTTCAGATCTCGGATGCACGGGTAGTCAAATTCCTATGATACAAAAAGGGAAGAAGGAGAGATCACCACCACTTCTCATAAAACACCCGCTCCTGACCCCCCAACATCCCCCCTATTACATCAACCATTTCGTCCGTCATCCGCGGCGGCCCACACACGTAGCACACCGTCTCGGCGGGCTCAACCCGTCCTTGAGCGGAGGAAAGAGCCGTCCGGAGATCGGATTCGTTGATTCTCCGGTTGTGGACGGTGAGTTCGTCTGTTGGTGCTTCTGCTGCTGCTGAAGGTGAGGCGCCATCTGACACAGAAGAAGTAGATTGATCCGACGGAGAAGTCAAGAAAAGGTCAAGGGAGATACAGAGACGGCGGGAGTAGGACTGCGAGCGAATGATTTGCTGTATGCGGGAGAGGAAGAGGATCTGGGATAGGTCGGCGTTGTGTGGGTGTTTGGTGGAGTAGAGGATGTGGATGGCGAAGGAGTGGGGGGTTTTGCTGCTGTTGTTGTTTAGATGGGAGAGGATGGAGATTAGGGGGCTTGTGTTGTTAGTTTTTCTTCCTTTTTGATTTCCTTAAGAAAAAGGATGTATATGGGGGAAAAAAAACGTACTTTATGCCTACACCCCCCGCGATCAGTACCACCGTCTGCACCTTATCTAGATTGTCCACCCCTGTCGGCGGCCATACGAAGCTGCCTCCGACGCGGACTCGTAATTCCTGGTCTAGGATCTCGCGCGATTCACGCCACAGCCATGCGCTGGCTGGGTTCAACGGCGCCTTTTGCACGGCGAGTTCCACGTAGGGCTGTCGGCCCTGTGCATCGACGGGAGGCAAACCCGTTTCGTCGTCTTCGACGCTCACTGACAGGGACGACTCGTCGTCGTCAACCAGTCCGTTTCCATGTGTCTGTGAGGGTACGGGGAGGGCTGTAGCGTCTGCTGGTGTTGAGGTTATGGTGAACCCGCCTGCGTTGGCGATGGAGGGGAGGTGGACGTCGAGCCATTGGCCCGGGAGGAAGGTGAATGGTTCGGACTGTGATTTCTCTCTGGTTAGACTTAGGGATGGAGTGCTTAATTGTTGTGGAGACGTACCGCTGGAGTATCAGAGTCGGACTCCGGATCTTGGTTGGAAGGGGGAATGGCGAGTTGGAGGAGTCGTACGGTTGGGCTGATCTGTTCGATGTGGGAGAGGCGGACTGGGTAGAGGCGGTTTTGGCGGGGCTCCGCTGCTGTGCGCACTTGGTGTGGCACTGAGGGCTTTCTGTGGGTTGGTGGCGAGCTCATTGGGCGGGTGAGGGGTGGTAATCTGGGTGTCGATGGTGATACTGGTCCTGGTGGGGATCCCCGGTGTTGAAGGCGGAGGAGGCGCGGGGAGCGGAGATGGCGGAGAGCTTGCATCCAGAGGCGAAGTGGGTGTATTGATGTTGATTGTTTGTTGATGGTTTAAGTAGAGATGATGTCAGTGTGTATATATTCTCGATAGAGCGACGGGTATCTGTTTGACGGACTGGTCGAATGAGGTGTTGGAGAGGAGGTTGTTGGATGTTGGAGATGGAAGAATCCATGATGTATATGGGGAGTGCCGCTTCGGGTTAGTCTGGGTACCTCGTCCATCATAGTAATTACTATGGTGGAACATGTACCTAACCACTTGTCCTTGTATACTTAATAGGAGACAAGCCTTGCTTGGATGCATTAACAGAATGCATTAACCTATGTTGCAAGGATAGGTGGTTGACTTTGCCATCGTGTCATCTGTCAATCTATAGTATCTTTAAAGTGTACCATTGCCTTGTGAAGTTGTGGTAAAGCATACACGTATATGTGCAACCTCGTACATACAAGCTGGCCATATTCAAAATATCATCATATCATCTTTGGCATCAGATTCATATCAAGAGCTCATATCAAGAAATCAGATTAAGAGATCAAAATATCCAAGTTATCCATATCTGAATACCCATCATGTGACCATATGACTGTTTATCCAACTTGTGCCAGATCCCTCGAGATCATCTTCTCTCTTCTCTCTCGTCTATCCTCACTCCAACCTCCTCTATCTGGACATCCTCCGACATCCATCAACTATCTCACAAGTATGATAGCTACTGGGAACGCTTAAAATCTTGTCAACTCGAGTCTAGCAGATCTCTATACCAAATAGGGAAACCAAAAATTAAGAACAGTTCCCTCCACTAGTCTATGCAAGACCTCAAATCAATCACAACAACCAGATCCCAACCCCACTCCACCTGGGCGCTTCGATGGCCATTTGCACTTGAACTCCCCATCCCAGCCAGTCACACAATGGTCGGGTCGACCATGCAGATCGCGCGGAGTCATCACACGGGTTAGTGTGTGACGACCGGCTCCCGCCTTCTCATTGGTGATCTACCCCCCCAGTCGCTGTCCGTGACGGGCGCTTTCTCTCCCTCAAGCATTGGCCAGATGCACCTCTGGGAAACATGCAACCATCCCTTCGCTCCAGCTCACTGGTCGCTTCCCTCTCCTGGAGGGGACGCCCCTCTCCGGATCCCGGACATGCCTGGAAACCTGCAACCCTGGCCGTCCCGGCATGCTGAGCGCCATATCTACGACGCCTGCCGTCCGGTAGATCTTCGCAAACCTTTTCTTTTCAACGGCCGTCCGTCCTCCTGCTTCTGTGCTGCCATCCGAACTTGGCTGTCCGATGCGACTGAGTTAAACGTTCTGCCAGCCGGCCTGGCCCCGTCCACAGATAGAACCGCCGAGTCTCACCGAACCTCTTTCTCGACCGCGACCTCTCGTCCACCGTGTCTCCTCGAGTGTCTTCGTGAAGTACGAGGACGTCACGAATATGGCGTTTTATTTCCCTCGAACGTGGCGCAACCACAATCTGGTTTACATCTTCATGGCTATTGAGCTGCCTCTCACGATCATCATTCTGACGTTCACCGGCATCGCATCTCACGACCTCTACCGCACCAAGTTGTGGCAGGATGGCGCCGATAATGGCTTCAACAGCTCCCCAGACGAGGCTCTCTATGCTGCGGCCAATTACCGGCCATACAAGGCACCTATGGTGTGGAGCGACTTGTACGTGGTCACCTTTTGATACACACCCACACCTTCTGCGTACAAGTCTTCGCTGACTGGATTAGCATCACCCATTATAACCTCGTCCTGGGCGTCCTCAGCACGTTTCTCTTGATCGTCAAGTTCGCCACTCATGCCCTGCACCTCTTCTTTCCGCCCGTGTCGGTGCTCATCCACGTGGGATTGATCGCCGTTTACATCGTGTCTGCAAGCGGCCAGGCAGGCAGCGATACGTCCGATCCCGCTCACCCCCAATCGGGCCCGCCCTGGTACCTCACGAAAAGCTGCTCCGTGGCCAAGGACCCAGACGTGGGCGCATACTGCAAACAAGCCAAGACACTGTTCGCATTCACCATCATCATCATGTAAGCCACGACCTCTTTCCACCCCCTCAAGGGCTTTGGCTCCAAGCTGACATGCTCCCACAGGGTGTTCTATGCGGTGGAGTTGGGCTTCAGCGTGCACTCGTGCTTCGTCACCAAAGAGGAGAAACTCGAGCGGGACGAACGCCGCGAGGAGAAGAAGACCTGGAAGGAATACGAGGAGATGGCGCTCAATTCGCCTGCCGTAATACCCCCGATGAGCCCGGCCTACAGCACCGGTGGCCCGATGAGTCCCGGATTCCCCGGCATGCCATCGACAACACCGCGCAGCCTGGCCTTCCACCGTTTCGACCACGAAACCGGGTCGTCAGACCTGCCGCTGCGCAACAACAGCAGCCCCCAGCGTTCCCCATCCTCGATGCAGCAGGAGTCGGATGAGACCCTGAGCCCCGCCATCCCGGTCCAGGCTCCAGGCCCGATTTACTTTCCGCCGCCGCCGAAGAAAGCAGCCAAAAAATGAACTTTTTTTGTTGGTGTAGTCGTGGTGACTGTCTGTAGCTGTTAGTCAACCAATACACATTATCCAGCACCCTCACCGGTCAGAGTGTGGATGCGCTTCCCCCCCCCCCTTTCCTTTGATATTTTATCTTGAGCGATTTGATATGATTATTACACTATACCATTCATGGCGTCGCAACTGCCGACAGTACCTAGTTCAATCACAAGTTCTTTCAATCCTTCCCTTTCATTTTCTTTTGCACACCCCACTCTTAACCCTGGCACCAAGAGGATAATATCCCATAGTCACACCAGTGAACATGTATAGATAGATCACCAATACCTCCCTTCTATTGACATAATATTTCCTAAACATGGTCATGCAATTCTATGAGCAATGAGAAGAGGATCACAGAGCACGGTTATCATATATTAAGTCAAGCCCTATTCACATCAAGCAAGCTTTTTTTTCTTAGAGAAAAGAAAGAAAAAAAAAAAAAAAAAAGAGAAGAGGAAGGTGACAACAAAGAAGAAGAAGGGGAAGGACAAGAAGGAGAAGTAGGAAAAGTAAAAAAAATTACAATCCAAGAACCCTATGATATGATATATAAGACAGTCGAAGAAGGCAAGAAAGGCTGAATAACTAATCAAGCAGACACAGAGAGACGGATAGACAGACACACAAGAACAACAAGCAAAAGGTATTAAGTATGGAAACGGAATACCGTGGAATGCAGGAAAGAGGCAGATTGAGAATCCGTCATGGTTAGTGGACCGGAGCGGGATTGAAGAGTGGTGTGGATATACATATACATATACATATACATGTGCATCAGAGAGGATGGTAAAGGTTAGCTGTCTTGTCGTCTTTTTTCCCTTTTTGCCCAGCGTACTGTGATTGTTGTGGTTAGTTAGTGGTTTGGAGCAAATATAGGGAGAAGGATGGAACGAAGAACGAAGAACGAAAAAGGAAGAACGAAGAAAGAAGGAAAGAAAGAACATACACCCGCATGCATTACACAGCGTCTTCGGACCCGAGGGTCCCCTCCGCCACTCCGGCGAGTCAGAGGTGCCGCAATCAGTGCACATGTACTCGCCCTTGGAGCGCTTCCGTCGGTCAGGGTCCAAATCGTCCTGCACGAGTCGTCCGCTGTGCAATCCCGTACTCAGACCCTGCGACCACTTCCCGTTTCGGTAGTACAGACCCGTCATGACCTCCACGCCGTCGATATGCGCCATGTTCTCGGCGTGCTTCTTGCGCGCTGCGGCCTGCGACAGCAACGTGCGTTGGTCGGTGTCATCGTCGTCGTCGTCGTCGTCGTCATCATCGTCGTCATCGTCGTCATCGTCATCGTCTGCGCTTGCTTGTGTGTCTGATGATTCGGACTCATCGTTGGAGTTGGATCCCATCGCTTCCCAGCCGGAATTGCGAAGGGATGTTCTTCTTGCGTGGGGTTGGGGGGCTGGTAACTGTGTGGAAGGTTGTGGATGCGGACTGCTACTGGTGTCGTTGCTGGAGGACCACAGCTGTTGCTGTTGTTGCTGCTGTGCCGTGCGCAAGTCCTCCTCTTCTTCCTGCTTGAGCTGCGCGACACGCTGTTGCAAGCGGATATTCTCAATCTTGTGTTCGAGGAATGCGTCGAGGAGCTGTGTGCTGCGCGTGGGGTAGGGTCGACATATTATAAAGACACCATTGCAGGTCTCCGGTTGGGAGCGGGAGTCCACGGGGTGGCTCAGATGTGGATGCCCGCAGCCCTCGACGACACAGGGCTTGTTGTCCGCCCGATGAAAGCGGAAATAGCAGTGGAAGGGACGAGACTCCGCAATGCAGTGTTGGAGCTCGCGGGCGAACATTGCGCCGTCGTCGTCGTGAATGAAGTGCGACAGCGGGCTGCCTTGTAGCCGGGAGGGCTCACATCCGGCGACGTCAATGGATGAGGGGGAGGCGTATAGAACCCGACCGTCGCGCGTGAGTAGCAGGAGCATGTCGCCCATGTCGTTCAGCACCCTTTGCGACCATGGTGGATCATGTGCGGGATGGTTTGCGGCGGTGGGAGAGGCCGCTGGGGAAGGACTCGGGGGCAGGGCGAGGCTCTCCGGCACGGAGACATTGCCAGCCATGCCATACGAGCCATGACTCCCGGTGTGGGGAACACCACTTGGGTGTGTGTCGCTGTACATTTTGGCCGGAGAAGAATGATGCTGCTGCTGCTGCTGCTGGCTTTGGATTGGACTATGAATAGTAGTAGTATCCCTGTCCCAATCGCGAGGCATGAGATCGTGGGGTTAGACAGGACCACCGCGCAAGACCACAGGCTGAAGTAAGATGCGCATCAGGGTGATTGGACCGAGGCACACAGTGATTAGGTGGAGTTCAAACGAGTTTGGGAGATTCAGATAGACGAAAAGGGAGAGAGAAGTTCAGGATGTGACAGATCTCATCTATCAGATCCATGTCTCATTGGCGATCTCCTCATTTTGGTCCTTCAAGGGAATGGGGAGGGAGCTGTCAAATTCTCCCTATTCCTAATCCCACTGTCAGGTAGCGCCCCACAGTTGAGCATGGCGGACCCGCTTGGCTTCCTGTCCGTCGTTTTGCAGGATCCAGAATGTCCCGAATGAGATTCTCGCGACCAGAATGTGGATTGAACGAACCTCAGGAATAAGGCCATAAACTGACGTCATTGGTTCCTGCCTCAGGCGTACAGAGTGTCAGGCCCCAGGCACCCGAGCACGTGACCGCGCGCCGGTCTTCCCCGCGTCGTCGCGTCTTCTTATTCTCTCTCCATCATCACCTTCTTTGCTTCTCCTCATGGCCTCATCTGCCCGTTGAGGTGTTGAGCATCCCCAGTGGAAGTCCTCCATTATGTGAGTAATTTATAGAGATCAATTCCAACATTCCACTATCATCACACATCGTACTGATCGACATTCTAGGTGTAAGTCAAGCCCGTCCCCACCTCATGCGAGCTCCGATGCGGGGACGCCGTGCTATCTACCGTGACTGAACCCTGTCTCCAGCCAAGATCGATAAGCTTTCCATCTTAGGGTACTCGGCCTATTTTCTTCTCTTAGTGTTTGATTGTCTCTGATGCGGAAACTGACATATCCAGGATCCGCTCCTTCGACAACACACGCAGCGAGACCATCCAGTTCCATACTCCCCTCACCCTCATCGTTGGCTATAATGGTTCCGGGAAAACGGTGCGAATTGCCCCTCTAAGAGATGGAATGGAAGAAGAGAAGAGAAAGAGAAGCTCCCACTAATCAACCACAGACCATCATCGAGTGCCTCAAATATGCCACCACCGGAGACCTCCCGCCCAACAGTAAAGGCGGCGCCTTTATCCATGACCCCAAGGTAGGCGCCTTCATTCGCTTGATAGATATCAATATGATGATATGGTGGCTAAGGGCATACCGGATATAGCTATGTGGAGAAAAGGAGGTTCTGGCGCAGGTGAAGCTCTCCTTCAAGGGTACCTCGGGGGCCAAGATGGTGGCTACCCGCAGTCTCCAACTCACCGTCAAGAAGACGACCCGCCAGCAAAAGACCCTCGAGGGCCAACTGCTGATGGTGAAGGATGGTGAACGGACGGCCATCTCCTCGCGCGTCGCCGAACTGGACCAGATCATGCCTCAGTACCTCGGGGTCTCTCGCGCCGTCCTCGATTCCGTCATCTTCTGCCACCAGGATGAGAGCTTATGGCCCATGAGCGAACCCTCCGCCCTGAAAAAACGATTCGATGAGATCTTCGAGGCCATGAAATACACCAAGGCGATCGACAACATCAAGGTCCTGCGCAAGAAACAGAACGAGGAGCTGGCCAAGTTCAAGATCATGGAGCAGCATTCCAAGGAGGACAAGGAAAAGGCTGACCGCGCCGAGAAACGGTCCATCAAACTGCAGGATGAGATCGAGGCCCTACGCGATGAGACCCACCAGCTGTCCCAGGAGATGCGTCGCGTCGCCGAGCTTGCCGACAAGGCCTGGACCGAGTCCGAGACGTATGCCCAGATCTTGGGCGCCCTCGAGGGCAAACGGATCGAAGCCAAGAGTGTTCAGGCTACCATCGACAACCTTAAACGTCACCTGGTCGAACTCGACGATCCCGATGAGTGGCTCGAAACCAACCTGGAGCAGTTCGAGTCCCGTCAGATCCAGTTCCAGCAACAGGAAGAGGCCCAGAAGGAGAACTATATGGCGCTCAAAGAGCGCATCGAGAGTTCGCGGCAACGGCTGGGAACCAAGCAGGCGGAATGCGGGAAGTACGAGAATGACCAGGCCAACTTCGAGCGGCAGGTCGAGCGGCGACAGCGGCTAACCCAGGAGGTCGCCCGCGCCAACAATATCCGCGGGTTTGACAGTATACAGGATCAGGCCGAGGTCGACGAGTTTATGCACAAGATCCGCAAGCTGTTGAAGGATCAGAACTTAGCGTTGGACCGAGCCAAACGGGACGCACAGAGCGAGCTGCGCGAAGTACAGGCTACTCTCAACGAGATCGGTCAGCGCAAGTCCGCGTTGCAGGAGAGCAAGAATGCCGCCAAACGGCAGATCGCAGCCAATGACCGGGAGGCAGGCTCCTACCAGGCCAGGCTCGACGAGATCGACGTCGATGAAGGCGTGCAAGCGGCCCTGGAGGCCAACGTCGAAGACGTCGTGTCCCGCTTGGATCAAGCCAAGGCGCGGGCCCGGTCGGCCTCATGGGACCAGGAGATTCAGACCGTGAACGCCGAGATCCGCAACCTCGAGGACGAGAGCACGCGGCTGAATGCCGAACTCATCGACGCCACCAAGATGGCCGGGGATCTCGCTCGCCTGGACCATCTCAAGAAGGAGCTGAAGGAGCGCGAGCGCAGCCTCGATACCATGAAAGGCGCGCACGGCGAGCGCCTGGCCAAGCTGATCAATTCTGACTGGCAGCCACACTCGCTCGAGCACGATTACCAGCGCACCCTCGACGAGGAGTCCCGAGTCGTGTCCCAGGCCGAACAGGAGCGTGACACCGTGAGCCGAGACCTAGAACAGGTGGAGTTCAAGTTGAAAAATACGCGAAAGATGCTGGCTCAGCGACAAAAAGAGCTCCAGGAATGCGTCGAGGAGATCCGCGAGGCCGTGGATGACGAACCGGAGGAGTATCCGGAGATTGTCCAGCAGCGACAGGCACAGCTTGAGATTGCGAGAAAGGATGCCGAACAGTATGCTGGCGTCGGCGAGTATCTGACCAAGTGTCTCGACACTGCCAAACAGGCCAAGGCGTGCCGGATGTGCAGCCGAGGGTTCCGCAACGACAGCGAACTGCAGGCGTTTAGAAACAAACTTGAAGCCCTGGTCAAGAAGGCTCGACAAGACATCGAGGACGAAGAACTGCACAACATGGAAGAAGATCTCAAAACCGCACGCGCGGCGAACACCGCTTACGACATGTGGTCTCGCCTGGGCAAAACAGACATCCCCGATCTGGAAAAGGAAGAGGAGCTGTACATCTCCCAGCGGGATGCGCTGCTCACCCGGGTGGAGGAACACGACCAGAAGGTGGGCGAGAAGGCCGAGAAGAAGCGTGAGGTGGAGGGCCTTTCCAAGACCGTCAACACTATCATCCGATACGACGGCGAGATCAAAAGCATCCGCTCCCAGATTCAAGATCTCTCGTCCAAACAAGAGAATCCGTCAGGGACGCGCACCCTGGAGGATATCCAAGAAGAGATTGCCTCCCTTGGCGAGCGGTCAAGGAAACAGAAGCAAACGCTGTCCAAACTGACGCACGACCGAGAGCAGGCCCAGGCGGAAATCAACAGCCTGGAACTGCAGCTGCGGGACGTGAAGAGCAATCTCGACAATACCCGGTTCCGGTTGGAGAAGAAAGCCGACCTCCTGACGCGTCTGGAGGAATACAAGAATCTCAACAGCCAACAGCGCGACGCCATCACCAAAGCCGATCAAGAAATCGAGGCTCTCACCCCGGAGCTGCTTAAGGTGCAAGCCAAATACGACGATATCAGCCAGCGTGCGGAGGCGCGAGAGCGAGAAATGCACCAGGGCATCTCGCAGCTATCAGAAAACGTGCGCCAGCTGGGACTGGCGAACGAGGAAATCGACTCGTACAACGAACGAGGCGGCCCACGCCAGCTCGAGCGGAGCCAGCGCGAGCTGCAGACGATCGAGCACGAGATCGGCGATCTCGAGGCCGAGCTGGGCACCATCACCCGAGAGATTAACAAGATCTCCGCGCAGCTCAAGGACAGCGAAAACACCAAGCGCCAGTACGCGGACAACCTCACGTACCGTCAGGCCACACGGGCGCGGGATGCCGTGACGGCGGAGATCGAGCAGCTGGCCGCGCAGAACGCCGAGGTAGACCGCGGCCGGTTCAAGGAGGAATCGGAGCGACGCACACGCGAGCACAACGCGCTGGCAGCCAAGCAGGCCAGCAAAATGGGCGAGATGAAGTCCAAGGACGACCAACTCCTGCAGCTACTAGCAGACTGGAACACAGACTACAAGGACGCGGCGTCCAAGTACAAGGAGGCCCACATCAAAGTCGAGACGACCAGGGCGGCAGCCGACGACCTGGCGCGGTACGGCGGAGCCCTAGACAAGGCGATCATGAAGTACCACGGGCTGAAGATGGAGGAGATCAATGCGATCATCGGCGAGCTCTGGCAGCGCACGTACCGGGGTACCGACGTGGACACGATCGCCATCCGCTCGGACAACGAAAACGCCAAGGGCAACCGGTCATACAACTACCGCGTGTGCATGGTCAAGCAGGGCGCGGAGATGGACATGCGCGGCCGCTGCAGCGCCGGCCAGAAGGTCCTGGCCTGCATCATCATCCGACTGGCGCTGGCCGAGTGCTTCGGCGTCAACTGCGGCCTGATCGCCCTCGACGAGCCCACCACTAACCTCGACCGCGACAATATCCGCTCCCTGGCCGAGTCGCTGCACGAGATCATCCGCGCGCGCCAGCAGCAGGCCAATTTCCAGCTGATTGTCATCACCCACGATGAGGACTTCCTGCGCCATATGCAGTGTGGAGATTTCAGCGATTATTACTATAGAGTTTCGCGCAATGAGCGGCAGAAGTCTATTATTGAGAGGCAGTCTATTGCTGAGGTACTTCCCTTTCCCCTTGGTATTGTGTTTAATGTGATACTAATTTGGTCCAGGTTATGTGATATGATTCTTTCGTTCTTTCTTTCTTTCTTGCCTTTATACGACCTGCAGGGCTGGAAGTCTCACCGTCGGGTAGTATGTATCTCGACAAAAAGCGAATGTATAATAATGCTCGGTCTACGGAGTTGCATGGATTTGGCGTTGTAGGATATGGAATGTTTGAATGAGACAAAAGTCATATTTTCCCCTGACTCCCAGCATAAAGAAAACAACAACTACTGTATTAAGTATGCATGTACAGTTACTCAAACCCCCCACCTTCCTCCACCTCCAAACTCTCCTCATCCAACAATGGCACAAATCGAAAATCCACAAACGACACCGTATTGTTGCCCGTCTGTCTCTGCGCTCCTCCTGCACCTGCAATACTTCCACCAGCACCTCCACTGCCCCCACCGGTAGCAGCATAAGAAGAAGATGATGATGAGGAAGTATTAGAAGACGAAGAATGAACAACCCCAAGCGCATCAAACTCCACCATAAACTGCAAACTCAGCACCCCCTGCCGATCCCCCCGGATACTGACCTTATTAGCGACGGCCATCGCGCGCGCGGCCTTTTGGACCAGCGCGAACTTGTAGTCTTGGCGGAGGCGGGTGCCCATGCTGGAGGGAGGGCTGACGAGGAAGGTCTCTGTTACAGTAGGGGCGAGTTTGGATCGTGTGGCGCGGGCGCGGGATGTGCCGTCGTCTGTGAGGGTTTTGTGGTGGGACGGGGTACCTTGTTGGTTATTGGTGTGTTGTTGTTCGATGGAGAATTCGACGGAGGATTCGCTGAAGGGGCCGCCGATGCCTGTTAGAGAGAAGTATGGTTCCTCTGTGGCGGAAGCGGAGAGGCGGAGGATGGTGGGGTTTGTGCCGGAGAGCTCGGAGATGGCGTTGTGAAGCCAGGCGGAGCGCATGATGATTTTCATGGCGATGGCGTCGCGCTGGAGGGGGATGTCTGCGTTGGCGGCGAAGGCGTCGGGTTCGTAGGTCGTTAGGTCGCAGGTGGTTTTGACGCCTGTTTCGGAGAGGGTGATGCTGAGGGGGGAGCCGTCTTGGAGGTATTGCAGGGTGCAGGAGCGGTCGAGGAGGAGAGCGGGGGAGTTGAAGGCGCTCGAAGAAGGTTGTGCGCTTGGGGCGCGATTGCTGGGCCCAGAGCCTGCTAGGGCGGTTGATGGGGAGGGGTCGTTGACGCCGAAGATCTTGAGCGTCTCGAGGAGGGCCGTCAGGGAGACCATGAAGCAGGGGTAGTAGGTTGCATCGGGGTCTTCTGCGCCTGCGCTTTCATCGTGGAGGGGTTCGTGGTCGGGATCGAGCGGCGGGTTGAAGGTGTAGCTAGTGAAGAGGGCTTTGTCGAGGAAGGCCAGGCCCTGCACCACCCTGCTTTCTTCGGCGGAGAAGCGAATCCCGTCTGGGGTGATTTGCACTGTGGCTTTGGGTGCGAAGCCGATGCATTGTAGGAGGGTGTAGAGGTTGTGGGCGTTGCTGGAGACCGCCGAGAAGATGGGCTCGCTGGAGGGCATGGTCGGTGAGTTAACGGAGAAGGTAGCGGGAAAGAAAGAATTTCAATTATCCACTCTGCGAGGTATGGTACATGGGGGGGATATCGAGGGAATGACGCGAAAGACGACGGATTGAGAGCATTAAACGTAGACGCCGACGGCACAGATCATGAAAACAGCTCCGAAGCTAGCCAGAAAGTGTGATTAGCGATTGAGTGGAGGTCTGGTCTGAGAATCGCTTACCCAAACGCCAACGATGCCGGGACACCGAACGAGACAATGCTCGCCAAGGAACGGTCTATCGAGAGTTAGATCGGTGGATCGCATTGATTCATGAAGAGATCACCCACTCAGTCCAAACAGGCCGGTCAGAATAAAAGCTACACTCGTTAGCTATCAATTCCTATCATCATTGAAGACATCCATACCCGCGAACAACAGCGAGAAGCCCACGACGAACTGATTGTCCTTGGAAACTAGTGGAGCGTAAGGGCTTGCGGACGCTGCCTCCCAGATCTCGTTCAGCGACATGAGTGAATAGTGGTGATAGAACGATGGTGAGAATTGAGTCAATGGAAGTAAGTAATGGGCGAGAGGAAGGAGTTAACAAGAAAGAGGAAGTAGAAATGAAGCTATTTAGACGATCTGGCCCGATGACGCGCGCCGGATCAAGGTTTAGCCGAGGTTCCCCGTATTGCCGCTTTATCTCTCCCCATTATCGGCCAGTCGATCTTCGTCTCGATCCTCTTCTGTCCATTTGAATTACTTTGAAACTGCCCCCACCATGGCTGTCACGGCCTCGGAGAGTAAGCTTGGACTGGTCGCGGCCTCTGGTACCGGTTATACTTACTGATTCAGGTCCAGGTCATAATAAGCGAAAGGCGTCGGAGGAGTCCCCCTCCCCGGATTCGCAACAACAGATCAAGAAAGCGCGCACCGACTCCCCGGAGAAAGAACCCACGGTACGATTTGATGCGCACTTTGATAGGGTGGATTCATGGGACAGATACTAACACCTACAAGTCGGAAGATGGGCTCTTGGAAAAGCCGCCACTGAAGATCGTCCCCTTCCCCGAGAAAGTGAGAGATCCCGCACCCTGTCTGTCGCGCGACGGCGCTGACTTCGCTTGATCCTAGCCGGCCGTGTTGGAAGAACGTCGAGGAGATATTGAATTCCGAGTGGTCAACAACGATGGATCCCATGACAGTTTTGTCGTCCTCACGGGGTTGAAGTGCATCTTCCAGAAGCAGTTGCCCAAGATGCCCAAGGACTATATTGCGCGGTTGGTCTACGACCGGTCGCATCTGTCTATTGCGATCGTCAAGCATCCGTTGGAGGTGGTTGGGTACGTATCACGGAGGATTGGGAGTGTGGACGGCCGTGACTAATGAAGATGCAGCGGGATCACGTACCGGCCATTCAACAGCCGCAAGTTTGCGGAAATCGTCTTCTGCGCCATCTCGTCCGATCAGCAGGTCAAGGGATATGGTGCGCATTTGATGTCGCATTTGAAGGTCTGCTCGCATCATAACACATGAAACCGAGAGGGAGTCGAGGCTGACCCCCGCCACAGGACTACGTGAAAGCGACGTCGCCCATCATGCACTTTTTAACCTACGCCGATAACTACGCCATTGGATATTTCAAGAAACAGGGATTCACCAAGGAGATCACACTGGACAAGTCGATCTGGATGGGATACATCAAGGACTACGAAGGCGGTACGATCATGCAGTGCACGATGTTACCCCGGATCCGATACCTCGAGGTTGGACGGATGCTACTCAAGCAGAAGGAGGCCGTCCACGCCAAGATCCGGGCGTTCAGCCGCTCCCACATCATCCACCCCCCGCCGAAGGCGTGGAAGAACGGACCGGTGAAGCTCGATCCGCTGAGCATCCCGGCGGTCAAGGAGTCCGGGTGGTCACCGGACATGGATGAGCTGGCGCGGCAGCCGCGGCATGGGCCCAACTACAACCAGCTGCTGCACCTGCTCAACGACATGCAGAACCACAGTGCGGCGTGGCCGTTCACGCAGCCGGTGAACCGGGACGAGGTGCCGGACTACTACGAGGTGATCAAGGAGCCGATGGACCTGTCGACGATGGAGGAGAAACACGAGAAGGACATGTACCCGACGCCGCAGGACTTCATCAAAGACGCCATGTTGATCTTTGACAATTGCCGGCGGTACAATAATGAGAACACGCCGTACGCGAAGAGCGCCAATAAGCTGGAGAAGTTTATGTGGCAGCAGATTCGGAACATTCCCGAGTGGTCGGTATGTTAACTTCTGCCGTTTGCATTGTGTGGGCTAGACGTGAACTGACGATTTTCTTTCACTCTAGCATTTGGCGGATGGACATTGATGATGGATGGATGGTGTTTTTTTCTGGGATGGGAGGAGTCAATGGTAGCCTGGCGTTTTATCTCTCTTTCCGTGCTTGTTTCTTTCCATCTTTCGGTCTGTTTTGGGTTTGCTTTGCCTTTGATTTGATTTGTATTTGGTGTTCTATTTGTGTCATGATCCAATACCCCCGGCATAGTGGAGCCTTTCTTGCGGCGAGTGGAGAGCAAGGGATATGCAGTGATCCTTTTACACACCGTGGGTTCCAAGTACTCAAGATTCATACAAGAATCTATCCACATTTGATTGAGTTCTCACCGGTAACCGTTACCTTATCACATGGATGATCGACCGCGATATTAAACGGGGCGAGGGAGGGGGAGTCTCCCCTTGCATGATAGCAGGGCATGTCAAGAACGTGGATGGATCGACGGCGAAAGTGGATCGATCATTTCGGTTATTAAATACACCGGTCCGAAGGCTGCAGAAGAAGGAAATCAGAGAGACAATGAGAGAAAAAAACGAGAAAAAAGAGAAAAAAGAAAGGCGTTGGAGAAATTAAATGAAAAACGGATATGCAGCCTTAGGCAGCCATCGTCTCCTTAGGCCAACCACCAACACTTCATCCTTTCGTTCATCTCATCTTCTTCTCTTCTTCCTCACGTCCTTCTTTTCTCCCCTCCCCGACCTCCTGGATGGATCGTCTCCTTCCTATCTAACCCCCCAGTTGTGTGTTCCACCAGCTGTTCTCTTCCCATCTTCAATTCTGCAATTCTTTCTCTTCTTCACTGGTCTCCCCTCGCCAAACCATCCACCGACCGACCCCCTCCTCCCTCTCCCCTTCTCGGATCGTTCCACAAGGGAGACTCCTGACTTGGACAGGCTCCAATCCTTCAATTATTCTTTCTTTGCTTCCTGCTTGTTTATTTTCTCCCTCGTTACTATTTTCCCGCCCAGTCAATCCTTTTCAACCCTTGAGGAACCCCGTTATAATCGCCGCGGTCCTCCCCGATACCACCGGATACCTACCGACCTCCTATTCTCGGCGCCACTCGACGATTGAATCGACTCGACCGAATCTTTCGTTCTCCGCCATTTGACGCCCTCCACGCTCCCCACGCTCTCGTTCGACTGCGACTAAAACGGTGGTCCTCCGCCGAATCCTTCCACCATGGCGTCCCCCTCGATGATCGATCTGGAACAGCGGAATCGCTTACCGACCCTGTTCGAAGTCCTCAGCCGTCGCACCCTCGCCCCCGTTGATCTCTTCTCCTTCTACATTTACATGCGGGATCAAAAGCGCTCGGTCGATTATCTGGATTTCTGGTAGGATGGTTTCCCCTTCCGATCGTCTTCTTTGTCTAACCCGTAGGTCGTAGGCTCGATGTCTCCCAACACATGTCCCTCTGCCGCCATTACGTGCGCGAACTACGTCGATCCGTCTTGGTCGCCACTCCCGATCTGGAGAAAGCCGACAGCAAGAGCTCCACGGCCGCCCTTGAGATGCTCGAGAAGCTCGAAAGCTTCAGTGAAGTCCCCTTGGCCGAACCGGGCCCCTCGAATTTCCCGAACCGCTTCAACGATGTGGAGGAGAAGGACTCCGATCTTCGGCTGTCGGCCTTCTTGCGCTCGGAAGGCCAAACTCCCGGCCACTCGCCGCAGAATAGCTTGGGATCGGTGCACAACAACAACAACGACAACATGTCCCGACCCTTGTCCAACGAGCAACCGCCCCGGGATAGCTCGGGCACGCGCGCCGACTCCCCCTCGCCCGGGCACACCGTCGCGCGCGCCGATATTCGCGCCAGCGCGGAGAATGTCCTGTACACCTACCTCCTACCGGGGGCCGAGCGCGAGATCGTCTTGCCCGAGGAGATGGTCTCGTCCATCATCAACCTGGTGGAGGACGACGGTCGCGATGACCCCGAGGTGTTCGATCCCGCCAAGGACTACGTCTTCCAGGCGATGGAGCGCGACGCGTTCCCGGGGTTTTTGCAGGCCAAGGCCCTGGGGAACCTGGTCCCGCTGAGCATCGTGGCGCGCCTGGCGGTGGCGCTCGTTAGTTTCGGGGCCGGGTTCTGGGGGGCTTTCTATGTGGTGCTCCGTGATCAGCCGAAACACATTCGATGCTGGGTAAGTTCTCTGGCTTGGGGAACGGGGGGAATTACAATGCTAATGGTGTACAGGTGATTTTGCCATTTGTGGTAGCCTCGTATTTTCTGGTCTCGTACCAGTACAAGATCGATCCGATGTTGGCAGTTCTGGGGTACAGCGAGTACACGTTCATGAACTGGTCCCCGATCCGGGAGCCGTACGTACGGAAACTGCTGAACAAGCGCGCGTTGGCTACAATGATGATTGCGGCGTTTGTGGCGGCCGCGCTCAGCATCTTGTTCATCTTCGTTCCGGGGACGATGCTCTGATCTTCCGATTCTCTATCTCACTCCATCTCACTCCCTATATGTTTCCGTGATTGATTGATTGATTTGTTACGGTGATGGTGGATCATCCCGATCCGACAGTGTTCATATAATCTTATACTCGACTCCAAGCGTCCGCGTCGTGATCTGTCCATACTGACCTGCGTTCTTTATTTTCTCTTTTACTTTTTTTTCTTTCTCTGTCGAATTTCTCTTCGGACAATACCCCTTTTTTGCAACCATTGGCATGTATGCTCCACGATCCTATCTTTTCTTTCTTTCCATATTTATTCATCTGTTGATTTCCTTACTCATCTCCTTGATTTCCTTTGCTATTTCCTTGTGCCAGTGACATCGTACCGGATAATTGACTATCCACGAGCCTCCTAATGTGAAATACCTTACCAAAAAAAGAAAAGACAGAAAAAAAAATACAAGTAAAAAGTTTCCCATGAGGAATGGCATCACGATTCGTAAGGTAGCTAACTAACTAGGACTATGGCTTCTCGTAACTATGAACTGCTGGATAGGGTCAAATCAAGTCTTTCTCCCCAAGATCCGCTTGGCGTGGCGAGCGCCTGCGCTCAACCGACTAGAACCGGCCCCCTCGTCGACATCCATCTGCGAAGATGGAGCCGAGCCCTCCCCCTCGCCGCCCGCCTCGCCATATCCATCATCGACGTCGAGATCGTCGGCGGAAAACTCGCGCTTGTTGCCGCCTGCGCCGAACCAGCTGCCTCCACCACCACTACCTCCTCCTTTCGACCAAGGAAGTCGGGATCCTTTAGCGGGGCCACCCTCGACGGTGGCACCGGTAGCGGCGGCAGAAGAAGAAGAAGCAGCAGCAGCAGCAGCCGGAAGATCAGCCGTAAACCCAGCCATCGTCCTCTGAAAGAGATCATTGTGCGCAGCGTGTCGCGCACGGGAGGCAACAGCATCCGAGCGGATCCGCGCAATCTCCGCCTCGAGGTCCCCGATGACGTGGCCGCAGCGGGATTCCCAGCTGGAGAGGCGGGCGATCATGGCGGGGAGGGCGAGGGCGGGGTTCACGTCGCGGAGGGGCGCGACGGCTGTGATATGGACGGCGGGGGGGTTGGAGGCGGGGGCCAGACGGGCGATTATGAGGTTTGCGTAGATGGCTGTTGTTATGAGGGATTCGAGGTCGGAGGGAGCGGTTATGGAGAGGGCGGTCATTAGGTTGGGGTAGGTGAGGGGTGGGGTGGTTGTTGCTGAGAGGGTGAGGAGGGTGAGGAGGCGGAGTTTGAGGGTTTGTGGGGGGGTTAGGGGGGGGAGGTTGGGTGTTTCTAATTTGGTTTGTGAGATTCTTTTCCTTCATTATATAGGTAGATAGGAAAGGGGAGAGGGGAGTACTTTGATAGTCATCCCAAGTCCCCCAGGCAAAGATCTCTAGCAAGGTCCGGTAGGGCTGAAATTCGGCGGGAGTGTCTGGATTGCGCAGGGATTGAACGGCTGGAGTGTCGAGTAGCTCTGCAAAGACGTAGGTGTTGGGATTGTCAATGGCGTTGGTGATGAGGTTGGCCACGAAGCGGGGAGAGGCGGCGGTGGAGGAGGTGGCCAGGTGGATGAAGGGCTGTAGGGCCTCGATGGCGCGGGCGTGAGATTGATCCATGGGTGTATCTCCTGGGAGAGCCCAGCTGGATAGTATCACAGGAGTAATAATGACAAGAGAATGGGAGTCTGATGGAGTATACGAGAGGAAGATGAAGCAATTCGGACATCAGAAGGAGATGAAGCTGTATGTTTGGTGGTTATGCAAACAGATGAGTCATCAATACTTTATACGCTTCATACTTGACAGCGACAGCGTCCAGAACAGAACCAAACGAATGAGAAGGAAGCTATGATCAATCGGTACTGACTCAATAATATCGAGAATCTATAATAGCCAGAATAGTATATCCAATACAGTGAAACTACCACGGTTTCATGCCCGTCCCCCGGTCCGTCCTGGAATTATCCGACAATCATCCGTCTGAGGTGTATCATCGTGTATTCAACCGTACCGTACCGTACTGTCATCCTTACTTTGTTTCTCTTCCTTACTTCATCTTCTCACCTCATTCTCCTCACTTCTTTCTTCTCCTCTTTGTCTCTTTGTCTTTCTCATTCTTCTTGTCTTCTCTTGTCCATCTTCTCTTCATAATCCTCTTCTTCTTCTTCGTGGAATGATCCAAAATCAAGCTCGGATAGTTTGGAATGAAAACTCCCGAATAGGGGCATGACATGGATCACGTACATTTAGTGCCATCTGCTGTAATCATCATCATCTCAACTTAATCCACCACTCATCCCGCTGCTTCCGCTCTGTCTCTCTCTCTCTCTCTTCTTTCCTCCTCCTCTCTTCCTCTTCCTCTTATACTTTTGATTTCTTCTATTTCTTCTGGAAATCCGCCCTTATGTGGTAGTTTCCCCTCCCCCGGCTCCTTGCCTCCTTGTCAACTGCCATGTTGCCGTCTTCCCCCCCGATAAGCGCCCGCCATGATGGGCCTCCCTCCGCCCACATGGCCACCACCACCCTCAACGTTGAGGGCATGACCTGTGGCGCCTGTACCGCCGCCATCGAGTCCGCTTTTCAGTCCGTCGCCGGCGTCGGAGAAGTCTCTGTCAGCTTGATCATGTCCCGCGCCGTCGTCCATCATGATCCCGCCGTTATCTCCCCGGCCAAAGTCGCCGAGACGGTGGAGGACTGTGGCTTCGACGCCACGGTGGTCTCCACGGATATACCCACCGCCCCCGACGCCTCGTCCGACGATGGTCCGCCCATGTGTATCACAACCTACGCCATTGAGGGCATGACCTGTGCCGCCTGTACCTCCGGCGTCGAGTCGGGCGTCCGGGAACTGCCCGGCGTCGAATCCGTCAGCGTCTCGCTGCTGTCCGAACGGGCCGTCGTCGACTACGACGGCTCGCGCATCACCGCGGAGCAGATCGCGGACGCCATCGAGGACCGCGGATTTGGCGCCCAGGTGCTTGAGACCACCGCGCCCCCGCGCAGCGGCGGTCGTCCCTCCCAGGTCGCCGAGGCCTCCGCCCGTCTGTCCGTCACCACCGTCGCCATCACCGGCATGACCTGTGCCGCCTGTACGTCCGCCGTCGAGCAGCAGTTCCGCGACGTGGACGGCCTCGTCCAGTTCAACATCAGCCTGCTCGCCGAGCGTGCCATTGTCACCCACGATGCCACCCGCCTCTCGCCCCAACAGGTTGTTGACCGTATCGAGGACGCCGGTTTCGAGGCTACCGTCGTCTCCCAGGACACGCAAGCCGCGGGCGCCCGCGGTCTCGCCCACGTCACCTTCAACCTCCATGGCGTACGCGACGCTGGCGCCGCCGCCGCCCTCGAGGAGGCCCTCCTCCAGCGCCGCGGCATCTGCCTCGCTGCCGTCGATTTGGCCACCGCCCGCATCGCCGTCTCCTACGACCCCCGCGCCGTTGGCGTCCGCTCCCTCGTCGTCGCCATCGAGGAGCTCGGCTACAACGCCCTGCTGACCGACACCCACGACACCAACGCTCAGCTCGATTCCCTGGCCAAGACCCGCGAGATCCACGAGTGGAAGCGGGCTTTCCGCTTCGCCCTCGCCTTCGCCATCCCCGTCTTCCTCCTCAACATGGTCCTGCCCATGTATTTCCCCACCCTGGACATCGGCCGCTTCCGACTCTGCCCGGGCCTCTACCTCGGCGACATCGCCGCCTGCCTCCTCACCATCCCCGTCCAGTTCGGCGTCGGCCGTCGCTTCTACATCTCCAGCTTCCGCTCCCTGCGCCACCGCGCCCCGACCATGGACGTCCTCGTCATGCTCGGCACCTCCGCCGCCTTCTTCTACAGCGTCTTCACCATGGTCTTTGCCTTGATGACCGCCGCCCGCAAGCGCCCCTCCACCGTCTTCGACACCAGCACCATGCTCCTCACCTTCGTCACCCTGGGCCGCTGGCTCGAGAACCGCGCCAAGGGCCAAACCTCGGCCGCCCTCTCCCGGCTCATGTCCCTGGCCCCGTCCATGACCACCGTCTACGACGACCCCATCGCCGCCGAGAAGCAGGCCGAGGCCTGGCACGCTGCCTCCGCCCCTGCCGCCCCCGCCGGCGAGGCCGCTGGGCCCGGCCGCCGTGTCATCCCCACCGAGCTCCTCGAGGTCGGTGACGTGGTCATCCTGCACCCCGGCGACAAGGTCTCCGCCGACGGCGTCGTCCTCCGCGGCGAAGGGTACGTCGACGAGAGCATGATCACCGGCGAGCCCCGGCCCATCCGCAAGACCGCCGGCAGCGCCGTCATCGCCGGCACCGTCAACGGCACCACCGCTCTGGACTTCCGTGTCACCCGCGCCGGCCGGGACACCCAGCTGAGCCAGATCGTCCAGCTGGTCCAAACCGCCCAGACCAGCCGCGCTCCCATCCAACGCATGGCCGACGTCGTGGCCGGCTACTTCGTCCCCGCCATCGTCAGCCTAGGTCTCGTCACCTTCTTCGGCTGGATGTTCATCAGCCACGTGCTACCCAACCCCCCCATGATTTTCATGGCCGAGGACAACGGCGGCCGCGTCATGGTCTGCCTCAAGCTCTGCATCTCCGTCATCGTCTTCGCCTGCCCCTGCGCTCTGGGTCTGAGCACCCCGACCGCTGTCATGGTCGGCACCGGCGTCGGCGCCCAGCAGGGCATCCTCGTCAAGGGCGGCGCCATCCTTGAGGGCGCCACCAAGATCACCCACGTCGTCTTCGACAAGACCGGCACCCTGACCACCGGCCGCATGACCGTCGCCGATGCCCACCTGGCGCCGTCGTGGCAGGCCACGGAGGATCGCCGCCGCCTCTGGTGGCAGATGGTCGGCCTGGCCGAGATGAACAGCGAGCACCCCATCGGCCGCGCCGTCCTCGCGGCCGCCCAGGTCGAATCTGGCCACCCGGGTGAGGGGGCCCTACCCGGCAGCCTCGGCGACTTCGATGCCTGCGTCGGCCAGGGCATCGCGGCGCTGGTCGAGCCCGCCACGACGGCCGAGGAGCGCGTGCGGGCCCGCGTGCTGATCGGCAACGCCGACTTCTTACGGTCACGGGATGCTCCCGTCCCGGACGATGAGGCAGCCGCCGCCGAGTCCCCGGAGCTCGCCCCCGGCGCCAAGGAGCCCGCGGGCGTCACCACGATCCATGTAGCCATCGACGGCCAGTACGCCGGCACCCTCCGGCTGCGGGACACGGTCAAGCCGACCGCGCGGGGGGCCGTCGCCGCGCTGCACCGCATGGGGCTCGCCACCGCCCTCGTCACCGGCGACGCGCGGCCGACAGCCCTCGCCATCGCCGCGGCAGTGGGCATCGCGCCCGAGGCCGTACACGCGTCGGTCGCGCCCGCCGACAAGCAGGAAATTATCGCCACCCTCGAAGACCGCGGCCACCGGGTCGCCATGGTCGGCGACGGTATCAACGACTCGCCCGCTCTGGCCACCGCCTCGATCGGCATCGCCCTGGCCTCAGGCACGGACGTCGCCGTCGAGGCCGCCGACATCGTGCTCATGCGGCCCGACGACCTACTCTCCGTGCCCGCCAGCCTGTGCCTGTCGCGCGCCGTCTTCAACCGCATCCGGCTCAACCTCGTCTGGGCCTGCCTCTACAACCTCATCGGCCTGCCCTTCGCCATGGGCCTGTTCCTGCCCTTTGGCGGGGTCATGCTGCCGCCCATGGCCGCCGGCGCCGCCATGGCAGCCTCGAGCATCTCCGTTGTGGTCAGCAGCCTGCTCCTGAAATTCTGGCGCCGGCCGCGCTGGATGGACGCCGGCACGCTCGCGTACGAGGGCCCGGCCGGTCCGGACCCCCGCGCCGCCACCAAAACCCGGTGGGACGTCTTGTCGCTGTCGCCCCGACACGGCCCCGCCCGTCTGGTCCACCAAGCGGTGGGTCGCGTGCGCGCCCTGTTCCTGGGAAAGCCCGCGGGCGGACTGGACACGGACGAGGGATACGTTCCGTTGCAGACCGTCGAGCCGGTATAATACCTTACTTATCTCGTGAACCATCCGTTCCCATCCTATCATCATCTGCATTTATCAGGCTTAGATTATACCTACCTTTTCTTCACTTTTACTTCATTATTCATTCTTTTCGGGTCCAATAGACATGACATGACAGTCTTATCCCTATCATGATTTTTTTTCTTTTCTTTTTTTTTCTCTTAATAAAACTGCTGGTCTGTTGATTATGCTTGACGAATTGGGTTTGCATGACTTCCATTTCATTGTTTTGTAGCTCATTGACTGACTCGTTGATTGATTGATTGATTGATTGATACCTCTGTTGTTCGGGTTTGATTTCGTGTCTGGTCGATTTAGTAGCATGACTGGAAATACAAAGAACTTACCTAAGTTGCATATTCATGCATTCCGGGAAAGGCTTCTCATTCACCTCTGGCTCAGTAGCTATCTGCAATGGTTATATGAAGTAATGACTACTACCAGCTATCTGTACTAAGTCCACGACTAAAGTAGAGCTAAATATTCAGAATGCAAGTGGATGGACTTCAACAATCAGATCGTCTCTCGTTAAGCGTGCCTATCAAAGATACTTGATCAAACATCTTCTTATCTCCCTTCTTCTTTCCTTTCCGAGCACAGTATTCCTCTAGGTAGTCAGATGTGATGGATTTATCCTTTCGTCTCCTCCTCCTTTGCCGACTCTTTATTCTCTCCTACAGCAGCAGTAGCAGCCCCGTCAGCAGCCTGATCCCCAAGCTCAATGTCGCCGTCTCCGTCTTTTGCGCCCAGATCTGTATCTGCCTTTGCCTCCGCCTCTGCGTCTTTAGAGCCCTTTCCCTCTTGCTGATTATTACTACCATCACCACCACCACCACCCTGCGCCGCAGACTGCAAATTATCCTCCCCCTCATCCTGGGAAAGCGTCATCTCGATGCCCCGCCCATCCTGCAATCCCATGTCTTCGATGCCTACGACGGGTGGTCCCCGTGCGTGCGGCACGTCTTCGCTGGGGTCTGGTTGGGGCGAGCCGTCGGCGCCTTCCATTGCTTGGGTTTCGATTGTGGTGGTTGTGGTGGTGGTGAGTTCTTCGTGGGGGGGTGGTTGTTGTTGCTGTTGGTCTAATGTTGTGGTTTCTGTGGTGGTGGTCGTCGTCGTGGTTGATGATTCGGTGGTGAGTATGTCGTTGCTTGGGACTGTGTAGTGTTAGTTGAATACGTGGCTAGGCAGAGTGAATAGATCTATCCCGGGTGTAGGTGGTGAACAGTAAGTACCTTCCGTAGGAGCTCCCTCGAGTGTAATATCCTCGCTGGTGGCCTCGCCGCCCGGCGACGAGCCCCCCGCCACTGCTGCTGCTGCTGCTTCTGCCGAAGCACCAGTCAACCATGGGATGGGCGTCAACAAAGCCCCTCCAAGCGACTCATCACTCCCCGGAACGTGCGTATCCTGAAACAAGGCGAACGTGGAGCCGAGGTCTGCGGCGCCGTTGGTCGCGCTGGAGATTATGCCATTTGGCTGGTGAGTCGGTGCAGTCGCGTCCGAGCCTGTCTGCACGGGGAAGATGTCGGCGCTGCTCGTCACGGAAACGACGCGGTCGAGGGCGCGCAGGTAGGCCGGAAGGGTGCGGTAGTGAGCCTGCGGGCGGAGGATGAGCTCCGCGAGGCGTTGCAGCGTGTGCGGGGGTTTGGAGGGGAAGAGGGAGCGGATTGTGGAGCGGGTGTTGTTGAGAAGGAGCTGGAGGGGTTGCGGGAGGGTCGGTTCTGTTGTTGTTGTTGTTGTTGTTGTTGTTGTCGTTGTTGTTATTGTTGCTGACTGGGGTTGGGAGTCGGGGTTGCGGTCTGTGGGTGCGGATACTAGGGTATGCGTGGGGAGGTCGGTGTTTTCTTTGTTGCTGCTTGAGGGGGGTTCGTTGGTAGTTTGTGTGTCGGTAGGATGTGAGGATTCTGGGGAGGGAGGCGACTCGGGCATTGGGAAGACGTTGTAGACGATCTGTGCGGTCTCTGGTCAGTCGACTTGGGGTGGGCTGGATGGGAGATAACGGTTGAGGGGGCGGACGTAATCCAATCGGCTCAGCAGGGGCTCAACCATCGCCGGCCATTTCTGACTATATCGATCGCGAGTCAGCACTCTCATCTCTTCGGAGTATACGTGGGATGGACGTACAGATCCATCATGCCGCCATTGGCGACTGTTTCCAAGGTTTCCTCGTCTGGTTTGTCAGTATAGGGTGTAGCATTGTGGATGAGGGATCCCACAGGGGCATGACATACCCAGAGACATTCTGCAAAGTACAACAAGGCGTCTGATCGTATGGCAATCGAGAAGAGAGAGGAATAGGAATGAAAGAGAGAAGAGAGTGAAAGTGAGAGAGACGAAGCAGATGAAGCAGATGAAGCGACAGATTAAGCTTGGTTTACGCGCGGCTGTCGGGGCCGCTGATTGGCCGCTCACCCGCTTATCAGATGCACACGTGACTGCGATCGGCCCGGAATTTTCCTTGCGGGGTCTGAAGATGTGAAGATTCAAGATCGAGTCATCCTTCCTTCTTCGAGGCTTCAACCCCACTCATTCTACACTCAAGCACCATGTGGAACGCTCCTAAGGTCGGAATTCTCGGCGGTGGCCAATTGGGCCGCATGCTGGTCGAATCCGCCAACCGTCTCAACATCCAATGCAACGTCCTCGACGCCGAGAACTCCCCCGCAAAGCAAATTAGCAACCACGACGCCCACGTTACGGGTTCCTTCAAGGAGCCTCAGGCCGTGCGCGACCTGGCACAGTCGTGCGACGTCGTTACCGCCGAGATCGAGCACGTCGACACCTACGCCCTCGAGGAGATCGCTTCCCAAGTCAAGGTCGAGCCCAGCTGGCAGGCGATCCGCACCATTCAGAACAAGTTCAACCAGAAGGAACACCTGCGGCAATATGGGATCCCCATGGCGGACCACCGTGAGCTGGTGGACAACACTCCGGAGGCGCTGGGCAAGGTCGGCGAGGAACTGGGATACCCATTGATGCTCAAGTCCAAGACCATGGCCTATGACGGGCGGGGCAACTTCCGCGTCAACTCCCCCGCGGACATCCCCGAAGCCCTGGAGGCGCTGAAGGACCGCCCGCTGTACGCGGAGAAGTGGGCCTATTTCAAGATGGTTCGTTCAAACGCTGCCCTCTTGTCAGCACAATTGCTAAGTTTCAATCAAACGCACAGGAACTCGCCGTGATGGTCGTCAAGACGAAAGACAGCGTCCTCTCCTACCCCACCGTCGAGACCGTCCAGGAAGACTCCATCTGCAAATTGGTCTACGCCCCCGCGCGCAACGTCCCCGAGCACATCAACGCACAGGCGCAAGAGCTGGCGCGCAAAGCCGTTGCCGCCTTCGACGGCAAGGGCGTCTTCGGCGTGGAGATGTTCCTCCTCGAAGACGACAGCCTGATGCTGTGCGAGCTGGCTAGCCGCATCCACAACTCCGGCCACTACACGATCGAAGCCTGCCCGCTGTCGCAGTTCGACGCCCACATCCGCGCCATCCTCGACCTGCCTATCCCCGCGGAGAGCCTGCAGCCGCGCCAGCCGTCCATCATGCTAAACCTGATCGGCGGCGCCGCCCCCGACACCCACCTGCAAGCCGCCCAGGCCGCGCTCGCCATCCCCAACGCCGGCATCCACCTCTACAGCAAGGGCGCCGCCAAACCCGGCCGGAAGATGGGCCACGTCACCGTCACGGCGGCGACCATGCGCGAGGCCGAGTCGCACATCCAGCCGCTCATCGACGTCGTCGACAACATCCGCGCCCAGCGCTCCGACATCAAGACCCCCGCCCACAAGTCGGCCGTCTCGCCGCCCGCCCCCGCCATCGCCGTCATGATGGGCTCCGACAGCGACCTCAAGACTCTCGTCCCGGGCCTCAAACTCCTCCGCGATTACTTCGGCATCGACCCCGCTGTCGACATCACCTCCGCCCACCGCACCCCGACTTTCATGGCCGAGTACTCCGCCCAAGCGGCAGCCCGCGGCATCAAGGTCATCATCGCTGCCGCAGGCGGCGCTGCCCATCTCCCCGGGATGGCCGCCGCCCACACGGCACTGCCGGTGATCGGAGTCCCCGTCAAGGGCAGCAGCCTGGACGGTGTGGACAGTCTGTACAGCATCGTCCAGATGCCTCGAGGTGCGTTTCACACAATTTTACCTTATTTGTCAATGAATAAAGAGAGCCCCCGCTAATATATAAATAATACAGGCGTCCCCGTCGCAACAGTCGGCATCAACAACAGCATCAACGCCGCCCTCCTGGCAGTCCGCATCCTGGGCGCTTTCGACCCATCCATCCAGCGCAAGGTGGAAGCCTACGCCGAGGCAGCCCGATCCGAGAACATGGAGCTGAAGGGGACCAAGATGCAGGAATTGGGATGGGAGAAGTACTTTGCGCAGATGTAGACACGTCTTTCTTCTTTCTTCTTCCATTCATCCTTTCTTTTCATGCGGATCTGTAAATGAGCGGGATAGAGAAAAAAGATCTCAGTCAGAGAGTAGTATTAAATAGATGAGTTATGAGTGTTAATAGCTATATTATTTCCTTTCTTTTTCATTTTTTTTCTCATTTTTTGTTCATGTCTATATATAAACCTCGAAATGGGGTGGATCTGGATCAGAACAAGATCCTTTTGAGGTCTAGTTCGTGCCTGCCCCGAACCCGCCCCGAACCGCACCAAATGCAACTCTAGCCCCACAGTTGGAGGATGTATGTTTTAGACTAAAGTTGAGTTTAAACATAATTCTTACTATGCCTATTGGCCACTGTTTCTGATTTCATTCTGTCGCTTCGATAAGATGAATCCACGTTTGCCCTTCGACGATGTTGCCTGGGAGAAAAGCGATCAGATCGAAGACTCCTGGCTAGATCTTCTCTTCGATGGAGACATCTACAATGAGATTGGAATCTTTCTTGCAGAAAATCAGAGCTATAACAGGCGACATTTAGCACTGTTGTCCCAGTACTGTGGCAGCAGAACATAGGGCGGTGAAAGTGGACAACCAGATAGCCCTTCAGATAGCGGGTTTTATATATAGCCCCATTTCAAGGTCTAGAGGTGATTTACCTACACTTCTGTCTCACAATGATGGTAATGCACCATAACTCCATTACTACTTGCTTGAATATAAGACATACTGTGACTGATAATGAACATAAAAAATGATAATAATAATTAAGTCAACTCTACCAACAGTAACAACATGAGTAATTAGGTATCAAAATGAGATACAGACCGACGGGGCATCCATCCGCAACACACATGAGAAAAAAAGGAAATCAGAATCACTAATGACGGGAAAGAGAGAGATATCACAACATAAAAGAAAGGGGGAAAAGATGGTTAATTACTAGTAAGTAGTAAAGTATCGAGGATGTAACACCTTCCGAGTGGATTTGTATTACTCCGATAGAGGTGAATCGTCCTATGCAGTCTGGGGGTTGAACGCGGTCTTGGATCCGGGGATGGTCGGTCCGTCGTGCGGCATTGTGGTTGTTGTGCCGTTGCTACCAAATGCCTGGTCGACTTCGTCTTTGAAGCCGCGGGATTGGTACTCGTGAGCCTTGCCCCGGCCGTTGGTGGCGCCGTTGGTAAAACCGTTTGTGGCTCCGTTGGTGGCATACTTAGCGCTGCCATTGGTGGTGCCGCCGTTGGTGATACCGCCATTGGTGGCTCTCTGGGGACCAGCGCTGGCAGAGCCGTCTGTGCGGCCCAAATCCGCGGTGCGGTGACCCCGGCGGGTGGGGGTGGCCGGCGTGGGGATATCGGTGGACTCGCCAGCGGAGCCGATGCTGAAGATGGGGGACTCCCAGCGGTCGCCCTTCTTGGCCAGCTCGGTGTACTCGGTGGCCTTGGTGGAGATGCCGCCGGGCAGCTGGATGTCCGGGAACATAGAGTCGTGGAGCGTGAACACAGTCTGCACCTTGGTGTCGCGCTTGGGGCCCTCCTGAGTCGCCTGCTTCTTGCTCTCCATCTTGGTGCGGAAGGCGTCCAGATACCGCGAGTAGATGTTGGGTAGTTGCGATGGATCCTCCTGGGCGGTTTCCAGGGCGGCGGCTTCAGTGCGCTTGACTTCGGATTGGATCTCGCGCGCGAAGGCGTCGCCGCGTTGGAAGGCGTTCCGCACTTGCTCTTCGAGTACCTTCTGCAGAGCGGGACGCACCACGTTGTGCAGCATGGGTCGGAAGAGGGTGAACAGCACCTTGTGCTTGGACTTCCGCAGCTTGATGTCCAGGTGGTCGATCTTGACGGTCACCTTGTCCAGCTTCACGAAACTCTGCTGATCAGCCTTGTGCGCCGTCGAGGCCGCGATCTTGAAGCCGAAGCCCTCGCCGCCCAGCAGAATGTCCATGACACCCATGTCCGTGACTGCGGGGAAGCCCTCCTTCTTGTGGATGTAGTAGCTGACGTCGCGCAGGTCCGCCTGGATGCCCGACACCGAGATCATGATCTTGTTGTCGCGCTTGCTGCTGATCTTCTTGCGGCCCCAGCGGAAGTAGTTGTCGCTGCCGAATTCGACCACGTTCGGCATCAGATTGTCGCTCTCGATCACCAGATTCTCCACCACGATATCCGCCATCTGGTCCATCACCTCGATACGGGGCACGGGCACATAGCGGATGTTCTCAAACAGACCCGGGAGGATCACGTTCCCAATATCCGTCAGCAGGTGCTTCTTGAAGGCGACATTGCCCTGAGGATCCCGGCCCAGGTCATTGAATAGCTTCTCCATCGAGTCGCTAAAGGCTCTGTTCTGAGGATCCTTGGTGAACTGGTCTCCAATAAACTTCACTTCGTCCAAGACACGGTCTGTGTGGCTGCGGTACCGCTCACGCAGCAGGTACTTGCCGTGATCCGCCAACTGATCCCATTCACGGTTACAGTCCTCCTCGACGATGTAGCCCTGCTCCTGCAGGCACTTCCTGTTACCGAGTTAGGATTTATTTTGCTCCTGGTGGTGGTGGCGGTGATAGTCCGTACCTGATAAAATGGTCCATGTTCTTGAACCAACCCTTGAGCTCCGCATCCTTATCCGCATCACGGTAAATGGTCTCCAAGGAGTCGAACAGGTCATCCAGGGAGGTGCTGTTGGCAAATCGCTCGACCAAGACCTACTAAAGTTAGTGACGGCGTAGGTATAGGGAGCTGCGCAGGGCACATACACGGAGGTTAGTTTCCATAGTTTGAACCTTATCGTTACCACGGACGCCTTGAACCATGCCAGCGCCCTGCTTGGAGGCATGTCGTGAGGTACTGCCGTACTTCTCGACCAAGCTCAGGATGGTTTCGATCGCCTGCTGATCTGTATATCGGAAAAATCCCACCTTGTTAGAATTTACTCCACCATCGAGATGGGCGAGATCGTCCACTCACAGTCGGCGTGGCCCTGGATCTCCAGCACCACACGCTTCAGACGCCAGATGGTCTGGTCGCGGCGCTCCTGGGGTATCTTCTCCTGTAGGTATCCCTTGGTCTTGCCGGACATTTCGCGTGCTCGGGACTTGGTTGATTCGGAGATGTTGTCCGAAAGTTTGCGCTTGGTGTTCTCGGCCCCCTCGCGGGCACCCGCTCGACCATCAACGTCGGCGGTGGAAGAAGGGTCCTGACCGCCGGTAGCCTCGTTCAACCCGGAATCCGCCACCTCAGATGCTTGCTGCTCAGCCTAGAAAGAGTCAGAAGAAATGCTATAACTAGAATTGTCGCCGGGACATAGCCTTACCGATTCCTTGTTCCTCTTGAACTTTGACCGCATTTGATCCTTGTGCTTGTTAAAATCGGGGGCCTCGTGCCAGGTGTTCTCCTCAGCCGGCTCGTCAACCTGGGACAGCTGATCCTCCGACGGGCGCACCCTGTTGGCGGCCTTTTGCGATACATCGCCCGCGATGTCCCGGGCGATAATCATCGCGTCGTTGACTGGGTGCATGGTCAGCGTGGATCCATCTTTCCTCCCATCGGTTCACTCACGGAGTTTGCGGAACTGGCCGTTCGTGACCAAGAGAGTCCCCAGGGTTTTTAGGCCCTCTAGGCCCTTTTGACCGTCTTGTTTGGCGCCATCCTTGGTCACGCCGACGTTGGCTCTCCCGTCGACATCGTCTTTGGACATAGTGTTGGCGGACCAGATGAATTCCTGCAGCAATTGGCCGTCATTCTTGCTCAGTAGCAGCTTCTTGGCTTCCTCGATGACATTCCGAACATCCTGGACGAGGGCTTGACCCTCTTCAGAGAGCTCTTTGGAGGGGGACGAGAGCGCCTTGGACGCCAGTGCGCTGTTCAAGGCGATATCGCATTGTTTGTTCTGTCGAGCGAACGCCAATTAGTCTCGGACCATTCATGTCAAGACGCGACGGTCTGCATCAGATCTACACACCGATGGTAATTTGCCATGTTTGAAACCTAGAGGCGAAAAATTGCATTAGTGACCTGGTCGGGGCATGCACGATCGTCTCCCTTTCCGCATCGCCGCGCCCGGGATGACTTACCTTGATATATACCAAACAATTGCAGTTTAGAGTTGATATCCTGCAGCGATATCTGTCAATAGCGGGTCGGGGCGATCGTCCGATAATTAGGCAACCATACCTGCTCCTTCAGCTTCGGATTGACGGGACGATTGACCGCTCTCGAAGGCATGATGACGAGTTGCACTGGGATTCAGAGATCCACAACAGAGGCTCGTCGAGTTTATATTCTCACGCGGGAATCAAGTGGCCGCCAAAAGGGAAAGAAAGGGGAGGAAAGCAAAATTCGGGCCACACGGACAGGAGATGGGAAATCGAAGAAAAGATGAGTCAAGGGGTTCAGGGCCCAAGGGGAAATCGCGTCGCCGGGGTATCAAACACAGGAATGGGCGCGACCAAAGCAGTTTAGTGGAGGGGATGGAATGAGGGAGTCGATGGGTGAATAGTCGGAAGGGACAGGGGGAGGCAAGAAGGGGGTAAAGACGAGAGGAAAGGGAGAGACCGAAGAAGGGGGGGAACGAGAGGGTTCAAATCGAGGATGATGATAGTAATATAAGAACAAAGATCTTTGTGGAGATCGGCGTCTCCATCTCTCGACTGACCTCTTGACTTCTGAACCCTCTCAGTCTGTCCGTCTATCTCTTGGGATAATTATGGTTGACGTCAGAGTGTCGTGTGGTTGTATAACCCGAACTCAATGGGCCCGAATGAATCGAGTTGCCTGATGCCCCAGTCATGATTTTGGTCTCCATGAGATCATCGTTTAATTCTCGTCCTGTGTACGGGGTACTGAGACCACAACACCGCTGCGTCGATCGCCATGGGATCCACCACAGGTTTCTCCTCCCTAGGGGGAACCTGTCGAAACTCCCAAGATCTCGCCCGTCGCGACAAGTCAATATGATATCAAACTGGACGCTTCCCGATGATCGGTCATCTCATCATCGCCTGTCCCCCTCCCCCATGATTCTCTAATCACATACAAGAGTTGCTCGTAAAACCTCCAAAAAAAAAAAAAAAAACAGGAAATAAAAGCATAAAAAAAGAAATAGGCAGCAAATCTCATGGGCCGACTGGCCTTTGCTCCGCCTTGCAGCTTGTAGCCCTAAAGGAGCTTCGTTCTCCAGTGGGATCCATCCCAGACCCATCTTGATCTTCCCTGGACCCACCGAGACACATCACGATGACGTAATGGCTGATTTGAAGTTGAAGCGGCCGAAGCAGCTTTTTTCTTCCCTGCCTTTTCTTGTTCATGTGATTTGTCGATGACCGTCGAATGGTTGATGATGGCGTTACTCTTCTTGGTTTTAGATGCAACTCGTGTCGCCATCCGTCCCCAGTTCTATTGACCAGGTGGCTTCCCTCATGGCTGCACCTCTATACGGGGTAGGTCCTCCGGAGATCACGAGGGTGAGTCGGTCCCATAGGTCAGAGATGCCTTCCATCCCAGTAAAATCGATTAAATAGGGGGATGGCTTTGTTTGGAGAACTTGTTTTTTTTTGGAACCAACGTAGACTATCTTGATCACCACGCCGTCGTCCGAATCGGGCAAGGTTAGAAACAATAATAAGATTAAGTAATATGGACGGGAGAACCATTGAAGTCAAATGGAAAGATTTGTAATTGATGGACAGGATCGGACCGGCTGAATGGTGGTCGCGCTCCAGAAAGATCTGATCTGATCTCCAGCTGGAAACAAAATTTGACCCCTTGCGTTCACCCAAATGAAAACAATTGCACACGAGCAGAATCCACATGGGGGTCGTATATTTCTCCCTGCGAGCAACTGGGGATTCCCGTGGGCCACGATGTGGGTGGGTGGAGTCGTCCCGAAGTGGAGGAGATGCAGCTTCCCATCTTTGGTCCCGAATTGGTCACATCGACCTGGACGAACGCCCTAAGAACACGCGACAGTGGGACTCGGCCGCGATGGCCAGTGAATAGGAGAAAGAGGGTCAAAAGACCAATTGGTATGTAATAGATAATATTGAGGGGGGGAAACAGGAAGGATATCATGATCTACGATCGGTCCATGGTGTGAGAACCCACGCGCCGATCCAACTCATCGTCACGATGATCCGAGGCCAAACGCGACATATCCAGAGTCAGTCGGATCCGGCGGTTGCGTGGCCGTCAGGTCGCCCGAATACCCCAGTGGCTCTGCCAGATAGAACAGCGAAGGCTGCAACAATTGTTCCTGCACGCTGCCCGAAATCTGCTGGAATTTCTGAAGCAGCGTACTGGTTTCCCATCGTCGCTCTCCGCGCGCGAGAATAGCCTGCGTCTGCCTCAGGCTGTCGATCGCCCGTGCGTGGCTCTTCAGCCGATCCTCACTGTCCACGAGCGGCGGCCGGGCCACGTTGTGAGCGAGGGTCGGCAGCGCCGGAATGGACGGGCTAAGGAGCAGTTCATAGTGCTGCGACAGGATGTCGACAATCCGCACCCCCACCTGGTAGGCCCGTTGGAGATCGAGCTCGGTCATCAACGGCAGCCACTTGGGATCCTCCCACACGCGGTGCAGCTGTGCGATGTAATGTAGGCAATGCTCGAACAAGAACACTTTGGCGTAGTCGCATAATGTCGAAATATCTCCGGAAGGCGAGAGGATGACGGTGATGGTGTAGAGGAACTCCAGCCGGTAGATCAGGGGGAAATGCGAGGGAGCTATCTTTGGTGCGCCCTCCAACCATTCGTGAGCTTTTGCGCACAACGTCCACATCGATGCGTCAGGTAGTGGACCTGCCTGCTCCGATTGATCAAAGAATCTCTTCTGGTAGGCTGCGGACAAGATCCGTCGGATGCGGACCAGATGCCACGCGGGCTCCGGGCTCCGCTGGAAGATATGATTCGACTCTGTCAGTGCCGAGGGGATTGGTACCGCGGTGGAAGGCAAGGCAACGTTAATCGAGTCATCCGACAAGGAGTACGTCCTGTCCAGAGCTGTGCTCACCCCGCTATGTCCAAGTCAGTCGTCTGTCTCACGGGCTGCGGAGGGCGCGGTCAGGAGCGGGTCAGGAGATCTTACCGGTCGAGACAGTAGGCACAATGAAATACACGACGCCGAATCTCCAATGGTTCACTATTGGAGACGACCTCGGGAGAGGGGTCCTGGTGCAGTCCCAGATCCACTATGGCTCGAGCTGCCATGCCTACCAAATACCACGAGCGGAATCGCTGGGGGTCGACGAGAGCATACTGCGCCAGGAGAATGATGGCCTGGATGCCTGCGATGGAACCAGGGCGAAGAACGTCGTCCGCATACGGTAGTGCCCCGGCGAGAAAGGATTGAGCTCTCTGGTAACTTCGGTCGCCTGCCTGGCTGGACAGCGACCCAGAAGCGACTGCGAGCACCATGCGCAAAAACCACTGGTCGGAGGACTTGGCGAAGCGGCCTCCTCCCTGGTACACGGTGTCCACCGACGTCCAAAAATTCGTCTCGACGAAAAACGGCAACTGGGGGAAGAACCGATCAAAATAGTGCTGCAACAGCGGGGTGATGTCACTGCGCGGCGGTAACAAGCTTGATTCCGATTTTGGGACCCCGCCGGCGAAGGAGAGCGACAAGAGGAGATTAGCAAACGACGCGTTGGACGTGATCCCATGGAAGTCCCTCGAAGTAGCATTGACCGACCTGTGCAACCCGTTAGCGAAAAGTCATCTAGAACCGCAGATCGAAACTGACAAGTAGCCAAAGTCTCCGACCAGGTCATCAATATCCGACACTTCTTTGCGATGGCCCTGCGCAAAGCCCCCTGCGGCCGAGTTGGAGGTAATGGAGCTTTCCCGCACCACTTCATTCTGCCCGAGAGAAAGCAATTCTTTGCGACGACGCAACTCGGCGATGCGTTTTTCAAGTCGTTCGCAGTGGCCCTCGAGGGATGCGACGTAGCTTCTCTCCTTGCCGCGTGCGAATTCATCGCTTGCCCCCGAACACGAGGTGGCTTTCCCTACTCGTTCACATGCCGAACAGGCGGGGAGCTTCCCGTCGCATTTGATCTTGGCTGTCCGACATCTCGAACAGGCAGCCACCGGCCGACTGACTCGGAGCTCGGGCGCATCGAGGAATGGGTTGATGTGTTCGTTGTCTTCGCGCATAATCACAAACACCTAGCGATGCTATGAGACAAAAAGAAGAGAAAACGAAGAGAGCATTTCACAGGTCATTTGGAGTTGGTATAGTTATGACTGCGCGACCCTTACCGTATTGGACAGCAATCAGTCAGTCAATCAACTAGTCGGATAAATGACACTTGGCAGGGGAGGGTGGTGGGGATAGAATGCGATAGAAAGTAGCGAGTCTATCTATTCCCTCCGATCTCAACGTCTCGACCCCGCAGGGTTTATGCTTTCAGGCGAGGTGCAGATGAGAGACAAGGAACAATGCATCAAGCAGAGGGATGTAATGAAACCGACTAGACAGAACAACACCAATACTATATTTCATTCAATTTATCATATTTGACGAGGAAGAGAAGGCGTATCTCGGAGTGAGTTGGAGAAGAGGGGAAGATCAGTTGCGCAGATGAGGTTGTTGGTATAATCGCCGTCTTCGATGTCGAGTACGGACCATACCGTACTGTATCATACATATCCAGATACATACCAAGATACATACCAAGATACATACCAATTTCCTCCTGCAAACCTCAACTCTCTCCTCTACATCATCTCGTCTCTAGACTGGTTGGCACTCTTCTCATTCTCCATCTATCAATCCATGGTTGCATGTGGTTCGCCCCACTCATTCAGCTACCACCTGTATCGATCTTCCTATAGCAGCACTGCTTTTCTCAACTTCTCCCCCAGACAGAGTCATGCATCAATAGACAGCCTCGTATCCAGTCTCCTGACGATCAATCAAAGGCGGATTTGAACATTCCTGGATCATGACAAAACATAGATCCGATAAGATTTTTTCACGAATGTCGTTTTACGCGCGTTTCCTGGCCAATGATCACCGGATGTATTGTCAGATCATGATTGGCAGGGTCCTTGCAGCATCTCGACAGGCTACCTATCTATGGTGATCGAGGGGGGTTCAAAGGTACATGAAAGACCTCGCCTACAGTCTACCTGGTCGGTTTGACAAATGGTCCAGGGCTAATGATCAAAATATTTCAGGACACAACATCCATCCATCTTGGGTATAATCCAGCCAAAGTCGGAATCTCTACCCAATGTTGTAGATATTGTAAGGTACAGTAAAGTCAGTAAGTAAACGCGGGACGGGGCCGAGGCTTCATTCATTCCACCCATTTATTTTCCTCGCCCCGCCTCCTCTTCTTCTCCCCTTCTCTCCCCTCTCTCTTTCTCTCTCTCTCTCTCTCTCTCTCGGTCTTTGTGTGTACACGTACGTCTTTTTTTTATGGTCTACCCTCTCCTCCGTTATTAATCACCTTTTGATGTCCTCGTCAAATAAGTGATGCTCTCAACCATTTCTTGTCTTCTTTGAGTAAACGGACTCTTCGGAACCGTTGCACTGGTTGAATATGGCTTAGTCTGTTGGCTTCCTTCGATCGGTCAGCCTCTTACTATATTGGTCCTCCACCTCCTCAGGCTCCGGGTGTAATTAATTAATCCTTTCGCAACCCCCTTGGCATGACTTCTTGATGAATATGCCGGTCGACTCTATCTCTTCGCTCCATGCTCTTTCGATCTTCGAACCAAATCGCGTGAGAGTATTCCGTCGGATCCTATTCGAGTCACCGGCCACGGCGTTCGCCAGCTATTGTATACCCGCTGAACTTTGAAAAATATTGTGGCCTCGAAATCCCTCTTTTTCATCATCTTTGACCTCTCTCGTCCTCGTCAATCGGTGGTAGAGTGGAGAGTGGGAGTGGGAGTGAGAGTGAGAGTGAGTGTGAGAGTGAAACACTGCCTCCGTCCAGCGATCCGATACCGTCATGGCAACTCTACCCAACTCGTTCAGGACCCGGCCAGAATTCACCAATCCCTGGAACAGACCCCCATCCAAGTCGTCGCAACTGTCGGACCAATCGTCTGATGGCCGCATTGCACACACATTAACGGCTTGTACCCGGTGCCGACAGGTATGGCCTCCGACGCCCTTCCAATCCCTCCCCTGGTCAACCGCTGTTCTCACCCTGCACCCCTTGCTTGACCCCACCATTGGAGACTCGGCAGGCTGATCGATTCGTTGATAGCGTAAATCTAGATGTGATCCCGGAATACCAAAATGCGCCCCGTGCCAGCGCAGCAATACAAAGTGTGTCTATTACGACTCGGCGCGAAAATGTACCATCCCGCGAACCTACATCAGCACCCTCCGCGACAAGGCTCGCGCCATGGAAAGGGAACTGGTGACGCTTGAGAAGGACTTTGAACATGCAGCGGATGCTGAATTGATGGTGCGCGGAGCCGGTCGCATTCGGTTCAAAGAACACGACGAGTCGCGCTACTTAGGCCCGTCGAGTGGGATCGCCATCACGCGCCTGGTCATGGAGATGGCCAAGCACAACACGGACTCAAAAAGCATTAAAGATGTCGTGCCGGAATTTACCGCCCAGGAGATTAAGGACCGTTTTATCTTGGAGAGCTCCAAGCCCACATCCAAAATCTTTCCCATCATAAGCTCTACCCCGCAGCAGAACCTGCCTCCCAGAGCGATCACGTACCGACTCGTCGATGTATACATGGTCAAAGGTCTGTACTTTTTTTTTGGCTTCCCCCATAGGTGTACTTAGTGAGTCCGAGGGCTAACCGACACGGCAGCCCAAGCAATGCTTCCCACGCTGCATGAACCTACGTTCCGCCAAGAAGTCGAAGATGTATTCAATGGTTCGAAAGACCCGTGCAAAAACTTTCAGCTCCGCATGGTGATTGCCATTAGCATGCAGAAGATGAGCCCCGACTTTGCCGGGCTGGCGGATGGTTATTACCTGGCCGCGCTGCCTTTTCTAGAAGCTTCCCTTCAACGAATGGACCTGAGGTCATTGCAATGTCTGATCATGATCGCGCAATACTCCTTGTTGACACCTACGCGGACGGCCGCATACTGGGTCGTTGGAATAGCAGTCAGACTGAGCCAGGAATTGGGACTGATGACCGAGTCGACCGTAGTGCGCTCACCCAGCGGGGCGCCATTGAATCCCTTGGAGATTGATATGCGCCGGAGGCTATTTTGGATCGTCCTCTCGATGGAATATGGTCTTTCCCATAGCCTCGGACGTCCCAGCTCCTTTTCGGTCCATCATGACTTTATCGATGTCAAATTCTTCGAGATGGTCGATGACAAGTACATCACCGCGGAGGGGATCATCCCTGGAGGGGTGCCAATCCTGCCCAAGTGTATCGCCATCCACTTCTTCAAAATGCGCCTCCTCCAATCCGAGATTCGGCGGACCCTCTATCTCAACAAGCGCGAGACGCCACTTGATGATCAAGACCCGTGGTTCTCCCAGATGCTCTGTAAGCTCGACTACTGGGTGGCCTCGTGTCCGAAGAAAGATGGCGGCAGTGGACTCAGTGCCACATGGTAAGGATTCCTCTCTGCGTCTTCGGGATCTGGTAGCTCACAGGCGGTTCTTTTTGGACAGGTTTCATGGTCGACGGAATACGATGATCGTCTTCATGTTTCGACCGTCGCCCCAGGTCCCCGAACCGTCGGTCAGCGCTGCAGAAAAATGCTATGAAGCGTCCGTCTTCAATGTCAAAATGCAGCGCGAACAGCTCCAGACGCAGTCGGTGGATTTGACCTGGATTTTCACCCAGTCGCTCTTCATGGCTCTGAACACGATCCTCTGGTCCCTATCATACCCCGATATCCGGCGGGAGCACCCGATCGAGGAAGTGATGGGCCACTTGGAAGTGGCCATGGAAGCGATTGCCCTCGCATCGAGACGGTGGCCCGGCGTCGAATCGGCCTTGATTCTTTATCAGAGCCTCGTGACTGCGTGCTTGAAAGCCTACAATACCGACGAGTCCTTCGTGGTGTCGTCACCGGCGAACCAAGGGACTCCCGCCTCCTCGCAGGATGTCACCAGTCCTCCGTCCACGACGAGCCCCGCGAGCACCACCGCGTCCTTCCACTCCCAGAACGTTCGGGGCGCCAGTTCCTCGGTCACTGACAGCGCATCGGTCCACGCCTTCTCCCGGGGGCCTTCGACTGACCCTCCCCCTTCCCACTCACAGCCATCGTCCCAGACTTCTCCCTTATCAAGCGTGGCCATTGAGCCCATCAAAGCAACCGACTTCGCCCTATGGGGTCCCCACTCGCACACGCAGTCGTCACCTTCGTCGAACGCGACGCCCACCCCATTCACCACGGCCCCATACAAGAAGCCCCAGACGACCTGTGCCGATCTGCCCTTCGACGCCGCAACGCCATACAATCCCTTTCCGTCCGTCTTGCCAGGGGTTTCGGGCTGGGACCCCAATGCATCGATCGCCTCCACCACCTCGGAGACTCTGGCATATATCAATGCCGCTTTCAATCCGTTAGACTGGATGGACACAATGGATGACCAGTACTCCCAATACCTCAACGGCGCTTATCCGACCTCCTCCTGGCGGGAACGGACCCTGAGCCAGCAAGATCAGATCGAGCTAATGGCGTCCCTAGCGGATAACATTCCGGATGTTTCGTCCCAACTCGTGCAGGACTCGGCCACTTTCTACCAGTCGTGATGCATGTGTTTTTCCTACTCTTCTTGTCGTATTACTTGCTTTTCTTTCCCCCCTCCTTTTTTTCCAAACCCATCTTTACTCTATCACTGTATTTTCTTGGTTTCTCGACTGGTCCCTTATAGTCAATGCGTGCACCGCGACGCCTTGGGGGGCCATGATCGCGTTTATTTTTTCTCTCTCTGGAAATGTAAATATACCCATGGGCTATATGATTATGGGGTGTGTTTGTTTATGAGTTGTGACAGCTTGGCGTTCGGAGCCAGTGTACGACTTTGGAAGGAAACCTGGATCTTTTTCTAATCATTTTTTTTTCTACTTTCCTTGTCTGTTTGTGATCTATCGAGGGTGGAAAGCTATCTATCCACTCACGATCATTCAGTCCCCCTGGAGATACTTTACACAGGGTCATCAATCGATCCGTGGCTCCGATCCACGATAAGTCTTCTGTCAGGGATAGGCAATTACTATTTGAAAGGGGTTTCTCAACCCCTTGCGAAACGCGCAGTTCAGCGAGTCCCAACTATATACGCGGGGAGGACCACCCATTTCTTGACGGCCAACCTGGCAATGAACGAATGAATGGTCCTTACGGAGGATCTCGGGCCATTGAAGTATCGGACCCACCGCGCACGTCCTTCCGTTGGTAGTGGAATCATGGACTTCCACCACCGGGGCTTGCTTAAGTTGGATATGCAAATCCTCAAGTTTTGACTCGCGTGCGCTTTTCGGTCTCGGGTCGCGATCTTTGATACCCAGTGCATTCTGTCTGGTTGACTGTATAGAGTTTACTGACAGACACTGTAGGGGGTGGTATGGTATGTAGCTTTATATCAAGTGCGGAGAAGAGAGCAATATGTGTACAGCATTCAATAGACATTCAAACATCATATTGGGAAAAATGTGAAAGATCTCTGAAACAGGATGACAGGGCTATCCTTCACCTTGAAAGAGTCCATGAAGCGTAGGTGACTCTCGTATTATACGGTATGGACGATACCGACGTGACCGTACCGTACCGTCCCGTCCCGCGGGCTCGGTCACGTGACCCGTCCCATCCCGTCATGCTATCCAATTCCATTCCATCTTCTCCTCCAGCGGCGGATCAAAGGGTTTCTCTCCCACCATCACCATTGACGAACCCCCGAACCACCCCCTCCTCCCGCCGTCTTCTATCGCTCTTCTCGCCAATATTTCACTCTCTACTCAATTATTCGCCTCGCTATTTTACGATCGCCTTTCTTTCGGTTAGTTCGCTACGAGGAGTCAACCCCCGGCGATCTGGAATGTGTTTCGTCTAGACGGGTCGTCCCAACGTCCTGCTCGCCCGTCTGAGCCCCCCCGACCCGGTGTGATCGCACCCCCTCCCTCGCTTTGGATCTATCTGGACCCGCCGCTGTTCCGTGGGGATTGTCAATCTCGGCCATCTCGCGAAACGGGTCGTGGGACGCAAACTGCGTTCCGCCCTCCTTAGGCGTTTCGTCAGCCGACCGTGGTCTCTTTTGCATCTCTCCTCCAAGACTCCATGTCTGATCGCGCCTCATCGGTATCACTCCGAGCAGGGCCTCCGTCACCGTCTTCTCCCGCCGCCGGCTCTCTCAAGGAGACTCAGCCGTCGATTCCCGTATCCGATCAGATCCCTCAGACTCCGACATCGCCACCGTTGATGTCGGTAAGCGCTCAAAATTATGCCTCCAACTTCACTTCCTCGCAAGCATCGCCCAACCAGCAGACAACCTCTCAGCCCGCGAACGTCTCCTCCCCTCCATCCTCGGCTCCCATGTCCACTCAGCCCTCCCAGCAGCCGGTCGTAGGCCCCCCGCAGTCGTTTCCCACCCCGGCGAGCAGCGTGAGCGGTCAGTTTCCGGGGCCATCCTCCGCCGATGACGCGGACCACGCGGATAAGTCCGTCTCTTCGGCGATGCCGGATGCGGCAGCGTTGACGGACGCCTCGACACCACACGCAGATAACCGGCGAACCGATCACGAACGGCAGCTTGGAGGACCGGGCGACGCCATGGACATTGACACGGACGGCGCTCTGGGCCGGATATCGAGTCTGGACTCGCTACAAAAAGAATTCTCGTCGGCTTACCATCTGTGCAAAAGCTGTAAGAGCTCCCCAACACCAGTTACTGGTGCGGGCTGATGCCCCCCTTTCATTTATACATATTGCGCCTTTGCGCGCTGTTCCATAACATCTCTAGGCTGAGCTTCGTTAACACTGTGCCATGAACCTACAGCTCATGTCACACCTGGTCCCGATCCGTCGATCGATCTCGTCTCGCTGTACGGGCTCGGGCCGGTGGCAAAGTCGGTGGCCCGCATGGACCCCATCACGGGGGAGAAGATCAACCGGTTACGGAAGTCGTACGAGGGCAAATTAAAGGGATTGGGCCTCGCAGGGCGAAATAAGCCCGTCAAACAAGAACCGGGGGCGCCCGGCGGGTTACGGCACATGACCTTGTGGCCCGAGGAAGAGTGGCAGAACCAGAAGGTGTACGGGAAGGACATCAAGATCGCTGACATGGACTCCGCGCTGCACAATCTCCAGATGAAGGCGATGAGGATGGAGCCCGGCGCCGTGCCGAACAACGACTACTGGGAGGATGTGCTGGGCCATGAGAAGCCGTCGAAACACGGCGGCGCGGAGGCAGGCAAGAAGACGACCGCCGCCCCGTCGGCGCCCAGCGGCGCACGAGGGCCGAATTCCGCGAACGGGACCCCGACGGCCGATGCGGATCGCAATCGACCGAGCCGCGGGCGCAAACGGCATTACGACGAGAACAGCTTTGTCGGGTACGGCGAAGGGTTTGCGGACGACGACGACGAGGGCGCGTTCAACTCCAACGGCGAAGGGGTGGGGAAGAAGAAGCGAAAGAAGGTAGGGTAGTCGAGGGAGGGACATGGGGACACGCGCGCAGCCTTACTGATGATGCATCAAAGGACCATGTCTCGAAGATATCGACCCCTCACCCGGACCGCGGAGGAAGCTACGGGGTGGGCATATACGGGATCGGGGCCAGATAACGGGGACCCCTCAAATACCCGAGTCCATCCCCCAGGTTGATGAGAGAGGGGGAGAACCATCCCAAAAAGAACCAGGAACGAAAAAGAAACGAACAGACTTTTTGTTTCTCTTCTTCTGGCTGTTTTCTTTTTTCATCTTGCTTTTGTCTCTGAACCGGTTTCGGACTTGAAAAGAACAGAATCAAAAACCCAGAAAAGCACCAAAAAAAAGAAAAAGGGACAATGAAAATGAAGTTGAGGCCGTTTGTCCTTGGACCGGAGGACCTTACCCCGATCTCGACATCGGCCTCTTGCTATTCTCCGTACATTTTGCATCACGGTGCTGGATATACCCGGCTTTTTATCACTGGAAACGGCGTTGTGGGTTCTAACTTCCGGGGGGATTCCCGTTTTTTTTTTTTTTTCTTCCTTTTTTTTTTTGCGTTTTATTCAATCTTTCCCCCCGTGTTGCGGTCAAGATTTGGGAAGTCTTTCTGCTGTAATGTCCATGCAGACATACTCGTGCTGTGTTTCTATTCATTGATTGATTGATTGATCCGATGCGATGTTCTTGTTCTGTTCATTCTCCTTGTTTCTGTTACTTCACTTCTTGCAGTTTTTCCACCCGTCGTCCGAACTACAGAGGACCTAGGCGAGGTTGTATTTTGAGGGTTTGCCTTTTATCCTTTTTTTTTTCTTCTTCTTCTTTCCCGCTTGGATGCGTCGTGTTTCTGAAAGATACAGAGAAACCACCAGACCGACAGGATGGGAGAGCATCGAACAGATGCTTGATTGATATTGACATATTAGAAATAGCGGGCTACCCTAGGATAGTACCCATAGGATAGGAATGATACCATTTGCTTGGTTTCTGTACTCTGGCTACAGATAGTAGGGTCAAAATAAACTTCAGTCTAGACTTTGGGGCGTTTCAGTCAGGGTTCTCTGTCTCAGGTCAATCCGGCTGCTCAGATATCACACAAGGGGAAAGTATCCTCAACAATGGCCGGTTGGATTAGTTGGTCATATCGTTTCGTTAACACCGAAAAGGTCGCCAGTTCGAACCTGGCACTGGTCATTCTTTTTTCTTCTTCTTTTTTTTACTCGACTTTCACAATCTTTCACTCTATCAACCTTGATTCTCTCTCCTCCACCCCTCTCGTATCCATTTTGATCTTATTTCATATTTTAACTAACAATGAACACCCTAAACAACACTATATATATCATTATCAAATAAAGAATCTAGTTGGTCGACAAACGCGGCTCATTATCAAGATCTTCAAACCTCAAACATCCCCAAGATCGCCAAGCCACCATGCGTCGCAGCCGTGTCCCAGAACGCACTCGTTCCATCCCTGAGCCCAGTCAAATCAGGGAGCCTCTCTAATTCTATCATCTCCCTAAAAATGGAAGCTTGGGACCAGGACTTTTAATCCGCCATCCGCTTCACAACGCCGACGCCACAAACCACTCGGGATTCTCCCCATTACAATCCCTTGTCTTAACTTCCTGACGTCCGTTTCCATACTTTACTCCCGCCGGGTTCCTGCGTCAACCGGGAGTCAAGGCTCACCTGCAAGGAGTCAAAGACAACTTAGTGGCATGGTATGGCTGGTTCGGTGGGCCGTCAGGGGTATGAAAAAATGGCCTACCATGTTTCCAGCCAGGGGAAGATCCACCCGTATTTCCCCCGATTCCTGCATCGGGATGTCGATCCTATGGATATCTAAATAACGGCTCAGGACCCGGCGGGTCCTACTTTTCCTATTCGGTCTGTTGTTTGATGCTCCTCCAGTCTTTTTGGAATCTAAGACAACTGAAAACTTCCTTCGAGTCATGCCTCTTTTGACATGTTGGTTGACCGCGGTGGGGCGCTCGTCCCTTGGATAGACTAGGTGTGGGCTCGCCCTGGTCCTGTCTTAGTCCAGTCTGCCTCCTTGCGGTATATGCCGTACGGACTATAGCCGAGAAATTCCACTGGCGGCCAGGCGGAGCTGAAACGAAGATGACCCAGTCCGTTGTTTCTAATGTGAGGCCCCGCGCGTGCCTAGATCGCTGATGATCTCGTGTTTACCTCGAGATGGGCGCTTCTGCAGCGCATAGCTGCGGCGGTAACAGCAGAGCTGTCAGCGTATTTCTTCACCGTGAAGTTCGACATATCTGCCACGATGTGGGAGACGAAACTGCATGCTGGAATGCCGCATCGCAACATATCCACCCTCGTGGCTGTCGCCCAACTTGCCCTTACGTTCGATGCCGCTGGGCCGCAGGCTGTGGCCCAGATCGTGATGTGACCCATCCGGAGACTATCCCCAGGTCTAAGAACCGACTAGGGCAGGTGTTCTGAAACGCCCAAGGTTCCTGGACCCAGTATCGCCTCATCTCGCTGCGCTGTGGTATAAATGAGCCCTGGGGCCCTTCGTCTTAGCCATCTGAGACCAGGCCATTTTGTTCTTTGCATTCTCTTTCTATCTTTCACTCTCTTTTCTTTCTTTTTACCCTTTTTTTTATATACATTTTTTTTTACTTTCTTTATATATAAATATACTTTTCCTTCACCATGGCCCCCCTCCTTCTCCTATTTCAGCTTTTCGCTCTTTTAACTACATTGGCTGCTGGAAAGCCAATCACTTTCCCGAGACGGGTCTCGGAGCCTCCGCGGGACGGCGGCATCAGTTTCCCCCTGGATGTTCGTCTGCGTGCGCTGGGCGACACCGCCGTGCTGGCCCGCATCACGAACACCGGTCATGAGAGTCTCGAAATCGTCAAGAGCGGCGGCCTGATGGACTGGCGCCCCACGCGCAAGGTCAACATCACCAGCGACAATGACGCCCTCTTCGACGGCGCAGAGGTCCGCTACATCAACAGCCACCTCTCCCGCGACGCCTTCGCGCACATCGCCCCCAACCAGACCCTGCACACCACCTTCGACGTCGCCGACTTCTACGACCTGACCGCAGGCGAGACCTACACCGCTGCCGCCAACAGCGCCCTGGAATACACCACCAGCAAACATCCCACGAAGTTCGCCCGCGCCGCCTACCGCACCAACACCATCACCATCACGACCCCCAAGGACCGCCCCACCCACAAGCTCAGCGCGCGCTCCACCCTCGCCGACTGCTCCGCAGAAGACACCCAAGCCGCGCACGACGCCCTGGGCCGCGCCACGCAGATGGCCCAAGCCGCCGCCGCAGACGCCCGCGACGGCACCAGCGGGCTCTTCGAAAAGTACTTCAAGACCTCCGACCAGGCAGCCCGCGACCAGGTCGCCTCCCGCATGGACGCCGTCGCCTCCGAGGCTAACTCCGTCGGCACCCTCACCTACTACTGCCAGCCGTCCGGCGACGACGCCTGCGGAGGCAACATCGCCGCCGTCACCTACCCCACCGAGAACAAGGTCGTCAACTGCCCGGCCTACTACCAGACCGTGGCTATCTCCAACGACTGCGGCTACCTGGACCGCGCGGGCATCACGCTCCACGAGATAACCCACGCTTCTGTCTCTGAGGCGCAGGGCACGGACGATATTGCGTACGGCATTGACGATGTGCTCGCGTTGGGTACGGAGGATGCGTTGAACAACGCTGATACTTACGCTTACTATTCTTCCGGTATGTTTCTTTTTTCCTCTTTTTTTTTTTTTTTTTCAATCAATCCTCCCCACCTCCCCCTTTACCTATGGTTCTGGAACCCAAAACCATGTGGCTCATTACCGTTACCATTACCAAATTCTAACCACAACCATAGACTCCTTCCTCAAATGCTACGACCAAGGATCCTCCACGCCGCCCGTCAAGACTGCCCCTCCCGCCGCGCCTCCTGCTCCTGCTCCCCCCGCTCCTGCCCCTCCTGCTAACAACGACGACGGTAACGCCGTTACCGGGGGCGATGCACCCCCCGCTGGTGACCTCAACCCTGGTGAGGTCTGGGTCCCTGTCGCTACTATCACTATTGCGGCTGATATTGTGCCCGAGGCTACGGCTGCTCCTGCTGTCTAGTGTGGACTGGAGGGTTTGACTTGAGTAGTGAGTGGGCTGGATCGGTATGGGATAGGATGGATGGATGGATGGATGGACGGGTTGACGGATTGGATAGCGTTACGTTTCTCTGCATCACTTCACTTTACCACTTTACTCAACCATTACATTTCTCACTCACCCTCAGACTGAATAATAAAATAAATACCCCTTTCTCTTCTAGTTGACGGCTTTCGTGGATGAAATGAGGCAAGGGAAGAACCAAGGTTCTTTTGATACGGTGGTGACGCCTCCAAAGCTAGTTTGGGAGCGAGCCACTGTCTGATCATATATGTAATAAGTTCACCTTTGGTATTTCGTACGTAGGGGACAGCGCTACTGTCCCTCCATTTGGCTTCGTGCACCGCGCGAGCTTTTCGTATCAGGTTCGTATTAGTCCTAGTGACTAGGGGAAGGGAGGGGGATGGAGACGTCAGCTCTGGTTGGTAACGATGTCTTGTCTTGTATGGATATAGGGCTTAGCCCGTAACATGTGAGACGGTGTCTGTTTTTTTGCGTCTTTCTGTCTCATTCTGTTTTGAGTTTCTTCCTCTTTTTGATACTCTTTCAGGTTCGTCGGGACCATATACGATGCACACTTCGATATTAGACATAAAAATAAGTGGATGCAGGTCCTGGCAACAGGCCATAATATTACTGTCCGTCGTAGATTTGATCGGGTGAGAGAGTAAATTGTCCCTTCTTCAGTTCTTCGGCACTGAGGCCCTCTGGTTTGATGTAGCGGGCTGTCAGGGCGAATCGCAGTCTGCTGTCAGGAATGACCGAATGCTGGAGGGTGTTAGAGTCGGTGTCCGATAAGGGGAAAATTACGTACCTCGAAGTACTTTTGCAGTCTTGAACCATGCATGACAACTAGGTCCCCGTGGTTCAGCTCCATTTTGATGGTGGGTGCGGCCTCTCCACTTCGGCATTGTCTGAGGAGTTCTTTGAGCCGTTTCTCATAACCCACTTGCGCTATATGACCGCCAATGAGCTGGTCTCTGAGTGCCTGCCTCTGCTTCTGGAGCTCACAGCCTTCCAGAATAGGATCATCTGCCAGGGGCACTTTTGCTTTGCTCTGCCCGTGATAGTATTTATACTTCATTCGAATCAACATGGTGGACTTGGCACCAAGAGACAATGTAGCGATGGTTGGGCCAAGCGAGGATTCTCCATCATCATGGTACTAACATCGTTATTTTTGTTTTCTCCTTTTGAGTGAAGGATTACAGCACGTACTCCTATCTTCATTCCCTCCAGATATCCGAGTAGTAGCAGTTCATTCGGGGAAAGGGGCTGATGTCCGGCGGTGGACACGGCTTTTTCGGTTGCCCAGCTGAGACGACCCAAGGCACGTAGTATTTCGCAAGGGGCTTCGTCAAACCCTTTGGAGCCTACCGAAACAACATATTTATATGGCATGCCCTGATGATGTTAATCTCTTCTAGAGCTGAATCCTTTGTGGGGCTCCTACATAATTGACGGCAAAGTGGGCCGTAAGTGTACCAGCGACTAAGAGTAATGACCGTTAGCTTTCATTATCACCCCGTGTACTAAACTCACCAACACTCTGCTGCAAGGGATAGCGCCGCAAATCAAGGTCAGCCTGCTGTAACTGGTCGAATAAATCATTCGGACCGTTGGCACGACTATTGATAGTCCTACTGGAGACTAGATGAGTGATTGATCCGACCCGAGGAATGTTATAGGTGAGTTTTCTGTATGGATATAACGTTATGTCATCAACCTCTGGGATCAGATACTTAGAATCAAAGTACAGCGCCCGCTTGATAGGACTGATCTCGAATTCATCGATCACTGATCGCAGAGAGAGTACGTCTATGGGCATCATTTTCTGATATAGGCAAGGATTGCCTGGCTGGCCCGAAGCAATGTCGTCATCTGTGCATTTCCAGCCTTGCCAGAATCTGCGAGATATGCATTTGGAGCACCTAGGACACACTATACCTCTCCATGAAATGCGAAGAGTACTCTCTTTGAGTGACGATAGCAAATCCGGCACTAGGCTGTAATGCTGTTTAATGTGTTCTGATGGGGTCATCCGATAGTTCAGAAAGTTAGGGTGGAATGTGAGAGCCATTGGGGCTGCTCCGTTGATCTTCCAGAATTTCCTGCAACCCGGACTGAGACACATCCACCCCTCATTGTATATCTGTGTACTGGTCAAACCACAATCAAAACACACTTCTACCTGGGGCTGAACGTGGTTGTTATCACGCATATCATAAGCCACGGGCTCCGGGGATCCCTTGACAGCCCACCAGCTTTTTGCGCTCAGGTCTAGCTTTTCAAACCGGACTTTTGCCCCTTTTCTCTCCCCGACCTTCTCAAACCATATGTCAGAAATGAGAAAGTAATCCATCACGTTATACCGATGGGGGAGTTGTCTTCCCAGGACCGTGTTGCGATTCCCTGTACGAGGTTGATGTCATCCTAAGTGATCATACTTAGGAAGCTTACCTATTATTATACCGATGGGGATTTTAAGTTCCTTGCTGTTATAAAGGCTGGTCAGCGCTGAACCGTCGCAGTCTTGATCCTTGATCAGGGTCAGGTTTCCCTGCGCATCTTTGGTGCAACCGCCCCCTCTTTTCAGCCCAGGTTAGCCTCAGTCATGCCCTAGAACAGATACGGTGCCACCTACACGCGGGTTATGATCACTTCATCGTCTATGTGGGAGCGAATACCACAGTCGGCATCGAGAAGAAACCCAAGGCAGATGTTTCCGGAATGATACACCCCCCCTTGGACGGAACGGAACCAAGGAAGGGCATCACAAAGCTCAGGGCGACACTGGTACATTTTAGTTAGAGTATTCATATACAGGACGGTAAGCAACGAACCTCAGCCCACGCTGGAGGACTTCCATCCACCGGGATTGGAGTCACGGGGATTGGATCTACCACCTCCTCGACCAGACTTGCAATCTTTGACGGATCAAGTGTGGCTATTGGATGTTAGACATACACGCCCAATTGCGGCAACCCCAAGCAAGAAGTTTATGCTTATGAGGTCCAGGCCATTTCTGCTTGGCACTTGGTAGGTGTCTATTCTACGAATTGGGAGACGTACCTGCAGAAGAGCGGTTCCCTGAGCGAAGTACGCGCCCCGATATCACAGCCTGGTGCTTGGTTACTGGCTTCTTTGTGGGGGCCATTTTTGTATCATCTAAGGTAACTTAGGCTTCCATGGCACAGCAAAAGACCGTCACGGGAAGTAAGGCTTGGTCCGTCAGATGTTATTTGACCCAAAGGAGTCTTCTTGTAGAATGGAACACTCACCTAGTTTTGCTCAATTCTGTCCAGTTGCAAATCGAGTATACTCAATTCCAGTTTGCTCACAGTCCAAATGGGGTAATACTGAGCAATGTGGACTGGAATGATGGGAGTGGGTACAGTGGTTATATGGAAGCCGACGTGGTGGTGGCATATAAGGTGCAGGGAGATAGGAGAGATGTTTCCGAACGGAGAAGAACAAGGGACCGAGGATAACGGAAGGGGGGGAGAAGATGATGCTGGAGATGGAGAGAAGGTGGAGATGAAGAAGTGAGGAGAAGACAAAAGGTTGAGATGGAAGATCAGGAAAGCCGGAAAACTGAGGCCATCCGATGGCAGCCTGAACTTGCACTATTTTTGTGACTTCATCGTGGTCGATTATACTTCCAATACCTCATCCTGTCATCGATCTTCCATACATTGAGTTGACAGCACCCAAAGCTTAATTCATCTAGTCGCGGATACCGGTTGAATCCGACTTGGTTTTGTTACTATAGATCTCTGGTGTTTTGAACAAGTACAAATGGAAGCAAACCATATCAAATTGTCAACACGATCGATGTGGACGCAAGGCACCTTGATACTGCAGCTAAAGATGGGATGCATCGTCATAGAAGACATCCAAGTGGATCAGAAACCGCCACTAAACCCAGAACTAAAACATGGCGGCCGATCCTGTTGGTCGCTCTCGGCATAATCTTGCCGATACTCAACAGACTTAACCCGAGGATATCAACAACTACTAATCAAGTCAGGGGTTCTCGTCAGGGCATTCCGGAATGAAAGTACTGGAATAGTACTTGGAAAATGCCTCGGCGGATGGTGTCAAATCAAACCAACCAATCTAGATGATCGGTCTCACCCCGAGGGCTGTGCCAGAACATCAAATCCATTCGAGTTCGGCAAATTCTGCAAGACGATTGATTGCCGAGAAGGGAGCTTTCCCCGCACTCAGGATTGTCCCTAAATCCGATTATTTAACGCGACCACCACCGAGGATCTTCCCTCCTCTCGCTCCCCGCACGTTCTAATTTATTGCCCGCTGACTTCGGTCCATTCTTTCTCCCCTTCCTTCTTTCCCTTCTCTATCGTAAACATCAGACTAGACGGAGGTTGACAATGGTGTTCACTCCTCCCAGCTCGGCAGGCGAGCTGCCCCCGATTCCCGACAATATTCCCATCAGCGAATTTATGCTCTCGGAGTCGCATGGTCGCATTCCTTTCCACCAATCGAGACATCCCTACACGTGTGGCATCTCGGGGCGATCTTACTCCCCGTCGGAGGTGGTGACTCGCGTCGAGCACTTGTCTCGAGCCCTATCCAAGGAATTCAACTGGCAGCCCAACCAAGGTACTGAATGGGACAAGGTGCTGGGTGTTTTCAGTTTGAATACAGTGCGTGGTGATCCCCTGAGGAGGTAAAAAAAAAAAAAACCATAAAATTACCAACTAACTCCGCGGATAGATCGATACGTTGCCTCTGTCATGGGCGACACACCGGTTAGGGGGCGTCGTCTCCCCCGCCAATGCGGCCTATTCCGCCGCCGAGCTGAAGCACCAGTTGCTAGACTCCAAAGCCACGGCGCTTTTCACCTGTCTCCCTCTGCTGTCGACCGCCTTGGAGGCGGCTTCCATGGCGGGTTTCCCCAAGAACCGTATCTACCTAATTGAGCTGCCTCCCCAGATCACCGAGGGCGCAAAGGCCCCCGGTTACAAAACCCTAGAGCAATTCGTCCAGGAGGGAAGCGCCCTGCCGGCGCTAGAGAACCTCAACTGGGGCCCAGGAGAAGGTTCCCGTCGCACCGCGTTTCTGTGTTATTCGAGTGGCACATCTGGTTTGCCCGTGCGTACAGAACCCGAACCCCGGTCTTCATCATAGGATCTTCTGACCGTGTTTGTGTTTTCCAGAAAGGAGTCAAGATCTCGCACCGCAATGTCATTGCCAACGTGCTTCAGATTTCGACCTTCGAGCAGTCTTGGCGGGATCATCTCTCTGCCGGGAGCAAAACCCCGTACACGGACGTTTCCTTGGGCCTGCTACCCCAGAGCCATATCTACGCTCTAGTAGTCACCTGTCATGCCGGATCATTCCGGGGTGATCAGACGATCGTGCTCCCCAAGTTCGAGATGAAGTCATACCTCACGGCTATCCAAAACTTCAAGATCTCCTCTCTGTTCTTGGTTAGTTCAAAAAATATCAATAAGAGTACCAATAACGAGATCACAATGCTGATGGTTCTGATCAGGTCCCTCCAATCATCATTGCAATGCTGCGCAACCACGAGGTCTGCTCCAAATTCGACCTCAGCTCCGTCACCTCATTGTTCACTGGAGCGGCGCCCCTGGGAATGGAAACAGCGGCCGACTTCCAAAAGGTCTACCCGGGTGTCACCATCCGACAAGGTTACGGTTAGTCTTGTCACTCAAAGTTCATAAATGGCGTATTAATGCGTTGGTTCAGGTCTCACGGAGACCTGCACGGTGGTCTCCTCGACCCACCCTACCGACATCTTCCTCGGCTCTTCTGGCAGCCTAGTCCCGGGGTTTGAAGCGCGCATTGTGACCCCAGAAGGCCAAGAGGTGACCGCTTATGATACCCCCGGTGAACTGGTGGTTCGCAGTCCAAGCATCGTCCTGGGCTACCTGAATAATGAGAAGGCCACCAAGGAAACATTCGAGGATGGGTGGATGCGCACCGGTGACGAAGCTGTTGTGCGTCTGAGCCCTAAGAATGTCGAGCATATTTTCATTGTCGACCGGATCAAGGAGTTGATCAAGGTGAAGGTATGTTCCCCGCCTCTTTCCCTACCCGTCCTGTTACTATCTTGGGCGAAAGTCAAGTTAATCACGATGTCATCTTTGCAGGGCCTGCAAGTCGCCCCCGCCGAGCTCGAGGCTCACCTCCTGACCCACCCCGCAGTCGCCGACTGTGCAGTCATCGCGATCCCTGACGCATCCGCCGGAGAGATCCCCAAGGCCATCGTAACCAAGTCCGTCTCCGCCGGGACTGACGACGAAGCCATCGCCAAGTCCATCATGAAGCACGTGGAAGACCACAAAGCGCGCCATAAGTGGCTGAAAGGCGGTGTTCGATTCGTTGACGCTGTTCCCAAGAGCCCTAGTGGCAAGATCTTGCGCCGTCTTCTGCGGGACCAGGAGAAGGAAGCGCGCAGACGTGCTGGTGTCAAGCTTTGAATTGGATGTCCATCGATTTGAGCTGTTTATATCGATCCTACCTAGCGAGGTGTATATATAGAAAGGCGGGTAGACTGAGAGGAATGATTATACTATATTCAGGATGATAAACTTCGACGTCATGTCTGTCTCCCTCGTGGTAGTGACATTCGAATCATAAAATATACAACATTGTTCTACTATCTAATTGGCCATACCGGATGCATCGACGTGTTTGCAGTGTTTGCCTGTCGGCGCGGGGAGATTCAGATTTCTAAGCGGGGACATTTTATCGCCATGGGAAACTCGTCAATCAGCAAAAAAAATTCCTGCGTTTATAGATTTTTATATTTTTTTTATTCCTGCTGTTGTTGGTGATTTGATTTTATCAATACTGTTGTGACTCACTTTTCCACCTTTTCTGCCTTCTTTGTGCCTCTCTTCCACTCTCATCAACAACCACATTTTTTTCCAGCCCTAGTATACCTCCAAACCAACCTACAATGTCTTCCTCGCAAGACCCTCACCACGAAGACGACGTCTTCCTCGGCGCCGACGAGGGCGAAGAGATCGTCGGCCAAGATGATGACCACCCAATGGAGTCCGACGGCGAAGATCAGGAGATGACATTCGAAGACCAAGAGATCCTCCTGCAGAACGACTCCGCCGCCCACTTCGACCTGCACTCCGACTCGCTATTCTGCATCGCCCAGCACCCCATCCACAACGCCATCGTTGCGACCGGCTCCGGCGACGACAGCGCATACATCTTCGACTCGACCCCGCAGAATGAGCGCCCCGTCCTGCCCCAGAGCTACGAGTCGAACCCGCAGCCCAAGCAGGAGCGCAAGTCCCTGCAACCGCTCGTCAAGATGGATGGACACACGGACTCCGTCAACGCGATCGCGTTCACCGAGCCCAAGGGCGAATACGTCGTGACGGGGGGTCTGGACGGCCGGCTGCGCGTATGGCGCGATACCTCGCCCCAGCTGACGGGGCTCACGTGGGGCTTTGTCGCGGAGGCGCAGGAGGTGGAGGAGATCAACTGGATCGCCGTGTGCCCGTGTGAGAACAACGCCGAGGAGAAGAACAACGTGGTCGCTGTGGGCGCGAACGACGGCAGCGCCTGGGTCTTCCGCATTGACCACAATGACTCCGCCGAGCCCATCTCCATCATCCAGTCCTTCTTCCAACACACCGGCTCTTGCACCGCTGGCGCTTGGACCCCCGATGGGAACCTCCTGGCCACCGTCTCGGAAGATGGCACTTTCTACGTCTACGACGTCTTCGGAGCGGCGGCCGCCGCCGGAATCTCCTACTCGACCGGCACCAGTGCCGTCGTGGGGCTGACGCCCGAGGATCAGCGATTCGCCGTCGAAGGGGGCCTGTACTCCGTTGCCATTGCTCCCGGCGGTGGATTTGCGGCTGTCGGCGGCGCGGAGGGTCACATCAAGGTGGTCGGCCTTCCGCGGATTGGCGGGCCCGCGGCGGCACCGAAAGCCAAGGGCAAGGCGACCGCCTCCCAAGCATCGACGGGCGCTTCTGCCGCAGGCACGCTTCTTGCCTCGCTGCGGGCGCAGACGGACGGCGTTGAAACGCTGAGCTTCTCCGCGCCGCCGCTGACCTTCCTCGCGGCTGGGTCGGTGGACGGGTCGATCGCGCTGTTCGATACCGCTCATCGCTTTGCCGTCCGTCGGCATATCAAGGAGGCCCACGAGGCTGCCGTCGTCAAGGTCGAGTTCCTGCAGAACCGCTCGGCGGCGTCGTCGGTGGGCCGCCCCGGTCCGCTGGCTTCTGCGTCTGCTGGCCAGGGCCGGACGTGGCTGCTGACCTCTGTGGGTATCGACGGCGTTGTCAGACGCTGGGATGCCCGTGGCGGAACGACGGCCGCGGGGCAGGGGCTGCTGTCTGAGTGGAGGGGCCATCTGGGCCTCACTGAGAACAACGAGGGGGAGCAGTCCGGTGGTATCATGGGCTTTGTGCAGGGCTTCGATGGAAAGCGGGTTGTCACTGCGGGTGACGACGGGATTTCGCTGGTGTTTGAAGAATAATCTTGTATGACGCTTCTCTTGATTGATTTAACTGTACATAAGACCAGTGGTCTTGGAGTTTTGACCTAAAAAAGATATCTCTTGTTACGCATTTACTATATCATACATCCTAGAAGTATTTTAGTAGGGAGACAGACTGCCGATAACAAGCAGCAGCCTAATCCTAGATCATAAAATAAAAACCATAAGACAATGAAGAATGAGTCTTAATGTAACAACAAACAGATACTATATACAACCAACAAATAAAACAACCCAAGCGCCGTTTGTAGGGAGCTAGGGCCCACCCGGTGATCAACGGACAGTCGACTCCCACGAGAACCAAGAGTCCCCTCTTCTCTTTTTTCGTGCTTTCGAAAACACCCCTTATCTCATCTATGAGTACAGCCACCTCTTCCTGCTTTCATCCCGGGGTATCTGCACATCGTCCGTGCCTCGGCTACCCACCCCATTCATATCCATATCCGGTCCTCCCACATCAATTGCTTAGTGGTGGGCCTCGCCGTGGTGATGATCATCCTGGAGGAAAAAGTGCTCGTATGTGCAGTAGCCGGCGAAGGCAACGGTCGCGATCCCGAGACCGGGGAAGGTGCGCTTGAAACGGTTGAAGCGGCTGAAGGGGCCGGTATACCGCCAGGCCTCACTGAGAGAAGAGTCAGTCATTGAGTCACGGAGACTGTCGGAGAGGTGTCTAGATCACACATACTAGCGGGCCCAGGGATCCCTCCTGGCGTAGGCGGACCGCGGGGAAGCGGCAGCCTTGAATTCGCGAAGGTCGAAACCGGTGGGGTTGGGGACCATGGTGGGAGGTGTATTTGTGGGGTGGGATGAGATCCGAGAAAGGTTGCGTATTGGGAAATAATACGGACAGGCGTCTGAGTCCGCAGGATCCGAGGTGCAATTGGAGTGGAATGACGGAGAAGAACAGCAAGACCGAGAGAGGCAGCGAGAGTGGAAGTTGAAGCTGTACAGAGAGAGCGAGCGAACCGGGACTTGGCGCGCTAATCCTAATTCAAACCGGGCGGTCAATGACCATCCTCACCGCCTACTGGTTCCATCCTTCTGCCTGTCAAATTGACGACCACCATTCGACTCCACTCAATCCCGACCTAACCTGATCCTTTACCCAATCCAACCTTTCCCTCCCACATCGCAACCTCCCTCCAGCCACTACTACTGACCCTCCCTCTCTGTGTGTCAATATCAAATGCATGACCCGCCTGCCGCATCTTCCTCAACTACACGATGCCCCCCCCCGTCGGCAGATACGGGCCCACTGGCCTAGGGGCTCCTTATTCCCATTTACAACAGGCCCATTTGCAACAGCAACAGCAGCAGCAGCAGCAAGCCCAGCACCATCCGGCTCAACACCATCCGGCCCACGCCCAGTCGGCCAACACAGCTCTCCCGCCGCCCTCCCTGGGTGGTCACCCGGGGTTCGCCGCCGGGAATCCCAACACTAATATCAATCCCTTCACGCTGTCGGGCACCGGAATTGCTAATGGCATGTCGGTCGCTGGGTTTGGTGGTGATGGCGGAGGCACGGGCCTTGCCAGCCATGCGGCGCAAATGGGCTTCGCGAGAGGGGCCCAGATGCAGCAACAGCAGCTACATCAGGCCCACGATGGTCGGTTAGCGTTGGATTCGAAGGCCGGTGCGGTCAAGACGAGGATACGCGATGTGTGGAAGCACAATCTGGCGCAGGAGATGGCTGTGTTGAGGCAGTTGGTGGAGAAATATCCGTATATCAGCATGGTAAGTCGTTGGACACCGCTTCTTTTTGGGTTGATGGGGGGGCTAACGTTTGATCAGGACACCGAATTTCCTGGCATTGTTGCCCGCCCTATCGGTACCTTCACGAACAAAGCAGACTATCACTACCAGACCCTCCGGTGTAATGTCGACCTTCTGAAGATGATCCAGCTGGGCATCACGCTCTTCTCCCCCGAGGGAGAGGTGCCCCCGCCGAACGCCACGGATGGGAATGGTCAGCCGCTCGGGAACAGCCTGGTCCCGGCGCCGTGCACCTGGCAATTCAACTTCCGGTTCTCCTTGGAGGATGACATGTATGCGCAGGAGTCGACGACCATGCTGGCCAAAGCGGGTATCGATTTCAACATGCACGAGAAGAACGGGATCGACCCGTTGGAATTCGGGTCGCTGTTGATTAGCTCGGGCCTCGTGTTGCTGGACGATGTCCACTGGGTGTCCTTCCACTCGGGCTACGATTTCGGGTACTTGATGAAGATCATGCTCTGCCGATCGCTGCCCGAGACCGAAGAGGCCTTCCACAAGCTGCTGAATATCTTCTTCCCGTCCCTGTATGACATCAAATACCTGATGAAGCACGCGGGACGCAATCAAGCGGTCAACGACTCTCCGCTCACCCCAGCCGCAATGCAGATCCTCGCCAGCCTGGGTCAAAAATCGGGTCTGCAGGATATTGCGGACGAACTGGGTGTGAAGCGGGTGGGCATTGCCCATCAGGCCGGATCCGACTCGCTCGTCACCGGCGAGATCTACTGGAAGATGCGTCAGCTGGTCTTTAACGGCACGATCGATGAGTCCAAGTATTCGGGCCAGATCTGGGGTCTTAACGGCCAGATGCCGTCGTTGATGTACCACATGCAGCCCCATCAAACGCCCAATCTCAACGGTGCCACGATCTATTCCGCTGCCGGCACGCCGGGCACGCCTAATGCTGGAAATCAGACTCCCCAGCACATGGGTGCCATGACTCCTGGCGGGGTTGGTGGAGTGCTCGGTGCGTTCCAAATCGGCAAGGCATGAGGTTCTTTTTCTTTCCTCCCTGCTTCTCGTTGATTTGATTTCTCGTCAGCTCCATACAGTCTCTTTCCTAGACTACGTCTACAGTTGGCGACTACATCTACGTTGATCAGTTGCACGCTTCCCTGTTCATTTTGGCGTTGGTCTCCGCCTTCGTCGATGACATATTTCTTTCTATACATTCTCTCTTTTGTTACGTTTGGGCCAACGGATAGTGGGTTCGATGCGATACGATGGTTGTACATAGCATAAGGCATTGCTCACCATGGGTGCCTCGTTTGGTTTCTTCTGCGTTTGCTGCTTTGTCGTGCGTTTCCCGGTTCGTCCATGGGGTTTGTCACCTGGAATGTCTTCGCGTTTATCTCCGGAGGCGGGTGTTTGCGAGGAGTGCATGGTGCTTTTCTCATTGCCATTTGTGTTTTTTAAGGTGGCCGGAATGGTATCTTTATCTTTATCTTATCCTGGGCTTCGTCTACTTTCTATGTGCGTTTGGCGTAGGTATCCCTGGTCTGGGTTACCTACTTGGTTATATGGTGTTTGCGCCACGACTCGATGACTCGGTTCTGTTGGTGGACTGAGGCTTTCCCGACCTCTCCTGGAGTAATGTATTCACTTGCGCGATCAAGCCCAATCGACTCTAAAAGACCTGTACACCAATTGCCAACTACCCCTAGATGCAGACAGCGACAGCCCGTGTAGCAGCATGAGCTCTCTCCTTGCAGATTGCCACTGGCCACCCCTCACAACCACGGAAACAGGCAAGGGTATCCGATGCTAAACCATATCCCCGCACCGTTCCACCACCCTCCATCAATGCAACGAGAAGACCGACGCTGCACATGTGGTTCGCATTACTCTATTCGGGGTCATCGAGACGACAGGACCCGCTAGACCCGATCTGGTAAAGGAATCCGGGCGCATCTTATCGGATCCGCGATAACGATGATGTCGCTATCGCTGGTTATCCTGGACTTGGAGCTGTCATGCTGCAGCTTATAAGATGGTCTTCTTTCGCTTGATGGGATCTTCTGAGTAGAGGAGAGATTACATTCAGTATTATCATCGTAATTATTTTCGAGACCGAATCCCCTCCCCTTCGTGGCGTTGTGCAACATTACTCCATCTCAACCCCGCAACAACCAGATCAACCCTACTATACATCACACCTGTCGAACACTCGCGCAACCTTTCCTTCTCAACGAACCTCAAGGCAAAGGTCCTCGAAGCAATGGTCCTCGACCGACTTCAACAGTTGACCCACCAGGTCAACGCCTCCTCTCCACCACCCCATCCCTTCGACCCTCTCTCCACCGCGGAAATCGACACGGTCGTCGCCCTCGTCCGCAACGAACATGGCAAGGTCAACTTCAACGCCGTCAGCCTCTTCGAGCCTCGCAAGGCGGAGATGATGGCATGGCTGGAATCCCCACAGACAGCCCCTCGCCCGGCTCGCGCCGCTGAAGTTGTCGCCATCGCTCCAGGCGGGAAAGTGTATGATGGGATCGTGGACCTGGACCAGAAGAAGGTCATCCAATGGCAGCATACTCCGGGCGTGCAGCCCATTATCACCATGGAGGATCTGCAGGAGGTGGAGCACGTTGTCCGCCAGGATCCCAAGGTGATCGAACAGTGTGGGATTATCGGAATCCCCAAGGAGGATATGCATAAGGTTTATTGTGATCGTGAGTCTCTCCTGTCGAGGATGGTCAATTATGTGAGGTATGACATTTCTGATGGTCAATGCAGCTTGGACAATTGGGTACGATGAACGGTTTGGCACCGACATCCGCCTGCAGCAGGCTCTCATGTACTACCGTCCCCATGTCGACGACTCCCAGTACACGTATCCATTGGACTTCTGTCCCATCTTCAACGCCGAGACAAAGCAGATCATCCACATTGATGTCCCGCCCATCCGACGACCCCTCAGCAAGGCCGCCCCCAACAACTACCTGCCGGCGGCGATTGAAAAGGAAGGTGGATTCAGACAGGATCTGAAGCCGATCCACATCACGCAGCCAGACGGCGTCTCTTTCAAGATGACCGGACGTGTCATCGAGTGGCAAAATTGGAACATCCACGTTGGGTTCAACTACCGCGAGGGAGTCGTGCTAAACAACATCACCTTCAATGACAAAGGAAACGTCCGCCCCGTCTTCTACCGTCTGTCCTTGGCTGAAATGGTCGTTCCGTACGGGAACCCCGAGCATCCGCACCAGCGGAAGCACGCCTTCGACCTGGGCGAGTACGGCGGCGGGTACATGACAAACAGCCTATCTCTAGGCTGCGACTGCAAAGGTGCAATCCACTACATGGACGCAGCGTTCGTCAACCGCGCAGGCGCGAGCACCATCGTGAAGAACGCCATCTGCATTCACGAAGAAGACGCAGGGATCCTATTCAAGCACACAGACTTCCGAGACGAGTCGATGGTCGTCACCCGCGGCCGGAAGCTCATCATCTCGCACATCTTCACGGCCGCCAACTACGAGTACTGCGTGTACTGGATCTTCCACCAAGACGGCACCGTCCAGCTAGACATCAAACTGACTGGAATCCTCAACACATACGCTATGAACCCCGGAGAGGACACCCACGGCTGGGGCACGGAAGTCTACCCCGGCGTCAACGCGCACAACCACCAGCACCTGTTCTGCCTCCGCGTCGACCCCAACGTAGACGGGCCCAACAACACCGTCTTCCAGGTCGACGCCGTCCGCGGGCCCGGCGAAGTAGGCAGTCCCGAGAACAAGTACGGCAACGCCTTCTACGCGCAGAAGACCAAATTCAGCACCCCGCGCGAGGCAATGTCCGACTACGACGGCAGCACCAGCCGGACTTGGGAAATGGCCAATACCAACAAATTGAACCCGTACAGCAAGAAGCCTGTATGCTACAAGCTAGTCAGTCGCGAGGTCCCGCCATTGCTACCCAAAGAAGGCGGCCTCGTCTGGAAACGAGCCGGATTCGCTCGCCACGCTGTGCACGTCACTAAATGTACGTCCCCACCAATCTTCCCATCCCAACCCCATCCCATCACTATGCATTGACTAACCCACAACACCAGACTCCGACGACCAAATCCACCCCGCAGGCCGACACGTACCCCAAACCTCCGGCGAACCCTCCCAAGGCCTTCCCGCATGGATCGAATCCGCCGGCCCAGACTCCTCCATCGACAACACCGACGTCGTCCTCTGGCACACTTTCGGGCTAACCCATTTCCCGTCACCCGAGGACTACCCCATCATGCCGGCCGAGCCCATGACGCTGCTGCTGCGTCCACGGAACTTCTTCACGCGCAACCCGGTCTTGGACGTGCCGCCGAGTTTTGCGAGGTCGCCGTCGCAGGTGGCGGCGGGGAAGTCTTCTTGTTCTTCTTGTAGCGGGAAGGGGGATGGATCTAGTCGGTTGGTTTGATTTGCTCAACTCTCTTTGGTATGCTATGTCTGGTTATGAGTGATGTTTCGGATGCATTTTGGTTGGGATTGTTTATTTTTTGTATGTATGTAGCATATGGTGTAATTGCTTGATACTTCGATATCACTGTATTCTTGGTTATTAGTGATATTATTAAGCAGCAGTCGACCTCATTGAGTGTGACAGGCGAGTATATGAATCCATATATATGTCTTGCTATATCAGGAAGCCTACTGGTTACAGTACAGTAGGCATTGGGCTGGCAGTTGACCCGGCCTACATATAGAACGAGCATAGCAACACTATATCGAAAATCAAATAAAAAAAATCACTACGGGTGACTGCCAGTGATGTATGTTAGTTAGCATATCTTATCCTAATCATTCGACCAAAAAAAAAAAAAAAAAAATTATCATGATGATGAAAAATCAAAAAGAAATATCTTCCGATACGGGGAATCGAACCCCGAGCTGCCGTGTGAGAGACGGCGATGTTAACCATTACACCATATCGGATGGTTGTTGAGAAGAGCGGAGCACTAGTGTACCACTAGACAAAACTTCAGCTAAGTCCTTGCCCTAACTATACTTGATCAATTAACTGGCTGCCTCAAATGTCAAACGGTCTGATGATAAAGACTTATCTATTTAAGATTTGAGGCTCCATAGCTCCTCGAGAGCTATAGGACTATAGTGCTTGCTTTAAGTGAGGCTGATCCAGATCCTTTCATACAAGCGAGACAGAGAAACAACCACTCAGTATCAAATAGTGCGCTTTGGCCTGCCCTGGCAGTATAATGGTGTATACTAACCCACATGGCACGCGCTTTCATATCAACCTCCAGCTGATCAAGTAGGCTGTAGTTCTAGATAGCAAAGCCATTCTAGTTGGCCCGGGTTCCAGCCACAATGTAGCCTCATGATTATCCCACCAGCCGGTATTTTCAGCTTGCTACACCTTGTGCTTCAATATGTGAAGAGATGCATGCACTTCTTTTAATATTATACTTGTGGCGTCCCTCGTGATTTTTATGAATGGACGACCTCGTATGGTGTATTGTTTTCTATCCGAATAGAGTAGAGGAGGCTCTATTACCCCGCTTGGAGTCTATAACATGTACTTGGTAGCAGAAATGGTTAGAGATATAAATAAGCCATCATGATACCCATCATGGCTGTATATCTTCTCTCAGACGCTTGATAACTTCCACTTGACAACTTCCGATCCTTCCTAGAACACACATCCTTCCATTTCTATATACAGGTAAGATATCTGTTCATTATATACTTTGTCTTATATTAGATATCTAATATATACCTCCATAATCCAGAGCAAAATGGCATATGTGGCGTGCAACAACTGTGGCAAGCACAAGGACTGCGCCGCCTACGGAAACTCAAAGATGTACTGTAACCGGTGTGCGGAGGAACTGGAGTTGAAGTAGGGTGAAATGACTTACTACTTGGTCTAGAGTATGTCGTGGTCAGTATGATGACATTTTTTTCCTTACTATGTTTAAGTTGAGCAACTATGAACACTAAGCATGAACTCCAGGCAATGCATTGATGTTTATCTATCAGAGCATGATTCAAGAGGCTTATCGAGGTTTGTTCATGATAATATGATGATGATAGTCTATAGTTGGTGGTTGCTTAGGGGGCTCAAGCTATGTACCTGAGTATATATGCTTTCTGATTTAGTTGTTGCACTATTCTACAGTATCCTAACTGCATAGGGCATGACTTTACACCAGTGAAGAACTGGCTCTGAACTGGTATTTTGAGAAAATAGAGCCGCTCTTATCTGTAATCCCTCAGTTCTTGTTTTGCTCAGTAAGAAAAGGTCGTTAGTCTTGCCCAATGTGTATGACCTTTACGCATACAACCCATACGACCAAGGTATGGCGCTGTTCTGGACTTTCAGTGCCGCCTATCCTCCAGACCCAAACTACGTGGAATATAAATATTCATGCTCACATATCAATTCATATCTGTGAGACATTTGTTCGGATCCACATGCGCCTCACAGTCGTACTGTGAGTCTGCTCATATATAGATAAAAGCCTAATTAGGATTAGATTGAGAACAACCAACTCCCAAACGATATTTTACAGCCTCAACTAAATTGTTATCCTAAAACGCAACACAAATCAGAATACACCAAAAAACTTACCTAAACCAGACATCTCCAGCGCTTACCTGCCTGCCTACCTTAAGCTCTCAAACCTAGTACAGCGAAACAATGACCAATCAGATATACGGGAGCAACCAAGAGGCCCCACATGCCGATCCGCCTTTATTATCATTGCCTATTGTAGCAAATTCCGCAACCATCTTTCAACAACCATCCGATATGGTGTAATGGTTAACATCGCCGTCTCTCACACGGCAGCTCGGGGTTCGATTCCCCGTATCGGAATTACTTTTTGATTTTTTTGCCCTTTCTATACGGAGTCTATGTTTTCAAGTTATCCCTTCCTTTTATTTCTTCTATTTTCTGAGTTTGCGACTTGCGGGAATGCTGGTAATGGCAACAAATGTCTCACAGCGTGGTTCGGTTTCTGCCCTGGCGGATACCCCGAATCAGACATTCCCTACTCGATCAAGAACCTTGAATATGGTAGTGAAAGACCTGGAATATACCTGATGCTATAAGTTTACCTGTGGTCTGTCTGTTTATCATCATCGTCTGGCTGTTTGTATAGTGTTTTACGCATATCCGAACAGCCTTATCCTTCTATGTATGTCTAAACTTGATCGATCTTATTGATTACCTTTTATAGATACCGTCAGCTCTTAACTGACACAAACTGCTTGTTATGTCCAGCATGGGTTCCTACTACATTCGATGGCCCTGTCACAATAATCATCACAGGACAGGATATTGGTTGGGCCTACCTCACAGCGACGGCATACATAGTCTCAGAAATAGACTAGACCTCCCAAGAACCACAGCATAGCTTGTCATATCTAAATCAAGGGCTCAAACAATGCTCTTGAACCAAAGGTTAAACAGAGCAGACACCGACTAAGAGGCCAACTACAAAGCAAGAACGCTCCAACAAGGAAGCTGCTACCTTGCTCTTTCGAAACGGGAATAGACCCGCAGTATCTCCCACGAGAGTGCAGTTATACCCATCTAGAGGCCCTGCGTACCCCCAAAAGTCTACCTTAATATAGACCCAACAGGAGTGCTGCCTCTACGGACACTATAAATGCTGTTTTCTTAACAAAGTCTACTTGAATAATGCGTATGACCCCTCAACTTATACTTAGGTTAATCGCTAGCCTGGGCAGTGATATGTCAATTTAGGCTGGGATCTAGTCACATCTTTTTGGTAGTGGAAGCTATATGATTCCCCATCTTCGGCCTTCCAACCAACACAAAGCAGCAGCACATACAACCTTTTCACTCCTCTATCAGCAGATGAACCACTCAACCCCCCCCCCTCCCCCCACCATAACGGCCCACGTGCCGTCGTCTAACATCACGCGATCTCTTCATCTTCGCATTGAGACGTGCGATTACCGCCGGATATTGATATATGAAACGATGAGGATCCGCCTTCCGTAGCTTCCGCTTCTCAGTCTCAAAGTCACTCTCGGCCAAAACCTCTTCGTATTTTCGCTTCGTCCGTGCCTTCACCCCATCACGAGGTTTCAACCATGTCCCGAATGTATCCGGGTTGTCATGCCTCGCACAATACGCCTGGGTACCTTCCAAAAAATTCGAAATAGACATGTCCACACTCTTCACCCGAACTACCACTCGACCATCCTCGCCATCCAACAGTAAACTCTTCCTCGCGTTCGAAAACTTGACTCGACTCGCAAACCGAATCACCACGAAGTAATGGGGGGTCCCATCCTCATGCCACTCTCGAGAACCAAACGTCTCCGCCGTTGGGAATTTCTCAAGAAATCGTCGATGAAATTCCTCCACGTTGTGAATCTTACTTTTCTCAAAAGTCACAAAGGCATACTTGGCGTGTAAAGTCCTGTCGATCTCTTTACCAAGATCATACTCACGCTCATCGCCCCCGGGCGACTTCCCACCACCTAAGCGCTTCTGTACCTCCATGAACTCGTGCCCGTCACCACTAACAGACATACTGGCCACATAGATCGCACACCAAAGTAGAGAGCAATGTAAAAAAGAAAGAAAAGAAAAAGGAAAAAGAGCGGACCTCCCACCCTTCTTATACTTCTGACGAAAAACACAGTCAAGCTTGGCGTATACACCCAGCTTACCTCTTTCGGCAACCGCCAACACACCCCGCATACATCTCACATGCTTCCACCAACCAACAAACACTCTTTACCAACGCTCCTTTCGAAGGGCTTCGAACCTTCTAGATTGAACGATGTAATATAGACGCAAATACGAGGGCAAGGTCCCTGAAGAAGTAGTGGTATTTACTAACACTGCCTACTGAATCCTTGGAATATTTATAGAGTCTGGAATATGTAAGACAATGCCCATATTTTCGATCATGATAGTTTTTTGGCTGTTAGGTTAGGTAAGCTAAAACTTTCCTCAACAACATCCGATATGGTGTAATGGTTAACATCGCCGTCTCTCACACGGCAGCTCGGGGTTCGATTCCCCGTATCGGAAGATATTTCTTTTTTCCCCTTACCTTTTTTACTCCGTGGGGTCGTAGACTTATCTACTCCTGCTAAGCATCATGCTAGAATAGTCGCAGGATATGTTTCTTTTTGCCTTGGAGCTGGATGGCAAAACCATACTTGATAGCTACCTTGAAATGAGTAGGGGTAAACCATGAATTTATTCCAGTCCAAAACGCCAAAGAGGGACCCAGAGACGGGCAGATATCTAACTGCAGAATAAGAAGAAAATGGTCAAAAAGCAATGCAGAACATGGTGTCGCCGACGGGGGTCTTAAGAAAAGGTCAAGGAAACAGGCGTCGCAAACAAACACAAAAACGGACAGACACAGGTGGCAGATTTACCATCACCCATATACATCATCAACACAAGCATCCAGAGGAAAAGAACCGACGAGAAAAGAGATCTAATTAGACCGCTTCAACCCCTCCTCAATCTCCTGCATCAAACCACTCAACTCCTTCCCCCCATCGCCACTCCTCCCCTCAACCTCCAGCCCCTTCTCAATCAACACCCTAGCCTCCTCCCACCGCCCCATCTCAGCAAGACACTTCCCCCCTCGCCACCAGGCCTTCACATTCCCGATCGGCTTGCTCTCCACGCTGCACTTCGAGTCCAGCATGCCCTCAGGCCAAGCCTGCATACCCATGTAAGCCTGCGCGCGATTGGCATACAGGCCAGCGAGCTCCTCGCGGGCGAGCGTGACAGGCTCCCACCCGGGCCGGCCCATTGCCATGTCGATGGCGAAGGTGTACAGGCGGGCGGCCTCGTCGAAGTTGTCCTTGCGGTAGGCGGTGTTGGCGGACTCGCGCAGCTTGGAGATCTGCGCGCTGCGCTTGGGGTTCACGGGGAGAGGGGGAGGGGGAACGGTGCCCGTTTCGAGAGCCAGGAGGGATCGGTGGAGCTGGTTGAGGTTTTGGAGCTCTTCGTTGACGGCTTCGGTTTGGGAGCGGGAGGTGCTGGATGATGGGGGGAGGGAGAGCGCTTTGGATTGCGGGTCGAGGTGGAGGGGCCACTGGTGGAAAATGTCGACGCTGCTGGCCATTTTGATTGTTTTCTTCTTTCCTTCCGCTAGTTGTTTATGCTCTTTTGTTGGGTTTGGAGATGGAGGGCGATTGTTTGTTGTAGATGTAGAGCCGGTGTGGTAAGGTGGCCTCGGAGGTTCTTGCTGGTGGAGGTTAGCGGACAGTTTAATTCCACCGTTTATCAGGTACATACAGTGATGGGAGAGAACGAAGACTAGCTCAAATCTGCTAGTTGTTTTATAATGCCCCCGATATGATTGTGTTGTGATAGACGTCGCAGTGAATCAAGCGCAAGCTGTCCAGATGGCAAAAGGCGGTGGAATACTGCCCTATCTATCGGCACGTGAAGCCATCTAACTACATTGGGCAAATCAATAAATACGCCCCCCCGGGTGAGGCGGCACCGGGACCTGGCGCTACTAAGAGGTACAGTCCCATATAAACAATATATTTCAACTATCTATACATCTATCACACACAACATGGACATTCGTTAATTCGTCAATGTAGACATGGCCCAAGGCTTCATTCCTACAAGGATCACAGAAAAGCAGCAGACAGTGGCCAAAGAAAACGAGAAAAGAAGGAAAGGAAAAGAGGCCATACGAAACGCAACCTGCAGAGCTGGCTTTTCAACGACAGTCAAGAATACAAAGATAATACAGAACATGCGCCTGCAAACACCGCTCCATGGCCATTCCAAGGGTTTGCCAAGGTATCTCAATTTTCCAGAAAAGTCCCGCTTTACCGCCCGTAGCCACCACGCACACTCGATCCGTAGTCGGTCGGTGGCCCGTAGTCACTGGGGGTGTAGATGTCCGCCGGCGGCGCGTAGTGTTGCCCGTGGGCGCCGCCGTAGCCGGTGGCGTTGAAGTCGTGGAGGACGCTACCGCCGCTGGAGGCGGTGGGATCGTAGGAGCCGTGCATGGCTGTGCGCCCGTGCGAGCTGGCCAGGTCGTCCGCCTCGTTCTGCTGCAACAGGGCGTAGTCTTCGTCGCGGTCGCCGGCCATGGACGAGCCCACTCCCTGTCGGCCTGAGCGGAAGTCATCCTCTTCCTCGAAGTCGTGGGCCGGGTTGGAGGAGAACGCGGCCTTGCTCTGGGCGGCAAAGGTAGGATCCGAGACGGCGTCGGGAAGCGTACCCGTTCGGCGGAAGTGCATGACGTTGCGGAAGGACATCCACGCGGTAAGGGCGAAGAGCAGGCTGAGCTGTTGTCAGCGAATGAAAGACTCAAAAAGATTCGAAGTCGAAGAAGACGAAGAAGAAATGGAAAGAGAGGGAAAAACTCACAAGATAGCAACTCCAAGAATGCAAGTAGCCGTGCTAATGTTGCATTTACTCGCACTTCCATACTTCCAGTTATCGCAACCACTCTTATTGCTTTCCTTGGAATCTTTGTTTTCGGCTCTCGTAGTCTTGTCCTTGTCCTTCTTATCGTCGGCAGTGTCCTTCCCCTCCGACTTGCCTTGAGCGACATAGCTGGCAATGCAAATCCAAGCGGTAAACCACAATAGAGCGTAGAGACAGTCGACGGTAGCAAAGGCGTAAACGTTTCCGAACCGGCGTGCACGAGGCCACATGGGCACGGCGACTAGATAAATCAAACCGGGGACACTGAACCAGCACTGCAGACGACAAAATACATATTAGCCCCCTATAAAATACGACGACCCCCCCGAGGAAGATATCAAATCACCTACCAAGGCAAAGTACCAAGCTGACCGTCCGTCAATACCCCCACCCTTTGTGAACACCGCGATGGTCAAGGCCCACGCCAGGAAGATGGCGAGTGCCTGCACGCCATGGATGATATTTTTCGTCCGCCCGGGGTTGAACGACGGCTTAGCTAACTTCATTTTGGTGACGTTTTTGGGATGATATGGAGGACCGAGAGGTGGTGTCGTGTAGTGCCTAAGGGGCACGTCCTATTCGAGAAGCGAGGCTGTGCTGGTTTTTAGATGTCCGTGACGATGTCGAAGTGATGCACGAGGCTTGCGCTGTTACGCTGGGAAAAATCGTAGTGTTCTCTGCAAAAGCGACCGGTGTTGAAGTCGAGGAAAACAACGATGACGGTGGAATGGAAATGTTTATGTCCCACCGAGTAAGTGCTAAGTGGTGACGGTGACGGGGTAACCCAAACAACCGATGTTCGGGACGCTAAGGATTTAGTATTGTCGGCTGGACCGCCGACCGACAGGAATAAAAATAAAGGTAAATATAAGGAATGATAACAAGACAAGGCCAAAGAGGATGAATCGAATGAGATGTGAACAAAGAGAAGAAAGAGTTGAAGGATCATAATAAATCTCCTGCCTAAACACCACATATAATCAGGTCCAGTTCCACGGTAATATAACCCATACGATGTGATACCGGATAATTACCTGCATAACTAGTCTGTGCCTGTCAATGCCATTCTTCAATACCTGCATTGTGCATATCTATGTAATCCGGATATTTATGTCGGTCTTCCCAACTACTGCACAGCCATCTTTACAAATTCTTTTGTTGATCTTCTACCATTGATGTCATGTAGGTTTCGCGTGTTGAGATATTGAGATACGGGCACCAGGCTGAAACAAGACCGTCTCGTCTTGAAATCAGTGTTCTATTCATGGAAACAGCAACGCCACTGGGCTGAGCCCTGCTGGATCCACTCAAGAGTCCAGATCTACATAGTACAGACTACAAGCTGATGGTCAGCTATCGGATCAATCATATTGTCCAATTGTGTGGATTCTGCATTAATTGAAGAGTAAATGCTGTACTAGCCAATAATCATAAAGTGGTTAAGAAATGCTTCAAAACGCCAGTTGATGCCCTTGATCCCAATTATTCCAAGAACGAAAACAATCAAATCGCAAATATATAAAAAAAAAAAAAAGAACAAAAACGAACACCAAAAAAGAAAGTGAAAAAAAAATAAGAAAGAAAGATCACTTCGTCTTGGGAGTCTCCCCACCCAACAGCGATCCAACCTCCTCCAACGGCTGCTGTACATGCACATGCCACCACCACGGCAACGGATCAAACGGAGAAAAGCGCCAGTTATTCCAGAACAAGAGCCGATCCGCCTCGCAATGCGCCCAGTCATCGAGGTGCTCGCACGCCGGATACAGCGCAGGGAGGACCCGGCGCACGTCGTAGGATCTGACCATCCGATACAAGCTGAATCGTCGGGTCTTCTCCGTGTGGATGCTGGGCCCTTCTTCCTCTTCTTGCTTCTGTGCTTCCTCCTGTGATCGGTCGCCGCCTTCCCGACAAAGGCTGGTAGTCGTGCACGGCGACAGCAGCGACAGGTAGCCCGTGATCAGCGACGTGCTACCGCCGTCCTGGAGGAGGTGCGCAACGGCGGAGGCGCCCAGCGTGCAGCCCGCTATGTGGACGACGTAGCGCACGGAGTTGGCCTCGAACTGCTCGTCCACGTGCAGCTGCACGGTCAGGTGGGTCGTCATGCGGGGTCCGCCCTTGGTCGCGAGCTGGTCCATGAGCTTGTGGATCGCGGTGGCGAGGCCGCCGTCGAGCCGTGACGGGCCTTGACCGTGGCTGTCACCCCCCGAGCGCAGCACCCGGATGGCTTTGACTTGGCCGCGGACGACGAGGAGCTCGGCTCGGAACTCGCCGAGGCGCGTCTGCTGCTGCAGCACCCACGGGTTGTCTTTGGAGATGGGCACTTCGCTGACTTGGGAGTAGGTCAGGCTGAGGGTCCGTTTCGGTAGGATTAGGAGGTCATCATCGCTGCTGTTGCTGCGCACGCTTCCGGGCCCGGCTGCGGGCTTGCGCAGGCGGAAGACCTTGCTCGGGGAGCGGTGCAGGATCTTGTGAATGGAGTCGCGCGACTGCACCTGGTGGCGCTCAACGACAGGCAGATCCTTCTCGGCGAGGAACTGCGCGAACAGATCCGGATCGCTGAAGCGCCGGGCCAGCTCCGGGTCGAGGTGGACGCACTTGCAGGGGGTGCGGCTCTCGAGGACCTCCTTGGCGACGGCGTCGTCAGCGGCCGAGGTCTCTGACGAGCAAGGAATCCAGAGGTCGACTTTCTCGCGCTGCACGATGTCGAGCAGGCGCGAGACGTACTGCGATTGCGGGATGCGGTAGCAGACGGTCAGCGCGGTGGACATGCTCTCGCCTGAGGGCGGGGTCGGGTGGTCGTCGGTGATGACGTCGGCGCCTACGACGCGATGGCCGTGGAGGTACCAACTGCGGGCGACTGCGAGTCCGTGCGGTGTGTTGACGCCGCTGACGAGGATCGTTTTCGGATAGAAATGCACGTCCTGTAGGGCTTGTCTCCGGCGGCGGAGGGCGTTGGCGGGGCAGGACAGCGTCCCCGCATAGTTGGCGAGATAGACCACCACGAGGATGGTATTGTCGAGCGGGAGGAAAGCTACGGAGACTAAGACCCGCAGCAGATGGACGAGAGTCTGGAATTGAACCTGGTCGGACATGGAGAGGAAGGCGTCTCGCCGGGGGATTGAGCCCAGGGCCCGTTGCACGGTCGGGGTAGCCATCGACATGGAAGGGGTGGTTCGGTGAGTTGCAAGAGTTGACATCAAATGTTCCGGATGATGACCAGGAGTCAACTGCTTTTGTCTGTGGTGTCACAGCAATGTTTTTGTTGTTGCTTCTTCTCTGGAATGCTGTGAGGCGACCACGTCACCGCGCAGGTCCGCGGTCCTTGGTGCAACAACTCAATCGTGAGCCATCGGGCAGGGACCAGGTGGCTGGGAACCGGGTTCCAGCCTTGGCCACATGGTGCCAATGATAACCATGCTACTTTGGTGTTTTGGGGACTTGTTTCAGGTTCTTTTTTTTCGATTGCTTGTTGTAGCTGAATAGAGAGCTTGACTGGTTGGATTAGGGTTTGGGCAATCTTGTGACTAGAGTAAATATAGCATTCCGCCAGGGGAACTTGACACGTTCTAACTTGTACAAATGCATCAGTATTTAATCAAACAGAAATACGTAGTTTGATATATATAAAGGATGATCTCTCACATACTTATATCTATATACACATATTTAATCAATGTTTGATCATGACGTCGAGAGCCAGCTGGCAGTCTGTCTCCGGGTAAGCGTTTAGCCCAGATCTGGTCCTCCGCTGTATTCATATTTATATTTCTTAATTAAAATACTCAGAACCAAGGGATGAATCAAGAAAATAACCTGAATGTTATAGCCTAAGAATGAATCCCCAGTTTGTAATACTCCACACCTTGCAACATGGTTCTCATACCGGACATCGAATCGAGCCCCGCCAGACCCAGACTTGACCATCGCGAGGACCTTCCCCGCTCCGGTCGGACTTCGACGAGAAGAAAAGAAGATAGTTCGCCCACCCTGTATATCCCATATATAATCCCCACCCACCCAACTCCAGCGGATTAAGATATAATATAATAAAATAAACAACACTCTATACATCAAAATGACCTCCAAAACCTTCAACGTCGGCGTCGTCGGCTACGGCTTCAGCGCCAAAATCTTCCACATCCCCTTCATTCAGGAAGTGCCTCAGCTCAAGCTGTACGCCGTCGTTCAACGGACTCCGAAGCCCGACGACGATGCTGAAAAGGATCACCCCGGGATCAAGTCCTACCGCAGTGCTCAGGATATGGTGAAAGATGAGGCTGTCGATGTGGTGGTTGTTACGACGGCGCCGGACTCGCATCATGAGTTGGTGAAGCTGGCGTTGGAGAATGGGAAGAATGGTATTTTTACTATATTTTTCTTTTCATATTTTTTCACTGGTGTAGATTTCTTTTCTCAAGTTGTCCTGCTAATGGGTTGATAGTCGTCTGTGAAAAGCCGTTTACTCCCACGACAAAGGAAGCAGACGAGCTGGTAGCTCTGGCAAAGAAGCAAAACAAGCAGCTTGCTGTATTCCAGAGTATGTCTTACAATTCTACATTTCTCTCACGAATCGTCGAGGAAAAAGATGCTAATAGAAAAATAGACCGCCGCTGGGACGCCGACTTCCAAACCCTGCACAAGCTCGTCAAAAACGGCTCCCTCGGCCGCGTCGTTGAATACGAATCGCACTTCGACCGGCACCGCCCGGAGGAGCCCGCTCCCACCGTCTCCAAGTGGAAGAACAAGGTGATCCCCGGCGGCAGCGCCATCTACGACCTGGGCGCCCACCTGTTGGACCAGGCCGTGTACCTCCTGGGACTGCCGCAGCGCGTGACGGGCTTTGTGGGCTCCCAGCGGGAGGTGAACACCTCCGGATTCGAGGACTCGTTTACGGTTCTGCTGCATTATCCTAAGGGGGCGATGGTCACTGCTAAGGCGGGGGTGATTAGTCCCGAGGAGGAGCAGTTGCGGTTTTGGGTTCGTGGGGAGAAGGGGAGTTTTAAGAAGGTGGGTTTTCTGCATGAATTTACTTTACTTCCCTCTGTCTTTTGGGAGAATGCATGGTGGACGAGTATGCTAACAGCTACAGTACCACCTCGACATCCAAGAAGACCAGCTCAAGGGCGGCATGAAGCCCGGAGATAGCGGCTACGGCCGAGAGCCGAGCGACCGATACGGCACGCTGACCACCATCCAAGACGGCAAGCCCGTCAAGGAAGTCGTGCCGACGGTGGAACCACCCACTTATACGGAGTACTACCGCAAGTTGGCGCGGGCCCTCGCCGGCGAGGGTGACCTGCCGGCTAGCGGTGCGGAGGCCCGTGAGGTGATTCGGCTTATTGAGTTGGCGAAGGAGAGCTCTCGGCTTGGGAAGACGATGGATGTTTGAACTGCGTGATTGAGGGGGATGAGATGTGTATCTTTGGGTTATTGTGTTGTTGGATGCTTCTGGGGTATATAGGAGATTAGTCCATGTTCTAATGACTGAAACTTATGCCGAATCAAAGTAAGACATCATACGGTGAATGATACCACAAAAGTGTAAAACAAAGATGGGAGCTCGGTTTGGACCCTGGTCTATAGGGAGAAAAGAGACGATTATATGAGTAGTATTATGAGGAAACATAAAGTTGAGTAACAGAGAGGGCCGGAATATCATAATTCATAATTCATGTCTCATGCGCTGCTTCTCGCGCTCGAACCGCTCAACACGCTTGCTTGGACTCTTGCAGAGATGAGCTTCACGTATGCGGTCTTTATTGGGTGAAATGCCTTCCAGTGGTACCCGCCGGGTTGGCAGTGTTGCTCGCTCAAAATCAATGAACATCACCCCGTCGTTTTCTTCGCTCCAGATCAGATTCCCAGGGATCGGATCCCCATGTAGAATACCTAGATCGTGAATCGCTTGTAAGGAATCTCCAGCGCGTTGTATGAGTCGATCGCGATCAGTGTTATGCCGCCATGCAGGCTTTCCTCCGGCGTACCCCATGAGCATCAGACGAACAATATCAGCGATACCGTCGTATGAGAATGGACGGCGGAGCTGTAGGCTGCCAAGTAGCGCCGGCACGCATACCCCTTGGATAGGCGCGAGATGAGAATAGATGAGCTCTTCGTGCTTTACGTCTCGCACAAACTCCATCGGCACACCCTTTCCTACGAACGTATACCCGTGCGACCACAGTGTGATCTTAAAAAGCGCCCCGCGGGTTCCGTGGACGTGCAGCGACTCGCATCCCAGCTGTGTATCAGATTGAAGATCATCGCGGGAGAGCTGCCGGCCCAGCCGACGCAGGAGAGTCGTCCGGTTTAGTTGATGCCGGTCCACCCCGTGATCTGATACATTGGGACATTTCTCATCTAATTTCCATCCTTTGATCAAACCTTGGAGGCAACGCTGGGTGCAATACTGCCGCGACTTGCCTTGGGAGCCCGAATCTTGCGATGATTGCACTGGCGATGGGGAAGATAAAGTCGATGGTGGGTGAGTACGGGGTCGCTCTCGAGGGGGCCGGCTCGGCGTGGTGGGGTCAAAATCACCTCCAGCATCATCATCGTCACGATCAGAAAGTGTTGGGTTTTGAAAACCGTGACAGGATAGAGCATGGCCAGTCTTTGACCTTGTTTTAACCGGAGACGCACGGCAGTATTCGCTCCGACTCTGCGTAGGGGGTTTGAACACGAAAGAAGGGATGTTTTCCTCCGGGGTTTTGTCCAGTATCTCATCATATACCATGACCCAGGTCTCCAGCTTGCGCCTTGCCCAATTGGTCCAGCCAATGTCTCGCGTCGGTACCGGCAGAGCACGCAGAGTGAAGGCCAATACCTGGCCCAGTGCGGTTAAATGCAGCCGATTTCCCCCATCTAGATCACCGGTCCATCCCGTGGATGCACCGACGTCCTCTCCTGGCACCGAAAGGTAGTAGTACACGGTGGAAGGATCATTACGAAGCACACGGAGAAAGATCAAGGCCTCGCCCGTACACACATAGCCATACTCCAGACCCCCTTGAACCATGTACGAAAAGGTCTGGGTAATCACCGCTGCTATCACACGACGGCAAATCTCCTCCGGAGATTCCACGTCCTTGTAGCGAAGGACCTCGTTGAGATCCATGTCTTGTAGTCCCGCCTTAACATGCGCGAGAGAAACTTTATGGGGTGCCTTGTACTCAATAATAAACGCCGGCTGCTTTATCCCGGACCCCTTGTTGTAGACACAGAATTGATCTGCTCGAGGCCGGGAGTTCCTTGATTGCGTGGCCGCCTGACTTCTCCCTGGTTGATGGGTCGCGAGACCGACACTGCGCGAATTCGCGGCTAAGCGATTGGAACGGCGTGGTTGCTTCTGGGTCAAGCTCAGGGCGCTCATATCTGGCACGATGTCCCTCTCGTCCGCCAGAGTGTTTGCGTGGTTTTCGAAAATGACGTTGCCATTCAGACGAAATACCCGTCGAAATCGGGGATTCGCGTGTAGCTGCTTGATGACTGAAGCGACTGGCGATTCGACCGTCTGTCGTTCGAAGTAACCCAGATCCAACTCCGAGCTTATCATCCTCTCCCGGACCTCCTTCCCGTATTCCCTCAACGTGACGAGTGGTGTGAAATGGCGTTCGGTCATAAAGTCAGTATCCATCAGCGCCATCCAGATGGCACCCTGTTCACGGGGAAAGTCGACCCATTCTCGAATTTTCGCCGAGCGAAGTTCATGGTCGGCGCTTGCGGGGTCGCCTTTCCTCGAGGAATTACTATCCCTTTGGATGGCCAGACCAAGAAACAAGTGCACATAGCAGGCGTCCAGAAATTCCAGAAGAGTTGTGGACTGTGTTTGGAGAGCCAGTCGTTCTTCCGCTTGCTCTCAAAGTCTCTGCTCTTCCTCGAGGCGCTGGCGTAACTCCTGTATCTCCTGGAGGGACATCTGGACTCTCGTTGGACGGGACGCATCACCATGCGTCGCAATAAAGGAAAAGAAACTACTACTCACCCCCAAAAGATGCCACGACACTTGTGAGCTTTAGCAGTAACCCCTAGAGTCAGCGCGACAGGGTCACTGCGCCTGCCTGTGTTTGTTGATTGCACCAACTCAGTTAGCGCACAGCTCACCTGACCATACGTGACTGCATGCTTCAATCCCCGGTAAGTATGTTCTCGTCATTCTGGGATCCTGGGATTCTGCACCTTTATCTTTTGTTGAGTCACTGTGAGATTAGGATATCACTGCCTCCAGGCAACATCCCTCTCGCTGGATACATATTGTTTACAGATGCAAGACTAGCCCCGGATAAAGTTTCCTATGATCGGCAACTTTATTCCCACCGACCGAATACGCCTGTAATCAACAATACAGCCAGTTGTACCCTTAACTGTGATTCTGGATCATGTTAGGTGGTAAAAACAAGTAATAATACACATGACCTCATCCCGATCAACCCGAGGCCGCTAAACCACATCAGGCATTTCCATTACTCGATAGAAATGCTGTGAGTGGCAGGTTGGCCTGAGGAACCTTCGAATTATACCTATGGGGGCAAATCCATTCGCGTCTCCCTTGTTGGAATAACTAGAGGGACAATTACCAGATGGAATAGTCCGCGGAGATACTTCTGTCTGAGCCCATCAAGGAGTCATTTTGCACCTTTTTTTTTATTGTCTCGGTTTGAACGCGGGTACGGAGGTCATGTATATAAGTTCAAGGGATTCCCATCCCCTTCTTCTCCCTTCCCCGGATTTTAAGAACGTTGGTTCCTAATTTCTTACACCGTTGGCCTATGGTGTTGCCTATGCTATATCGAGTCTAGGTAAGGGGTTTTTTTGCTTTTCTTGTCTCCACCACAGGCATCGTGTCGCTGTAGGGCTGCTGGTGACGAAATACGTCAATGGACCATTAGCCTTGGCGGAGATAGAACGGTCTTGTTTGCAGTGTGACATACTGTGGTCCGATGAAAGATGTCTGATGGGTATCTGTGTCTAGCTCTTTAGGTCCACGCGAAACGAATCCGTGTTGGGAATCCAACGATGATGATGACGACTGTCTGACCCGGTGGAAAACGTTTCTTTCCCATGCAAAGCCAACACTCACCTCCGAGGCGCCCGGATTTCTCGCGCTGGCATGTCGACATCGATGATGTGCTGAACCCCTATCTTCCTGCGCCTCCATGGCGGTGGTTGCCTCGACCCGTCTCCCATTTTCTGGGATATCGAGGCCATCATCCTCCCCGGGCCCTGGGGAATGTGGTGATCGCGTTCTGGTCCCTGATTGGAGCGTTTTGCGGCGTGTTGGTGGTGGCCGAAGTGTCCCTGCATGTGTCATCCTTTCAGCAGCATAATGCGCCTGTCATCATCGCGAGTTTCGTTAGTGCACCCCTTTCTGCATGCATCGATTTTCTCTCTTTCTCTCTCTCTCTCTCTTGCTCTCTCTCTCTCTTTTCTTTCCTACTGACAGGACGTTTCTTCAGGGTGCCGCAGCGGTGCTCGAGTTTTGCGCCATCGATTCCCCCTTTGCTCAGCCGCGAAATGCCGTCCTGAGCCAGGTGTTCGCTAGTGCCATTGGGATTGGAATTGGGCGGCTGTTCGCCTTGAACCCCCAGGCCCACGCCATGCCGGAAATAGGAGGCGCCCTGGCATGCGCCCTGACCATTGTGGTCATGGTCTTCACCAACACCGTGCACCCGCCGGCTGGGGCGACTGCCCTGCTCGCCGTCACCGAGGGATACGACATCGGGTGGTGGCTCATCCCAGTCATGCTCCTGGGGACCGTGCTGATGCAGGCGGTCGCACTCGTCCTCAATAACATCCAACGCCGGTACCCCGTCTACTGGTGGACGCCCCATCCGCTGTCGCCGCCCGAGAGGCACGATTTGGACAGCGCTCGCCCGAGTAAAGAGGGGGAACCAGCGCCCACGGCCTCGGAGGACCAGCTGTTCGACGTCCCGGCGCAGGTCATTGTCCAGGAAGGGAACGTGTATGTGCCGGACAATATTTGGGTGTCGGCCGAGGAGATGGAGATGCTGCAGCGGATTAGTGAGCGGATGTAATCACTGACGGATTGTCCACACTGGTCTGTACTTATAGAGGTACCTAGAGGTACCTAGACGCCTAGGTAGCCCTAGATTACTACATAGATGCTATCATTCGCCGGCCATAGCCCGCCTGGAAGCCTGGAGCGTCAGGCTGAAAGTCACGGTCCGAAATGGACCAATCAGCGAACGCCGCGCCACACGAAAGGCGGCGGTGACGTAATGCAGCCAATCAGCGGGCCGCAGAGTCATCCACCAAAGAGATTTTCATTGACAGAGAGGTGGGATTACACCTCTATCCACATCTCTTTTTCCGTTCGTCTCTCATTTTTAATTTATTTTATAATTGATTTATCTTATTAGAATTGCTGTTTGACCGAGATACCCTCTGTTTGATTGTTGACAGTTGTCTGTTAAAAGAACAGCTCAATAAAGAAAAAACCCAATATAAGGATTGATATCTACACCTCAGGTATCATCATCATATCGATAAGGGCTTCGACTTTTTTTGCCTTAGTCCACCCCACTTAGCAGACTCTTCTTTTCATCTCCTTCATCTCCCCTCCTTCCACCTACTCCCCTTCCCCCCCCCGCTATTATCCTGGGATCCACTTCTCTCGTTCTCTGTGCCTTTTCTTTTTTAATTTTTTTTTTTTGCCCCTTCAGCTTTACGCTTAACTCGTCCCACAACCTAGTAAAGGCCTGTTAAGCCTCCTCCCAGTCTTTTCTCTCTCTCTATACCCCACTCCTCCTTGTTCACACCCCCCCATTCTGTCAAGATGGTGTCTGCTTCCAAAGCCGCTCGTATGGCCAAGCGTGCCGACGACAAGAAGAAGCCGGGCAAGGGCAAGGGCGGCGATGAGACCCCCACCGACGCCGTCGAAGAGCAGCCCGCCACCACCACCGAGAAGATGAAGACGGTCGATAAGTTGACGGCACAGATGGACAAGCATGGTCTTTCGGACCGTGTCACGACTGGTGTCCTGTCGTCCATGCCCTCGTCTCGTGATGTGAAGATCACCTCCGCCTCGCTGGTGTTCCACGGCAAGGTCTTGATCACCGACTCGACCCTCGAACTGAACTTTGGCCGGCGCTACGGTCTCCTGGGTGAGAACGGTTGCGGCAAGTCCACCTTGCTCAAGTCTATCGCCACTCGCGAGTTCCCCATCCCCGAGCACATCGACGTCTACCTGTTGAACGAAGGTGCCCCCGCCACCGACTTTGGTGCCCTCGACTGGGTCGTCCGCGAGGCCGAGAACCAGCTGGCTCGCATGGAGCAGCAGGCCGAGGAGGTCCTCGAGAATGAGGGCCCCGAGAGCCCGATCCTGGTCGACTTGTACGACGTAAGTTACTTCTGAACCCTGATTCCGTGACTCGATCTAACGACTGCCCTTCCCTTGATAGCGTATGGATAAAATGGATCCCTCTACCTTCCAAGTCCGTGCTTCTCTGATTCTCACGGGTCTCGGTTTCAACAAGAAGACCATCCAGAAGAAGACCAAGGACATGTCCGGTGGTTGGCGTATGCGTGTGGCCTTGGCCAAGGCCCTGTTCGTCAAGCCCTCGCTCCTTCTGCTGGATGACCCCACCGCGCATTTGGATCTCGAAGCCTGTGTGTGGTTGGAAGAGTACATGAAGAAGTGGGACACCACCCTGGTCCTCATCTCCCACTCGATGGATTTCCTCAACGGTGTCTGCACCACCATGATCGACATGCGCGGGAAGCAGCTGCTCTACTACGGTGGTAACTACGACTCGTACCACAAGACCCGCAGCGAACAGGAGACGAACCAGATGAAGGCCTACAACAAGCAGCAGGAAGAAATTGCCCACATCAAGAAGTTCATCGCCTCCGCCGGTACCTACGCCAACTTGGTCCGACAGGCCAAGTCCCGCCAGAAGATCCTCGACAAGATGGAGGCCGATGGCTTCATCCAGCCCGTCATCCCCGACCGCGTCTTCTCCTTCAGCTTCGCCGATGTCGAGAAGCTGCCTCCTCCCGTGCTGTCCTTCGACGATGTCAGCTTCTCCTACTCGGGTGAGTGGGAGGACACCCTGTACGAGCACCTCGACCTCGGTGTGGACATGGACTCCCGTACGGCCCTGGTCGGCCCCAACGGTGTGGGCAAGTCCACCCTGCTGCGTCTCATGACCGGCAAGCTGAGCCCCATCGGTGGTCGTGTCTCCCGTCACACCCACTTGAAGCTCGGCATGTACAGCCAGCACTCCGCGGAGCAGCTCGACCTGACCAAGTCCGCGCTGGAATTCGTCCGCGACAAGTTCCCCCAGAAGAGTCAGGACTTCCAGTACTGGCGCCAGCAGCTCGGCCGCTACGGTCTCAGCGGTGAGTCCCAGACCGCCCTGATGGGTACCCTGTCCGAGGGCCAGAAGAGCCGTATCGTCTTCGCCCTGCTGGCGATTGAGTCCCCCAACATGATCCTGCTGGACGAACCGACGAACGGTCTGGATATCCCCACTATCGACAGTTTGGCCGACGCCATCAACGGCTACAGCGGCGGTGTCGTGGTCGTGTCCCACGACTTCCGTCTGCTCGACAAGATCGCCAAGGACATCATGGTGTGCGAGAACAAGACCATCACCCGCTGGGAGGGTAGCATCGGCCAGTACAAGAACCACCTGCGCAAGAAGATGATCAGCGCCGGTGCCGTCTAAATGGTCTAGAGATTTATCTCTTGTTTTTTTGTTTTCATGATTGGAATGCTAGAGACGACATTTGCAAAATAAAAAAATGGCCGTAAAACAGGATGAACATGGTCCCCAGCAGTGCACACTAAAAGAAAAAAGTTGTTTCTTTCTTTTTTAGGACAGGAGAGATGAACCATCCTGCGTTGATTTGACAGCGGGCGGCGAGGGATATTTTTCATCTGGAGATTTTTTAAACTTTATCTTTTCTTTCATGTGGTTACCTTTTTGTTTCTTTCTTTTAGTCCCTTTTGTTTCTGCCCTGGGTTGTTTTTTAGATGGTCTGTTTCATACCTCGTCTTTTCCTTTCCTCCACTTGAGTGTCAGGATTGAATGTTTTTTCACGGTTAGGGTATACTTTTCTTCGTTGCCTCTTGATAGACTTGGACTTTTGTAAGTTTCTTCATTGTCAGGCCTCTTGGCCTACTGTATGTGCTTGAGTGGGTTCCTACTACCTAGGTATATACGGTAGCAAGCCGGGGGTAGTTCTCGCATGACCTTGTCAATTGCTTTGTGATTACTGCTCTCTACATAGATCCAATAGCGCATCACCAATGAACAAAGTATATGATATCCGCAGCTAAAATCCTGCTCAGCGCACTCTTGCCCAGTCTACTCCAGTAATACAAGTATAGAATATGCAAAATACACATGACCAAGGTAGCCAACCCATTCTATTAAGTTTCCCCAAACCAAGGTATTACTCAATATTGATAGAAAAAAAAAAAAAAAAAGACACAATGCTCAAAATGCCACGGGCTAATCCTTCGTCCGCTGCGCAACCAACTCCCCACCAAAGAGATCCCGCCCTTCCTTCTCCCTCTGCTCACGCTCGAGTTTCCGCTTCTTCGCCATCCGCTCCATGTCGCTTTCGGGCGTTGCGCCGTCCCCACCACCACCTGCTGCTGCGGCGGCTGCCGCCGCGGCCGCGGCAGGGATGCGCTTCTGCCCGGCAGACGTGATGTTGTTTGCCTTTTCGGGGTTCTGGCAGTGGTAGAGCTTTTTGCTGATGCGGCGGGCGGTTGCCTTTTGGGAGGGGTCTTCGGCGAGGGAATTGTAAGATTGGAGGAGGGAGGTGCAGTTTGTGAGGGTGCGGTAGATTTTGGAGCGGAGCTCGGCGAGAGGGTTGTTCTTGTCGTCATCGGCGGTTGGGGGGCCGAGTTTTGTGTTGAGGTAGAATTCGGCGAGGGGCCGGTCGGCGAGGGAGAATGCTGAGAGCCAGATTTGGGAGGGCGTGTAGAGGAAGTAGGCGTCTGTCATTTGGGCGGCTGTTTTGAGGAGGTCTCGGGTGGTGGTGTGTGCGCGGCCTAGACGGTCGGTGATAGATGATGACGATGATGAGGCGCCAGGGGCGGGTGGTACGGCGAGGAGGTCGCGACGGAGGGTGTCGGAGGTTTGGTGGGGGACGTGTGGTGCCGGTTGGCCGGTGCCTTGGGCGATGGATTGCAGTTCCATGATGCCGCCTTCGAGCCCGCGGAAGGGGTGACGCACGTCGAAGTTGAAGCGGAGGCTCTGCATGAGGACGAACTCCGGGGCGATGATGTCTTCTGCGGTTGTGTCGCCGGGGACGCCCTCGGCGAAGTGGCGCAGCGAGATGTAGCAGTTGTCTGTTTTGGTGGCTAGGAAGACGGCGCACGGCATGATGTTCTTGGGATGGTAGGTCATGGGCGAATTGGTGAGGTAGAAGCGGCGGAGGTACTGGATGGCTGTGGCCTGAATCCCCCCGGGAAAATCGTTAGTGATTGATGCTTCTGGAATGATTGTGCTTGGTTCCAATATCAGCAGTTGTGAAAGTGTCTTACCCGCACGATTGTCGGCAAGGGCGGCTTGTAGCTTTCTCCCACGAGAATGACCTGTTCGCAGTAGTACTTGACCAGCTGGAGCTCCTCCTCCGGCGTCAGACACTCAATTTCCTTTTCATCCGCACCGCCCGCCTTGCTATCTGCGTCGCTGCCAGCTTGGGTCGGGGTCGGGGTTCCTGCTGCGGACGAGTTGGCGGACTGTCGGGCTTCGCGTGCCCGTCGCAGTGCTGCCCTTACTCGATCGCTGGCTTGGGCATTGGTTGTAGCTCGTAACTTTTGCAGCGAGGTTTCCGTAAATGACCAGTGCCGGTACTGGGACGAGCTGCGATAAAAGTCGTCCTCGAACATGGTGCAAAATTGGCTAAGTCTTGCTCGGTGCCTTGTCTTGGGTACGGTGTATGGTGTGTGGGTGGGGTTGAATAGGGTGACCGAAGATGTTTTCGAATCAGGCCTCTAGCATGGCTGTTTCCACTAGTCTGAAGCTAGATTGACGGGCGCATTGGAGGCGAGACGGCGGTGGTTGAGGGAGTTCCGGTGAGTCTTGAGATCTGGGAGTGTTGGAGAAGAAGCCAGGCTGATCCACCCGCTTATCGATAATATCCGTATGGTGCCTGAGGTGTCTCCACCCCACCTCTTTTGTATAGACAGGTCGACGGTCCGATCAACTACCTGCGAGGTCATGGTCTGCTCTCTCACCAGAAATCATATACGATGTATAAAACTTGGTGGACATCTTTGAGGCGTCATACTACATGGATAATCAAACGGCACAAAAGCCAATAAGATCGATCCTGCAACGAGTAGCAAGCTCATGTTGTCCAACGTGTCTGCATAAGTTGAGGAAGATGACAAGGTAATAAATATCAGAAGAAACACAAAGGTCAGAATGAAAAGAAAAGGAGATGGATTAAAAAAAAAATTCGCCAGGCACCATGCTCTTCATCAGAACCACCCAATCGCTATGACAGTAAATATCCAACTACCTGCAATCGCAACTGCTCACCCCCGCCCTCTTCAAGGCTCTCCCAGAAGCCGTGCGGTGACATCACCCATATAGGCTTCTTCCAACTCATAATCCTCCCCATCCATCCGATCGATCCCATAGAATTTGAACGCACTCACGACACGGTCCACATCGAATCCCATACTGCAGAACCGATCGATCAGGTCCTTGTTATACCCATCGTACCTGTACATATGATGATGAGTCCACGACGAACGGAGAGAATGGGAGAAAGGAGGCAACGTACTTGCTCAAATCTTCCTTCTCTTGATCTTCCCTCAATTTGAGCTCTTGCTGTCGCAGGGTTTCATCCGTGGCGCCCCCACTTCCCTCGCCCGCATATTTCTTAGGAGCCCCTGCGTGAATGACAGCCCACTCCTGGGCGACCCGATGGAACTCTTTCGGTTTGTGAAGGAGCATACTGGCCACTTCGGCATCCTGGGGGTCCTTGGCCTCTGGCGTGCTCAACAATGATTGGAGGGACAGGAGGGCGGATTTGATTGTGAGGACGGGCGACCACGCCGTCGAGAGGGTATCAAGACAGATTGCGCCCTGTGGAACCATCAGAATTTCATTCTACCATATCGGGGAGATATCTTGAGCAACTGACCGTCTGGCTGCTGACATTAGGATGCCACACTTTGGTTTCAAATTTCATGGCTGGGGGTCGGAAAGGGTAGTCCGTGGGGATCCTGACGTCCACATAGTAGGTACCGCCCTCATATGGTGTCCCTGGCGGCCCGGGGAATGAGCCCCGGAGATGCGTAAAGTCATCTTCGCTCACTGCGGGTTCCACCGTAATTCCGGAATGTGTATCAGAGTGGATATCGGCGATTTCCTTCACGATACGCCGGGTGCGATTAGAAGCCATGGGTCTCGCTGGTGGTCTATCGGTAGGATAGGGTCGAAGGTGTCAGATGCGGCCCAGTTGGTTGAAGGAAGACGGTTGGGTTGACGATGATATGACGAAGCTGCAGGTGAAAGGTGTGCAAGGCGGTAGGTACTGCGGTAAATATACCTGGTTAGTCAAGGCCCAACAAGATGACAGTCAACAGCGAGAGGGGAAAGGAGAGAGGGCAAAGAAAAAGTAAACATGGTGATTCAAAGTCGCGAAACCGACGGTCGAGTCATCAACTGGGAGGAGGGGGGGTCGCCTCACCTGGTACTGCCGTGGAATATCGGAGGGTATGGAAGGATGGGGAAGCGGGGAAGCTGGAGGGAAACAAGGAAAGCTTTCTGAGGGAGTAGACTAAAGAGAGCTGGGAAAGGGTCTCCAATATCAAACTGTATCCGAAATAAGGTAGAGGAAGGATGAAGAAGAGAGAGAAGAAGAGAAGAGAAGAAGATAGAAGAAGAAGCCGAGAGTGCCAGGTAATTAAGGTGATCAAGCTCATCAACAGCCTGAGGAAGAGATCCAAGCTGCCTCGACGCCCTAAGGCAGCCAAGGCAGCGACAAGGCTCCAGGCCGCCATTAGGTGACTCAGGTACCTACTGCTTCGATCCGGTTAGCGCCCATTCCAAGGCGCCCAGGCATCACAGTTGAGATGAGGACCACGTGACCATCCTGCGTTGGGCGAGCCTGACTAAACGCCAAGGAGAGACAGCAAGCTCCCCAGCGCGCTCGTCATCATCATCGCCGGCACTTCCTTTGCCATCCTTCCTCCATCTCTATCCCCATTCCATCCCCAAACATCATTTCACACAATTCATTTATGATTGGGGCTGCTACGACCCAGGGTACATTTGATAGGATCTAGCGAGTTGTGACATTTGTCTTTTCACTGAACATACGCCACAGTTCAGGACTATGGTAAGCGTCCAACGGTGCTTGTTGGCTTCAGCGGTCTCCAGCTCCTTTCATCTATCTAATGCAAATTCGACAATAGGGTAACCAGCAGTCCAATATTGGCGGAGGCCCCGGTGGAGATGGAAGAGACGACAAGGACAAGAAGGTAGGTGTCCTGGTTGCATCCCGACGATAGCGTGAGTTCTCCTGCTAAATCGATTCGCCTTCAGAAGGACAAGCCCAGATATGAGCCTCCCCCCCCGCCGACGACTCGCATCGGCCGGAAGAAGCGCAAGCAGGCCGGTCCCAGCACCGCTGCCAAGCTCCCAGACATCTTCCCGACGTCTCGATGCAAATTACGTTACCTCCGAATGCAGCGCGTACATGACCACTTGTTGCTAGAGGAGGAGTACGTCGAAAACATGGAGCGTCTGCGCAAGACTAAGGCTCAAGCGACGCAAGATCCCGTCAGCCGGGGTGAGTTTGACATCACGGATCGGAACGCCGACGAGAGAGGCCGTGTCGACGATATGAGAGGCAGCCCCATGGGAGTGGGTAACCTGGAGGAGTTGATCGATGATGACCATGCGATCGTTTCGAGTGCCACGGGCCCCGAGTATTACGTATCCATCATGTCGTTCGTCGACAAGGATTTGTTGGAGCCGGGCGCCAGTATCCTCCTGCATCACAAGTCGGTCTCGGTGGTCGGTGTGTTGACCGAGGAGTCCGATCCCCTTGTTTCGGTGATGAAATTGGACAAAGCTCCTAGCGAGACTTACGCCGACATTGGTGGTCTCGAGTCGCAAATCCAGGAAGTCAGGGAGTCGGTGGAGCTGCCCTTGCTTCACCCGGAACTGTACGAAGAAATGGGCATCAAACCACCAAAGGGTGTCATCCTCTACGGTGCTCCGGGCACGGGAAAGACTCTCCTCGCCAAAGCAGTGGCCAACCAGACGAGCGCTACCTTCCTCCGGATCGTTGGTAGTGAGCTGATCCAGAAGTACCTTGGTGATGGGCCGCGTCTGGTGCGACAGATCTTCCAGGTGGCTGCCGAGCACTCACCATCAATTGTCTTCATTGACGAAATTGATGCCATCGGTACCAAGCGGTACGAGTCCACTTCAGGCGGTGAGCGCGAAATCCAACGGACCATGCTGGAGCTTCTGAACCAGCTGGATGGTTTCGATGACCGTGGAGATGTGAAGGTGGTCATGGCGACGAACAAGATTGATACCCTCGATCCTGCTTTGATCCGCCCTGGCCGTATTGACCGGAAGATTCTATTCGAGACCCCTGACCGTAAGTTTATCATGTCCTTTCCCTCTTTCTTATATTGGTTGGCGTATCAGTCCGCTAACAGCCCCCAGAAAACACGAAGAAGAAGATCTTCACTTTGCACACCTCGAAGATGTCAATCAGCGATGACGTCGACCTGGATGAGTTCATCAACCAGAAGGATGATCTGTCCGGTGCCGATATCCGCGCAATTTGCACCGAAGCTGGGTTGATGGCGCTGAGAGAGCGCCGCATGCGGGTGCAGATGGACGATTTCCGTTCCGCCAGGGAAAGAATCATGAAGACGAAGCAGGACGGAGGCCCGGTGGAGGGGTTGTACTTGTAAGCGTGTATACGTCGGTGTGACTACCTGAGTTCTACATTGAATCAATTGAGTGCGTTGGTTCGATTGACCAATCGTCGAAATGAACTTAATACTGCTACCATATCTCATCTATCACGATTTGTAGTATACGTAGTAGAGTCTCATATCAGAGCGAACGTTGTTAGTCCAACCAAGCCAGGAAGTCCATGATAGACATGTTATTTAGTTATGTCTAGTATCATAAAGGATGTAGGCACCTGTGTGACTGGTACAACCAAGTCGAACCGAGTGTGGTGTGGCCATAAGCATCATGTAGCCTGGGCGGCCAAATGCTATTTCACCCTACAATGGGACGCAAAATGTGTTGGTACCTCTTACTTTAAGATAGCTTGGCAACGGGGTCAAAAATATTCTGCACCCCACGTTAACGCCACGTAGAGCAGTCTCAGTAATATAATAATAGTACGGCTGTAATCAGCTCGCCGAGGCGATTCCAAAAATGTCCTTTATTTCCTATTCTGAGAAACTTTGTAAAGTGGCCCAAAAATGATCACTTTTCACATCGCCGATTCGGGGACCTGATTCGGCTGATTTGTATGGTGTTTTCACAAAAAGTCCATCTCGAGGTTTCACTAGCGCGGTTTGGTGTCCACGTGATACCATCCATCGATGTCCGGCGAATCATATCGCTAAATATGGATGAGGCTCTGCTGATCATTCCGTCATAACAAACCAGATAACAAACACGCCAAACACGCCAAACGAAGCAACATCTACTCCGTGGTTGATCGATCTCTGTCCAAGGTGTTCGTTATTCTTTAACCACTGCAACACGACTTCAGTTCATAATGGATGGATTCGACGAGGAAGCGTTCAAAAAGTTCTTCCCCACCAGTTTCGGCAAGCAGGAGAAGAAAGTCGATGTCAGCTCCCAGATAGATCGTACGAAGCGGACAGACACGCCACCAGCCAAGTCCGACGGCGAAGCCGAAAAAGCAGGTTTGGTCAGCGCGGAAAACACCGACGTCGGCACTGGAGCTGGACAGGAGCTTCGGAGAGATAATGACAGCTCTAGCGATGACAGCGACGACAATTCGGACGATTCCGACGACGAGGATGAGTTTCCCGTGTCGCACGATTTGACTATCAAGACGCATGAGCGCGCCGTGACCACCCTGACAGCCGACCCCGCTGGGGCGCGCTTGATTACCGGATCGACTGACTGCACCATTAAGCTCCATGATTTTGCCTCAATGACTCCATCCACCGTGCGCGCCTTCAAATCCGTCGACCCCTCAGCCAAGAAGCAGTCCGCCGCGCAGGAGGCGCATGCCGTCCATTACGCCGCATTTAACCCGCTATCGCCCAGCTATGTGCTGGTGGTTTCCGCGACTGCGCAGCCTCGGATCCTGAGTCGCGATGGAGATACAATTACGGAGTTTGTCAAGGGGGATATGTACCTGCGGGACTTGAACAACACGAAAGGGCACATCTCGGAGGCTACGGGCGGAGTATGGTCCCCTACGGATGAGAATCTGTGCGCCACGATAGGGTCCGACAGTACGGTGCGCATCTGGGATGCCAACATGGGCCGGTCGCAGAAGGAGGTTATTATGCATAAATCTAGGGTGGCTGGATCCGCTGGTCGGAGCAAGATGACCGCTGTCGCATGGGGCTCCCCGAAGCAGGGCGGCTCCAATATGCTGGTTGCGACGGCCTTGGACGGGAGTATGATGATGTGGAGTGGGGATGGGCCGTATACACGGCCCAGCGCGGAAGTCCGCGATGCCCATGTCCGAGATACCTGGACAAGTGGGATAGATATCAGCGCGGATGGGAGACTGGTGGTTACCAAGGGCGGCGACGATACCATCAAGCTTTGGGATACGCGGAAGTTCAAACAACCCGTTACTACCGTGGCTCATCCGTCGAGCTCCTTCCGGTACCCGTCGTCCAACATTGTCTTTTCGCCCACCTCGGCGAACATCCTGACGGGCTCAGAGACTGGGCATCTGCACATCTTGAACCCGGCGACGTTGAGGCCCGAGTTGGTGACGCCCGTCACCCCGGGTTCCCCGCTGATCAGCGTCCTGTGGCACGAGAAGCTTAACCAAATCATCACGGGCTCCGGGAACTCCGAGACGCACGTTCTCTACAACCCTAACACATCCACCAAGGGCGCTGCCATGGTTATGTCCAAGGCGCCCAAGCGCCGGCATATTGACGACGACCCGACCCTCACCATGGACCTGACCCAAGGCCTAGCCGGCGATTCCGTGGTTGTTGGATCCAACGGTGTACCTCATTATAGCTCCGCGACCTGGTCGGCGCGGCATCCGACCATCGGCATGACCGCCTCCGGTCGTCCCAAAGACCCTCGACGACCTCACATGCCGCAGCAAACCCCCTTCGCGAAGTCCAAGCCGGATGAAAAACATATTCGCGAGCATGTCCCTCTCAGTTCCATGCGGGACGAAGATCCACGGGAGGCTCTGTTGAAGTATGCGGATAAAGCTGAGAAGGATCCGATCTTTACCAAGGCCTGGAAAGAAACACAGCCCACGACAATTTATCGGGAAATCAGTGATGATGAAGAGGAGGAGGGACCAGATAAGAAGAAGACAAGGCGGTAGCATGAAGCACAGAGTACATCAAAAATGAGTATGATATCTAATTATATTGCGATGATAAGCGCGACTTTGGCTATAAGCATTCTCTGCTGTTATTCCTTATGGCGAGGTATCCATCCATTCTATGTAGAAATATAGTATCTTGGATATAGAAACGAGCCCCTTGACATCATGATAACAAACACATAAGCGGTAGATGCAAGCCACCCCTTCAATTCGAAAAACCCAACATCCCAATTTTAGCTACAATCTGCCCGATGACGTTGAAAGCAAGCGGGGGAGGGAGTCTGACAATTCCAGCTTGTACAATGCGCCATGATGGAGACGGTGGAAAGTTGGATCTCCACGGGCCAATGACGATCGGGGTGCCGTCCGTGCATCTCTCAGTCAAGCCGATAGTTCTTGTCTGGTTTGAACTTCGCCCATTTCGTTCGCTCATCCCCTCTCTCCTACCATGCTGCGCTTGGTCGCGTATTTCTCCTCTTTATCTTAGACTCTACACGTGTGATTTGTCTACCTTTTGGGGGTTGTTGGTCACTTTAAGTGCCCGAGTCTTTTCCATCCTCCTCCCCTCTCTCCCTTTTCGAACGCCGCCTGCTGGGTGACTTCACCCCCGACTTCACCGACTACCTGTCTTTGTCGGTCTTCTATGCGACACTGCTATTCCGGTCATCTGTTTGTTGTAAACGGATACCTTCGTCGGTCACCGACTCCTCGAGAGTAAAACCTTCCTTGTCAGCGAACGAGATAACCGACACAATTCCGACTCAACCGCCAGAGGTCACAGAAATGCGGGTCTTTTTCATCACTCGAACAATCGTATAGGGCGTCAGCCGTGAGACAATATCGGAAGGGTTATTCCCCAAAATTGAGAGGAATCCGAGATCCTTCCTAGACAGCCTGTTCTGTCGATTCGGTCGGGCGATTTACGGAGTCACGGCTCCAAGACGCGTTGGCGGAGTCAGCGGGCCCCTCGGAAGCAAAGCGATCTTTTTGATTTTCCCTGTTCGCTTCTTCCCCAGCTGGACTTTTAATAACAAAAACCGTTCGACTCCCGATTCCGAATGGATTTCAACCGGGAGGTGCCTCTCGCAGCTGGTCTGCTGACAGCGCTTGTCTCTTCCGCCATCCCGACGCCGACTCTCGTGCCGCATCCTTCGTTGGTTGACCCGCTGTACACACCTATGCCTACACCTGGACACGATGGTGATAATAGTGGTGGGGGACACTTGCATAAATGGTCATCGCTCATCGGTATCTGTACGGCCCTGGTGGGAAACGTGCTGATATCGTTGGCGCTCAATATTCAACGCTACGCACACATACGAATTGATCGGGAATGGACACATGAGAAGCTGAAGCATGAGCTGGATTGGAAGCGTTCAAGCCCAGATCAGGAACAGCTCGGTTCCTACGGTGCTACATCGGCGGACGACAATGAGAGAGCTGGGCGAGGCCGGGCGCAGACCAGACAGTTTGGTCGTTACCGGGATATGTCCCCCAGCGAGGATCTCCTGCACGACGACCAACCCCATATTGAGATCGATCAGGGAAGCGAGGATGGGGACGACGATGCGGATTCTCAGCATCGCATGCGTGAATCATTCCTATCGGACAGAACGGCGCGGCCCGGCGAACACGACGTGCAGCGTCAATCATACCTCCGTTCTCCGTATTGGTGGGCGGGTATCATCCTCATGTGCCTGGGTGAGGTGGGAAACTTCATGGCCTACGGTTTCGCACCAGCGTCGATCGTGTCCCCACTGGGGGTTGTTGCCTTGATTTCGAACTGTGTCATCGCGCCCTTTATGCTGAAGGAGCAATTCAGGAAACGCGACTTCTGGGGCGTGATAGTTGCGGTTGCCGGTGCCGTGGTTGTGGTTCTCAGTGCTAAGTCGTCGGAGGAGAAGATTGGACCCCATGATATCTGGGTGATGATTACTCGCTGGGAGTTCGAGCTGTACTTGGGTCTTACGGCAGCGTTGATCGTGGGCCTCATGTGGGCGAGTGGGACGTATGGGCAGCGGACCATCCTTATTGATGTCGGCCTGGTGGCTCTTTTTGGTAGGCTTCGCGAAATTAAGCATGTGCCATGCTTACTGCACGCTTGTTGCTGACTTTGATCTAGGAGGATATACAGCTTTGTCGACAAAGGGCGTCTCATCGCTGCTCTCTTTCACACTGTGGCATGTCATCACGTTTCCCATAACGTATCTCTTGGCGTTCGTCCTTATCTTCAGCGCCTTGATGCAGATTCGCTATATAAACCGTGCTCTTCAACGGTTCGACTCTACTCAAGTCATTCCGACCCAGTTTGTGCTCTTCACACTTTCAGTGATCGTCGGTAGCGCAATTCTGTATCAGGACTTTCGGTCCTTCACTCCAGACCGAGCGGTAAAATTTGTCGGTGGCTGCCTTCTGACATTCCTTGGCGTCTATTTCATTACTAGTGGTCGAGTGCGCAGCGACGACGAGTCATCATATGCGCCGGACGACGAGGAAGAGGCTATCGGGCTGTTAGCCGGCGGAGAGCGATATCGTGACAGGGTTGATCTGTCGCCTCCCGTTCATGTGGCCAGAGTGCTGAAGCCTGGGCAAAAAGCCCCTGAGCTCCATGATGACGATGATTTACGGTCGCCTCCTGGGTCACTACTGAGTCGTGAAGTCGATGAACACCAGCACACTTCCCGAGGCGCTGTGTCTCCCACCCCATCCTCGCCTGTTGGCTCATTGACTGCCGAGTCCCTTACACAACCGTCTCCCGCGCCTTCCTCTCCGATGCATCCGCAGTCGTTCTTCTCGAACCCCTGGGCCGATTCCGCAAGACAGGCCGTTGGAACCCCACGCGCCGAACCCCAAATTCACCGCCCGACCACACCCCCAGCCCAATCCGACCAACAAGCTGCTGAGTCGTCCTTCCTTCTTCGCTTCCCTCCAGCTCCCGGCAGCGAAGCCCGCAGTCCTCAGGCCACCAACCCCGCGCCTCCTCGAGTGACTCAATCCGCACGGGGTAACACTGTCCCGCAGACCCCCCCGGCGCAGAGGCTGCGAGCTTCCTTCTCGTCGCGCTTCTCTCCGGGTACCATCCTCCCAACGATCTCCGCAGGCTTCAGTGCTGTCGTGGCCGAGTCACTGCGTCGAGGGGAGATGAGTCCGGTGAAGGAGCGGAGGAGCCGACACCGAGCGAGTCGCGGGAAACAGCTGAGCACGACCAACCTTGAGTTTGGCCGCGATGGAAATGACGGGACGGGAGCACCGGGACCTCAGACCGATGCGAGCATGGGAGATGCACCTGACCCTCGATTTGCATTGGCTACCGCTCGGCTGCATTCTACGGGCCATCTTGCGACAGAGGCAACGACTGCCGGTCACTCGACCCCCGTGTTGCCCGCCGAGAACGTGCCCGTCAACCCGTCTGAGGACGATTTCGCTTCTGGATCTCGATTCCGAAGCTTCAGTGACTCTTGGAGCGGCGGACTGAACTGGCTCGGCGGTGCATTGCATAGACCAAACGACAGCCCGGAGCCACAAGCGACGACCCAAACCCCAAGTAGTGAGCATGGACATCCGGCGAACGCACCAAACAACGATCAGGAACCTCGCTTAGATCCCGCCAACTCGCGGACATAAGTGCACTGGTTAATTGTCCAGGTACATATGGCTAGTCGCCTTCTTTCTATGGATGATACCTGTGCTCTTCTCTTTCATCTTCGCTCTTTGTCTTTCCCCTCGTCATCCGCAAGCGCTTTTCATCTTTTGAGTATATAGTGTTTAACCTGTAGAAACATCGCGCATTGGCGTTGGGAGGTTGATTGATTGCGGTTGTTCATAGCGCAGTTGCAATAGCATTCTTTGCATGATTGAAATCTGGTAGTGGTTATATTTCAATATGGAATTGAGAAGGATTCATTCGTAGCATGACGAGTACCCCGTATAAGAGTAGGGGGAGCGGAGGCGAGAGGTGGAAAGCTCCTCGTCTGTAATCTCCAACTTGCCCCATCCTTCTTACTCCACTCTCCAATAATTCTCGTTCATGCCCTTCTCACCCTTGCCAATCCTTTTACATAACATACCTTGGAGCCAAGACCGAATACCACCACCTGAACCTATCCATTAATCTCCAAGTCGAGCCATATCGGTTCCTACAACCTAGCCATCACAGTCACTGATAGGTGGGAAGAAAAAGACGGGCTATCTCCCCCCGCATTCACTTTAGTTCAACCTCGCAAAGATAGCGCAAGAACTAAGCCAGGGTATGCTGTCCTTCCTCATTTCCAACCCATCAATTTACCCGAACGGCCGCTGATTGGGGGGAATATAGGTTCAATTTCCAGATATCTCCAAGTTTGCCTTCGCTGCAGTAGTAACTAGTCTTTGTCGCGCGATGTCGTTCGCTCCACTTTCGAAGGCGATGATTGCCGATTGAGTTGTATAATTCGCTGGGGGGGGGGGGGGGGGGGGCGCATTGCGTGACGAGGGCGGAGTCGGGGGGTGGGGGGTCGACGCGCAGCTTGGATGCGACCGGGGCGTCGCGATCGGGGGGGTTCATACCCTGGTCTTGGATTATGAATCGGAGTTGCCCCCGGTTTAGGACCTCTTATTAAACGGGGACTGGGTTGGCGTCTTTATCCACCCTCTAGCCAGGCAAGGCGATATTGGTTTCTTTGCATGCATGCACCTGTCTGGTGTCTATTAACGGGATCTGGGCATGTGGTAGACTAGAAATAAATAGCTGGGCGTGCCGGGTGTGGTTTTTCTCTGTTTCTTACGTTTCTGCGTGATTGGAGTTGTCTGCGAAAAGGTTCTGCTTCTTGTTTACCGTGAAGATGGTGAACGGTTTGCTTTCGAAGAGTCTGCTAGCCTTGGGACTTTATTCTAGCTTGGTTGCTGGAAAAGATGCGACTCCTCCTTACAAAGATGCTGGGGTTCCTGTGGAGGACCGAGTGAGTGATCTATTGGGCCGGATGACCATTGAGGATAAGATGGCACAATTGATTCAAGGTGCGTTGTTTTCATAGAAGCAGCACAGATTGCGTGAGAAAGAAAAGAAAACTCACTGACAGTCTCTCATCTGATCCTCTGCAGGCGATATCACCAATTGGATGAATGACACCACTGGCGACTTTAACTACACGGGGTTGGTCGAAAACATGGAGTTGAAAGCCGGGATGTTTTATGGTATGACCCTCGAACTAAAGGCATTGCTGGAGTATTTAAGCTTCTAACGAAGCTTGTAGTTGGGTATCCTGTTCCCTGGGATTGGATCGCAACGAACGTGAAGAGGGCTCAAGACTACCTTATCCACAATACCACTCTCGGGATTCCGGCCCTTGTGCAGACAGAAGGTATGCATTCTTATATTGAACTCTTCAATTGCGCTCATATACTTACTCTGTATCCTACAACGCAGGTATCCATGGTTTCTTGATCGGAAATGCAACGATCTACAACTCGCCAATTGCGTATGGTTGTTCGTTCAATAAGGATGTCAGTATACCATTGGGTCAAAATTCTTTTCAACCTAGATCTAACCATGTCTAGTTGGTCTATAAAATGGCCAAGTTTATCGGGCAAGAGGCCAGCGCTCTCGGTGTGAACCAGATCTTTGCCCCGGTGGTTGATCTGGCTCGTGAACTTCGATTTGGCCGAGTCAGTACACCGTGTGGTATGATCACTTACAATTTATAGCTGATGCATAACAGGTTGAAGAAACGTTCTCGGAAGACCCGTACCTTTCGGGCGAAATTGGATACAGCTATACCAAGGGCCTGCAGAGCACAAATGTCTCCGCCATGGTTAAGCATTTTATCGGATTCAGCCAGCCTGAGCAGGGACTGAATACCGGACCTGTTCAGGGAGGCGAGAGGCATTTGCGCACAACGTTGGTAACGTCTATTCAGGTTTGAGAACGCATGCTGACTGTTTTCTGCAGCTGGTTTCAGTCTTTCAAGCGGTCGATCATCGATGCTGGAGCATGGAGCATTATGAGCGCGTATAACTCGTCAGTATTAGACGGTCGTCAAATGTTATCGACTCGCCATGCTAATATGTACCCTAACAGATACGACGGCATCCCCGCAATTTCCGACTACCACACTCTCACGGAAATCCTGCGCGAAGAATGGGGTTACAAGTACTTCGTCATCAGCGATGCTGGCGCCACCGACAGACTGTGCAATGCGTTCAACCTCTGCCGGAGCTCGCCAATCGACATGGAGTCCGTCACGCTCCAGGCGCTTCCGGCAGGCAACGACGTCGAGATGGGCGGTGGTTCATTGTGCGTGATCTGTACCGAGTGTATGCAAGTGATGTGGCGACTGACAACCCAACAGTAACTTCCAGAAAATCGCCGAGCTGGTGAAATCAGGCAAGCTCGATATTGAGGTTGTTGACACTGCTGTATCGAGAGTGCTGCGAGCCAAGTTCGAAATGGGCCTCTTCGAGAACCCCTACCCTGCTGCTCCACCGGAGGAGTGGAAGAAGCTCATCCACAGCAAGGAAGCCGTGCAAGTGGCCAGAGATCTCGACAAAGAGTCCATCGTACTGCTGGAGAACCACGACGATGTGCTCCCGCTCAAGAAAAGCGGCGATATCGCCGTCATCGGGCCCATGGCCCACGGCTTCATGAACGTACGTGAGCTTTGAACGGAGAATACCGTACATCCAGTCAATTTTTGAGACACTCACTAACGAAAACAGTACGGTGATTATGTCGTGTACAAGAGCCAGTATCGTGGCGTCACTCCCCTAGACGGCATCAAGGCCGCCGTTGGCGACAAAGCGCGCGTCCACTACGCACAAGGATGCGAGCGATGGAGCAACGACGAGTCGGGGTTCACCGACGCCGTCGAAGCGGCGAAGAAATCCGACGTCGCGGTCGTCGTCGTCGGAACCTGGTCGCGAGACCAGCAAGAGCTATGGCAGGGTCTCAACGCAACGTACCTCTTCCCTCCCTCTTTACTCTCTGAAGATCGACATCACGAAGAAACTAACACCGAATAGGACCGGAGAGCACGTCGACGTCAACGACCTCTCCCTCGTCGGCGCCCAAGCACCCCTCATCAAAGCCATCGTCGACACCGGCGTCCCGACCATCGTCGTCCTCTCCAGCGGCAAACCGGTCACTGAACCCTGGCTCTCAAACGCCACCTCCGCGCTCCTCCAACAATTCTACCCCTCCGAAGAAGGCGGCCACGCCCTCGCGGACGTCCTCTTCGGCGACTACAACCCCTCCGGCAAACTCTCCGTCAGCTTCCCCCACTCCGTCGGCGACCTGCCCATCTACTACGACTACCTGAACTCGGGCCGCTCCATCGGGGACTCGGGATCCCAGTCTGACGACGGGGACCTCGTCTTCGGACACCAGTATGTCCTGGGTAGTCCGCTCCCTTGGTACCCCTTCGGCTACGGAAAGAGTTACTCGACTTTCGAGTACGGGCGTGTCAAGCTGGATAAGAGCTCTGTCAAAGACGCCGAGGCGGAGACGGTCACCGTGCAGGTGGACGTCACGAATCGCCACCCCACCCGTGACGGGGCGGAGGTTGTGCAGGTGTATGTGAAGGACGAGTATGCGAGTGTCGTTGTGCCGAATCGGGAACTGAAGGGCTTTGAGAAGGTTGTTATCCCTGCGGGGGAAACGAAGACTGTGCGAATCCCGCTGCGGGTGAAGGATCTGGGCCTGTGGAATTCGGCGATGAAGTATGTTGTTGAGCCGGGGGCGTTCCAGGTGCTTGTTGGGAGTAGCTCGAGTGATATTCGGGGGAATGCTACTTTTACTGTGGAGTAGGTTGGTTGGTTTGTTGGTTGGTTAGAGGGAGAGGTGGGGGGAGCTATTTTATCTCGATGTATTTTATCATAAGGGGCTAGTTTTTGGATAAAGAATATGAGAGTAGGGAAGTATGAATTGAGTTGTATTGCTATCTTTGTATTATTGGAAGATTGACAACGCGCTATTGTGTAGGGCTTGTCAGTAGGATGTTACTTCAATTGAAAGAAAAGTGAAACCCGAATGTATCGTTATCATTATCGTCATTAGCGTCATGCGTAAGGATTCAGTAGTAGGACTAGAGAGAAAGACGATGATTGGACTATCTCAACTATCAGACGCATCCGTCCTCGGCTCAGCATCGTTTGTCGAAGTAGTGTCGTTCTCCGTGTCGCCGCCATCAACCTCAGCTCGCGTTGACGTCTGGCGGGGCGGGATATGTCCAGTCGCAGCAGGACGGGGACTGTTGGGTGGAGGGATGGCTGGACTTTTCCGAGATGCATGGTCCACGGCGGAGCGGCCCTCAGCGCGGCGCGTTTTGGCGCCCTCTTTGAGCTTCTCCCATCGTTCGCGGTAGCGGCCGACGATGTCGCGCAGCTTGTCGTTCTCGCGGCCGGCTTTGTCGAGATCGCGCTCGCTGCGGCGGATCAGGTCTTCGAGTTCCTTGATGCGGATGTCTTGGTCGCCTGGCGATGGTTCCTGGGGCGGGGTGATGGCCGAGGCTGTCACTGTTGAGGGGGACTGCGGGCGGTGGCTCTCGAGGGACGGATGGCTCTGGTGGTGCATGGCTCGGAGGGACTGTTGCAGGGCCATTGATGACGACTGCGCGTTGACTTCCCACATGTGGAGACGCGTGGACAGCGTGTCGGATAGGTGGCGTAGGGCCTGGTTCTCCATCTGCAGTTCTTCCATGGTTTTTGGGTTCTGCAGGCTGGTGAACTTATCGCTGCCGGCGGCGCGTCCCTTCTTGGCTCTTCCGCCTGTTAGACTGTGACGGAGTTCTGGCGAGGGGGGCGTCTCGCGTGCATCGACAAAGTCGTCGTCGCCGTCGTCAAGACTGCTCCGTCGTGCTGCCCCTTCGCCCCGGCCTAGGATGCCGGCGTATGAGACAGTACCGCCCGTGGTCGGCACGACGTAGAAGGATTCGGCGGCGCTCGTGGTCGTGATGGGCCCCGTGCCACCATTGGGGTCCCGGAGGGACCGCAGGGCCGCACGCGAGAAGATCTTACTGATGTCCGGGTCGGCGGATCGCCTCGAGCGGTCGGAGGTCGCGGGGTGGCGGTCCAGTTTCGGCTCCGCGGTGGACTTTTGGTAGGACGGGGTGGAGTCTGCGCCGAGTGGGAGGCCGGCAAAGGCTAGGGGAGCCGAGATCTTGGAGATGAGGCCTTCAAAGGTGGAGTAGAACCGCTGGAAGGGTTCCTCACCGGGAGGTTCGCGATGCGTGGCATGGGGCGATTCCGCCATGTCGGCGGGGACGAACTGTTTGGAGGTGACATCGGTGGGGCTGGCTCCCAGGGACGGAGGAGGGAGGGGGTCCCTGGAGTTGAGGTTGCGGTTGCGCTCTTTGGTCGCCGTAGCTTGGGTGCCTCGGAGTCTGGACTGGCCGGTTGGGATCTTCGACGGACCCTCGGCCATTTTGGCCCCCGCCTGCTGGGCCGACAGCGTGGGGGAGACGGGAGATGCCCGGCGCGGGTGGGCAGGGATGCCCCGCGCCGAGGCTAGATTGCTCGCGATGGACGAAGTTTCCCGCGTGGGCAGTCGCACCTGGGTAGGCAGCTTGGGAGGGACATGCAGCGCCTCTTTCGCGGCGGCGGATTCGACTGGGGTCAGTGGAGAATTTTCCCCCGCGGGATCGGGGGCCGATGGAGGGTGCTCATGTTGGAAACGCAGGATCTGAGCGAGTTTCTTATGATGATCTTCCAGAAGGTGAAGCGTCCGTAAAGCCTTATGGAGGGGAAAATTATGTCAGTATTCACTCACGCTGTTTCTTAGTTTATACTTGGTTGGGATGGGATTGGATCGCTATGAAGGGATCATGTCATACTTCGCGATCGGCACTCTGTTGGGCGGCGGTTGCAAACTCGCCAGCTGCCAAATCATGTTCTTCACTGGCTGCTACAGGATTAGACTTGCGAGTCTCCAGAACTGCATTTCGCGCATGGGTATGAGCCTTGTCCAGGAGGAAGTTCTCGCGTCAGGGTATCCTGTTGACTTTGTTTTGAGGGGATGGAGGAACATACCAAGGTGAGTGGAGCGGACTCCATGATGGATCGGCTGGATAGAAGTCGACAGGAGAGATCGAAGCAGTAGAAATCATGAAGAAGCTGCAGGGAAAAGAAGAGAGGAGGAAAAAGAAGAAGAGAGGAGGAAAAAGAAGAAGAGAGGAGGAAAAAGAAGAAGAGAGGAGGAAAAAGAAGAAGAGAGAGAAAGATGAAGTTGCATTGAGAGACGATGGAGAGTGACGCAACGGGGAGTTTCTTGGTATGATCTGGTATTGACATGTACGGTATGGTATGGATACAGGAGCTCCCCTAACTCCCTAACTCCCTAACTCGTCTCCCCTAACTCACCCCTAATCCGGGCATCTGGTGGGGAAAGGGTAAAGTGGAGTTGACTGTCCCTCCGATCCATTGGGTTGTATCAACATGGGTCGAAACAGAAAGAAGAAAAAGGATGAGATAGATTCTATTATTGATCTTTCATACTGATCATCCTATATTATATGTCTATATATTTATAGTGGTGTAGATTTATATAAATATCTTCGAGATCGATCTATAAATAGGGATCTAGATCAAGACTCCAGGAGAAGCTGTCAGGAACCGATCTGACCACGATACCATACCGTACCATACATACCGCCCCCTCTCCATCTTCCTCACCTCATCTTCTTCTCTCCTCCACTTCTTCTTCTTCTCATTCTCTCCATCTTCCTCTCCCCTTTTCTCTTCAACCCTGAATTGAATCCCTTCATCATCTTCCTCTCGAACATTCAAGTTCCTTTTTCCCCTCCACTCTCCTTCAATCCCTTTACCCTGGTTCGTTACCAGAGCTGCTCCCCAAGGTGGTGCTGCTGGTCCTGCAACTCCCTGCAGCTCATTAACTTCCTCAAAAAAGACCTCCCCCCCCTCACTACTTCTTTTCTATTCCTCCTCTTTTTGACTCTTATTCGAACTTCTATTCCCTAGTTTATTGTTGAGGACGAGGCTGGTTTACTCGGACATGTGCAATTAAACTTTCACCTCGTTTAGAACGGCCGGACATTTTGTTGACAGCCTGTTTCTTGGACTCACTCCGCCCTGACCTTCTACCTATATTCTCCGTCCCCCCTTTCCCCCTTCTCCCCCACCTCACCCCCCCTCAGTTCATCATGGATCAATCATCATTCCCCGAACCCCCGCCAGTTCCCGAATCCGATCAAGGGTTCACGAGACCCCTGCGCTCCTCCACCACCGCGGACCTGGAGACGACCGCAAGCCACAGCACCCGACGCTCCTCCATCGAATCCGTTTCCGAAAGACCCAAATCACAACCCGGCGAGCACTCGGATTCCGCAAAGGCTGGTTCCAGCGGATTCTCGAAACTACTCGCCTCGCGCCGGAAGCGCAAGCAGGAGAAGGAGAGTCGAAAGCAGGCCGAGTTAGCCACCCAACACGAACGGGACGATGAGGGAGACCCCGACGACCGTCGCCCCATCGAGTCGCGCAGTGGCCTTTCCACCGCCTCGTCGACCAACGACACCGAAAGTTACCCGGAGAGAGAAGCGACCAACGTCATATTGACGGATGATTCCGAACCGGATCGGTGAGTCGGTGGCTCAGGAGACCCGCGAGAGACAGCCGCCGGGAGGAGCGGGGAGGAAACGGTTGCTAATCTGGCTTTCATGTACAAGGACCCCGCCGTTGACGACCCGAAACTCACACACGGGCTTCTACACCACCTCCTCCCCCCTTTTAGCCTCGGGCGCGTCTGCCGAGAGCGATGGGGCCCAAGCGGACGTCGAATCCGCTGTCAGTGGTCCGAGCGGCGGTGCCGCCTCCGAATCCACGGTCGACCACGACACTTCGCGCCCTTCCTCCCGACACGCCTCCACGCTGAGCGTTCCGCCGGACAGCGCGAAGAAAAGGGCGGTGTCGCCGGGTCGCCGGTTCAAGAATCCCTTCGGCGGCGATAAGGAGAAGAAAAGTTCCACCCGGGATCGCGCGTCGTCGACCGCCTCCGTCGACAGCAAGAGAAGCCGGAAAGGCAGTCTGTCCTCCCGGAAGGCACCCGTGGTGGTCGCCGAAGAGCCCCCGCCGCTCCCGCCCATCCGGACCGAACTCCTGGAGGAGAAGCCTGTCCCGCCGGTGGACGATGCCGCCCCGCGGACCCCCCCGCGGACCGCTCTCCCCGCCCCCCAGACCACCGTCACTCCTCCGAGTCCCCTCCCCGGGCAACACAACCTCTTCTCGTCGCCCGACATGGTCACCTCCCCCGAATCGTTGGATTCGAAGAAGTCCATTCTTCCCTCCGGGGTGGTGGTCAGTCCGTCCGGGAATATGATCTCCCACCGCCGGGTGCGCTCGGCGTCGGCCGCCGGTCACAAGCCCAGTCGCCTGTCGAACTCGATCTCGGCCATCGGTCCGCCCCTGGAGGAGACCAAGGCGAATCCTGTGGCGCAGCAGAGCGGCTTCTTTTCCTCGGTGTTTTCGGTCGCCCAGAATGCGGCGTCCACGCTCAGTAGCTCACTCAATGCGCAGCAAAAACCCCGCAGCCCCGCGCAACCCATGGCGGCCGAATCGGACGTCACGGTGTCGGACGGCGCCGACGGCTCGAGTCCGGCTCCCGAGGAGCAGAAGAAGCCGCTCGCGGTCGACACGCTGGGATCGGGCGATCTCAATTTCGACCACTTGGATATCGCTATCCCTCCGGGGGGGTCGGTCTCGACCCCCGATGGTGTGGTCATCACGAAGCCGCAGGCCCCGTCGGAAAAGCGCCGGACCCCGGCGGTCTATCGGCAAGATGAGGAGGCCGCGAAGGCCGAGGGGCGCCGCGCCGCGCGTGCCGTCACCATGGCCTACGAGAAACCCGCCGACATCTCCGTGCGTCCGCCGTCGGACGAGAGTGTCGAGCAACGGTCGACCGCCTCGCCGCCCCACGATCCCTCCGGGGATTCCACGCCCCCGAACAGCAGCCTCCTCGACGGCGAGACCGAGGCCGCCCAGCGGGATCGGAGCAGCAGCGTGCAGAGCCGGCTGGTCCCGCGCCGACACCGCGGCTCGTCGGCCGCCACCGCCTCGACCATCGGTGCTGCGGCCGCGGGGGCGACCCTGGCTCTGGGGATCCCTGGCGGGAACTCCAGCGTGCCCCGCCTGACCGGATTCGCCGTCGCCAGCAAGAAGCGGAACCGGGATTTCCACCAGCTGTTCCGCAGCGTCCCTGAGGACGATTACCTGATCGAAGACTACAGCTGCGCGTTGCAGCGCGAGATCATTCTGGCGGGCCGGATCTACATCTCCGAGGGGCACATCTGCTTCTCGAGTAACATTCTGGGCTGGGTGACCACTCTGGTCATCAGCTTTGACGAGGTGGTCGCCATCGAGAAGGAATCCACCGCCATGGTGTTCCCCAACGCCATCGCCATCCAGACACTGCACGCCCGCCACACATTCCGCAGTCTGCTCAGCCGCGAGTCGACCTACGACCTGATGGTCAACATCTGGAAGATCAACCATCCGACCGTCAAGAGCTCCGTCAACGGGACCCGCGTCGCGCATGGGACGGGCGACAAGACCGAGAAGGCCGGCGAGAGCGACGACAGCGACGCCGAGGATGAGATCTACGACGAGGACGAAGAAGGCGACAACGCCGACAGCTTCTTCGAGCCCGGGGACGACAGCGTGGCCGGCAGTGAGCGGTCCGCGCCCACGAAAAGCCTCAGCCGACAGGCCTCATCGGGGGCCCTGCAAACGGCCAACGGCGCCGGGGCGACCGCGTCCGGGAACGCCAATGGTGCCTCCAAGGGCACGGCCGGCGACGGCGATACCGACTTCCCGGGCCCCCCCACTCACGGCCCCACCGAGTATACCGACCCCGCTGGCCAGTACGAGAAAGTCGTCAAGGATGAGATCATTCCGGCGCCGCTCGGGAAAGTTTATTCCTACGTCTTTGGCCCCGCGTCGGGTTCCTTTGTGCCCAAATTTCTCGTGGAGAACCAGAAGTCGGGCGAGTTGCAGTTTGAGAGCGAAAAGAAGGGTCTCACCAACGACAGCCGGACGCGGAAGTACTCTTATATCAAGCCACTGGGCGGAGCCCCGATCGGTCCCAAGCAAACCAAGTGCATCAGCACCGAGTATCTCGACTTCTTAGACCTAGAGAAGGCGGTCCTGGTCACGCTCACGACCCAAACCCCCGATGTGCCCAGTGGGAACGTCTTCTCCACGAAGACCAAGTACCTGTTCACCTGGGCCGCGGGGAATCAGACGCGATTCTTGATGAGCTGCACCATTGAATGGACGGGGAAGAGCTGGCTCAAGGGTAGGCTCCTCACTGACACGAACCTGTGTAGGAAAGTTCACCGCTAACCAGACCGCAGGTCCTATCGAGAAAGGTGCCATGGATGGCCAGACCACTTTCGGTACCGATCTTGTGAACGCGCTCAAAGCTGCCGTGGCTCCTCGCGCTCGCGCCACTGGCAAGGGCAAGGGCCGGCGGAAGAAGACCGACATCGCCCGGGAAGAAGCGGCCGCGGCCGTCGCGGCGGCAAAGGCCGCCAGCGAAGCCACTGCCCGCGAGAACGAATCTTGGGGCTTCTTGGAGCCGCTCCATGGTCTGCTGGGACCCGTGGGCGACATTATCAAGCCCCTGTGCACCGGCAACGTCGCCATTGTGGTTATCGGTCTCTTACTTTTGATGCTCTTCTTCCGCAGTCCATCGAAGCCGCCCTCTATTCTGTCGCACGACATTGGATGCCCTGGGTATTCGCTCCCGCAACGCCTCGCTGCCTACGAGGAGATGTGGCGGAGGGAGGAGAGTGAACTCTGGAGCTGGCTCGAAGACCGCGTGGGCATGGATGGCATGGCCTTCCCCAACGTCCACAAGCCATTCGAGATGCATAGCCGCCGGGGGTCTCGCAGGACTCCTGGTGAGCGTGAAGTCCACGAGAGACTAGGCGAAGACAAGATGTCTGATCGTGAGATGGACCATGCGATTCGGACCACCCGCGAGCGACTCGACACCTTGGAGAGGATCTTGACCAAACGCCGGTCTCCTTCGGAGGCAGAAGCCTCCCATCTCGAGCTGTAGTGCTCTACATCCCGTCTTCCTCCTGACCCTTGCACTTCAAACCCTTGTTTCTTTCCTTCCCATACACCGAGACCACAGTTATCAGACCACTTGTCCCCTGATCGCCAGATCTACGCCACTCATTCATCTCCTTCTGTCCTATACTTCATCAAGTTTTGATTTCGAACCTCTGTTGTTTACCATCTTCACATCCCACCTTCGATCACGCGTCGAACCAGTCCAGTCTTTCTGCAGCCGTCTTGTGTTGCCCTTTGAGCGATCTTCTTTTCTTCTTTGTCTGTATTTGGTCGATGTACCTGTCTATCGTTTTATTTGTTCTATCTATCTTCTTGTCTTTATAAACTTTTGGTGCTCTTATGCATACTTGAAACCTGCGCGATCTTGACTCTTTGGGAGAGGCTTTGTACATGAGCGCTATCTGTATGTTCATAGATACTTCAGACATATTCAGTTCTTTTTCTTTTCTTTTATTTTTTTTTATTTTTTATTTTTCACACTTTTCCCACTCTATCCGGAGTATTATTCGTCTTATCCTTGTTCCTATTCTTATGATCTGGGCAGCTAGTTAGTCAGTTACCCGAGTCTTGTATTATTTTGTATTTATTCAAACCTATGTTTGTGATTAAACGGTGGAAACGTATGGTGTACAAGTTGAGTTCTCATTATGTATATGGAGTACTGCGTACGATAGACATTTCCTTTAGTGAACTCAGAGTGCTTATACATGTCACTATACGCACCTGTTTTTCTACATTATCGTAAGTTTCCTGTTGTAGACATCGATCGTCTAAAATAGCGTGTTTTCAAACCACGACGTCGTTTGATGAAGTTAGAGGCCTCATTCTCTGACTGTTTGTGTAGGTGTAGTACCACTATGAGCAAGATGAATGTTGGCCATTTCTTGTATAAGATGGCCAGGGAGGTGCCCCACATCAATGTAGTAAAATAATCTATTGTACAAGTGATTCCTCTTCGTTTTAAGTCATCTTATGGCTACTCGCGCGTGTCTTTGAGCGTGAAATTATTCCCTTGAGTCGTCGGCCTAGGGTTCTTTCAGATATTATAGATGCGAGCTGCTTCACGGATACTGCGAATTTCTTGCTTTTTCAAATGCAGATAATGCTAGTAGAATTTACTCCTCATTCTCCGCTGTTTCTCTTGAATTTTGACATACCGTTGGAGGCACGCTCGGTGGTTGAAGTTGGTCAGAGAATAAAACGCGAGGAATTCCGAGGAGATGCGGCGCTAGCCTGTGGAAAACGTTAATTAATGGTTAACTTGGTACCTGGTGGATTGACTTGTCGTTGGGTCTGTCCTTGTCTCGGACTCAGACCGAGCACCTGAGTTCTATATATCGTAAGAGACTTTAAGCGCCCGCTTGCCTGCACCACATCGCCCTTATAAAATTGATGGGCCGCTATCATTATTGACTTCTGGGTATCCTAGGGCCAACATCGAGCTTGATAGATAACTGCCCTTTTCAAATGCCCTTTGAAGGTAAGTTCATGGTTTTACCATTTCCATATGCTTTTCCTGATGTTCAATTGGGTTTGAAAACTAAATTAAACATCGCGGCGATAGGTGTCTCTTAGTCAAAAATTTATGGATTACAATTTACAACAGGCTCAGCGGCCCATAGCCGCAGCTTATTTTTTAGCCCTGAAGAATCCTTAATATCACTTGTGGTGGAATCTGCTGTACCCGGTCTTGATTATAGATTATCCATTCAAAAATGATGGACATCCATGGTGAGGTTACAATGTTTAGTTTATGAAACGAGACTGAAGGCCACCGAGTTACTGTAGCACGATAGCTATACGCATCAGCTTAGACCTCATCAGGTATAAGCTGTATTTCATTACTTGTAAAATAGGCAACGGCTGTAAATTTGAGGCTTTTTGCTATTACCATATCGGGAATCTCCAACGTATTCGTAAACATGCCCGAGAATATTTCCCAATATGTTAATTCTGCCGTTTTCACTATCAGCCATGGCCATGTCTATTTTGATTTCTCTACTTGTACGGGGGTATTTCATGGATTTTCGCACATCCTGCTACGCTGTGTGGTACAGAATACATCAGTAAGATGGGACGGAAAATGTCATTATAACCGGCAGTGGAAATAACTGGGGAATGCTCCACAGCAAGGCGGGCCATGGTCCGCTATCCAGCCAGTTTGGCCTGGGTGCTGATCATATCCTCCAGTTGATGGTGGTTACAACAGAAGGCCGACAGTTCGTGGCCAATAATGCTCCGAACCAGGATCTTTTCTGGCCGGTTAAGGGTGGAGGTGCTGGGCAGTATGGTGCGGTGACGGAATATGTCTTGAAGACACACCCTGCATTTTCGAGTGTGATTACCGGTGGTTTGGCTATATACGGTGCCCGTAATGCGAGCGCGGATGCAGCTTGGAATGCTGTCGCAACTGTGTTGAACAAGACCCCGGATATCATGGACTCGATGCCCATTGCTGGAACAGTCAATATTGCCAAAAGTAGCACTGGAGGCAGCATGGTTGGTTCTAACTACTCTGTACCAGGCGCGGTGATTGCTTCATTTCCCGGCAACATGACCACAGCGCAAATGCGTCGTATTCTGCAGGAACTAGCCGCACAGGCAGTTGCTTCCAGTGGAGCCGGATCCATAATCGCCAAACAACACAACATCCAAGAGTACCAAAGTTTTTCCCATTTCTTCAACAACACTACTTCCTCGCCGTCAGAAACTGTTGCTGATAGTCTGATGTCCTCCCGCTTACTCAGTCGCGTGGAACTTTCTACAAGTGACATAAATTTGCATCTGCAGCAACTCCTTGAACACAGCCCATTTATCCTTCTGGGACTGCAGGGAGGTTGTGGACCACGAAACGTCCCAGCCGAGTTACGGGGTGCTGTAAATCCTATCTGGCGCAAGATATACGCTCACGCCCTGAGTTTCGGCACGCCAATTAACGTAATGGGAGCTCCTAGCGTTGAGTTGAAGAAAGCCGGAGAGTGGGCAGAGAGACATCCGGAAGCTGTTTGGAGAAAGTGGGCTCCTGAGACCGAGGCGTATATGAACGAGGCTAACTGCTTCAACTCGCATTGGAAGCGTGATTTCTACGGTGTGTACTATGATGAGCTGCTGGCTGTTAAGAGGAAGTATGATCCTACGGAGAGTTTGTATGTGATTAGTGGTGTTGGGATTGATGAGTGGGAGTATGATCTTGATTCAGGGTTGCTTTGTCGAGTGGATTAGTCTCAGCTGCTCAGCAAATGATATAACCAGACTGTCGGACATCAAACACTGCGTGATCCCAAGAAACACTTCTGTGCTACAACTGGCGAGCTCTGTATTCCCCACAATATACCATCCAGATGGCTGAAAAAAGCTATGCTTCGCTCCCACGTTCCATTGACTACACAAGATGTCCTATGTGCAGAAGGACGGAGAGATGATTCCGTTCATCATGAGCAACAGCGATACTGCATATTCACTTTTTTTATAAAGATATACATTTTCGGGTTTCTGATTAGGCCCACTTTCCAGCACACGTTGCGCCACTCAATCGGAAATTACGTTACTAATCTTTACTTTCACTTTGCTTGTGATCCCGAGGCTTTTGATCTGACTATTTGGGTTATAATCTACATATCTTATCAATCTAAACGGCTCTCGCGCTAACTAAAGCTCCATAAACGTTAATATCATGATTCATTATTTGGGTAATAATCTACAAATCTTATCAATCTAAAAGCTTCTCGCGCTAATATGAACTATATATTATGAGGCCTCCATATAACAAACCCACCAGAACCAACCGGAGTATGCTCGGTGCATGTGGGATATCGGAAGTTTTCCTCAAAGACTTCCATGGATCAACCAGTCTCGTTCTTCGTTCCGTTCTTAGCGAATGTGGACCATGAATATTACGGGCGTAAGGCTTGCTTGGAGGTTGTCTCGGTTCCTTTGCCCCCGAAGTCGGATGAGAGTTTGGTGCAGAGCAGAATGAGCGCAGGTTATACTTCGGAGTCCTATATAGTTGCAGAATCTCACGCCCTGGGACAGTATGCCCCCAGTTCGCTAGTTCCGCAGATCTAACATGATGTTTTCCAAAGTGTGCCGTTGGCTCACCGCACTGTCTCTTGCTTTTGCCCCCCTGGCAGCGGCAGACCTCTGCTCTAAACTTGACACGCAAAACGTTCAGGTCCAGAAGTCGCCCACCCTTGACTACATCTCCGAGTTGAAAGACTACTGGTCTGTTGCGTGTGGTGACCTCAAACCAGCATGTATAGTCTTCCCATCAAGCGCTGAAGAGATGTCCCAGATCGTCAAAGAGCTGCATGAGGTGGATGACCTATTCGCTGTGAAATCCGGAGGGCACATGCCAAACAATGGCTTCGCTAGTATCCAGAATGGAATTCTTGTGTCAACCAAGAATCTGAATCAGGTTGTCTATAACAAGGAGGACCAAACGGCGGACATTGGACCTGGTCTTTCCTGGGAGGAGGCCCTTGGTGGTTTAGAAGGGACTGGCCGGACGATTGTTGGTGGACGCATGGGAGGTGTTGGTGTTGGGGGATTCATGCTTGGAGGTTTGTTGTTCACAAGCAGTTGGATGAGACTGGTGGTCTGACATTTGCAGGTGGACTGAGCTTCCTTAGCTCGCAGTATGGCTGGGCGGCCAACAATGTGGTCGACTTCGAAGTGGTCCTTGCTAATGGCACGATTACCCATGCCAACAACAAAGAGAACACTGGTAAGCCGGCAAGCAACATCGACAACGATACTGTCTAACACACGGTACAGACCTCTTCAAAGCCTTGAAAGGCGGCGGTAACAGCTTCGGCATCGTCACCAACTACAAACTGCAAACACACGCGCAGGACCACAAGGTATGGGGAGGAAACTACATATACACGCTCGACAAGACGCCCCAAGTCCTGGAAGCTGTGCAGGATTTCACCGCGAACTACCCCGACGACAAAGCTGCGATCATCCTGACTGCGAACCACGGTTCCCTCGTCAACACATGGATCTTGTTCCTCTTCTATGACGCACCCTCTCCGCCAGATGGTGTTTTTGACAAGTTCAAGGACATCCGACATGCGGATACTACCAAGACCTGGGATTCGTACTATAAGCTGGTATGCTATTCAAACCCTTTGCGGGAAAAGAACATTAATTCTCACGGCAAATGAACAGCTCAAACACAACGACCTTTTCATCATCAAGGGCCAGCGATACGTCATTGGCACCGAAACAACACCCCTCCCCGGTAAAAACGATGTGGATATCCTTCAAACGTACTACGACCATTGGTTCAACGTCACCGACAGCGTTCTCGAAGTTACGGGCCTGCTTGGCTCAATCGGCATCCAGCCGATGCCTCGAGCTATTACCCAGAAAGCCAAAGACATGGACGGAGTAGGTTCCTTCATAGTGCTATAATGAAAAACTGAACCATATCTAACAAAAAAAAAAGGACATGATCGACCTCCCCACAGATCAAGACTACATCATGTTCGAACTCGATTTCTCCTACGGCTTCTCCAAAGACGACGAAAAAATCGACGCCGCGCACCAGAACGTGTACGAAGGCCTTGACCGTCTCATTTCAAACTATGTGGACGAGGGCAAGCTGCCCGATGTGTACCGTCCGCTGTTCATGAATGATGCGTACCACAGACAGGATTATTGGGGCCGGTTACGCACGAAGGAGGAGGGATTGCAGGTACAGGAGAAGTATGATCCTGATAGGTTCTGGCAGAAGAGGACTAGTGGTGGGTTCAGGCTTACTCCGTAAGGCTTAGGCGGAGCCTGGTGGGTTTGGTGGGATCAAGGACCTCATCGCTCGGAACATCCAGTCTTGGCGCAGTCCTCGGGAACGCGCCATCAATTTGGACTTTTGACCCACCTACCTCTATAGGGCTGAGCACATGCCAAGCAGACAGTCAGATCTATGCTGTCAGTTAAATTCTCCATCCTTTCCCTCTCTTATCCACGGAAACTGATCTGATTTGCTCTTGATATCACACACATTAGCATGTTGAATCTGGTTATGTACATGGTTCTGTATATATTTCAGTAATATACTGTGTCTTGTGAATTCTTCAAAAAGAAAATATGATCGCCCTTGACTCCTTTATAACGGATAATTTGTCTTAGAATAGACCAAGAAGCAGCTTACCACGGCTCGTGCAAGAACCTGGTATTGTGACACTTACCAGTGAGCACATAGCGCTTCCATGCGCTGAGGTTGATCAGTGTCAACACAGAATTACAAGAATTGTATTGGATGGTGTACTCACTTCTGGCCGGCGACCAGCTTGTTGTCTTTGATAGTCTCGCGGGTGTCACGGATTCCCGGGATCTCCTTAGTAGGATAGACCCCCGCTGTCTATAGCTTACGCAGTGAACAAATCATGGCTGCCTAAAAATCCAAGGTTTAGGAAAGACACCTAGTGTTGTGGCCACAATATGTGGCGCTCCGTAGGGCAGCTCAGTCAGTCTATTCATATTTGGGCGGGGACCACTGGCCGGCCACTTAGAAAAAAAGTTGATGGCTTGTGAGCCTGGCAAGACTCAGACCCGGCATGATAAAGGCGCACGTCCATGTGCACTGGGCCCCGCTGGGATAGCCGGTCGTCCATGCCACATCCCAGAATAATTTCACCTGTTGGTTCCAGGTGGCAAAGAACAGAAGCCACATGACCATCGGCGCTTTTGCGGTGTCCAAGTGGAAGTCAGCAAATAGTAGGTTGAAGGGCGGGAAAATGTCGATGGTTCAACTTGATTGGCACCAACATGCATGATTAGTTAGCTGGACGGAAACTGACCGCCGTCCGAAGCAGGGATAACCATACAATGGGCTACACAGCCACCTATCCTGACCTGACATTTATATCTCTCCCAGAGAGTTTCTACTACACCAGAGACCGTGCATTTGAATGGCCTCGAACTTCTTTTCACCGGGATTTTCCTTTATAAGAGTGGTTTTATAAATAGGAACTGTGATGCCACACCTTGGACAAAAGGGAGACAAACCTGTGGTTTTTAAATAGTACTACTTATGTGCACAGTAGACATCCAAGGCAAGAAAAAAAATCTTTCTAAGTATTCCTTCTAAATATGGCTTGGGTGCCTACTAACCTCAACCGTTTGTCAAGGTTCCCACGGTAAAACAAGCGAGAATTAGAAGCAGAAGCGGATCAAGGCGGCCAAATACAGGAAAAGTATATTAAAAGCGTCCCATTACGGGATCGGAAACTACTACGAGGAATATCACTACGAAAAGAAGTAACTAATTTGTGGGATCGATACCAGGAAATATTCGAAATAAAGGAGGCGGGGCCGGGTCACTTTGTGCACTCAAAAGACGACACTTTCTCGGAAATGATAGTCAAAGAGGTGGAAGTCCACAGTCAAACTTGGCTGTCCAGAATCTCTGCGAGTTCCCACAAAAATATCGTCCACCCTTGAGAAGCACTATATCACAATGATACCATCTATCTTGTCTATGAAGTGTTAGATGTGTCGCTTGCACAGGTATCTCCAACACTACTAGGTTGGCTAAAAGTATATGAAGTTGCAGCATTTTGCTATGAGACACGGGCCGGAATCAAGTATATTCATGATTTGAATGTAGTTCATGGTGATCTAAGTTCCGAAAATGCGAAAATAGGTATGAATGGCTCTAGACATGTTTGTCATTCCTAGCTAGTATCACTGCTCAGTAATCCTGGAACCCTTGATCACGAGTAATTGGGATTCCGCCTTGGTGAAATTCCAACTATCAACTAAGATAAAAACAGCACGAGACTTATTACAGGTAGGTTTTTCCAGGAATCGAGGAACAACACATAAGTGACTCCAGTAAGGATGATTTCCTTAAGCTGTTCCCGAGGCCTAGATGTCTAAAGCCGTATATACGGCTTGCACGAGAGCTGGGGGTGAAGCAGGTGGAACTTGGGAGCTGATGATTAAATATTTTTCTATGTGAATTAGATATCTCTCAGAGCTTCACATTCAAGTCTAAATTTAACTGGCTAATTTATATCAATCCTTTGCCAAAACCTCTAGTATCAGTTACTTTTCCGCGCTCTATACACATGTCAAATATTATAGCTACTAACGCATGTTTGGAATGCCTGACCTCAAATCAGCGGCAAGATGTTGGATTGTGCTTAGAATTATCCAAACAAACGACTGAAGGGGGCTTAACTTAGTGTCTGTATGCTCTGGGCTGTTGCCAAATTGTACTAACGACCAATATGTCTATATTGTCTATTCAAATGCCAAGGACTCATGGGTAGCTTGATGCAAGAATGTGAGATGTTTGTAAAGCCTGCTTTGCGTACTTCTGCTATAGTTTCATGGAAACTGTGAGCTAATGGGTGTCCCAATTTTTCAGTTGCTTTCTTCAATTGCGGATACCAGTATGGGAGAGCCATTCTATTCCAAAGGCTAGTATCACAGCGCAGCTCAAAATCGATTTCCAATTGCTAAACCAACCACCGAGATGCAGTTTGTTAAATGTCTGGCGGTAAATATCTGGCCAGCCGTTCACACCACACCACAACAACCCAATTGCAGATGAATAAGGTTCCATAACTCTCCTTGTTTAATCCAATCTTGTTCAAAATCAAAAAGAGGTGCTGAATTCATTCATAATTTGAAAGATGGTTGGGTGGCTGAGTTGCAACGATATCAACTCCCAAAACATAGGAACTCGGATACCCTTTTGCCGAATCAGTAGCCCAGAACCCAGTTCCGCATCCCAGATCCAGAAACCTGGCATTTCCAGTAGGACGCGTGCGGCAGGCCACAAGTATGTTGATTTATCGCAAAAAGCTCGTGGAATATGTCGAGCCGGTCTTGCTCTTGCTCGTCACAGGGGAACAAATCTATTTAGTCGTGATAAACAGCATATGTCCGTCCATTTTCCTGGAGGTGGGCACATGAATCTAGTTTACTGCAAAGACAATTAGTTGATACTTCTTTGGATTTAATCATATAATATAAGTTTAGCAACAAGATGTACAAAACAAGATATAATCTATTTTCTAGTTTTTTATACTTCCTATAAAGCTTCATACTTGCAATAGAATCTCCATTGACCGCTTTAGACATGGAAAAAACTTATCAAGATGGACTTATCCAAGAAACTACACACATTGAAGCTTGATTTGATGGATATTCACATGAAATTAATAATGAGTAGTATGATTCAGTCTGGCTCAGTGGTTTTCACGAAGAAGCAGTATCTGGGAGAGATTCAGATTATAGAAGAGAGTTTATATAGTCATAAGAGCTATCTAGAATACTCGAAAATAACCAGTAAGTAATATTAGCTATTATTATCACTTGGCTGACAGGATCAAATGCGTATCACAATTTTCTCATTAAAAGAATATGATTAGCAGACAGAGATGGAGGGAATATGGCTTATATAGCTATTATTCATGAAGATAACCATCACATAAAGTAGAAGTGCTAGCAAAGCTAGGGCTCTGAGGGTTGAGTCTTGATCTCATGGGAGCATACATGCTCCTCGGATTGGCCAGCTTATTCTGAGGGATATATGCGGTGTTCTCAGAAACCGAGTGCTCCTGTAATAAGCACCCTTCCCGGCAATTATCTCAAGAGCTGAATTAAATTTATTAACATCTATATCTATCTAGGTATGATACTGTATAGCAGACTTAATACTTAGGGTTATTCTTATGAACTATATATCTTCACATAGACATTTGGCCAGTCAGTGTTACATGATTAATAAAGAATTTCTAAACTAGGAAAATTTAAGAGATAATTTTATAATCTCACAGGTGAGGTCATAAAATTATTATCATTCATTTATTATTTAGTGAGGGGAGTGGCGGGCAGAAGTAGACTACGCGTGAAGAGATATCAGAACCAAAATGGAATGGTATTCCAAAAAAAAAAAAAGATCAAGTGCAATGAATTAATATATATTCCGGTAATCTTTCGTGTATCTAAGAGCCAACCAGATTTGATAATACCTCCATCTATATGAGGCGAAAAAGCGAACGGGAACCAAAACAAAAAAGGGTTGAAAAACGACGATGGGGGAACGAGTGTTATTTATATTGTACAAAGATTCGCTGCTTAAAAGTCAAAGGTGGAGTGTAGTCCCGTTTTGAAGGGTATCATATCGTGTGGGAATCAAGGGGAACAATTATTAATCGTCACGTCGTGAGAAGGGCGTTAGGAAGTAGGTCGCGATGGGGGTGGGGAGGAAATTCGTTGTCAGCAGTGCAATGTCAACGACAAAAAGAAGAGCATTAGAAAGCTCGCGTTTGAGGCAGGGATGGATCCGATGAACGGCGGGCAGGCTTGAGATCTGGCTTGACTGGCAGATCCGATTTCTGATCGACGACGGATTTCTGCTCGACGTCGGATGTCTGCTCGACGTCGGATTTCGCCCCCGCCTCGGAGGTGGCCCCGGCGACCGATTGCGCCTGGGAGGCCTGCTTTTCCTTCTTGTGCTTCTTCTTCTCGATCTTCTTCATCGCCTCCTCGGTCAACTGCTGGACGAACAGGCGCTCGACGACCTCCTTCTTGCGGGTGCGGCGATCGCCGACCATAATCAGGACGCCGCCGGTGATGTTGCAGGCGATGGAGCAGCAGAGGATGACGGTGGTGAGGGCAAAGGGCCGGTCGTGATAGTCGATGCCCCAGGTGCAGGCGCCGAGAGAGATCTGGAAGAGGGAGTGGCAGTCGAGCAGGACGACGATGGCGATGAGCAGGCGCTGCGGGAAGGCGTGGTGCGTGAAGGTCTCGTGGGGTTTGTAGAAGGTGTGCGATTTGGAGAGTTTGTTCTGATGGTGCGTGAGACGTTGCTGTTGGAGGCGGCTTAGCACCGTGAACTCCCATCGCTCGTCCTTGGGCGTGTCGCCCCACTCGACGTCGATCTCGTACTCGCGCCGGGCGGGTAGATCGTTCTTGTCCTTGAGGGCCGGGAGCCGTCGCTTGCGTCGGACCTTCCAGGTGAGGAAGGTGTAGTGCGCGACGAAGATCATGTGGTAAGTGTCGACGGCGCGGAACGGGGCCAGCCCGTCGCCCATGATGGCGAACAGCGCCACCAGGACGTAGTCAATGTAGTTGATGATTTCGAGTTGGCGTCCTCCCACATTGATCCAGCCTGGGAGGGAGGGTTAGCAACGGGAACGCGTGACACGGAGAATCGGAAGAGGAAGGGGGGGGAGGATATACCAATGAGGAACAGCACCCACGCGAGTCCAAAGAGCGTGATTAAGGTGGCATATAAGGTGACCAAAAAGCCCAGTGCTGTGTTGATTAATTAGCCGACGGAGGCCTTAGAAAGGGGAGTCTGAAGACGCTTACGCTTAGAAACGTATTTCCCAAACCCCTTCATGGAACGTTTGAACTTGCTCCGACGCGAATGCAACATGTGCCGGACGTGATCATTCAACTCCTCGACATCGGTGCGGGTCCAGCCTTCCAAACTGGTCCCATCCGGTAGAATGGCGAATCGCGGTTCCCCCTCGTCCAAGGCCGCCGAGAGGCTGGAGACTTGACGGGCAAGCGACGGACGCTCCTCGGCCCTTTTGCGCACATCCTCACCCTCCTCGGTCGTTGTCGTCTCTTCTTCGGACTCGGCCGGTCGCGACGGCGAAAGGGTGTAGGTCTGGTTGCGGTTGATAAAGGGACCCAAGTTGGGGACGAAGAGGGAATTCTGGACGTTGGTCAGGGTGGAGAGGGCGGACACCTCGGGGTCTGTGCGGCATCGACCGGCAGGATTAGCATGAGGTCTTCCTTTCTTCCGGGACGACGTCAGTCACTTACCAATCACATCCAGCACATCGACGACGTGCGGTTTGTACACGTCACAGTCCGTGGGTGGCGGAGACACCGGCCCGCTGACGGTGTTGGCGCGGTTTCTGGCGAAGCGGTTGATGGTGGCCTCGCTCGTCCTCCGCAGTAGGCTCCGGCCGGGGGATCGTTGTTGGAGGGGAACGGGGGCGGGCCTCTCCAGGGGAGCCGGAGCAAAGGGTAGGTTGGAGGAGGATTGGGCGATGGGGCTCTGATGGGATGACTCCTCCATCAGGGGTTGCATATGATCCCCCGCACAGGTGGTCAATCTCGGGAGGGTCTGCGGGTTGGGAGCCGACCAGCGCCCTCGCCGGGGTTCGGAGCTGCTCCGGCGACGATTGCCTTGCCCGTCATCATCGTCGAGGGGGCTCAAGGGGCCGGGAGGCACCAACGAACCGGAGGCCGATGGATTGAATCTGCCGGATCCCACGGGCTGGCTAGACGAGGCGGTCTGATCTAGGGACGGTAGACGTTGTAGTCGAATGGTCGGGGCCCGTTGGGAAAAGGCGGAGGCGGCGCGCGGTCTCGGGGGACGACCGGACGGTTGGGGGGATGGTTGGGGGGACGAGGACGAGACATTGGAGGAGGACGGTGGTTGCAGTCGCTGTTGATCGAACTGGGTTGGAAGCGAGGGATGAGAGCCACCGACAGGCTCTATCCGATCCATTGGGGTGGCGAATTGCAGCTTCAGACGAGAGAAAGAGAGAGAGAGATGGATGTAAAGCGAGAGAAGAAAGACGATTTAATCCCCGAAAGGACCCGATAGCCGGGTATAAAAGAATGGCAAATATAAAAATATAGAAAGGAGGCACTAAAAAGAGAGAGAGAGAGCACCAGAGAAGATGTCTGGAGGAGTAGGAATGTTAAATAGTCATGCTAAGAAACAAGAGAATTGTGGTGACCGACAGGCGGTTGACAAAGTGGAGGGGAGAAAGAGATAAATGAAAAGAAGGAGAACAATAAAGCGAGATCCAAATTAAAAGAGGCAAAGCAAGTTTGAGGAGAGCTAAGGCCGACGGCGTTTCGTCGGTGCCGTCGATCAGGTGGAGACGAGATTACGTCGTGATGGACCAGGGAAGGCAAGATGAAATCCAAGCTTTCATTTGTGGTTCATTGGGTCCATCCAGGGAGAACTTTTCCTCCTTGGCCTGTATGAATGTGGGTGCATCTATCTTGCTGTTAGATGAGATGAAGTTGATGATCTGGACGGTAGAGGAGAGAAATGAATATATGAAGCTAAAGAGAGAAGAGAAGAAGAAGAGAAAGAGGCGGGAGGGTCAGGTGATGGAGATGAGGACGGTCGGGCCTGAGGCTTGTTTTTGAGGGTTCTCTGCTCTGATTGGTGGAATGCCGGATCTAGACCGATGACTCAGTGGGTGCCTCAGGGATTGACATTTGCCTGCGCCCTAAGGAGAGTATTGTGCCTCAGGAACCAACCCATCTATACATCACTTCTACATTCACACAATGACTACATTCACGACAATCATGACAATCACTTCACCCAATTCAATCAGACATCAGACAATCAGACCAACTGTCCTTGCCAATAGAAATATGCCCCTTCAACTACTAACTTGTGGTGGATCAGTCTGCCAGATACCTGAACTATATCTCAACTCAATACACCCTATAGAGAACCGCTCGATCGATGACAATCCCACCATGTCTATTGAATCCCATCGTCATTTGTTTTGGACAATGGTTGATCTTCCCATCTGCTGATTGTAGCAGTTCTCGTTCCCTTTCTCTGGTCTGTCTACTCCTTCTCTTCTCTCCTCCCTCCCTTCCTTCGCTTCTCCACCAGATATCTTCAACAACACGATACCATCACCTACTATTCTTCCCAGAGTGCAGGCACCTGGTTTGCTTATACCCATAGTCGCAAATCCTACCAGATCCTCTACCACGACGGAGAAAGACCGGATCAAAGGGAAATCTGACAATCCCGACCCATTCCCAGCGAGCAACCACCCTGTCCCCCAAACGAATCAGTTTCGGCAAGGTCATTCCAGAAGCACGAGTGGATACAATGGCGAGAAAGCGCCCAGCCCCCGTCGACACCCCCGAGGAGCCTCTAACGCAGACCCCCCAGAAGCGAGCCAGAAAGCCTCCAACAGACAAGAAGCCCGTCATCCACGCACCGCACCCTCCCTCTCCATCCCTCTCCCCTAACGATAAGACCCAAGGTGCACAGTGTGTGGATCCTGTCACCGTAGAAAAAGAGCTGTACACCGAGGCGTTCTTCGCAGACATGGCTTACACCATCGCGCGCATCTTCCCCTTTGAGCAATTCGCCGAGAAGCACGGATGTGCCGTCAGTTTGGTTTCCCAGGCCCTAATGGCCACTATGATCGCCCCGTGGTCCGATCCCAGCTTCGATTGGCAGGAAGACCCGGACTGGACCATTGTGCGCTTCGGCGAGGGCATGGTCGACAACTGGAAACGCTACTATAACGATATGATGGAAAATTGTAGGCCACCCTGCCCTGGATGGGGCGATGATGACCCGGAGAACTTCCCGACCTCCCCGACCGCCACCTCCAGTTCCGACGACGAGACATCTGGATCGACGTACTCGACCACCGATCAGTCTGAGACCACCCAACAGGAAATCGAGGGGGCCTCGTCCCTCTCAAAGCCCGGAGAACACCCGGTCGCCCGGGCCCCTCCGCGATCGATCCTCAAGAAACATGAGATTTCTGCAGTCGGTGGGCGATCCAAGAAGTCGCTGTCCTGGCAAGAGGAAGAAGATCTTTCCCCCAGATGAATTGAGCGGAGTAGCAGGCTCTCCCGGATGACATCCTGGATCACCATCATTGGGGATGTGGCGCAGACCGACATCTCAAATAAAACCCAACCGGCATCATGATCCCAACATCCCATTCGCCTGAGTGAACAGACTGCGTCTTTTCATCTCAATCCGAGAAGTTGCCGTGGGACGGATAGAACGTTAAGGGTGGTGGATCGGGTTCTTTTTTTTCTTTCTGTTTCGGTATCGTTCTATCTTTCCACCCATCTCGGATCTTCCATCAAGTGGGTTCTGGGTCCTGCCCTGGGCGATTGTGTCTTCAAAATGTCTCTGTACTAGATCCTACCAGACCCGAGCGAGATAGAGAATCAGTCAATTCACGGAGCTAGTCTCTATTCTCCCATGATTCCTCTTCCTTCTTTGCCCCTCTGCCCCTCTGCCCCTCCGTGGAAGGTTGACCCAGCGATCCCAATCAATCCGATCCACCCAGGGCAGCAACGGTGATGTCAACAGTTGTTTGCCAAGTCCACTGACCGCTGGGCCTTTCCTCAGGCAGCAGATTACTGCGTTGGGCCAAGTGGCGGCCTCACCGCCCTGGGCTTCCCGTTCTTTTTCCCTTCTTCGCTCTCGCCCATCTCGCTCTCTCTCCTTTCTCCCTCTTGACTTCAGTCCTTTCCTCAACTAGACAATCCTCCAATTCATTCTTGTCTCAATCGACTCCCCTCCCCCCCTCCCCCCCCCTCCTTCCCTCTGTATCTAGGGCACGAAGCTACCCTTTTCCCTCCTGCAGTCAATTCACATCTCCCCTTTGGATTTCCTTCCCTCTTCAATTCAAGGAAATCTTAAACCTCCGCCAGGCAGCCTTCAGCTCCCCTGAGTCAGTAACACACAAACTTGACCATCTGCTTTCCCACTCGCAATCTCTATCTCGTCTTCTTGTGTCCTCAGCCTTCAAGATGTCTTCTGCCGTCGAAAACACCACCGACAACCAGGTCGCCGCCCCGGCTGCCACCACCGCCCCCGAGGCCCCCAACGGGACTGCCGCTCCTGCGGCCACCCAAGCTGCGGATGCCGCCGCCGCCAGTGCGGATGAAGGTCGTCGGTTGTACATTGGAAACCTCGCGTATGCGACTACCGAGGGGGAGCTCAAGGAGTTCTTCGCTTCCTACAAGATGTAAGTGGCTTTTCCCGGTTGTTGTGGCCATGGTGTCCTTCTCCGTTGGGACGGGTAAGGTTTCGGAATGAGTTCCCGCCGTCGTGGGTGAGCAAATCGTGCGTCATCCGCGTTACCCCCGGCTACGTCCCACGGAGAAATGCTATGAAGGTCGAGACAGGGTGATTTTCATGTGTCATCCAAACTAATCAATCCTTTTTTCCCCGGTCCAGTGAGAGCGTCTCCATCCCGGTGAACCCTCGCACCAACCGTCCCGTGGGCTACGCCTTCGTGGACCTGGCCACCGCCCAGGAGGCTACCTCCGCCATCGAGCAGCTCTCCGGTAAGGAGATTCTGCAGCGCAAGGTCTCCGTCCAGCTGGCCCGCAAGCCCGAACCCGCCGAGGCCAAGGCCGAGGGTGCCACCAGTGGAGGTGAGGGCGCCAGCGGCAACGAGGGCCGCAAGAGGGCCGGTGGCCGTGGTCGTGGCCGTGGTCGCGGTCGTGGCCGTGGCGGTCGCCTTGGCCGTGGAGGTCGTGTAAGTCATCTTATTCTCTTTTGGTCTACTTTCCACCAGAATACTAATCCGTCTAACAGGTCCAGAGCGATGCTGAGGGCGAGTCCGCCCCTCTGGCCGACGTCACCAACGAGGGTGAAGCCGATTCTGCCGAGAAGCAGGCCGGCAAGCCTCGCGTTCGTGCTCAGAAGCAGCGTGGACCCCCCGAGGATGGAATTCCCTCCAAGACCAAGGTCATGGTCGCCAACCTGCCCTATGATCTGACCGAGGACAAGGTATGTCGCTTCGTCTTGACATTCGCACTGTGTGATGACCATCCGCTCACCTTCTCCCCCCACAGCTCAAGGAGATCTTCGTCAACTACCAGCCCGTCTCCGCCAAGATTGCCCTGCGCCCCATCCCCCGCTTCATGATCAAGAAGCTGCAGGCCCGCAACGAGCGCCGCAAGGGCCGTGGCTTCGGCTTCGTCACCCTGGGCTCCGAGGAGCTCCAGAACAAGGCCGTCCAGGAGATGAACGGCAAGGAGATCGAGGGCCGTGAGATCGCCGTCAAGGTGGCCATCGACAGCCCCGGCAAGGAGGACGACGCCGAGCTCAATGGCGAGAAGACCGAGGAGGCGGCCACCGAGGCTCCGGCCAAGGAGAACGTCACCCCTGCCGCGGCCTAGATGACCCAAACTCCCGAATGAGGGGGCAATCCTAGCCGTGACTCCACGGTGGGATTGTCCCGCCCTGGGCCATCCCCAGTCGTCGGTGATGATTTTGATGATGATGACGGTTGTGGCTACTGCTGCAGCATGAGGGATCATATCGTTATCGGGGGGAGCCATCGTCCGGGTGCGTTTTCAATCTTCGAACACAACGAGGCAAACAGACAAAAGAGTATTCCAAAAGATTACCCAAAAAACAAAAAAAAAAAAAAAAAAAGAAAGAAAAGCAACGAAAACAGAAAAAATACCGCGAAACCAACCAAAGCCGATGGAGAAAAGAGGAAAGGAAGCGCTGCAGATTCCCTCTCCTGTCCGATGTGATTCTTTTGGGACCAGAGCGATTCCGGAATGCTGGGGATATGGGTGTTATGCTGGGGACCTGAAATTGATCGGACCACAGTGTGCTCCCTGTTACGAGCGTCATGATCGCGAACTGAAATGGAGTCGAGCGTGTTCTCTTTCTTGCCTCTTTTTTTTTTTTCTTTTCCCTTATTGTGCCGTCCCATTCACCTCTCCGTTTCCTTTTTTTTCTTTGACCTTTTTTCTACCATCACACCTACTATTGCTGCTACTGCTAACGAATCTGCCTTTCTGTGATCCTGTATCTTAGCCATCTTTAGCTTCTGAGTAGCCGCAAGGCTGGCCTTGTAATGTCGATTCGAAGAGCGCACCCGCAGCGGAATGATGATTGAGTTACGACTGATGTGGACAACCGTATTTGTAGTATTTTTTCGTATTTTCCAATATCCAGACATCCAAATGTCAAGCGACGTAGAGAGCAACATTCGCATACACCGCGTCTGTGGCGACTAAAGGCCAAAAAGGGATCGGAGGATGATTATTTATTGTGGAGAAAAGGGCGATCAACTAGCCAGCGCCAACGAGGGGCCGTATCAAGTCAATCCTCCGATCTTCTTCTCCCTCCTTTCGGTCCCTCATTCTTTCAACGTTCTCCTTTCTTATCTCTACTTTCCTGCATTCTCCTTCTCTGCAATTTCTTGTGCCCGTCTTCCACCCGTTCTATAAATCCATCTCTCCTGGCTCCAGGCCCTGAGGGTGCCATTGTCGCTTTGCCCCTTCCCGTCCGTCCGTCGTGTCCTTTGCGCCGTTCATCATGTCGAAGATGTGGGAGGTCGATCCGGAGACCAAGGCCAAGGTATTTACTTTTTTTTCTCTCTTTTTCTCTCTCTCTCAGAGGCTGGGAGAATGCGAATACTCGGTCGGCTAATGGTCAGTGTAGCTCCAGCAATACTCCAAAACCAACAACAACGACCGATGTTGCGACTGCGGCGCCCCCTCGCCCCAATGGGTTCGTCAAACCACCCTCTCCTCATTCCATTCCCTCCCGTCTGAAGAACCCCCCCATTCGCTAACGATAACGCCATGGCTGACTGGCCTAATCGGTGACATAAACAGGCCTCCCCGAAATTCGGAACCTTCATCTGCCTCAACTGCGCCGGCACGCACCGCGGCCTAGGCGTGCACATCTCCTTCGTCCGCTCCATCACAATGGACGCCTTTAAAACCGCCGAGATCGCCCGCATGGAACACGGCGGCAACGAGCCCTGGAAGACCTTCTTCGACAACCACCCCGTCACCCTCTCCGAAGGCCGCACCTTCGAAGACTCCACCATCAAAGAACGCTACGACGGCGAAGTCGGCGAGGAATGGAAGGAGAGACTCGCCGCCAAGGCCGAGGGGAGAGAATACGTCCCGGGACAACGACCGCCGAAGAAGGATCCCCAGCAGCAGCAGCCATCGTCCCGGTCCAGCACACCGCTCATGCGCGCTGGCTCCGGGCGCGGCTCGCCTGCCTCGCAGGAGGGTATTGGACGCAGTGATAGCCGGAAGGAGCGCAACGAGGCTTACTTTGCGCGTCTGGGTGATGCCAATAACACGCGGTCGGCTTCGCTGCCGCCGTCGCAGGGTGGGAAGTTCACGGGCTTTGGAGGCGGGATGCCGGCAGAGCCGGCTCCCGTTCGCCAGGCCCCCGGGGGGAATATCCCTGGGCTTGATGACTTTCAGAAGGATCCGGTGGCGTCGTTGACGAAGGGGTTTGGTTGGTTTACGACCGCTGTCGGGAAGAGCGCTAAGAACTTGAACGATTCCTATCTACAGCCGACAGCGAAGACGGTACTCCTCAATTCTACCCTATGATCATCAACAAGAACCATACTAACAACAACAACCAGATAGCAGAATCCGACTTCGCCGCCCAAGCCCGCCTCCACGCCAGCACCGTCGGCCAAAATCTCCAAACCGGCGCCCGCGGCGCAGCGGACCAGTTCCAGCGCTTCGTCGAGGGCCCCGATCAGCCCGGCGGCAGCCGCCAGTCGCGGGCGGGCGACCCGGACCACAAAGACTTCTGGGACGACTTCTCCTCGCTAGGCGAGCAGCACCAGCACCAGCAACAGCAGCGGAATAACAGCCACCGGCGCGCGACGTCCCGGTCCAACGCCATCGGCACGGCGGCGATGAAACCGTCGACGTCGCCCGCTTCTTCTGTTGTGGCGGATGAGCCTGGGACGGGGGTGGGACGGACGTCGGCACCTACTTCTGGTGCTGGTGGTGAGGGTAAAGGACCATCTGGTGGTTCTGCGAGTGGGGGGAAGGGACCCGAGCATAAGGATGGGTGGGATGATGAGTGGTGATTGGCGATTGATATTGGTGATTGATTTGATTGCTTGGAAAATGAAATGATAGATGAGCTACTTGTTCGATTGGGGGTGGCTCTTGATTTGATTGATTGATGCGATGTATGTATGGGTGTTGTTTGTTCCTCTTTTGTCTTCCTTTTTAAGCCATATATATCATATTATACATAGCTCTGGTTATTGCGATTTTGGCTGGTTTGTTACTTGAGATACTTAGGTAGGTAGTTGGGCAGTCTGTTGGATAGAATTGGTGCTTACTTTTCGTGTCTATGATATACGTGGTTGGGAGTAAGCTGGTTTTGGTGTGATTGTAACTACGTAGAGTACCAATATCAATATCGGGTGTACCTACAAGGCTGTGTTATCTTTACTATGTAGATACTACCACCAAGAGGATAGAACAAAGCCACAAAGACCATCCTTTCCTAAAACGCACCAACAGATAGTCAGGCGATGTACACCCTATACTGTTGAATACAATCATGTCCATGCATAATCCATCACTTTATATCAGATATACAATACAAACCCCACCCAACACACCAAATTCAACCACAATATATTGTATCAGAATAGTATCAAGAGCAGAGAGGTATTAGTAAGGTTTAGAACTCCCCCCTCAACTCAGCCAGAACCGCCCTCTGCCGGGGCGCACTCATCCGCTCGAACCGATCGACGCTCATGACGAACGTGCCGCGGCCCGCGCTCAAACTGCGCAGGTGCTTCAGGTACCCGACCATTTCCTTGAGGGGCACGCGGGCGGTGATGGTGCGCGGACGGGTCGCCGAGTCAGAAATCGAGGCTGTGTCCACTGTCGCGGACTGGAAGGGGTCGCGCGGGGCGTAGACGCGCGCTGGGTCGATGGGTGGGAGGCTTATGTCTTCTGGTCCGGTGGGGGAGAGCTCTGTGGCGGGGAGGGGGATGTCCTCGTCGAGGGAGAGGACGTGTCCACCGCGGGAGGAGGAGATGTCGTGGATGACGGCGCCGAGGCTGGCTTCGTCGATGCTGATGATTACATTCATGACGGGTTCCATGAGGGCCGTGCCGCTTGTGGAGACGATCTCGCGGAGGGCGGTTGAGGTGGAGAGGCGCGCGGCGGCGGAGAGGGCTGAGGGCGTGGTCTCGTTGCCGAAGAGGTGTTGGGTGGCGTCGAGGGTGAGGGTTACGCGGGTGCTGTGCATTGGGAAGGTGAATTGTGGGCCGCGCGCGAGAGCCGCGATGGTGCCGTTTACGAGGGAGGCGCGCACGGTGTCGACGTCGAGGCCTGCTGGGAGCAGGGGGCTGTCGGTGGAGCCGCTTCGGCGGGCTTTCTCGGTTTGGAGGCCGGGAGCTAGGATGATGATTTGGTTCCCGTCGCTGGAGTGGACGGCGAGGGCGTCGGGGTTTGATGGGGTGTCGTTGGCGTCTGGGTCGATGGGCTCGACTACGACCGTGCAGCCGGCTTTGCCTTTGCGGCCGGCGATCTCCTTGTCGAAAAATTTGGTGGTAGGGGGGGAGGAGCCGAGGGGGCTCTCGCGGTAGCCGATTTCGATGCGGCCCATGGAGGCCTTGGCTTTGAGGTCGTTGATGAGTCGGTCCCGCGCGATCTCCAGATGGAGCTCGCCCATGCCGCTTAGAAGTGTCTGTCCTGAGTCTTCGTCGACGGTGACGTGCAGGCTAGGGTCCTCGCGGAGAAGCACGCTCAGGCACTCTTGTAGGCGCTTTTCTTCGCTGAGGCTGTAGGGCTCGACGCTGGCGAAGAACACCGGGGGCGGGACGTCGATGGGCCGGAGTTCGAGCGTGTCGAGGGGCTCGGGAGGTGTGGCTTTGTTGCTGGCGTACGAGACCAGCGTGTCTCCAGTCCGGGCATGTTTGAGGCCTGCGACGACGCCGATGTGCCCTTCGGGAATGGAGTCGACTTCCACGGCGTCGTTGGCGTACATTTTGAGAAGACGCGGCGCCCGCTCCGAGACCTTAAGGTGGGTGTTGTAGAGGAGGCTGTTTCGATCGAGGCTCCCCGAGTAGACTCGCACGTAGACCAGCACGCCTCGTTTGGGGTCGTTGACGACCTTGAAGGCCAGCGCACAGCTCTCCAATTTTTCGATGGCGTTCTTAGTCTGGGCGTGCCCGCTCGATTTCTTGTGTTTCTTATCCTTGGCCGACCCTGCACTCTCTTTTTGTTCGACCGTGAGATTTCCCGAAAGAAAGCTACGCAGGCCACCTTTGACTCCTCCCACGCTGATCACCGGATCGCGGGTCTCGGCGGGGCTGGGGAGGAGATTCACCACGGCGTCGAGCAGCGGCTGCACGCCAATGTTGCGGAAGCTGGCCCCCGCAAACACCGGAATGATCTTTCTCCCTTGATCCTCGAGGAGGCACTTGCGCAGGCTTTCCAGGATGTCATGCGCGGGCACTGCGAGATGGTCCTCTTCACAGTCGAAGAACTTCTCCACCATGGCCTCGTCGTGTTCGCTGAGCAGCTCGACCAGAGCCACGCGTGCACGTCTTAGCTCTGTAGCGAGCTCACTCCCCTCGGAATCCAACTGCTCGAGACTGAGCATTTTCACGGACTTCCCGTCTCCGTCCTCCCATCGCATACCCTGGAGATTGATCACGTCAGCCACCCCGATAAACCGTCCGTCACCCCCTTCGAACCATGGGATCTGGCAAACGGCGGGCCACCCCTCTAAGCGAGTGGCCACTTCTCGGACGGTCTGTCCAAAAGCTGCGCCGTCTCTGTCTAACTTGTTGATGTAGACAATCCGGGGGATTCGATAGGTGCTCGCTTGGTGCCAGACTTGCTCCGTTTGAGCTTCCACGCCGGCAACACCGTCTAGAATGCATACCGCGCCATCGAGGATGCGCAGGGACCGCATAACCTCAAACGTAAAATCCGCATGTCCGGGGGTGTCAATAAGATTGATCGTATGTGACGACGCAGACCGAGGCGCGTGTTCTTGCGGCGGAGGTGCGCTACCCTCAGGCGGCCAGTGGAAGGTCACGGCGGCCGACTGGATGGTGATCCCACGGGCCCGTTCGGCAGGCAGGAAGTCGGTGACGGTCGAACCCTCATCAACATCACCTAGCCGTCTCGTGAACCCACTATAATAGAGCATGCGCTCGGTGGTGGTTGTCTTGCCCGCATCAATATGAGCGATGATCCCGATGTTTCTGGTCCGCTCCAGCGACTCCGCTTGCCATTTTGCGGCATATGTCGAGAAGCAATTGAGTGGAGGAATGGATAGACTTTCGCATCTGGGAACCAAAGGCGACACTTTTCTCAGCCCCAATCGACCGACACCTGCACACTTGGCCGGTGGAGAAGCTACTGAGCGCATCGCCGGATTGGCGGCGCGCAGGAAAAGAGCTGCCACCATGACAGCAATTAGTCCCGGAACATTCGGACAATGGGTTATTGCAGTTTAGAATCCGATTCCCACCCTGATAGGAATCAGTCTTCACTCCCAAGAACAGAAATAATCGAACGTGTTTCTTCAGACGAACGGGGTTTCAAGAAGTTGAAGATGTTTCCGACGTGACGGAGAGAATGACGGGATGGTCCGTGACCTGCACTAGATGCCTGGCCAATCAGGCCCCCAGGCCATCGAACGACGTAACCCAATTCATGACGAGGTTGTCTTGCTTGTCTTGCTCCTCCAACGGTCCCATCCATCGCCGTCATTCCTTCTCTCTTCATTTTGTCACCCTTTTCTTGGTCTCCTGGCTTGTTCAGCTTGATTGTCCATTTCTCCTCCCTCAATTAATCGGGAGGATCTCCAGGTGGACCACCGTGATCCATACCGCACCCCTGGTTCGCTCCCCCTTGAAACCGACGACAGTGCGCCCGCAGTTGCCTGCAGTGCCGACCCGGCTTGATAGTCCCAATCAAGGCTCCCTTCTTAATTGCGCCCATCCCATAAATACGATCGTGCACCATGGATTACTCCTCCATATCGCACGACCCTGACCATCCGACGGGCACCGACCCGTGGGCTTCCCCGCGCACCAGCTACCCGGCCTCGACGACCAGCGACGTCCCTTCCTCGCCGTTACCTCCTCACGATGCGGAGACCCAGCCGGCCGACAGCTCCGAGCAAGGAGTTGACTCGCCGGACCTGTCGGAGCGCTTACAGGGTTCTCACCTCGGTAACTCGGACTACAGTGTCGACCAGGCGCAGTCCCCTGCACAACAGTCCCATCCCGACCAGCCTCGGTCTCAGCTCCCCGCCCGCTACCAAACCGGGCCCCGACAGAACGCCCGACAGCCGACACCTACATACAAGATCCAGGGGAAGATTACAGGTCTAGAGCGGACGGGCAAGAAGGACCCCATCCTGCGTTTCGATATCCACGTGAGTAGGAACCGGTGTGCGGAGGAGACTGGCCGTCTTGTACGCGCGTTTGTGGCTAATGTCCCTAGACCAATATCCCCAAATTCAGGACCACGCAGTATAGAGATGTTCGTCGCACCCATGGCGAATTCGTCAAGTTCGCCGAACACTTGATGTCCGCGAACCCAGAGGCGCTCGTTCCCGCCGTTCCCCCGCCACTGACCCCCGCCGGAGCCGGGACTGAGGAGGATGAGATTCGGGTCAAGGCGTCGATGCAACGATGGCTGAATTGTGTTCTGAGCAATGAGGTCCTGATCCAGGATGACGAAATGGTCTTGTTCGTCGAGAGCGACTTTGGCTACAGCCCCGTGGTGCGGATGAAGCAGCCCGCGAGTGGCATGCGAAGGAAAATGTTGAAGCAGTTCGCCCCGCCGCCGGATGATACCCCGGAGTTGCAAAGCGCGCGCCCGGTGGCGAAGATGTTCTATCTCGGAACGATGGATGCCAGCCATAAGGTCGACCGTCTGGTCAAGAGCCGACGAGGTACGTTTGGACCGATGGTTCTGTCTCCGCCGATCGTTTGAGTGAGTGACTGATTTTGATGACGTGCAGGACTGGGGCTTGCGGAGACGGAATTTGGCGCGAAGTTGGGTCAGATGAATGTGCAGGAGACCCATCCCGGTCTGGCCCATGCGTACCGCAAGCTGGGTAAGATCATCCAAACCGTTGGAGATTACCATGCCGTCCAAGCCACCGCCGAGGCGACCACGCTGGAAGACCCCCTGGGCTACCATTCATCCGACGCCTTTATTGTGAAGGAGACCCTGACGAACCGTCACATCCTCCTACGGGATTTGCTCCAGGCGCAGCAGGTCACCCACAGCAAACGGGCGGCCGCCGACCGGCTGAAAGTGAGCTCGTCGGTCCGGCCCGACAAGGTGGACGAGGCGATCAACGCCTTGGAGGATGCCCAGACCCGCGAGGACTACCTCACCAAGAAAACCCAGCGAGTCACGTCGAATCTGCTGATGGAGAAACGCCGCTGGTTCGACCGGACGTCGAGCGAGATGCTCGCCAGTCTCCGCGAGTACACCTTGCGCCAGATCGATGCCGAGCGGAGAACCCTTGCCACCCTGGAGAGCGTCCGACCCGACATCCGGGCGATCGACGCCTCCGGCGGACTGAGCCGGCTGGGCCGCGAAGCCCATCCCACGGCCCGACGGCCCAATCTCAGCGCGAGCCAAGGCCCGCGGGGGGATGCGTGGAGTGGAATCCCGCGCCGCAGCGACAGTTTGGGCCGTAGCATCAGCGGGAGTATCGTCCCTCCCACGCCGGACGACGAGGAGGAGGTGAACGGGCAAGGGGGTAAGGGGCGGATGCGCTCTCAGAGTGGCGTCAGCTCGATCGCCGAAGAAGATGATGACCGTCTGGACGCGCGGAATGCCGCCAGCCGGCTCGCGACCAGCACCTTCTGATCGTTGTTTGTAAAATTATGGATGTGCATGATTCCGTGTGATTCCCCTGTCTTTGCGATCCAGGTTGTGTCGCCACATGATTATGATTTCCTTGTCTTCGCCTTGCCTGGCTTCTTATTTTACAGCAATTCTTTCGATACGATTGCGCTTTTATGTCTACTTGAGCAATGAAGGTCTTGTGTATGCTGGCTTATTGCTGCCAGCTCAAAAGAAATTAGTTTTTTTATATTTACCATTTCCTTGCCCAGACATTGGCTACAGTCTACCTTTCTATTCTCCCTTGCCCCACGTAAAATCAGTAGGTAAAAGCCCAAGCGAGTCTGCGATGAGATGTAAACTATCGGGGCGGAACCACATCACGGAATAAATCTCTAGGTCGAGACATGGATGGATTGAGGCATGTCCAACGTGGGGATCACCAAGCTGACCTAGATGGTTGTTGAATGGCGTGATGAAGGGAAAGACGTCCTTGAACTGGAAGGTGGGCGTAGACTACCTGGCTTGATCGACACCACCACCACCTTTCACTACGCGTGGATACAGAACCCCACCATGAGACGATTGACCGGGGGGGGGGGGGATGAGCGACGTCATCTACTATCAGCAAGTGCGATTAAGGTGTGCTATCCGTATACGTACTCCGTACTGAAAACGCATTTACCAGATTACACATCCATGGACAGTTGTTTATAAGCGGAACGACAAATGACGCCGCTCGGAGACTTCCTGACTGGTTGTTTACAGCGTCCTGCATCGGGCCCCTCCACCCCCACTTTTGCTCGGTTGCCAACTTGCGACTGAACAGCTAGTTAGTTGGTCCTTTGACGGGGATCCTGTCCTATCCACTCTTGATTCCAAAGCATTCGTTGAGATCAAGCGTGGGAGCTTCCCGTAGCTATATTAAACTAAGCCAACATCCCATCTATCTTGGTTTCTTCATCGTGTTTTTCTCTTGACTTTCCTACTGGACATCGCTGTTGTCTACTTTAGCTGAATTTTGGTCTTTTACACGTTCGTGAAATCAGAAATGGCGCCCCCTAAGGTCTTTTTGTAAGTGCGAGTCTTCAGTGGTGCTGTTGGTGATACAGATCTGGATAGATCCTAGATCCTAACATCCATCTTCTTGCTTCAGCACCGGTGCTACCGGCTATATCGGCGGCGACGTCTTCTACAACATCACCCAGGCCCATCCCGACTGGGAGGCGTCCGTCCTGGTCCGGACCAAGGACAAGGCCGCCCAACTCACCAGCAAGTACCCCAACGTGCGAGTGGTGATCGGAGATTTGGACTCGGTCGACGTTATCGAGGAGGAAACCAAGAATGCCGACATCGTTTTCAGTATGTTCCTCTCTCCTCCCATTTCCACCGAGACCGTAACTATCAAGTGGCATGATGGGCATGGAACTAACAAGCATAGACTGCGCCGACTGCGACCATGTCGCCTCAGCCGAAGCTATCGCAAAGGGCCTCGCCCATCACACCCCCGAGAGGCCCGGGTGGCTGATTCACACTTCCGGCACGGGTATCTTGACCGTCGAAGACTTCCGCACCAACACCTGGGGTGTCTACCGGACCAAGGAGCACGATGACTGGGAGGGCGTTGACGAGCTAGTCAACAAACTGCCCGATGACTCTCTCCACCGCAACGTAGACAAGATCATCATCGAGGCCGGGAAGCGCTCCCCAGACAGCGTCAAGACGGCAATCGTCTGCCCGCCCACGATCTACGGCCCCGGCCGCGGCCCCGGCAATCAGAAGAGCATCCAGGCATACTGGTTGACGGCGGCCGTCCTGAAGCGCAAGAAGGGCATCCTAGTCGGTGACGGCAAGAACGTCTGGCACCAGGTGCACGTCCAGGACCTGAGCGACGTCTACCGGTTACTGGGCGATGCGGCCGTCGCGGGCGGTGGTAAGGCCACCTGGAACAACGAGGGCTACTACCTGGCTGAGAACGGGCCCTTCGTGTGGGGCGATATCCAGCGCGAGGTGGCTAGGGTGGCTTACGAGAAGAAGCTGATCCCGTCCCCTGAGGTTGATTCGTTGTCGGACGCTGAGGTCACCGAGCTGAACAAGTTTGGTCTTTATGCTTGGGGAAGCAGCTCGAGAGGCCATGCGCTCCGCGCGAGAAAGTTGTTGGGATGGTCGCCTAGCAAGCCTGGCTTGAAGGAGCTTATCCCGGAGATTGTGGATATCGAGGCGAAGGACTTGGGCCTGGTGTGAGAGTTTTGGGCGTGACTCCAAGTCTGTATCTTAAATACATTAAATGAATAAATGATATCATGCTACATATTGCGAGAGCCTCGTAAAGATAAATGAAGATGAAAGAGACCTCCCTGTTGGGGGAGGATCGTTCGGACTGGACAGCAAAAAGTAAAATTCGGACATGACTATATTGACTGAAAATAATAATTCATCCAAGTAACAACTATGGATATGGAGATAATGTGCTGGGATAAGGAAGATATGAACAGGATGGGCAGTAGCGCTCAAGCGACCTAAGCGCGGTTCACGCCCGGACGGCGCTTGGCGGCCTGCTGCTATCATCAGCTCCAACTATTGCTCTCATTTTCCTCCAGTTATTGGCCTGCTTTGTCCCAACTGACAACAACCTTGACGTTCCCCCTCTCTGTATTTCTTTTATGAGTTCCTAGTAGCAGGTAAGTTATCTATTTTTTTTGTTAATACACTTGTTTCCTGTCCCCTTTACACAATTTCCATTTGCGACGGTGTTTTCCCGCTAACCTCGCCCCAGTCCTCGGTTTCCCCCCATGACTTGCGATCTGTCGGAAACTCACCGGTTCTCTACCTGAGCATCCTCGCTTTGGCACCCCTGTCATGGCCCCAGGTGCTGGAGGAAAGAGAAAAAGAGGTGACCGATCGTGGTCCGGCGACTCCACGCACGACGGCCAGCGGCCTTCTCCCCACCGACCGGGCGGCCTCAACATGGCCCAACACCCACACCCCTCTCCTTCTCGCGACTATTCCGAAAATACGCGTGGAAGGTCGCGGAGACAGCCAGGCCGAGGAGGTAGAGGCGGGTTTGGTCGCAGACACAGTGGGGACGGCCATCCCCATCCGTCCGGTGACCGGAGGGATTCAACAGCCGCGTCCTCCCAAAACGCGCCCTCAACCACATCTGCTTCAGACCAGACCAACGGGACAACTGCTCAGCAGTCGCCGATGGCTTTTCCCGCGCCTGCGCCCCAGTCACAGCCGCAGCTTGATCCGCCCGCCCAGCCTCAATCGGCGCCGGCCTCGCAGCATCAAACGTCCCCCCCGACCCCCGTCCAACCCCCTTCGCGCCCGCCGCCGCCGCCGCCGCCGTTCGACTACGAATATGTCACGGATAGCGTGGTGGAGGACTGGGCCTCGACTGGGCGACAGCAACTCGTCGAGAACGGTATCCGAGCGCGCAATGAGGAAGACGTCTCGTTGTTGTCCTTTATTTACCAAGAAATCATCCAGAGTGCCCTTTATGGGAGGCTACTCCCGATAGATGCAGGTGCTGCCATAAAAGATGTCATCGGGGCAGATGTTGCGGCGGAGGACGTCAACATGGAGGGCCAAGGACAGGCCACGACGGCCTTTGATCCTCGCTCACTGTTCCTGGACACCTTATCTATCGTCACAGAATCCGACACGTCGAATGTCGCACTGAGGCCATTGGTGTTCTCGACCGCGATCAACCCTACCCTTATGCGCCTCCAGCTCGAAACACCCCTCCTTCAATCGCTTGGACTCGTGCGAGACACATTCAGCCGCATGCAAATTCGAAAGCAGACAAACCTTCTTTATCGCCAATCCAATTACAATCTCCTGAGAGAAGAGTCCGAGGGATATTCCAAGCTGCTCACCGAGTTGTTTACGACGAGCAACAACGAACCGCCGTCAAGTGAAGTTGTCGAAGATACCTTTGAAAAGGTAAAGGCAATGGTCGGCGCATTTGACATGGATGTCGGCCGCGTCCTCGACGTCACCCTCGATGTATTTGCTGCTGTTCTTGTGAAGCAGTACCGATTCTTCGTCAAACTCTTGCGTGTCAGCTCGTGGTGGCCCAAGGAAGATATTTTCCGCAGCTCTGGCAGAGACAACCGTGACTCCGGACTCCCCAATTGGGCTCTACCGGGCTCTTCGGGATGGATAACCACAGACGAGGAGCGGCTCCAGGCGATGCAGGCTAACGAACATCGAGACCATGAGTTCTGGAACAGGGTCCGGGAGATTGGGATCCGGGCTTTCTTCGAAATTGGTCGCGAGCCTATCTCCAAAGACGAGCTAAACCGCATCCTTCCAGAGTCAAACAGTCTCTCCGAAGAGGAGCTCAAGATAAGGAAATGGGTCGACGAAACCGGAACATTGCCACCTAAGGGAAGCAGGGTAGCCGCGCAGCTACTAGGCTTCAAGCTCCGCTTTTATTCCTCCCGCGCTCGCTCCAAGGCGGATGTGCTCCCGGATAACCTCATCTACCTGGCTGCCTTGTTGATCAAGGTCGGCTTTATCTCACTCCGTGACCTTTACCCCCACCTCTGGCGACCAGACGACTCCATGGAGGCCCTCAAGGAAGAAAAGATCAAAGAAAAGGCAGAAAGGGAAAGAGCCGCACGACCCGGTGGCGGCATCAATGCCCTCATGACGGCTGGTGCTCTGTCCGACGATACGCTACCAGCCCCTCGTATGCGCGATTCGGAGGCGCGTTCGGCGACCCCTGGCAAAGATCAAGACGCAGACAAAGCCGCGGCAAAGGCTGAAGAAGACGACCTGCCGGAGCCGTCAGATCAGAAGGTGCTCCTTCTCAAAAGTCTTCTGGCAATTGGCGCCCTTCCGGAGTCTTTTTTCTTTCTGAGCCGATTCCCATGGCTGATGGACACTTATCCCGAGCTTCCCGAGTTCATTCATCGTATTATTCACCACTGCCTGAGTAAAGTCTACACTCCTCTGCGCCCTCCCACGTCGACGGATGAGTTCAAAGAACCAAAGCAGATCATGAGTCAGGATCAATCGGGTGTCCCGAAAGGCCAAATTCGGTTGAGCCAGGCGCCCCCACCGCGAGTTCTTCGATGGGCTCAGCTGGACAAGGAGGATACGAATGACGGAACCGACTATCGATTCTACTGGGATGACTGGGCCGACAATGTGCCCATCTGCCAGTCCGTCGACGACGTCTTTGCTCTTTGCTCCTCGTTCCTCAACCTGTCTGGCCACAAAATAGGGCAGGACCCGAGCTTATTGGCGAAACTTTCGAGGATCGGCAAAGATAGCTTGAAGCAAGACGATTCGCCGGAAAACAGAGCTCGCTGGCAGGATCTATGCAAGCGTCTATTGCTCCCATCGATCAGTTTGACAAAAGCGAACCCGGGCGTCGTTAACGAGGTTTTTGACCTCGTGAGCTTTTTCCCGCGCGACACACGGTACAACATGTACGCTGAATGGTATTCCGGGCAAACCTCTCGGCTGCCCGATATCAAGTCTGCGTTCGATCAGGCACGAGCGGAAACGAAAGACGTGCTGAAAAGATTGAGCAAAACCAACATCAGACCCATGGCTCGCGCGTTAGCGAAGATTGCGTTCGCCAACCCCGGAATTGTCATCAACGTTGCGATCAGCCAAATCGAATCCTACGAAAACCTGATCGAGGTGGTCGTGGAATGCGCACGGTACTTCACCAACCTCGGGTACGACGTATTGACCTGGGGTCTGATTAGTTCCCTTGGCCAGAAGGGGAGGAGCCGTGTACAGGAAAGCGGTCTATTAACCAGTCGATGGTTGAACGCGCTGTCTACGTTTGCAGGTAGGACGTTCCGGCGATATTCGGTCATGGACCCAACGCCTGTACTGCAGTATGTTGTCGAACAGCTTCGCCACAATAACTCGACCGATCTCATTGTCTTGGAGCAAACGATCAGCTCAATGGCCGGTATCATCACGGACACGAATTTCAACGAGTCTCAAATACAAGCAATGACAGGCGGCGAGCTTCTTCAAGCACAAACCATCCTGCAGCTCCTTGATAAACGGCACGAATCCAAAACTACTTCCAAGCGGCTGATGAAGTCTCTCACGGTCTCCAAACTAGCCGGTCAGCTGCTCATTGCGATTGCCCAGGAACGCTGGACTTGTGTTTTCAAAGAATCCGATGGCTCTGATGAACTGAAGTTGCTGGGTAACGTCTTCGATGAGATCCACCGTATCCTAGCCCAGTACCTCGATTTGCTTCGCAGCAACTTGACAATTGACGAGTTCGATGCTTTCGTCCCCGACCTTGCTTCCCTTGTCCGTGAATTTGGCGTTCAGCCTGAGATCGCGTTTTGGATTCGCAGACCGAGTGTCGCCAAAAGGATTGCCGAAGTCGACAAAGCAACACAGGAGGAAGCAGCAGCAGCAGCTGCTGCTAAACCCCAGGACATCAAGGTCGAAGTGCCAGAGACCGAGACCGACAAGATGGAGACGGCAGATGATGGTGAACCGACAGCGACGGAAGCGCCAGCTGTCAACTCCATGGATGTCGACAAAGAGCAGCCTCAGCCAACCGATGCTGATGCTGCCAATGCAACGGAGCTGTCGACCGCACCGATCCCTGCTGCTGCTGAATTGCCTCTGAACCCGGTCATACAGGATCTTCAGGACCAAGTCAAGTCCGCCCTGCCTTCCGACAACTGGAATGTCGTTGGGTTGCATTTCTACGTGACCTTCTGGCAGTTGTCGATTTACGACGTTCACATACCCCAGAAAGCCTATGAGGATGAGATAGATCGACAGAAGAGGAAGGTGATGGTCATCAATAATGATCGTTCTGACATTAGTATGGCTGGCACGCAGAGAAAGGAGCGAGAAAAGAAGCAGATCACCCAGCTTCAAGATCAAATCTTGGAGGAGAATAAGGCCCACCTCAAATCCTACGGTCAGACGCGGGGAAAGCTGCAAAAAGAAAAGGACCGATGGTTTGCCGGCATGCGTGGGAAGCATGATTCTTTGAATGTTGCCCTGCTTGAGCAATGTTTCTTGCCTCGTCTGCTTCTTTCTCCCATTGATGCGTTCTACTGTTTCAAGATGCTGAAGGTCCTTCATACATCCGGAACTCCGAATTTCCGGACAGTTGGTCTATTAGATCAGCTTTTCCGGGAGCAAAGGCTCACTGCGCTGATTTTCCAGTGTACCTCGAGGGAAGCAGACAACCTCGGGTGCTTCCTGAACGAGATCCTGCGTGACCTCACCCGCTGGCATGCAAGCAAGGCCGTCTACGAAAAGGAGGCTTTCGGAAACAAGAAGGACCTCCCCGGGTTCGCCATGAACGTGGACCCCGAGGGGAAGCCTACAATGTTCCTGGAGTATGAGGACTTTCGCCGATTGCTGTACAAGTGGCACCGCCTTATAGCCGCCGCGTTGAAGATTTGTCTTAACGGTGGAGAGTATATGCACATTCGCAACGCTATCAGTGTGCTCAAGGCGATCGTCCAACATTTCCCAGCGGTCAACTGGATCGGTCGCGACATGCTAACGAGCGTGAACACCTTAAGCCAGCAGGATGAGCGGGATGACGTGAAGATTCCCGCCGCCTCACTAATTGGTGATCTCAACCGGCGGGAGAAGAAATGGATGCTTCCCCAGGAATTCATGATTACCAACCAGCCACTTGCAGTAGGTAAAGGCAAGAACGATTCTACAAGTGGCAAGCCCGGGACTCCACGCCCTAAGTCTACCACACCGGCTCCACTAAACGCTGCTGCGACCGAATTCCAGCCATCAGCAGCCAACGAGTAAGTCAACGAATGAAACCCATGGACCTCGCTGTCGACTATGTGCGCATTTCTGATCGGCTCAATCACAGATCCCAAAATATTCAAAACTCCGAGACCACTGCTAAAATGGAGGTCGAAGACGGCGAGATTGAGGATGCGAAGATGGCCGATGCCATCGCCAAGGGCGCGGATGGAACTGACCAAACTGCAAAGAGACCATCTGAAGAGACTGCCATTCTGTCATCCCAGGATGCATCCACAAAAGAAGCTCTACCCACTGACGATCAATCTGCCGCTGGTCATGAGCCGTTGACAAATGAGAAGCCTGCACCTGCAGGTGCCGAAGCGGGCACTGAGGGTGAGCCTACTCCTCCACCTTCGTTGACCGATGCTCATACTCCCTCGAAAGGCTCGGAGTACCCAGGAAAGCATCCAAATAATGCTAAACGTTCTGATTCAGAACGTGGTCCGCCTGGAAGCGTCAACCCTCGTTCCCTCCCTCACGCACCGAACCGTCCTTACAGAGATGAGGCTAGACTTCCCCCTCGGCCTGATCTTCTAGATGATCGACGCGAGAGAATCTCGGACTATCCCCGGGGTGGCCGCTTCAACGACCACGATTTTGGCCGGCCATTCGACCAGCCCATGGGCGACGGCAGAAACCTTGGCCGTCTCGACAGGGAATACCCACTCAGGCCGCCGATGGACGAACCGTTCCGTGGTCCTTCCTATCGGGAAGGGCGTCTACCGCAGCCAGACTGGCCCGATCGGTCCGGGCGTTTCCGTCCTGATGCGCGAGATGGCCTGCCCGGAGCACGATCTGGCCCACCACCACACCCCGATCGTGCAGGATTGATACCTGAGCGGGGTGGGGAAGGTTTCCGACGTGGGGAAGTTTTCCGACAAGACAAGGAAGAGCGAAAGAGCTTGTCTAACCGACCCATTTCACCGCAAAGAGTGGAGCTGCCCAGCCGGCCGGAGCGTTTCCCGTCTGACGATCGCCGACCTTTGAACTACTCTCAATCTCACCAGCGACACGAAGACATGCCGGTTGGACCTCGACTTGATCGACCTTCCCGAGCCGCCGCAGATATACCCGATCCAAAGGAACCACCCTCCGGCGGGGACATGAGCCATGGACGTTTGCGGCAGCCAGATCCTGTTTCCGACATTCCTTCTGGACCTCGAAGAAATGCTCAGGGCCGAGGTGGGCGGAACATGCCTGGTCAACTGCATCCTGGCCCGATGGGCCCCTCTGAGCGACAGCCCCCGAGCGGTCCAGGGAGGCAAGGCATGCGAAATGCTTCTGATAAGCCCTCATCTGGTGGGCCCGCATCGCCGGATTCTGAACGACTCCAAGCCACCGGGATGCACCCGGACCGGCTCAGGGTTCTACAGCAGCAGCAACCGCCGCCCAGCGATGGAGGGCAGGCGCCTAGCCCGCGCGCCCAGAACCCGCCGGTGTCCCCAGCATCGGCCGTCCCCCCATCGGGGCCTCGGAGTACGCATGGCCCTTCCTCGGGGCCACCGCCTGCCTCCCGTGGTCCTCCTCCGTCCGGAGGGAGTTTCAGCGGGGAGCGAGGGAGAGGAGATAAGCGGTTCGCTGGCATCAACAATATGCTCCAACAATCCGGCGGGCCAGCCGACCGTGGCGGCCCCGGCCCCGGTCCCGGCCCCGGCCCCGCGATCCGTGGCCGTGGTGCCAGCCGACAGATGGCATCTGTGGGTGGCCCGTCCCCTCAGAACTCGCGACCCCCGACTCCCAGTGGCCCGGAGGATGGCGGCCGACCCGGGTCGTTCACCCAGGGCCGGGCCGACCTCCTGGCTGAAGATGGACCTCCCCGGGCTCGACGAGGCGACCTCCTGGATGAAGCCGGCCCTGAATCTCGACGATCCTCCGGACGATTTCCACACGACCGAGAGCGGGAGCGCGATCGGGAACGCGAGCGTCGCGGCGGCGGTGGCGGTGGCGGTGGGGAAGATGATGGATCTCGCGGCACGAATCGGCGGGAGGAATTCCGGGAGCGCACCCGCGATTTCGAGCGCGAGCGCAGTCGCCGAAGCGATGCGGGGGCTAGTATGCGAGACGAGCGGTACGAGTCTCGCGAAGCCTCCCGACGCGGACCGGGCGCGCGCGACGAGAACCGTCGGCGGCGGGATCGAGACGAGGGACCCGACGGCGGCCCGAACAGCAGCAACCAGGATCACGAGGGACGTCTTCGGCCCCCGTCGTCGCTTGGCGGCCAGCCACCCCCTCCGCCGCCACCACTGGCCCCCGCCGGCAGCGGTCCCAGCGGTCCCAACGGTCCCGAGGACGATCGACGCTGGGGAGGCCGAGAGATGCGGGACCGCGATCGGGATCGCATGAGAGACCGTCCTCGGGAACGCGACTACCCTCGGGAGAACCCGCCTGGACCTCCTCCGTACCGCAAACGGGGACGTCCTGGCGGCGACGAGGGAGTCCACGGGGACGGCGTTGGACGAGGGGGGATGCGCATGGGGAGTGAAAGCAAACGACCTCGTCGGGGTGCTTAAAGGGGGACGAAAGTTCTCTGCTTGCTATCCCTTCCCTTCACGCCTTTGTTTTTCCTTTTCATTTCTCCATTATATCAATGACATGCATTGTTGGACGGTGTTCTATATCTTGTTGTCTTGGTTGTACTCCGTTTCTGGCCCTTTCTCTTTTCTTCATTTCCTGTGGTTGTTATTACTATTTCTATCTGGTTGTATCCCTCATACTCTCCCTTTCTCTCTTTTCATTCCTCTTTTTACTATTGACCTGGCAAGCATAATGGATGCGAATTTAAGATGTGACATGATGACTTTCAATCCTGTGTATAACTAGTAGAGAAACTCTGATGGATTTCTGCCTCCGTCCCCGTCCTTCCTCTTCCGTTCTCTTTCTTCTCCTGATAGTTTCTTTCTCTTCTCAATCACACGTCCTATCTTGAACTACACCCTATCTTGAACTACACCCTATCTTGAACTACATCCTATCTCTCCCCCTCTCGATTCCTCCCTCGTGAGTCTCCACTTCTACGCCCCCACTCGCTCCATCTAATCAATCTATTCTTATCTTCATCTCACTAGTCCTCTTGAGTATAAGACTACTGAGGCAACCCGGACCGATATTCCGCCCATTTCACCTCCGCTAACCCGCCCAGATCCTATCGGTTAATCATCGGCGTCTCCTCCGTGGCTTTTTCAGCGCCGCATCGCCGGCCCTGCAGTCCCTAAACATCACGCAATCACGCCAACGGATCCTCCTTAGCGCAAAACCATTCGCATATTACATGTGGGTCCTTAGATCTGAAGGAGAAAAAAAAGAGAGAGAGAGCGAGAGCTCTTTGCGGCAATGCACCCGGCAGCTCCTTCCAAGCCCTCAAATCCCAATCCTTCCCCTCATCTTCGGGATTTCCAGTTTCCACGTCACTCCCCTCAGGATGTTAGTTTCTCCACCGCTGGGAAGAATTCGGCTGTGGGGACCGTCGATCCACACTATCATTGCTCCACAGGTCGATCGAGGATAAGGACTTGTGAAACCAGGCGGGGAGATTGGGAATGGCGCTGAGTTTGATGCCGCGCTCGTGCTCTTCTTTTTTTTTTTTTTTTTTTTTTTGCCCTCGCGTCGCGAGCCATGACAAACGGAATGCTCTCCTCGGTACAATTGTCCTTCTCGCACTTCCCGCGATACTCTCTGTTTGTGTCTATATATATCGTGCGGCTCGGAGGTTGAGTCCGGCGATCTGGCTTCTATCTCTCTATTTTTTCTTATTTGATCTCCTGTTCCCCCCCTCCTCGTCTGCCCGCTCTCTTGCTCCTGACATCGTGTTCCCCCGCTGTTCACGATAAGTTGTTCCGCAGCCCGTCCGCCCTCAGCCGTATTTGCCCAAGCAAACTATTCGGTGTCGACTTCTGAGCTTTGGAAGGAAAAATAGAGACCATTGTTGTCTTTCTTGACTCGTGAAAATGCCTCGTCTGGACGTGGAAAAAACGATCGAAGAGCTGACGCTCGGGGAGAAAGTAGCCCTGACGGCCGGTGAGTCCCCGTTTCCCTTGCAAACCAAACGATTATTCCACGGTCAAGTTGCCGTGGAAGACGTGGGCTTGGTTAAGCTGACGTATGATGTTCTCCGTTTGTAGGAATCGATTTCTGGCACACGGCTGCGGTGGAGCGTCTGAATATCCCCTCTCTGCGCATGTCCGATGGTCCCAATGGAGTGCGCGGAACCCGGTTCTTCAACGGCGTGCCTGCGGCGTGCTTTCCCTGCGCCACGGCCCTGGGAGCGACGTGGGACGTTGAGCTGCTGCACAAAGTGGGCCACTTGATGGGTGAGGAATCCATTGCGAAAGGTACCCACATCGTCTTGGGTCCCACGATCAACATCCAGCGGTCCCCGCTCGGAGGACGAGGGTTCGAGTCGTTTGCCGAGGACGGTGTGCTGTCGGGCCAGCTGGCTGGCTACTACTGCAAGGGTGTCCAGGAGACGGGTGTTGCGGCGACCCTCAAACATTTCGTCTGTAACGACCAGGAGCACGAGCGTCTGGCGGTTGATAGCATCGTGACCAGGCGTGCGATGCGTGAGATCTACCTGCTGCCGTTCCAGCAGGCTATGAAGATCTGCCAGAGCGCTTGTATCATGACCGCTTACAACAAGGTCAATGGGTTTCATGTCAGCGAAAACAAAGAAATCATCACCGACATCCTCCGCAAGGAGTGGGGATGGGACGGCCTGGTGATGAGTGACTGGTATATCATTGCGTGAGACCCGGACGAGCCTACGAAAGATACTAACTACCTCCCTAGGTTCGGAACCTACAGCACATCAGACGCCATCCTCGCGGGTCTGGATCTGGAGATGCCTGGCAAGACCCGCTGGCGTGGGACTGCCCTGGCTCACGCCATTTCGTCCAACAAGGTCCCCGAATTCGTCGTTGACGAGCGAGTCCGCAATGTGCTGAATCTCGTGAACTGGGTGGATTCGCTGAACATCCCATCCAACGCGCCAGAGAAAGCCCTCAACCGACCCCAGGACCAGGCCCTGCTGCGGCAGACCGCGGCAGAGTCTGTTGTCCTCATGAAAAACCAGGATAACATCCTCCCCCTCAGCAAGGACAAGTCGATCTTGGTTATCGGTCCGAACTCCAAGATCGCAGCCTACTGCGGTGGTGGGTCCGCGTCTCTAGACCCCTACTACACCGTGACGCCCTTTGAGGGGGTATCCGGCGAAAGCAAGGGCGAAGTGCAGTTCTCCCAGGGTGCCTACTCGCACAAGGATCTGCCTCTGCTGGGCCCTCTGATGAAGACTGCCGACGGGAAAACCGGCTTCAAGTTCCGTGTTTTCAACGAGCCCGTCTCGCAGCCGAACCGGGAACTGATCGACGAGCTGCACCTGGTGTCGTCGAGCGGCTTCCTCATGGACTATATCAACCCCAAGATCAAGTCTTTCACCTTTTTCGTCGACATGGAGGGCTTCTACACGCCAGAGGAGGACGGGATCTACGACTTCGGCGTCACGGTGGTTGGGACCGGCCGGCTCCTGGTGGACGGTGAGGTGGTCGTGGACAACACCAAGAACCAGCGCCAGGGATCTGCCTTCTTTGGCAATGGCACCGTCGAGGAGAAGGGAAGCAAGGAGCTCAAGGCCGGCCAGACGTACAAGATCGTCCTCGAGTTCGGCAGTGCCCCCACATCCGACCTCGACCAACGGGGTGTCGTGATCTTCGGCCCTGGCGGGTTCCGATTCGGAGCCAGCCGCCGCGTCAGCCAGGAGGAGCTCATCTCCAAGGCCGTCGAAGCGGCCGCCAAGGCCGAGCAGGTCGTCATCTTCGCCGGCCTCACCAGCGAGTGGGAGACGGAGGGTTACGACCGCGACCACATGGACCTACCCCCGGGCAGCGACGAGATGATCACGCGCGTTCTGGAAGCGAACCCGAACGCCGTGGTCGTCATCCAGAGCGGCACGCCGGTCACGATGCCATGGGAGAAGAAGACCAAGGCGCTGTTGCAGGCATGGTTCGGCGGCAACGAGTGCGGCAACGGTATCGCAGACGTCCTGTACGGCAACGTGAACCCGTCCGCCAAGCTGCCCGTGACCTTCCCCGTGCGCCTGCAGGACAACCCCAGCTACGTCAACTTCCGCTCCGAGCGCGGCCGCGTGCTCTACGGTGAAGACGTCTACGTTGGATACCGCTACTACGAGAAGATCGAGCTGCCGCCTCTCTTCCGCTTCGGCCACGGCCTCTCCTACACGAGCTTCACCCGCAGCGATCTAACCATCGCCACCGTCCCGGAGAAGCCCGGCGCGCTCGAAGACGGCGAACCCATCACGGTCACCGTCACCGTCACCAACACGGGCCGCGTCGCCGGCGCTGAGATCGTCCAGCTGTGGGTCGTCCCGCCCCCGACGGGCGTGAACCGCCCCGTGCGCGAGCTCAAGGGCTTCACCAAGGTGTTCCTCACCCCCGGGGAGAAGAAGACGGTGCAGATCACCGCGGAGAAGAAACTGGCAACGAGCTGGTTCGACGAGCAGAGGGCGAAGTGGGCGAGCGAGAAGGGCGAGTATAAGGTTGAGGTCACGGGCACCGGGGATGAGGTCCTCACTGGTTCTTTCTCCGTGGAGAAGACCAGATACTGGCTGGGTCTGTGAGGTGGATGTGGTTTCCTTCACAAAACAAGACGTACATATCTATCTGTGTGTATATATACCTCGACGATAAACTAGATTTGTTTGGTCTTGGTTTGGGTTTGACTTTGTGTTTGGTTCTGTTGTCTGCTTGTGGAATCAGAAAAGAAGGGCAGATGGATGGATGAATGAATGAATAAATGAGACGAGATGATGAAAAAAGTCAGATCGGATGATAGCGACAAATTGAATTGGATTTATTGATTTATTGATTGATAAATAGATTGAGTGATTGGCATTGTTCCTTATTACATTGACTGCCCTCTATAAATAAGTGAACGAAGATGGTGCAGTAGGTCTGGTTAGCATAGGGACTGATTCTATGTATATACACGTGGTTAGGATCTTGTAAAGACTGTCTTTGTGGTCTCGTAGTGGAATAAGCTTGCAATCACTACCTAAGAGATTAAGATATTTCTGAGTATATTCCATATTATTATCCAAGTACTATATTATTACCTAGAGTTTCAACAAACTATATATATATATATATGTCGCCGGGTATCATATCTCGATGAGAAAAATTTGAGGTGCTGATGCGTCTGTCCGGAATCTTCTTTTCCCCCAGAGTCCATCCAGTTACATAGGATAGATAGCATCAACGCAGTCAGTCTGAGTTCGACATCACCACTCAAGCAGTAAATGGCGAATTAGACAGAATAAGCCCGAAGGTGTTGGACGGAAACGAAACGAAACCAAATCAAACCCGGTAGGGGGTTCGTTTCTCAATGTTTGCATGTAGGTAATGCATGCATGCATAGACATGGGTAGAAGAAGGATATCCTGATCGTGCTATGCTCCGGAAAGTAAACATCCCCCTCCCTCGGGCTTGCTGCTTTTTGTATTTTCGTGTCATTTATTGCTTGGTATTTCTGTCCACAGCATGTATTACGACACAGCGGCGCCAGCTCCAGTACCCCCACGGCGTTTTCCGAACCAGCCTGCCAATCTCTGGAACATCGAGGGTGGCCGCCCCTGACGCTGCAGCGGCGGACCCTCGGGGAGGTCTGAGTGTGACGACTCCGAGGAACGAAGGGCTGACTTGCGCTTCGTCAGCATGCTCAGCTTGTTTCTGGTTGACCATGAGGTCGGCTGTCGGGAGCGAGTGGTCGCCGGGCGACTGGGTAGTTGCGCTGGCGCGGATGGTCGGGAGGGCGTCGTGCTGGGACGGGGTCGTTGATGGGGTTCCGGCTCGGAATGATTCTGCTGTAGTTCGGCGGGGCCCGGTTCTTGGGGGTGCTTCGTACTACTGTCGGCAGGGGCTGTGTTCATCCGGGCGAGGACAGCCTGCTGCAAGGTCTGATGGCGCTCCTCTTCTTCCTCCGCCGTCATGATGTGCATGAACCCGCTGCTGTCGATGATGACGGCGGGCTCTGGGCGTTCATGCCAGTCCGAAGCCTCGTCATCTGTCTCCTCTGCCAGACCAATGGACGGTCTGCTGCTGAGGTGTCCGTCTCGCATGGGTGCGGGTAGACGTGACGGCGTTGAGGCGTCGCCGTTTGGCAATCCAAAGCTGGGGGCGGCTGGATGAAGTAGGCCCGGTTGCGGAGAACAGAAGCTCGGCACGTCACCGGTCGCAAAGCTGGCATCGGAATTCAAAAACACCTCGAAATTCTCAGGGCTGTCATCCGGGCCCGCTGCCGGGGGTGGCTGGAAGCCGTCTGGTTCAGGTCCCATGAGGAAAGTCAGGGTCTCCATGTCCACGTGCGTTTGGGGCACCCCGGTTGCCGGGGCACCGTCCATGGATCGCATACAGTCCGCTGGACGCTTCGGCTGTCGTGACTGCTTCCGAGGACTCTTGAGAGAGGCTCTCCCGCTGGAGGGATCGGTGTCCCAGGCGGAGGTGGTGTTGGAGCCGGGAGTGGCACATCGGTTGCGACTGAAGACGGAGCCGGCGTCTGATCGTCGATCCGAGTGCGAAGAATGGAGATTGCGCATGGTTTGTATGCTGGGCTGTTGGGTCAACCCGACTCCCGAGTCGAATTTGGTGGCCCGCTTGGCCACCTCAGGCCCTACACTCGGTGTGAGGTATTTGGATTCAATCTGGGCGGCGCGCACCTCGGCAGACCGCACGGCTGGCTCCGAGGTGGTGGAAGCCCGTTGCGCACCTGGCGCGGGGACTCCCTGTTCGATACGGTAAACAAGAAGCGAGCAAGCGTACCGCACATCGGCCTCCAACTGTGGTGCTATCTTCTGACGCGAGATCAAGGGAGAAGAGGGCAGGATGGGGCTATCGATGGTGTCATAAGATGGACTCATGTTGTTCAAGACCCCGGCAAACGTGGGTTTCTGGACACGTTAGCCCATGCAAACGGAAGGGAGTCTATTGTTTGGGGTTTCCTTTACCTGAGAACCGAAGACGAACGACAGGGATGGACGCATCTTGGAAAATTGACGTGTCCGAGGAACTGTACGCTCCATGGCGTGAGGTTATTGGCGGTGATGAATGGGCACCGATGGGTGGAAGGATGGAAGCAAGTGAGAAGCAAATGGGAAGAGTAGAATAGAACAGACGAATGAGAGGGAAAAATGATTGGAATGGCCAACGCAACAGATATTCGTGTATATCCACCAGCCAACGTGTGTTATGCCTGTAATTTTAGCGCTAGCAACAGGAGGACTCTGTCTGGTATGCAATCGCAGATTGACAATTTGGTTGGGCAGCCAGTGCCAGATAGAAATAATTTCAGAGACAAATGAAATGCGGAAATGAGGAATGCGAGATTGATTGCAAGGGGTGCCGGTAGTTATCCAGAGCACTAAACTGGAATGCAGACTGGGGAGGGGACAAGCCTCGGTATATACGAGGGAGACCGGCTAAGACGGGGCCATTCACGTCCGGAGATAGTCTTTGTTGGAGTATATTAAGGAAAGGATGCTCTCCATGTGACTGAGGAGGGTCATCAAATCTTGCAATCAATACAGGATCAGTCAAGTGGATCGTCACGAATGGCACATCTCGAGGGGCAGCCAATACGAGCGCGTTGGTGAGGGATCTTTGGGCGATGGAGGCGGATGGAGACGGTCAGATGGGGATGCAGTGGAGGTGCATGAAGAGTCGAGGCTAAAAGGAGGGACTAGATGGAAGAATGACGGAATGACGGAGATGGTGGGTGGAAAGGAGGAAGTAAAAAATTGGAAGTTGAAAGAAGGAAGAAAGAAAGAAAGAGAGAGAGAGAAAGTGACACGCCATGTCACGGGTCCTGCGCTCACTCCTCTCGTCGTTCTTCTCTCCTATGATTTCCTAGTGTTTTACTTTCTTTTCTCCTACTTCTCACCTCTGGTAACACAACATTCATGAACTATACGGGATACACCCGGGACGACTTCCATGTCGGACTCTCCCCGGAATCTAAACTCTCCTATCATGCAGCAGACTATTGCCGCGGATGAAGCCATCCGCTGACGAGGTGGGTGAAAACCCCCAAAGTATGACGATGACGGGCCTACAAACAAGGAAGATACTGGATGGCATGGCAAAGAAAAAGGGAAACAACGATGATCATCAGGAGAGAAGAGGGTCCCACAGGAGCGGACGAGAATCAGCCCCGTCATTCCCTGGTGGAGGAAATCAGGCCAGTCTGACCGATCTTATGCTGGTGGAGAGAGAGAGCTAGTCTAGCTCAGCTCGATTACCTACCTAGGTACGGAGTACGAAGTACCTACTTGATACTTGTGCCAGTGGCGATTCACACTGTATGGCTCTCGAACAGGAATTCCCATCCTGACAGGCAAGAGACCGTTATTCCCTTTATTGACCGAGAAACCAATTTGTCCAAGTCCCTCGCAAGGGGTCTTACCCTATTTTCAAGGAGAAGGGCGATTATGGAAAATGAATCAAGGGATAGGAGGAGGTACCCCGACAACAACATTTTACGAGCGAGGTGAGTGACAGATCAAGCGATGAGATCACTCATGCAGTCATGCGACCTTCCAATCCCTGCACACAGCAGAACAGGGTGATACATCACCGGGAAGTGGAAACCAAAAACAGCCCTCGTTGCATGGCTACAGCTAAACACGGAACTCTATCGTTGACACGTCGCTCCCCCGCTCCAGAAGCTCAGCCAAACTGCTATGCGGCGACGGTGGCTTAACGTTTCGAGCCCACAGACCGTGGGGCGAACAAGGCTCAAAGGGAGAGAGAAGTACGGAGTAAGTGCCCCCCGATCGAGAATCATGAGGGGAGTCCGCAAGCCCAACATGGTTATGGTTATACCGTACCGTATGATCGGTATCATGAGGTAATGATGCGGTCGAAAGAGAAATCTCAACGGGATGCATGGGACCTGCTTGTCAGCCACTGATGGGAAGCGGGGGGAGCAGCCAGGGCGCTTGAAACGACCGCGGCCCGACATGCGAGGTTTTGAAAACCCGCCCAGTTGCCATTCCCCTCAACGTTTCTGACCCTGAGATGGGGATGATAGCTGTCGTCAAGACATGGCTTCCACCCTACTACCCCTACGTGGGAGTACACTGCCGTTGTTGATGGTAGGGGGTGTTTTGCAACGCCCCTGCAGGTTGCCCGCTTAGACTCCACCGGTCGATGTCTTGTCAGAAACGGCAAAGCACCTCATGCGGCCCTGGGTCGATCGCAAGGGTTGTTCATAATCTGGGGCCTCGAATCTATCCCTCGCTGCGGCAGGCTTTAAAACCAGCGTCAGGTTTCTATATATAAGACAAAGAGAAAAGGGAGAGACATATCAATTTTTCATTGTTATGTTGTCTATCTATACGGTTGAAAAAAGTTCTATGACTGAAATAATAGTCGCCCACCACCCTCGCGGTGGGTCTTTCGGTTCGAGAAAGATCCCTAAAGCTGAGAGCTTTCTGATGGAGAGCAGTTGGATGCTTCTTTGACAGCCCTAACCTGTTGGATCGATTGATCAACGAGGCGACGGAAGAGGCAGTTGGATGCGCATCTTCCTGACTGGCTTTGAATGTGTAAAAATTTTAGAACAAGAATATCAAAAGACTGCATCGCTACTTCCCCGGGGGTGCTCCGACCCTGTCTCCCCAGCACTGGAGCGGGCGTCCCGACGGGCCCTTTCTTCTCTCTTGATCGGAGAGAAAGAAGATATGCCCGGAGACGACCCTCCCCTGCCACTGCAGTAAAAGGGTCGAAGGTCCGATTCAAGGCTGCAATTGCTGCGCCAAGGTTGATTGAATGGATTTCTGTCCATTCAATTTACCACGCGGTGATGTCTTCCACCTCCGCTTCGCCGAAGGTGCTGCTCTTTGTCAATCGGTTGACTCCGTCAGCACCTGCCACCACGTCACCGACGGGCGGCCGGGCCATGATGTCCGGCAGGACCTCCCGGAAGAACTCCAGGATGTAGTGGTTGACCTGCTCGAATTGAAGCAGGAACGCGTCGTGACCCTCGGGGCTGTCGATACGCTTGAGCCGCGAGTCTGGGATGCCCGCGGCCACCTCTTGCTGTTCCTCGAAGGTGAAGAGCCCGTCGCTTTCGATACCCAGCACCAAGGCGGGCTGTTCCACCTGCGACAGCGCCTCCCGTACCGGATCCGCCGACAACGGACTGACTCGGTGCCTCGACACATCGTGGGTGTCCAGCTTCCGGGTGATGGCGATGTAGCAGTTGGCGTCGAATCGCTTCACGAACTTGTCTCCCTGGTACCGGAGGTACGACTGGGCGGAGAAGTAAGTCTGGGGACGCTTTTTGCCATCCCCATTGGTGCGGGACTCGATGGTCTTGCTGAATGTTTTGGTTCCGGAGAACTGCGGGTCCGTGTACTGGATCTCCGCGGAAGTGGTCTCTTGCTGTGGCGCCGGCGAATTGCGCTCGCTGGCCCGGTGGCCATCATTGTGGATCGCCCAGTGCTCATTGGGCGGGCTGGGCAACCGTTGCGTGCCATTGATATTTTGTCGCTTCGTCGGGTCGGGCACATTGCGACCGAACCGAGACTCGAACGAGTTGCGGCTCCGGTAGGTCAACAGGGCCGACATGCGGGCCGCCCCCAAACCAGTGGTCGGGGGATCTTCGAACGAATAATAGCCATCATCGTATTTTGGGTCACTGTAGATGCTCTGTCGCTGAGCCTCACCCCAGCTGATGCACCAGGCCGAATGGCGCGCAGATGTGGCAATCGGAACAATGGCCCGCACGTAGTCCTTGCCAAAGTAGGCGTACTCCAGGGTCAGCATGCCACCCATGGAGCCACCCACGACGGCGGCGATCTGGCGGATGCCGAGGAAGTCGAGAACAATCTTGTGAATCCTGTTCGAGCGTTGTCAGTAACAAATTTTCCTTTGGAGCGCAACGGTTTTGGAGCATAAAAGCGTGTTCATACCTGACGTCGTCGCGTACAGTCGTCAGAGGGAACTCCGGACCATAGAGGCCCTTCTCCGGGGACCCATCCTTGTAAGTGACGGCACTGGCACTCCCATACGGACTCCCCAAACTGTTCAGACAGATCACGTAGAATCGCGAGGTATCAAAGGCCTGACCGGGACCACCCAGCAGAGGACCCCACCAGTCGGCCACATCGGCACTACCACTCAGCGCATGGCAAATCACCAACGCGTTGTCGGCCTCGGGAGACAATTGACCCCGCGTCGTGTAGGAGATGGGGACATTGTGCAGGGTCACGCCCGATTCGAGGGTGAAGGACGGAACCACCACAAACTGTTGATCGGTGATGAGTTGCGAATAGGGATTTTCAGATTGCGAGTCGACTCTCTCTACGGGATTTAGTAGCCGTTCACATCTTCCTGGGAAAGAGGGGGAGGATACTGACGGAGTGTCGCCGAAGGGCTGTTGGATTCGTGGGCCATTCTTAGCTCACAGAGGAGGGGGGGGGATATCGAAAGGAATTGGAAAGCAATTACAGATAAGAGACAAGAGGGGAGAAGTTGCACAAAAGAAGAAGGATAGATGTAGATGTGAGGAGAAGAGTCAAAGTGGGAAGTAGAGTAGAGGGAGTCAAAGAACCGGGGGACTCGATGACTCAGGCCAATCGGGAGGCCAACAAGACAAAACTTGCACTTTTGCCCCGCGGGAAACTCAACTCCGATAACGGGATGACTCAGCATTTTATATGCAGACACAGATACCAGCACTATTGCATCATTATGGACATGTCCACTATATTACCACCAATTATTGGTAGTCAATCTGTAATATTTACTTTCTATTGGTGACCAACAACAACATAGAACAACATTCCAGTCAGATGGCTTGATCTCGTCGAACGTAAACGGTGATGTCGCCAAAGAGTTTCGTACCCAAGTCGACGAGATGCTCCTCATAGTGATGCATCAATGCTCGTACGCGCGAAGTGTGTGGATCGGTTCTAGTTAAATGTCAGCATTTGGGTGGAACCGTACAAGGCTACACGTACACGCCATATTCGTCGGAGGACTCTTCGTCTTCCTCTCCCACATGTTCCCAGATGAGGACAGCCGGTCGAGCAATGTCGGCGACAATCTCTTTGATAGGGATGTTAGAGCTGCATGAAAAAACCACGGACGAATCGTCAATTCCGAGGAGACCCTGTGGATCATCAAGAACCGCGACATTGGATTCTTTGAGGGTGGATTTGTCAATGCCAGTGTATACTGGATCTTGGACGTAGCAAGGGATTCTGCCGCTCCTGCTTCTGACCCTCAACCATTCCCGCACCGTGAGGATCAGCGCATGCTGGAATTCCGACCGACTGGAGGTGCGGTCGATGGACATCGAGCCACAGGAGAATCCAAGCACTTTTTCGATGTTCAGTGTTTTTGGAATGGACTCCAGGGTAGACCCCAGGTCTTTGCACATCTGACTTGCCTCCCAGGATTCTCTGCTCGTCCGGAAGCTTTCGCGGACCACCTGGCTCTCGCGCAGGGCGTAATGGCACGCAGGCTCCTTTGTGTCTTTTTTCCGTCGAGACATCCAGTGGGCGATCCGCAGGCTGCAGGTTGCCTCTTGCAGGTTTCCATGCCACCTCAAAAGACTCTGGGTCATGTGCACTCGCGCGCAGTAGACAATGTACGGATCCTGTCTAGTACGGTCAGCTCAGTTTTGTCGACACGATTGGATCCTAGTCAATCTACATCTCATGTTCGAAGGCCCCCGAGTCAAAGCCCTTGCGGGTCTCACCCGTCAACACGTCGAATTCGACCCCCACCCCGTCCACGCCTTTGACCGTGATCTTGTCTCCGCACAGAGACGATCGCTGGAGTTGCTTGGAAACCTCTCGGATCGACTGCTTCGTGAAGAAGGGCGTCCCCGCTTCGTACAGCTTGTCTATGCGAGTCATCGCTTCCGTCACGCTGCTCACTGGCGCAGTCTCGCTCTTGTCTCCAACCCAGTGGCAGGGCCCTTGAATGGAGTACATTGTCATCGTGACAAGCCGAATAATGTTCCGTACACGGTCAGGACAGGGGTTCAACGATGGTAAGATGGGAAGATTAATTCCACACAATCAAGGAGAAAAAGGATATTCAACAAGAAGAAAAGGAGATTTGTCCAGAGAAACAGATCATGGTCATATTTGCCAGTGACAGGGGCGATCAAGTACGGCGGCTGGACAGCCAGTGACACCCGGCGGACTCTCCCTGTGACCAACTAGTCACTGCATCTACCAAGTCACCGGCCACTGTCATTCTCTGCAATCAAGATTTACTTTTGTGGAATATACTATACTGTAGGGATTTTCCCTGGCCCATTTTCTATCCACGCTCTTCATGCTTGAGGATATGGCTCATATGTGCCCCGCAGGCTCCAATTGAATACCCAACTGCTAGTAGTCCCTGGTGTGGAATCGTCGCACACATCAGTACTCCATATGTGAACCATGACCGCAAGCTTGAGACAGCAGTAATTGGGACTATAGAAAGCCAACCAATTGATCATACAATGATGTCTCCAGGTGAAGACCAAAGGGTCAGAAATATGTCCTGGGACGCTCCAGTTGTCGTATAATTATACGCGTGAATATGTACTGTCACAACAATGGATTATATAATGTAGACTAACCGGAAATGGAACAATGCAGATCACGCTGCAGCTAAGCCCAAGACGGCAGGCGGAGTGTCAGCAACAGTCACGTGCTTTGAACACCAATCCCAACTAAGCCTAGCGCCCCAGCATACATCATTTCCGCCTGGACTTCTCACTTGGCAACCCGAGACCTCTCCAAACCGCAGGGGTATTCGCAATCAATCGCATTCGAGCAATGGCACTGATAGCTCCCACTTGAACCCGCGCCCCAACAACAACGAGAAGATCTCGCACGACGCTCATTCCATACATGACAGACTACTCCATCGCTTGCGATCCTGCCTCACAATGGCCGACTATTCGAAGTGGAAGGTCGTCGACTTGAAGGCCGAGCTGAAGCGGCGCGGTATTGCGCAGACGGGCCTCCGCGTCAAACAGCAGTTTATTGATAGGCTGGTTGAGGAAGATGAGAAGGGAGAACCAGGTGGTACAGTTCAGGAGCCGGCGCCGGAGTCGGAAGCCGCTCCGGAGGTAGCAGCCAAGGAACCGGAGCAACCTGCCGAACCTGAACCTGAGCCTGAACCTCAACCCCAACCCGATTCTGTGCCCGAGCCTGAACCAGAGTCACCCACAGAGCAGCCCGCAGGTGAAGCGACACAGCCTACGGAAGTAGTGAGCGACAAGGAAGAGCAGCCGAGGGAATCTGCCCCGAGCGGAACACAAGACGAGCAAGCGGTGGAGAAGCAGGATGATCAGGCTCAACCCGAACCACCTAGCGAGGCACCGGAAAAGCCAGTAGAAAGCGTGAAACAGGCTGATGCCGGAGATCAAGCTCCTTCGCCGCCCTCCGTGTCCCAACCGCCTCCTGCCCAACCGGTCGAGCAGGCTCCCGGAGACGCAGCCCCGCAACAGCCCGCGCCGGCTGACACGAATGGCGCAGGCCCAGACACCGCCACCGGAAAGGGCGCACCGTCAGACGCGAACACGGAACTGTCAACACCTCTCCCCACAGAAGAGGTCTTGGAGGACCGTCGGAAGCGTAAGCGTCGCAGCCAGAGTCCCGTTCCCACCGCCGAGGCCATTGCGAACAAGAAGGCCAAAGCCCAAGAGAACGGCTCGGAGACGGCTTCCCCGAGGGGGGAAGACTCGATGGATGTGGATAGAGACGATAAGCAGGAAGCCAGTGAGGCCCCGGACGCACGCGCAGATGATCGTGACCGTCCCGCCTCCACCCAAGACGAAGCCGCCCCCGAAAGTCCCGATGCACGAGCGAAGAAGGGCGCCCCGAAACAGGACGTGCGTTTCAAGGGGCTCTTTGCGGCCAAGGAACCGCAGCAGCCCCGACCTGCATCTCCGCCGGCGGACACGGCCATGGACGATGAGCACGTGGAGCCCGCGCTCCACGCTGCCACCGCCGCTCTCTACGTCGATGGACTCATGCGGCCGCTCCAACCCACTGCCCTTCGCACCCACCTGGCTAGTCTGGCGTCGCCGCCCGGGAGTTCTCCCAACCCCGACGTGATCGTGGATTTTTACCTGGACCCCATCAAAACGCATTGCTTTGCCGCTTTTACGAACGTCACGGCTGCCACCCGGGCGCGGGCGGCTCTCCACGGCACCGTCTGGCCTCCCGAGCGCAACCGGAAGACCCTGTTCGTCGACTTCATCCCCGAAAACAAGCTCCACGAATGGATCGACACGGAAGAGCGGTCCCGGGGCCGCGGTGGCCCTCCGGCCCGCTGGGAGGTGAAGTTCGACCGGACCGAGGACGGCGTGGAGGCGGTCCTGGAGGAAGTGGACGCGCGAACCGGAGGCGCTCCGCCCGGCCGCGGACCCGAGCCGGGCGACTTCTCGCGCCCACCACCCACGGGACCTCGCGCCGATATCGAACCCGGCCGACGACCTAGTGGGCCCCCGGCGGCGGAGCCCACCCCGCGACCGGGACAAGGGTTTCAGCCGTTGGATGAACTGTTCATGTCTACCACCGCCAAACCCAAACTATACTATCTTCCGGTTCCCCGGCGAGTGGCGGATCGACGTCTGGACCGGTTCGACGATCTGCTGCAAAAGGGCTCGTTCCCCCGCCGCGGCGGCGACGAGCTGCGGCGCATCACCTTTGAAGACGAGGATCTCTTTGTCGATCATGGGCCGGAATTTGCGCCGCGTGGTGGGTACCGTGGCGGCGGTCGTGGCGGGGGCCGCGGACGCGGTCGCGGACGTGGCGGGTTTGGCGATTCTTGGCGCGATGAGCCGCGGGGACGATACTATTGATCATACTGTGCCATTTCGGTCATTGGATTAGGACCTTCTCTTCTTTTGTCTCCGTTCTGACGAACCAAACCGTATCTTGAACGGCATCCCTCTTGTCAGCGGGGATGGATCTTGGAGGGGAAATGTTTCATGTATAGTAGATGGGGCGATAAAGGATAAGGGATTTGGGAACATGGACTTGGGAATTGATGTCCAACCTGTAGATGTAACTATACAATGACTTTCTTTCCTTCTATGAAATCCGATCGAAGATCTGGATACTTGATGTATGACAGATGTCAGATCGGATCGGCGGTGCCTGATTTGGATTCCTCAGGCTTGTCCAAAGCTTGGCGTTTATTTTCCATTTTCCATTTTCCATTTTCGTCTTTTTCTTCTTTCTTCTTCATCTCAATCTTCTCCTTTGTCTTTTTCTGTCTGACTTCGGTCCTTTCCCTGGACTGGTCATTTCGCTTCGTTTGAGGTCCAATCGGGGTGCAGTCGGCACGTTCGGTCCTTTCTCCATCCCTTGTACTCCGTACACCGTACAGCCTCGTGGTTATTCATCTGCCTTGTTCTCTGATCAGACTGATTTTCCCTTTCGATGGGACACCTCACCACCACCAACACCCATTGATTCTTCCGTTCTTGACCATTCTCTTTTCTCTCTGGTCGCCTACCCCTGATTGTTCATTGACATCGTCGAGTCAAGACGCGACAATCTTTGGTTCCAGGGGTTGATCGTCTGTTTCGGGACAAAACCGGCGGCGGCAACAGATCATCCGCCCGGTCTGGCCAAGTCTTGATCGTCTCTTTGGACTGCAGAAGATCTGTTTTTCCAATGATCCTCTTGGGATTGGAATCCATTTGCTCTTTCTATTTCTGATGCTGTATTATTATTGTTATTTTTAGTTTGCTTCGTCCCTCTTCCCCACCTTGTTTATTGACTTGTCTGTTTCTTCACCGTTCAATTCCCCTGGGAGGCTTTTCGTTCCCACGAGCCTCTAGTGACTGCAATCATGGGCTGGCCCAAGTGTAATGCAACACTCGAACATGAGACGAGTATGTTGGTCCCGATCGCGTCATTTCCGATAGTGGTGAACAGAAAACTGACGAGAATTGCGCGTGTGCAGTCACCGAGGTTCCCTTGTGGCCAGATGGGATCACCTTTCATAATTTATGTTTAGTTGTCGGGGGGGTATTTGCCCTCATCGCGTGTGGGTTCTCCTTCTACTTGATCATGGGCCATGCCACACATTACAGCAAACCGGAGGAGCAACGCCAGTACGTTTTTCTCTTTCTCCCTCTCTTTCTATGCCTCGAGATCGGTGGACTAACGCTGCTGCGACGTCGCTATAGAAATATCCGCATCCTGTTAATGATCCCCGTCTACTGCATTGTCGCATGGGTCGGCACTTTCTTCTACAAGCACTCCGTCTACTACAGTGTCATTGGCGACTGCTACGAAGCGTTCACTATCTCCGCCTTTTTCGCGCTGATGTGTCACTATCTCGCCCCGGACCTGCATAGTCAGAAGGAATATTTCCGAGGAATCGCGCCGCAACCGTGGGTCTGGCCGGTCACTTGGTTTCAGAAATGTGGCGGATGGCGCAAAATATGGAGGACGCCTCGAAGCGGCCTGACGTGGTTTAATGTGAGAATGACCGGGGATGGGGATTGACAGGACCTTCGCTAATGGGTGCCCTCCGTCTAGATCATTTGGATATCGGTCTTTCAGTATTGTCTTCTGCGGGTGCTCATGACGATTCTCGCGGTGGTCACGCAAACGTTCAACTTGTACTGCGAGGACTCGCTCAATCCGGCGTTTGCCCACATCTGGGTAAGAGATGCTGCATTGACACCGTCATCAGGGATCATCTAATAAATTCGTGCAGGTCTTGGTCATCGAGTGTACCTCGGTCACGATCGCCATGTACTGTTTGATCCAGTTCTTCATCCAGGTCCGGCCCGATATCAACCACCACAGTCCCTTCCTGAAGATCTTGTCGATCAAACTGGTCGTCTTCCTTTCGTTCTGGCAAACCTCCCTCATCTCCTTTCTCTTCTCATCCGGCGCCATCAAAGCAACCGACAAGATCCAAGCGCCCGACCTGAACGTCGGACTTCCCAACCTGCTCATCTGTATCGAGATGGCCATCTTCTCCGTCTTACACCTGTGGGCGTTTTCGTGGAAGCCGTACGCGTTCGACAAATGGACATTCGATGAAGTGAACGACGTCTATGGCGATCGCAAACCGAAATACTACGGCGGATTCTGGGGCCTCAAAGCTCTCCTCAACGCCTTCAACCCGTTGGACATCGTCAAGGCCGTAAGCCGCGGCTTCCGCTGGCTATTCGTCGGCCGCAAGACGCGCATGATGGACCCCAGCTACCAACAGACCCCCGACGACGCCATCGGGCTGAACGCCTCCGAGCCAGGCACGAACCACGCAACCGCCTACGAAGGCGCCAGAGGATCATTCACAAACGCCGGCCCCCAACCCGGACGATACTACCCCGATCCGAACACCGACGAAGAAGGCGCCGTGCTCCTGTCGCACGCGCAACCCACCGGCTTGACGTCCCACTCGACGACCGACGTCAGCAGAATGCCCCCACCGTACGAGGATACCAGCAACCGGGACCTCTACCTCTCAACCCCTCGGCGATCTGGCAGCCCATCCTCCTTGTCCCTCCTAGAACCCGCCACCCACAATTCCCGCCCGTATTCACCATACGACGACACAGAAAACCCATACCTAGTCCGGTCCCCGCTAGACGACGGCCCATCCAGCCAGACACCTCTCCATCATCACGACGCCCCCTATCCAACCGGCCCTGCCCCTCTAAACGCCCAGGACCCCATCCCACTACCAGAATCATACCAACCCCCACCTCTCAATCACGACGGCGCTCATCCCCCGCGGTAGACGGCCCTTTGCCTGGATGGCCCTTACCCCCAACGATCAATCACAATCATGTACATAGATATGGATGGACCTCACATATTCTCTCAACCTGTTGGCACTGAGAACCAGACGGCCTTTGGTTTCTTGTTGTTGTTCTCATTACGATGCCTATGATCTTATACTCTTGTCATATACAAATACCCATCGCTTTTTGTTTTTCTCTACTTTCTCCTTTTCTCTTTGTTCATTTAGGGTTAGGATTGTTAGAGGGTGAGTCATGTTGTAATCAGTGTAATCATGCATTACACATGGTGAATAGCTCTTCCTATGACTACGTCGAACAAAATCTCAATATATACTCATAAAGAGGAAAGAAAGGTTTCGCTTCATTCATGATTCATTAATAAGCGTTCTAAGGCACTGGTGCACTCAAACAAGGGGATGGATTCATATTAGCACGGTGTATCATTCGCGTGACGATGATGCAGTGAGGAAAGCGCAAAAAAGCGGGTCACGTCGTCAGCCATAGATCATGCCATGCCGTCCCGACCCATGTACATTTCCTCGTCGAAGCGCGACGACGACGCCGATATCCCTTGAGACTTCCGCGGGGGCACGTTAGTCCTCCGGACGTGGGTGACGACCGCAGTGCGTTTGCCCAGCTCGCGCATGGAGCTGATGCTCTGGCCGAGTTTGCCTAGGAGCGCGACGAGGTGCACGTCGTTGCTCTGGGCGAGGATCTCGGAGGTGAAGGCGCTTTGTTCGGTCGGGGTGAGGAGCGAGAGGTGGGCGAGGAGGGAGTTGATGTTGCGGAGGATGGGGTACGAGAGCGTCGCTTGTTTGGTGCTGTCGGTGGTGGTGGAGCCTTCGGCGGTGGATATGCTGGCGAGGTAAGATTTGATTAGCGAGATGCGGGACTCGAGGGTTCGGATGGCGTTGAGGCGGGTGTTGAGGTTGGCGATTACTGTTGTGGATTCTTTGGTTAGCTATGGGCTGGGTCGTATGGTGGTCGGGTGACTTACGTTCTTCGTCTTCCTGGGAGAGCAGGGTTGTATTGTTGTCCTTTGTCTTCTGGTCTTCTTTCCTGGACGGCCCGCCGGTGGTTGTGCTCGGTTCATCCACGGCGGCTGCGTTGCGAGCGCTTCTGGCGATGGAGTCGACGCCGATCATCTCTGCCTCGCCGGTCTCCACAAAATAGGGTAGCTCGCGGAATCGTATTGTCAGCAAGTGCTCTTCGCCATCGACCTGCATAGCCTTGCCGCCATCTGCAGCATGCTCGCCCTCGTAAACGCTCTCGTAGACTGTCAGTGGGAGCTTGGCGCTATTCGAGGACGCCCCGTGGACCTGGGAGGGGTGGAAGGCAAGAAACACGGTGGATTCGTTGTAGCTCTGGAGCATCTGGCGGTGGATTGGCAGGTGAGATGTGTTTGGACCGGATGGTGGAGCAGTCGACCACCAGCCTACAAGGTCGAGGGCGGGGGTTTTGTGAACGTCCTTGACTGGAGTTGCAGGGTACGTTAGTATTGACGGAAGTTGTCGCCTGGAGACAGTATCATACGCTGTTGCACCCGTTCGACGAACCAGCCATCGGACAGTTGAGCTTCCCCGTTAGGGCCTTCCACCACGATGCATTCGAATGCATGTTCCAGGGTGATCTCGCGCCCGTTCTGTTGGCCCAGGAGAGCGCCGACTATAGGGCCGCGTTGCTGCCGGGCCGCATGGCGGGTGATGTGGTCGGAGATGGTGAGGAGGATGAGGGGATGAAGCTGGATATGCAGTCCTGAATCGGAAGACTTCTGGGATAAGAGGGATGTCGAATGCTCCGCCATATTGAATGTTGATCGTGTTATCGAGAACTCTGGGAATGAAGTTGGAGAAAGTTGCCAGAGTTGAGATGGGCAGTTGATTGATGACGCTCACCGCCTTGGGCTTCCCCGCTTGTTCAATTGCGGGAGATTGAGCTGTATCAACCATCATCATCGTCATCTTCTTCTTCATCTTTCTCCTCTCTCTTTGATCCTTCCCTTCTCCCTCTCATCTTCACGATAGCTTGACTTTTGTGTGGCGCTGAGAAACATGGCGGTCCCGTCCACGTACGACGAGGTGAAACTTCATCTCCAACAAGTTCAACGCGACCCCACCATCAGTCTAGACCAGGACCTGTTGGACAAGCTGAAAATAGAGCTTACGGAGACGACGGATCGCAGGGTTCCTGCAACACTCCTGGCAGAGATCGCTCACTTACTTCCCGTTCTTCAGGAGGATCCGGAGCCGGTTACAAAGCTGGGTATCAAGGCCAGCACGTATTTTAGCTTCTCGGACCTCCGCTCCCTCGACCCACCGATCAACTTTATCGCGGGGTTCAAGGCCCCGTCGCCCCCGATCAACCTGTTAGTGCTATCGCTGTTGAGGAAAGCAGAGCGGCTTCCTAGCGATACGGCCATAGTTTCTGGTGATTCGGAGCTGGTGGTGTCACTGGTGGAGCTCTGGTTGACGACCGATTCAACGGCCGTTGCGCAGGCTGCTTTGGATACCATATGGGCATTGTTGGAGGTCGATCTGGCAAACTCGGTCGAGAACGGTGGCCATGATCAATCTAACGATGAGAGGGGTAACGGTCTCATGTGGCGGAGGATGTTCACAGATAAAGACGTCTATGGACGCTTCTTCTCCTTGTGTAGCCTCGCGGGCAATGCGAAACGCGAGACGACGTTGGCCCAAGGGCGGCTGATGGCCTTCTTGGTGAAAGTAGGCCGGATACGGTGGGATGTGATCTCAACCTCGCAGGTGCCCGAAGTCGAAGCGAAGTACAAGTGTGAAAGTCTCCTGCAATTTGCGGCTCGCGAGATGGTGGACAAGAGTGATGTTTTGATGCATATGACCTTGCTAAACTTCTTCCATGATCTCCTCGAGATCGATGCTCCGGGTTTGACGATTCGGACTTTCGTACACTCGGCCTCCACATTTTCCTCCCCGGCTCTCGATTTCTTGATCGCGCACAACGTGCATTCGTCGTTGCTGAACTGCTACCTGGATGAGTCAAAATTGGATCCCGTGGATCTGGCGTACCTGCCGGGGCCGATCATGGCTTATGTGGCCCAGTACGCGGATTTATATCCTAACCACTTTCTGAAGAACCCCAAGAGTTTATTAGATCAGATAATATCGCGAATCTCCGCGTCTCTGGCCATCTCGTCCTCCCAATGGGCCCATGGGCCAGCCCCGAGCGGTCAGCTTAACGTCCTGTCTTGCATCCCTCGTGTTCTATTGATAGAGGCCAGTAAGGACGGCCGCAACCCCGTTACGTCGCTCCCTGTCCGTCCACCGAACAAGGAGGTCATCGATACTCTGGCCAAGATCTTGCACGGACCACCGAAGCCGGAGGGAGCGGATACGATGAAGCTCAACATGTTTGGCCAGGCGCCCACGGACTGGCATAAAGAAGCCGCGAGCGCGCGCGTGTTGTACTACATGTATCTGAATAGCCGACCTGACTTATGGGCTGACATTGTCGCCCCGGCTGACACAGTGGCCATGAAAGATGTTTCTTTGGCAGCCATTTCCTTCATGAAAGCCATCGTGACCGCCAATTGGCACGACTTGACTCCCGAGGTGACGGCATCGGGCTCGGACACGTCGCGGTACCAGCTCCCCTCCGAGGAATCTCTGGGTAGCACATCACCCGCGATGCAGGGGGCACTCCCATCCACGGGTGCCTGGGCCGTTCTTACTCCTCCCGCGCTGACCACCTTGCTCCCCTATCTGTTCAAGCCACCGCGCTCGTACGCCGAGTTCGTGGGCGGCGGGGCTGGGGATTCTCAAAACGCTGTCTGGAAGATTGCCACCGCCAAATATGACGTCTTAGCCGCGTTACACGGCCGCCTACAAGAAATAGGAGGAGAAATGGCCGGATTTGAGGATATTGTTCGGACCCTCGGCCAACGGGTGAACGATGGGCCATGGGGACCTGTGTCACAGACCGAAACGCGGGTTGAAGCCATGGGAATGTGAGCACACCAGGTTAGGTCAATTAACAATACAATACCTTTCAATTTCTACAGTAGCTACAAACAATCCAAATTCCAGTACCTGCTCTATACTCTATATAGGGCTGTAGATCTTAGCCCTACCTTCCAAATCAGGTAACTGGTAAAGGCGGTGAGGCGGACTTCCGGCGGAACTTTTTTTCTCCTCATTTCCCAGTCATCGCCATTTCAGGCTTCGTCGCGATCTTTTTTGCGGAGGAGGACTGACCGAGCATATCATTCGGTCGTCTCCGTCGTCTCCGTCGTCTCGAATAACCGCCAGTGGACATCATTGATCAAATCCGACCCCCACCCAACAACCATGTCACGATTCGGCGCCAAAAAGGGCCGCAAGCTCCCCGGAGCAGAATTCAGCTGGGACACCGATGGAAACGGCGAGCCCGACACGGCGCCCACGCCGCTCTTCCCAGTATGGCCCCAATCCTTCCCGTTGAGATTCCCACTTTACTAGCGATGATCTACTCTCCTGTAATGGGCGATACTGACCAACACGCGCTAGAAATTCTCCGTACCCCGCGCGCGGCCGTTAAGCGCACGCGAACAACTCCAGGTCGACTACTACCGGGGCCTGCGCGAGCGCTATCACGATGGACCTTACTACTCGATATTGGACTCAGCGTCTACGGCAGCGAAGAAGGGGAGTGTGGCGCGAGTGAACTTTGACAGTTTTCATGGGATGCCGACTTATTCGGGGCGGTATCAGCGGAAGAAGAGGACGATGCCGAGGATGGGGGGGAGGTCGTATAGTGAGTATTTTTTTTTTATTTTTTTTTCCGTCTTTTGGAGATGTTGGTGGTGGTGGTGCGTGGATGGGTTGGATATTGGGCAGGGACAAGCGAGAGCGAAGAAGAAAGATGATGCTAATGGTGCTGGGTACAGTTATGAAATTCTTCCCGCGCGAGCTCTGGCAGACGATCCAGCCTACGTTCAAGCCAGACGCTGCGATGGACGGGTACGCGGGTCAGTTTGCGCGAGCGACTGCTAAGCGCGGGTTCGAGGACGATGAAGAGGAAGATGAGGAGGACGAGACGAAGCGGAAGCGGACGGGCGGGGAGGAGGAGGAGGATAACGAGAAGGACATTCTCGAGGGAGAGGAGGAGGGCGAGGAGGAAGAGATCGTGGATGATGATTTCGAGGACGACGAGGACGAGATGGGTGGGGATTACAACGCGGAGCAGTACTTTGACGGTGGAGACGACGAGTACGGGGATGATGGATTCGGGGATGGCGGTGGTGGGGGAGGCGATGAGGAAACGTACTAAGCGGTTGTTGAGATACCCTTGCTTTGATTATTTGGATTGTGGAGCTGCATCTAGGCGTTTGCCTGTGGATCAGGAGATTGTTTGGCTGCATGATTGATTTCTATGGCAACCGATTTTTGGGTCTGCTATTCGTATATACTGCTAGTGTCAATGGATATATCTATTGGTAGATAGTTTTAACATTGAAGAGCAAGTAGGGCTATACTGTTGTCTAGTCATACGGAGTACAACTATGTCCATTGGCATTGTTGGCGCCAGCATGATACTGCAAATACGACTGCTGCTACACCACCTTACCCCCTTCATCCACCTCATTCGTACTTGTATGTGAGATATCAATCGAACCCACCTGTTCGTTCACTCAATAGCTGATATCTATGCCAACCAAAATGACCGCTAGTGTGCTGAGCACGGTTATTAGGTGTTTACTTTTGAAAGCCACTGCTAGTTAGTATATGCTCATATTGGAGAGAATCATTAGTGAGACAGCATGAGCCCTCACTTTGCTGTCAATTGGGAATCCACACCTTCATCGTCCTTCTATACAACTTGATGCCTGATGCATCAGGCATACAACCCTGGCGATGTCGGCCTGGCCCATGACGTCATCTCACATGGGCAGCCTTAGTCACCGATCCGATATCGATCGAGGGGTCTTTATCTTTATCAATCTTTATCGTCCAGACCAAAACGGAGAATGTTGGATTGTCGACAGTAAAATCTTTCCCCGCCATCACTGCTCTTCCCTCACAACCCTCCTCTCCCTTCAAGAGCAAGAGATCCATCTCATACCTGAGGAGCATGAGTGAGAGTCAGACCCCCAATGCCCCCCCGCGGTCTGCACTCGTGCTGTATGGCTCCGAGACAGGAAATGCCCAGGAGGTGGCCGAAGAGCTGGGTGCTATGATCGAGCGCCTGCATTTCACTACCCACGTGGCGGAATTGAACCAGTTTAAACCGGTGTGTTCGGTCACTCGACAATCGCAACAGAGCTGAGCTGACGGGGGGTGGTTTGCGTTGTAGGAGTCGCTAGATCGATTTACGATTACGATCTTCGCCGTGTCGACGACGGGCCAGGGAGACCTGCCGGCGAATGCACGCGCGTTTTGGAGGTCGTTGCTGCTCAAGAGACTTCCGCCGACGTTTTTGAGCGGGGTTCGTTTCGCGTCGTTTGGGCTGGGTGATACTTCTTATCCTAAGTCAGTTCTATGTTCTTGCCGGTCTCGAGAGAGGTGAAGAGGATGTTGTTTGTTTCTGACGACGAGCAGGTTCAATTGGGCGGCGCGCAAACTGCACAAACGTCTACTCCAGCTGGGGGCAAATGAAATCTATCCTGGTGGGGAGGCCGATCAACAGCATCCAGAAGGGTTCGTGTCTCGTTCTGCTGTCGCGTGTGTTTGTACAAGTTGTTCGTCGAGCTGACTTGTATCTGCCTACAGACTGGAAGGTACATTCATCCCGTGGCTGACGGAGCTACGCAAACATCTGTTGGAGACGTATCCCCTACCGGAGGGGGAGCATCCGATCCCGGACGACGTCCAGTTACCACCCAAATGGGTTCTACGAATAGAAGAAGAAGATCATGCAACACCTGGGACACGGAGCGTCCCCGAAACACATCAACACACCCCCAAATCAGGCGAGCGGCCTCGACTGGACCACGATATCCGGCCTATTCCCGATACGTTGACCGCGACGTTGACGCAGAACAAGCGGGTTACACCATCACAGCACTGGCAGGATGTGCGACATCTCTGTCTCACGGTCCCCGACGAGGTATCCTACGTCCCCGGCGATGTGATCGCCATCACACCGAAGAATTTCGCCGACGACGTTGAGGCCATGATCAAGATGATGGGCTGGGAGGAACAAGCCGATCAGTTGGTCTCACTCGCGCCCAACGTCTTCCAAGCACACGTGGATGAGGTGCACGGGCCGCCCATCGCGGGCCTCCCGTCCTACCCGCGGCTGACGCTACGGGCCCTCATCATGGATTACCTAGACCTACGGGCAATCCCGCGGCGAGCATTCTTCTCGGCGATCGCGCACTACACCAACGATGATATGCACCGGGAACGACTGCTGGAGTTCACGAGCCCGGACCCCGAGTTCCTCAACGACCTGTGGGACTACACGACACGACCGCGCCGCAGCATCCTCGAGGTGCTGCACGAGTTCGACTCGGTCCGGATCCCCTGGCAGCACGCAGCGGCGGTACTACCCGTCTTCCGCGCGCGACAGTTCAGCATCGCCAGCGGCGGCGCGCTGAAGCGGTCGCCCGACGGCGGCACGCAGTTCGAGCTCCTGATCGCCATCGTCAAATACCGGACAGTCATCCGACGGGTCCGCGAGGGCGTCTGCACGCGGTACATCGCGGCGCTCCAGCCCGGGAGTACCCTGCAGGTGCAGCTCCAGCGCGGGGGGCTCCATTCGCCGCGGGAGCAGCTGCTCCGACCGACGATCCTGATCGGGCCGGGCACGGGCGTCGCGCCGCTGCGGTCGATGCTGTGGGAGAAGGCGGCCGTTTCCCAAGCACTCCGGGCCGGGGACGACGGCGGCGACGACGGCGACGGTGATAAACCGGAGATCGGGCCATCCGTCCTAATCTACGGAGCCCGCAATCGGGAAGCGGACTTCTTCTTCGAGGACGAGTGGGCCCGGTTGGCGGAGGCTTGTCAGCTGCAGGTGCTGGCGGGGTTTTCGCGCGACCAGCCGGAGAAGGTCTACGTGCAGGACCTGGTGCGGCGGAACGCCGCGCTGTGCGTGCGGTTGCTGCGCGATGGGCTGGGGTCGGTCTACGTGTGCGGGTCGTCGGGACGGATGCCGGAGGCGGTGCGTGAGGCGTTGATCGAGGCGTTTCAGACGGTGGGAGCGGAGTCCGAGTCGGGGGGGTTGGATCGCGCGCAGGCGGAGGCGTATTTGCTGGGGATGGAGAAGTCGGGGCGGTATAAACAGGAGACGTGGTAGTAGACCTGTAATATTTATAGTCGGGAAGCGGAACCATAGTCGACCGGATCATCAGCATCTGATCCAAAAAATATAGATAATTATAGAGTGACCAGTACCCATCCATCATGTACCGAGTACAGTACTACGTAGATCGTAGTTCAACACCTGTAAGTAAGGTAGGAGAGTTACCTCGGTTGGAAGCGGAGCAGCACAAGCACAACCGGGCCGCATCGGCGCAGGTCTCTCCGCCTTCCCCATCGACGCGCTGATTGGGTGGAGGTCAGTTGACTCGGCCTCAGTCATCCATCCATCCCGACTCCCTTTTGTCCCCGCTCTCTCTCTCTCGCTCTCTCTCTCTTCTATCTCTTTCTGTCTCTCACACAACTTCTCGGTCTTCTATCTCCCTCGTCATTTATTTTCCTCCAATTCACAATGAGTGGTTTGCGGATTCTGGTTCCCATCAAGCGGGTCATTGATTATGCGGTGCGTTTTCCTCCCTTGTGATGTCCGTTTCGCCGAGGTCGGTGAGCACGGCTCTCGCCGACTTCACCATGTCACGTCATGTCACTTCAATGGATATTATACACACCTTTACTCTACTTTACACCTACATTACACCTTCAGCTACTCATATATATACGAATATGTAGATCAAACCCAGAATCAACAAAGCCCAAACAGGCGTCGAAACCGCCGGCGTCAAACACTCGCTGAACCCCTTCGACGAGCTCTCCATCGAAGAGGCCGTCCGCCTGCGCGAACGCAAGGGTCCCCTCAAGGTCGAAAACATCCTGGCCCTGAGCGCGGGCGGGCCCAAGTGCGCCGACACGCTCCGCACGGCGATGGCCATGGGCGCGGACCGGGCGTTCCAGGTGGAGGCGCCCGAGAGCGGCGACGGCGGGCTGGAGCCGCTGAGCGTGGCCAAGATGCTGAAGACGGTCGTCGAGAAGGAGAACATCAACCTGGTGCTGCTGGGCAAGCAGGCGATTGACGGCGACCAGGGCCAGACGGGCCAGATGCTGGCCGGCTTGCTGAACTGGCCGCAGGCGACCCAGGCGAGCAAGGTCGATGTCAAGGATGATAAGGGCACGGTGGAGGTCACCCATGAGGTGGATGGGGGTGTGGAGACGCTGCGGATGCAGCTGCCGCTGGTGATTACGACTGATTTGCGGTTGAACCAGCCGCGGTATGCCAGTCTGCCGAACATCATGAAGGCGAAGAAGAAGCCGCTGGAGAAGAAGACGCTGGCGGAGTTGGGGGTGGATGAGACGAAGCGGTTGAAGACGCTGAAGGTGACCGGTATGTTTCTCTCTTTTGGAATCATCTGTTTCGTAAATTATACTGACAACTATAGAACCCCCTGCTCGCCAGGGTGGCGGCAAGGTCGAGGATGTGGACGGGCTGATCGGCAAGCTGAAGGAGCTTGGTGCGCTGTGAGCCGGCATTGTGTACGTTGTTATGATTTGATTAGACAGTTGATTTGTTTTGAATTGTGTGCATTTGTACATATAGACTGTAGCTGGATCTTTTTTGTCTTCTTTATTATATTGTCTTCATTTTCTTTTCATTCTTTCTTTCTTGATCATCTTTTTTTTTTTTTGTCTTCCGACAGGTCAATCACGCTTGGCAGGTGGCTAGTCTCGTGTAGTGCCGCCGATCGTAAATCTACAATCTTCAATAAGAACATCAGATCAGAAAAAAAAAGCAAGCAAAAGGACCCAAGAGAGAAGAAAGAAAGCAAGAAAGAAAGACAAGACGATGGATAAAGGTAGACCAGATACTCCGATGGGATCCACCACCGCATCCAGAAGCAGGACGATCTGACAGATCGTCTGAATGAACCAGCTGAAAGGTCATCCATCCACCTGACTCAGACTGGTGGTATGAACGACGGTGATCCTAGATGTATGATCCTGGATGGAGGATGGAGGGAAGGGTGAGGTGCATGGGACGTGTCAGTTGGAAGCGGATGTCGATCTTACCCTCCGGATGATCTTAATCCTGGATGAGACAATAGAATCTGAGGTGGTGGAGGTGTCATATTGGGTATATTATCCTGTTCAATTGATACATCTTCACGTCTTGGATCATCAGGTGGAGAGAGGATGATGGACAATGGATTGTTCAAGAACCAAGGGGTCAAAGGGAGAACTTCTAGAAGAAAGAATCGTCTTGTTCTAGAGAGGATCCAGAATCATATCAATCAATCTAGATATCCAAGAACTAACCTAAACCAGTCAAGCGTGGATTGACGATGAACAGGAATGACGCAGAGTCATTCGGTCTCTTCCCCCGCGTTATCATTCTATTCTATTCAATTATATTATATTATATTCTGCTATGTTAGATATGATATTATTGTATGCCAGCCACGATTCTGTCGACGGCGTCCAGCCATTCATCCCAGCCTGTCCTGCCTCCACTTCCGCTGTCGATTATTCTATCATTCCATGCTATTCCCTTCTCTATAAGATAAATATGATTATCTCCTGCAGATGCATCTCATTCTTCCTGTCAATCCCATCTATATCATACTGATTATACCTCCCTTGTACTATATCCTCTCCTCTCCTCCTCTCCTCCTCTCCCCCTCTCTATCATCCCCCCATTATACTGTAACTTATAATCCTCTTCTCCCTTGCTCCCTTCTTCTTCTTCCTTTCTTCCTTTCTTCCTTTCTCCCCCCTCTCCGGGTGTGGATCTACTTCTAGTCGTCGGGGGTTTGTTTATTTTCTACTCTTTTTCACCTATTTAATCTCTGTCTTTTTTTTACTTTACTTTAATTATTTTAATTTCTATTCCCTTCTTCACCTCATTACTCAGACCCTTCTCCTCCCGACAAATCTTCCTCCCAAGGTAAGAATTCCCGTCCTCGTTCCATGGTTACTTACTCCTCATCCGTCCGATTCGGTCGCCACCGGCCTTTTCTCGAACGCGGATCGAACGGCGAGACCTGGATCCAGATCTGTTTTATCATCATGCGAAGATCCTGACGTGCCTTCTTAGCCTCTTCAGCCTACCAATCCTACAAGAATCCCTTTCAGCACTGCATTCCGGACTTCTCCCTTCGCATTCTTCACCTACCCAGCAAGGCGTCCCCGCCTTACATTCCACCCCGTCGCATCGGGTAAAGTTTCATCTGCTCTCCCGTTTTCGTCATATTCAGTTTGTTCAAGGTGCGCACAACGACTGGGTTAAGACTCTGGGTCTTCCTTCCAGTCCGCTGGACTTGGTTCGATCATTGACTTTGGATTTGAACCCATCAACCCTCCCCCCCCTCCCAACATGGCGCCTCATTCGTTCTGGGAAAGGACGAAAGGAACGTCCAAGAAAGGCTTCGATAAGGCATGGCATACTCTCGACAAACTGGGCGATCCCGTCAATCGCCTATCCTACAAAGTCGGCGCAGAGGCCTTCTGGCCCATGACCATCGACAAGGAGAGCGATAAAGCGGCCCGCATCTTACGCAGCTTCTGCAAAGATGGCTTCTACACAGACCAGGAACCTGAGAACCGACGGTCCGACAGCGTCTCCAGCGTCAATAGCAAAGCAACCGGCAACAGCAAAGCAACCGGCAAGATCGATCGTCCCAAGGGCAAGCAACGCGTCCTACAAAAGATCCCCACCAAGGTCATCCGCCAGGCCAAGGGTTTGGCCATCTTCACCACCATGCGCACCGGTCTCTGGTTAAGTGGTTCCGGCGGAAGTGGTGTGCTCCTGGGTCGCATCCCCGAGACTGGCGAGTGGAGTCCCCCGTCCGGCATCATGCTCCATACCTCCGGCATTGGGTTCCTGGCCGGCGTTGACATCTATGATTGCGTCGTCGTCATTAACACCTACGAGGCTTTGAACGCCTTCAAGCATTTCCGCTGTACCCTAGGCGGCGGCCTCAGCGTCGCCGCCGGCCCCGTCGGCATGGGCGGCATGCTCGAGTCCGAAGTCCACAAGCGCCAGGCCCCCATCTGGACCTACATGAAGAGTCGCGGCTTCTATGCCGGCGTCCAGATCGACGGCACCGTCATCATCGAGCGCACCGACGAGAACGAGCGCTTCTTCGGCGAGCGCATCTCCGTGACCGACATCCTGGCCGGCAAGGTGAAACACCCGCCGGACTCCATTAAAACCCTAATGCAGACCGTGCGCGCCGCCCAAGGTGACACCGACGTGGACGAGAGTCTGGTGGCGCCCCCCGGCATCACCCCCGGTGACGTGGACGTGGTTGCCTCGACCTTTGGCGTCCCGGCCGCCGACGATCCGGACCCCTTTGGCGTCAAGGCCCTCGAGGCCGAGGGCCTCTTCATCCGCGAAGCCGGTTCCCGCTCCCGGGCCCACCAGGAGGTCTTCGAATTCCGACCCAGCCCCAGCAGCCCCATCTACTCGACCTACCGGCGCAGCCTCGACAGCTCCCCCCGGACCAGCTGGCGCACCAGCGTCCAGAGCCATACCAGCCAGGACCGCGGCACCCAGACCGAGGCCCCGACGGCCCCGACATCTGTCAGCCGCGCCTCCTCGCGGAGCACCCGCGGCGGCGTCCCCGCCGAGACGCCATCGGAGCCCACCAAGTGGGACCACGAGGGCGTGCAGTGGGAGGCCGCCATCCCAGAACGCCACGCCATCCCCGAGACCGACGACGACGACAAGCGGGATCCAGATGAGTCCTCTCAGGACGAGGACGAAGACGAGGACGAGGACTTTGAGATCCACGAGGTCAGCAGCGCCACCGTGAGCCGCCGCGACAGCGCCCCCTCGTCCCCCATCTCGTTGGATGATCCCCACGCTCCGGTGGACGTCAAGCGTCAGTCGCCTACGTTTACGCGCGCCCGCTTGGTCACCATCCCCAAACGTCCGCCCCCGCCGCCGCTGCCCCCTCGCGATCCTTCCCACCGGCCCTCCGCGTCGCCTCCGGCCTCGCCCGTCTCCCAGCGGGTTGAGTCGCCGCTGCCTCCGCGCAATCCCTCCCACCGAGCGTCCGTCTCTCCTCCAGGCTCGCCCATTCAGGATCAGTCCGAATTGCCCCTCCCGCCCCGCGA